TGAATATAATAATTGGTTAGTAAATATTTTAATTGTCGGAATTTTGCATTAATCCTTATAAAACTATCAAAACTCTTTTTAGATTTTATTGGATAAACTCAAAAAATAATTTAAAAAATTAAAATTTAAAAATCTCTTAAGAAATTAGACTAGGACGGAATTGTTAAACAATTTAAAACATCAAATCATCACATCAAAAATCTACAAAATATTCAACCAATTTTGCATTTTTAAAAATTTTTAATTTTTTTTCTTCCTTTCTGAATTTATGTTTTTGAGATTATTTATGTAAATGTCAAAATTAAAAAAAAAATAATCTTAAAAAACTTTCACCGTAAACAAAGCAATTCTCAATTTTCCTCATTCCTTTGTATTAATTTAACATTCCTCTTCAGAAAACATTCCTCTTCTTAACAATTCCGAGCCTGTCTAAGAAGGCAAAAAAATATGATTCCGGCACTCTTTTCAAATAAATGCGGCATTTATTCTTTCTGTTTTTCTTATGTATATCAATTTTGCCGTTGTTTTAAACCATTCAAATATGTTATTAATGGTGTAAGTATGGGAAGAAATTTTTAGTATAAAATAAGGGAATTTGAATCACAAATGGCATTTTTACTCTAAAAAAACATTTCTGCCGTGTCCATGCAGGTATTTATTAGGACTGAGAAATCTATCCAAACATCTTCGGTTGTCGAGGAGAGACTTTTTCGAGATATTAATCGAACTTTAAGTCCGGTCAACTAAACAATATTAATTTACTTTTTCGTGAGTTTTATTTTGAAATTGGTGTTGACTTGTTAATATGTTTAAGAAAATTTAAAACAAATTTGTTTAAAATAAAGTTAAATTTAAATAATAATAATTTAAATAAATTTAAATAATAATAATTTTTATATTAATTTTCAAATAATAATAATTAAAATAAAGTTAAAATTTTATATAAAAATGGAAAATAAACAAAACCAAACTAACAACTACAAAAACAACAAAAATAAACTTAATTTACCTCTTGAAGCCTTTTTTGATATAATTAATGCAGCTAATACAAGGTAAGTGGATAGATAGTTAAGGGGAATACCGTATTTCCTATATTAGAGCCCCATGGGGCTCTATTTTTCAACTATCCTCCAAGGTGGGGCTGTATTAAAGGGTGGGGCTCTAATTGAGGGTGGGGCTCTATTTTTCAACCCTCTTTTGAGATAGAATCACATTTATTATATCCATTGCAACTAGAGATAGGCCGGAGGGGTTGGTCGATAAAATCAAAAGACAATCGATATTTTTTCAAAAAAATTAAAATTTTATAAGCAATGAGTAACAAAATAATCGCAATAGTTCAATGAGGGTAAGATTAATTATGAAATATTGGTAGATTTGGACGAATTAAAGGGAATATTAGGGGACTTGTATTTGACATTGATGGATCATATGTAGGTATATAAGCGATTTTAAGGGATTATGGGGAATATCAGAGGATTAATTTTATATTGAGAGATTTAGCGGGGTTAAGAGTGATATTGTGAATGAGGTATTAGCAGGCACATGAAGGGATTTTTTTGATGAAGAGGGATATCAGTGATATAAGGGATATCTATCGGGGATAAAAGGAATACCCACTATATCTCTTCCTTTTCCCCTTAGTTAATCCCTCATATTTCCCTTAATTCTTACATATATCCCCATGGTTAATAATCTTAAAAATTATTGGGATATTTTTTATTTTTCCTCCAATATTTTTAGGTGGGGCTGTATTAGGGGTGGGGCTCTAATTGAGGGTGGGGCTCTATTTTTCAACTACCCTCCAAAGTGGGGCTGTATTAGAGGGTGGGGCTCTAACAGAGGGTGGGGCTCTAATATAGGAAATACGGTATTTGGAATATCCTATATTATATTTGTAATTATTAGGGTTAGATTGAATAGATTTTTTAATTTAAAATCCTCAACCCGCAATTTTTATTTTGTGTAGTACAGCAAAAATTAATTAAATTTACCTCTTGAACATTTTACAAAAATTTGTAAATTTATAGAATTGTAAAATATTTAAATTCGCGTGTCCAATTTAGGTATAAGGATTTAAAGCCGTTAACGTGTGGAGCAATATTACTCTTTAAAATTTCACAATACTTTTAAAGTTTACCAGAAAATAAATACAAATATGATAGTTGTTATTCTTTAACCCTTTATTTGGAGAGCCATTCACATGCTCGTGGATATTTTCTATAACCTTATTGGATAAACATTTTGTTTCAAGAAATGAATTATATCGTATTGTGATTACTCGGCGCTCTAGCTCGTCACAAATTTTTTTAAATTAAGTTTTTCAACCAAAAAATTCCAAAATTACACCCTTCCTTCCTTACACACCCTTTTAAGCTTTTATCTGGACTAAAGGGAAAAAATTCCAAATAATATTTTTTAATATCAGTGATATGATTATAAATGATGATAATACTATCACCAAATATACATCAATGGTGTTACAATTGAAAGAATATTTTATAAAAATTATGTCCTCCTCTGCAATAATTTATGCGTTTGCGGGAAAAAATTTTATAAAAATGTTTGGGGAATTCAAGGTGAGATAAATTCTTTCTTTTACTCGTTAAGAGAATTAATGGTTACTTAACTGAAAAAAAAATCAGAATTATTACGGGATACAAATAATTTGGTGATAAGAGATTGAAAATTAGAGTCCTCCTGGATAAAGCACAAAGTCCAATAAAGCGGAGTTGCGACAAAATTGGCAAAAGAAAAGCATTAAAAATTAATAAAAATTACGGTAAAATGAGAGAAAATGGGATAGTCGTCGTTTATTACTCCTAGATATTCAGAAAATTTTAATTTAAAAATTAAAATGAAAAATAAACTTTCAAATTTTTAAAAATTTTGCAATTCAAAGTAGAGTAAAGCCAACTGTTGATTACGCCTTTTTTTATTTATACGATTTTTAATCCTCTATATAATAATCAAAAATTTAAGTGTGTAACATTTTTTAATTAAAAAATTATAAACTTAATCGACGCTTTGTTGGTGGTTTTGTGATTTTTTTTTCCAGTTTTTGTAAATGCTTCAACAAAGTTTCGGTCCTGAGGCTCTATTTCGAGTCATAACTTTTTTACTTCTCTCGTATAAATTCTGAAGTCTTTATATTGATCGAGAGGTAGGTGTGCTGAGTATGAATTTTAAAAGCAAGAAAAAATCTCATAAAAAGTTGCTTGCGAATAACTGCAGACGAACGTGGATTTGATTCTTATTCAGCTGTAACTCTTCAGGGCCCGTAGAATAAATTCGGGGTAAGGGGTATTTAACTCCTACCTTGGGGTTAAATAACCCGTAACCCGCAGAATAAATTCAAACCCTTAGCTTCGGGTTAAATGACCGGGTCAGATAACCCGGTTATCTGACCCGCGTAACCTTACCGGTAGAATAAATTAATTACCCGGGTTAAATAACCCGCAGGTAAGGGGCAAATTGCAACCCTACTAGGGGGCAGGGTAACATGCGAATTATGCATAATTTCAAAAAAATTAAAACATTTATAAAATTGCAAAATTAAAAAAAAAATAATTTCTATGCAAAACGCATAGCAATTTTATTTCGCTTTATAACTCCATGTCATCTAGCCATTCCCATACGAATTTCAAAAGAATTTGCAGCAAAATATTTCAAAGTAGTTAGTATCTGTATTGATAAAATATAAAAACTAGATCCCCTCTCACCAACCTGTATTTCTGGGTTTGTTTGTGGTCTACCAGGCCTGCATGTATTAAATAGAGAACGGCGCGGGACGGGATCCCGCGCTGGATTTTGCGGGATACCGCTCCCGCAATCCCGCACCTTTTCTTATTTGCGGGATTTTGCAGGAATATTCCCGCGGGAGTTACTTCCGCAAACATTTTTAAAAATTACTGCAAAATATTTTCCATTTTGCGGAATTTTTGGGAAATGAAGGATTACGACCCCTTGGCTTATAAACTTCAAAAAATTTTCTCCTGCGGCGCCATTTCGCAATTATTGCAAAATGGTTTGGCAATAAAATATAAAGGGTTAAATAACCCAGTAACTCAACTAGTTAAATAACCCTTAGCTCAGTGTTAAATAACCCTTAACTCGGTGTTGAATTTATTCTACCGATTTTAACCCGAAGCTTAGTGTTATTTGCCCCCGGGTTGTTTAACCGGGTTATTTAACCGGGTTATCCAACCCCGAATTTATTCTACGGGCCCAGGATGTGATCATTCACAGTATGATCTTCAGGATAATTCACAAGTTCTAAGCAAATGATAACTCTTGCCCATACTATTCCATATTATAGTCAATCAACCATTCTACGTCCAATTTACTTATCGACGGCAATCATTATGCGTCCAATAAATCTTTTATGCCCAATCAAACTTAACGCATAAACTAGACAAGCGTTCAAAAAATCGGCACATGCAAATCTCTCGATCAATAAATTTAGGAATTTCAAAACGATTAACTTAATTGCTGCACTGAATCGTCCACACTTAAAAATAATGATAGGGACAATTGAGTATCTCAATTCTGAATTGGTCTATTCAGATTAACAACTTTTAAGCCATAACTTTTTGTTCATCAATTTACAGAAAATTTTAAGTATGCTTCGGAAGTTCTCGAAATGCTGCATTTTTTCGTAATTGAACCGATCTGATCTGAGCATTCTACAAAAAGTTTCTAAGTGCTAAACGATGTCATATGCATAAAAAATCAGTTTTCCGGCTCTAATTTTTTGTAGAATCTTCAAATAAGATTGGTCCAATTATGAAAAATATGCTGCATCTCATAACCTTTCAAATGACATGAGAATTATTTGGATAGGACGAAAATCACAAAAGTTATAGCCCTATTCTGAAATTGCTATACTGAATTGTCCCCTACCCTAAAAATAATCGAAATTACAAAATGGTAAATTTCAAAAAGGTCTATTTAATCAAAATTTTCAAAATTTGTCAGATTTATTCATTGTTAAATCTTTCTTTTTTTTTATTTTAAAGATCTTATATTTTATTTTTTCGTTAAAAATGGCAGAGGAACAAGAAAATGAAAGAAAAATACACGAACTAGGTTATTTTAGGTCTCAGTTAATTTTAAGTTAGTAAATTTTAGAAGAGCTTCTACGGGAAAGAGATCGTCAGCTTCGCGAAACAGATCGTCAGCTTCGCGAAACAGATCGTCAGCTTTGCGAAACAGATCGTCAGCTTCGCGAAAGAGATCGTCAGCTTCACGAAAGAGATCTTCAATATTACTCACTCATGGATGCAAGTTCCACAACTCTGATGGATTTGCAGCAACGGACTCTTGAACGGGACTCACTCATTTGTGAACTGAAAAAGAAGGATGAACAAAATGCATATTTTATGCAACAACTTGGTGCTAAGAGCAAAGACTACAAGTGAGGAGCAAAACTTGAATTTAAAACTCCATCCAGACAAAACTTCCGCAGTCAAAACTGCGTCTTACAAAAATCTACGACCAAAACTTCGGCTAACCAAAGTTTCATCCAGAAATAAAGACATGCCTCTTCAATGGTTGTAATCTTTGGCGCGAGTAATGATGTTTGTTACTTGAAGAAGAGCGGATATTTCGCTCGGTAATGCGAAAAAATACAAACAGCATTTCTCGCGCTAAATAAACCCCACCCTGGTGAAAAATGCATATTTTCATTTTTGGACGAAGTTTTGCTCGTAGACTTGGCTGGACGAAGTTTTGTAAAACGAAGTTTTGTCGGTTGAAGTTTTGTCTGATCGAGGTTTTGCCCTGACACTACTACGACCTTTGTATTTTTCTGTTTTCAAAATATTTTTTTATTTTCAGTTGTGGTGGTTATTCAGCTGGTTCATCTAGCCACGCACCTCAAACAACCCAGTTTCAGCCAATTCTTCAAAATTTTGGGAATATTGCTACGACTCGTCCACAACAATACGGGTTTTTTCTTAAAATAATTTATGTTAAAATTGTATTGTTCAGATATCAAACACCCACCGATGTAATGTGGAGTCCTTATGAGTGGACTCCTGAATTTCCTTATGCTCGTGAAATTCCAATTTTTCGTTTTGTTGGTCCTCAGCCTACAGTTCAAGTTTGTTTACTTTCTGAGTTTTTAATTGTTATTCTTTAACAAGTGTTTCTAAAAATTCCACTCCCTTCCCTCGGTAAGAGTGCTCAGCAACACAAAAAATGTGTTTGTCTTATGTAATAAAATGCGCCGATTGCGAGTGCGAATTTTCAATATAAGTGCTCAAAATGGCCAGTGACATTTTTTGGAGAAAAATTTGATTTTCTTACGTGGGTTCGAACCCAGAACCCGAATTTTTATGCTTTATCTTCTAGTCGAGCTAACAAGAGAACATCGTCTACTCTAACCTCGAATTCGGTATACCACTCGATAGACGGCCCCCAAATTTCTATTGCAGAGTGATATTCGTTTTCTCGCAAAATGATTCTGTGCCGGCCGGCTTATGGCTAGGGTTGTTCCCCGAGGCCATGGGGAAAATTTTTGGGGAGGCAGCGCCACGGGGGGGGGGGGGGGGTGGGAGGGAAGCTTAGCTAGACATTTTACTAAAATTATTAGATATTTGCTATTCATATTTTTTCAGCAGGTACCATATTCTCATCATACAATTACAACAACTACACATGCTTTGACAACAATGCCTTTGTATTTTCATTATTTTTTTTAAAATTATTTTTTTATTTATTTTTAGTTATTCTCTTGCTGCAACATCTACCTCTTCACAAGTGACCAGGTTTTCTTAAAATAATTTTGATTAAAGTTATTTATGTATTTTTCAGTTCTCAAAATGTGATGGGGCCTTCAAATTATCCTCAACAATTTAATTATGGAATGCCTGTTCCTGTTTGTATTCAAGTTCGTTTGCTTTTTTATTTTTCCTGGTCGACTGTACTTTTCTCTTCGGTTATGGGAGTTAATATCTGCAACTTTTATTTGCAATAAGGTCAATTAAGGCTGTAGATTTTTTATTCTTCTCTAGAACCTTCAGCGCTAATCATTTAAGATGAGTGGATAGTTTTTAAAAAAATAATGGTATAACAAACATTATTTTTCTACTAATTCTCATTAAATATAAAGAAATTCAGCTAAAGGTTTAAAATGAGCTCTCAAGGTAGGAACACCTTCCTTGACTTAAGTTGGTTTAAAGTTGCGGATATTTGCCCCAGAGACTAAAAAGAACAGAAACAAAACTGATTTCAATCGTGTTATTAATAAAATCAGAACTTTTACCCGCGATAAAGTCGCCTCTTACGGATTTCCTACTCGTAATCGAAATTTGCCTTGTCCTGTTTCTAAGTTAATAAGCTTTAGTTTCCTATAGTATCAGTGAGCCAGCATTACTCTTTACATATTTTTACTTTGTTTTATTTACCGCCTATTTTACAATTCTATTTTTTTATTTAGGAAAATCTAAACGTGGGACCTTGTAGTCAAACAACATATAATCCGTTAACGAACAAACCCTCTCAACAACGAACATATGCAACTGAAGAACAGAAGAAAATTCTTTTGGCGGTAGGAAGAAAAATTTAAAAATTATTTGAAATTTTTTTGAAATTCTTTTTTACTATGAATCCCTTATGAAGAATTAATTATTAGGGCCGCCAAAATTATGCCTGCAAATGTTCATTTTCTACCCGGTTCACTAGAGCGCCTCAGAAAATCATCGGGCCTGAGCCAAAATTTGAAAAGTCGGAGCCGGTGCCAGGGATATTCGATCCGAATTTGGATATCTGTGATTTCCCCATATCCGCCAACACTTGCCCCTGGTTTTTTTTAAGAATCCTGGGCTTCCAACCATTGATACCAACTGAGACATTCTCATTCTATTTTTATGAACAAACAAAAAACCAAAATCTAAACATCACTTCCCTAATAGATTCTAACGTTTCAGATTTTTTCTTTTTTAAGCTAAATTAAATTTTACTTAAAATTTTTCAGCACTTTGATTCTGACCCTCAGCCAAGCAATAAACGTATTGCCCAATATGCAGAAGAAACAAAATTGCCATTTGTAGTGAGTAGATTTTTATTAAATTAATTTTTAAAACTAATTTTTTAGTTTATCGCTGACTGGTTTGATCGTGAACGTGAGAAAAGAAAGAAAAATGAAAAGAAAATGAAGAAAGTTCATTAAATTATTCGAGTGGTAAAAATGGGTTAAATATAAAAATGATAAAAAAATTTTTGTAATTTTTTAAATTTAATTTTGTTGCCTTTTTAATTTAATTTAAGCAAAAATAAATTTTGAATTATTTTTTGAGAATTTTGACTTTTTTAAAGATAAATTTAATTAGTGACTAAAAATATGATTTAATATTTGTTCTCATGTTCGAAAACATTTCTTATATAATCTATTAAAAATCCTTTAATTATCTGATTTTTCTCAAAAATGCCGAAGTATACTGGTCAATGCGAGCCGAAAATTGTTTTTTATTCCTTCGGTTTTACTTGAAATTTGATTTGAAAAATAGAATTGTTTGACCGGGGGCCGGAAAAATATGCTAATTTATCTGTAGAGCATTCCTTTAAGTTGGGGTTTTCTAACAATTAATAATTCATAATCCGTCTTTCATCTACGAAAAATATTGTCTATAATTGAAGATGGATTTTAAAACTATTGCAATAAATTTATCAGTAATTAATCATAGTAAATAATTTATCTTCTTCAAAAATTCCTAGTTTAATTTAACCAGCATTAAAAATCCCTGACTAAAAATTATAAAAAGAATTTTTTCCCAAAAATGCCGAAGTATGTATACAGGGTGCGGCATAAGTAATTGCACACTTGTTTTCTCGAGTGCCGGAAAATAGGGCTCTGGAAAATTGGGCTCCAAGATTTTTCGGAAAATTGGGCTCCAGCGGAAATTTGGGCTCTACGTGAAAAAAACGGAAAATTGGGCTCCAATTTTTTAGGCGCGGGGAATTGTGGGCGTCGGAGTGAATTTTTGGATGTCTCAGAAAAATGACACAAAATCAAACAACGTAAACCTATGGTTAAACCTATCCCGCGCGAAGCGCGGGATTTTGCGGCACGCGCCTTGCGGGAGTCAACGGTCGCTGGGTTCTACAACAGTAACATAAACCTATTCCTTTTTACTGATTTTCAGCTTTGAAATGCCGACCTACCCACTAAGTAACAGTACAAAAATAGTTATTCCAGATATTTTTCGAATAAATCTAAAAATTCACTCCGACGCCCACAATTCCCCGCGCCTAAAAAATTGAAGCCCAATTTTCCGTTTTTTCACGTAGAGCCCAAATTTCCGCTGGAGCCCAATTTTCCGAAAAGTTGGAGCCCAATTTTCCGAAAAATCTTGGAGCCCAATTTTCCAGAGCCCAATTTTCCGGACACCGTTTTCTCTCATAACTTTATTAAAACACAATAAAATAAAATCGAAATACAATCAAATGATAGAGAATTAAATAGGGAACAATAATAATCAGGCAGTTTCGAAATGCCCACCCTTGGCTTTGATACAGAGGCGAAGGCGTGAAGAAAAAATTTCGCAAATAGCACGCACCTCCTTGTGTGTAATTAAGTCTCACTCTCGGGTGAGTGAGTGGCGCAGAGACTCCAAACTTTTATGAGGCATAGCACAGGTCCTGGACTCCAAAATAGACCAAAAAGAATAATCCATCGGATTCAAATCGGGGGAGTAGGGCGGCCATTCCTGAGCGCTAATGAACCCAGGAAAATTGGCCTTGCACCAGTCCTGAACTTCTTTCGCCTTGTGTGCCGGAGCAGAGTCCTGTTGGAAAATCCAGACTCTGCGACCGAAATGGCTCTTGGACCGAGGCTTCAGAACACGCTGAAAAAATTCTCGCAAGTAATAGTCTTTGTTGACTTTTACACCAAAATCCACGAAAATAAGGGGTTTTTTGACTGACGCGCAAATACCGGCCTAAACCATGACAGATTGGGGATGTTGGAAATGAGTGATAAGCCCATCGGAAAGAGGAGATTCTGTAGTCCAGATTCTATAATTTTGATGGTTGTGTACGATTTTTATTGTAAAAATTTTTTCGTCTGAGAAGGGAATGTCCGGACATGCGTGCCACTGAAGGAGCAGTTTGCATCCTGCAAGCCTAACTTTTTTTGTTTTTTCTGTTAGCAGTTGTGCTTTTTGGATTTTGTAGGGTATTAACTCTAGTTTATTTTTAGCTATTCGTCTGACGGTTCTCTCACTTATTATGGTTTCACGAGCGACTTTTCTCATGGAGAGTCGAAAATTGCGATACACCCAAATTTTGATCATTTTAATATTCTTGGAAGTGCTGACGGAATGCGGTCTTCCACTTTTTTGTAAGTTCTTAGTTGTGCCATCATTACTAAATTAATTTCAAAAAAATTTTCTCCCAAAAAATTTTCACCAGAATTTTTTGAAAGTGTATTGTACAGTGCTCTTAGGGACATTCAAAAGAGGTGAAATTTTGCGGACTGAATTTTTTTTCAAAAAAAGTGAAATTATAGAATCACGTTGATTAGCCATAATAGAGAATTGAATGAGCTAAAAAATAAGCCTAAAATCAATTAAAAATATTGACACCAAAAAAAGTTATAAGGAATTTAAAAGTGTGCAATTACTTATGCCGCACCCTGTATTTATTAGTCAATGGCCGTTTGAGCCGTAAATTGCTTTTTTTCCTTTTTTGATTTTAACTACTAAATCTATATATTTTTGGATTTTTTTTATGCCATGAATTTATTTCGTTCTTTTTCCTTTCCATTTGGCAAAGAGCGACATTTGATCCCTTCCATATCCTTTCTACAAATTCGAGAAAGAAAATTTTTTAAAATCCAACTTGGTCACAAGGATTGACACCGCTACTAGCACCTGCTGCTTTATGAGAAGGCAACGAGAATTTTGAGGAGATTAAATGTAGTAAATGGATATTTTTCCCTTTACTCGTTCTTCTCATTTGCATATTTTTTTGTTTTTAGTTAAAAAGCTTTTCCTTATATGTATTTTTAATAGAATGAACACAAATATTTATTTAAGATTGCAAGTTTTTAATTAAATATAATCTTTATTAAATACAATTTTTCGGCCCCAATGAGGTACCCAAAAATGAGGTTCAACTACTATAAATTAACTTTTTCTTCTTTCCAAAAACAATTTTATTTTTTTAAATAAGGTTAAAAATTATTCCGGAAAATCTGACCGAAAATTTAGAGACGACTCTTTTTAGGTTATCCAGCTAGAAATTAGAGGCGAACGAATTTTAGAGCGAACGTCGTTAATTGTGGATATGAAAAATTGTCTAAAATTGATTTATACAAGTTAAATTTTGTTCAAATATTTTTATTAAGGATTGAAATATTTTACAAAAAAATTCTATAATTTCAAACAATTTTTTAAAAATTGTTCGAGTAGAGTGCAAAAAAATTTAATGATTTTAGCTCTTTTTGGAAATAATATTGAGTTTTTCTCAAACGTAAAAAATTTTTTTTCCTATCTTTTGCTGTCTTGAGAATTTTTTCCTGTCTATTGATATTTGGTAAAATGAAATTTTTTTCGAGTTTTTAAAGATTTCGAATATTAAAAATTAAAAAAATTCTTTTATTTTTGTTTTTCCTGTTTAATTGATTTATTTATTTATTCCTTTATGTCGATAAAATACATGACTTACATAAGTTAAGTTTATTAAGCTTTTCCTTCCATTTGGATTTAGAAAAGGGTTGACTAAAGTAAATTACTGTATTGGTCAGTTAAAGCCGCCAATAAATGTAAAAGTGAAGGAAAGTGGGAAGGAATTGTGAGAAGAGAATAAAGAAATGAATTGCTCGCTTTTAGTTGTTTTAGGGTCGAGTAGCGGAAACGCGTAATTTTGGTACAAACAAAAAAATTAATTTTTTTGTTTTATTTTAATTTATTATTTTTAATTAATTCCTCCCCCTCTCTCAAAGTTTAATTTTTTTTACTTAATATGTTATTATGTTTTGTGTTTTATTTATGTATAGTAGTTTAACCAACACCCAGGATATAGAAGTGATGAGATTGATGATAATTTTTGGGCTGGGGGGTCTGATCAACTCCCTTAATTGTTTTTTTGTGTTGTTTTGGTGATTAGCGAGTAGTGTTGGCATAAAATTTAATTTTTAAAATGTTTCTTAAAAGAAAAATTATATTAAAAAAATATTTTGTTTATTGTAAAAATTTCTTTTAGATTTATCCAACTTTGTTTTGGAGATTTCAATAGAGCTAACATATGTATTAAGATTGTCGGATAGTTGGAAATCTTCGCATATCCGGATCCGGTATTCGAACCAAAAATTTTTGGACATTCGATCTTTCGGATCCGGATCTGACAACCTTACTAAGGATTTGGAATAAATATCTGCTTGACAAAATATGCATTACCGAATATCCGGACCTGATCTAACAATATATCAAAACTATCGTGTCTATTAATTACCCTCCCTCAAATAATTACCCCGGCTTTATTAATTACCTCTCCAGCGAGAGGTTGAAATAATTACCCAAGGAATTAATAGAGTATTCCCCTTTTTACCCCTCAAAAATACTTTACCCCTCATTTACCCTCATTCTGGATATTTTTATATTTAATTTTTAAAACTTTGAAACAAAATAAATAATACTAATAGTTTTCCATGTCAAAACAATGTTTTTGTTATTTTATTTATTTATTAACTTGCCAGTCGTCCCCTTAGGGCAATTAAAGTTTTTATTTTTGTTTTTACTTTTCACCCCCCCCCCCCCCACAACTTCTCCTTTTTTCCTCTTCTCTTTTTAAAGCCTAGCTTGTTCACATTTCCCTTTTTATTAAAACATGTGTTTGTCGGTGTCCAATTAAAATTTGCTGCATAAACGGATTTTTATTATTAAAGCTAGAAAAAAAGAAAAAAATAAATTTATTTATTTATTTAAAATAATAATTCTTTTTTTTTCTCTAGAGAATCGAAAAAATATTTTTTTAACTAAATAGGTGGAAAAATTTGATGAGTTTAAATAATTTGTTGAGATTACTGTTAAGAGGTATTTTACTCTCTCATTAATTTTATTTTTCATTTTAATTTTTGGATTTATTTCCTTTTTTAATTAAAAAATATTTTAAAAATTTGACGAGAAGAAATGTTTAATTTTTTTAAAAATTTTGAAAATAAAAATTTGTTAACAAAATAATTTCAGTTCTCTTTGGTTGAAAAAATGCTTGGTTAAAGCATTTTGTTAATTAAAGCATTTATTAAAGCATTTTGGATATAAAAAACTAGAGATCAGACAAGACAAGAAAGATCTCGAATCCTACGATACTCCCAGTCCGATCCCTAATAAAAACCTTTTGATATTTTTTTAGCTTTCTTCGGTTATTTAGGAGCTACTTCAAAATTACTTTTATTTACCGGATCGACTTCTATCCTTGTTTTTAATAAACTAAAGGCCGGACTGGGAGGGTCGTACGAGAATCCAGATTTTTGGCTCGAAAATATCAAGTTCGTTAACCGAACTTTTTGTTCTTGGCACTATAACTAGTTCAAACTTTGACTATAAATTTAAATTATTTTCCCTCACTTTATTATAATAATGATAAGCCTCCATTCAATTAAAAACATTTTTAATAAATGTTAGGTAATTTAAATTGTTTAGGTTATTTTGGAAGGATTAAAATGAGTAAAATAAAAAATGGGGGGGGGGGGATTTGAAAAAGGGACGAAGGGGGGATTATTGACACACAACACTAGGAAAGGATTTAAAGGGTTAAATTGTTGATGATGATCATCCCTTCCTCTCTTCAACAAAAAAAATATAAATAATTGGGGTCGATTGTAAAATTCATAAAAACGCCTTTTTCTTGCGCATTTATGAGGCAACCAGAAAAATTATAAAAATAAAAATAAATTTATTTAAATAAATATTTTGGCATGTTTTTGTGTCTATTCCGGTCAATACTGTATTTAAAATATCGGCCAAAAATTTAGACTAGATCTATTAATATGGATATGACCAAAAATATCTGGATAACCAAGAGCATTGTTTTAGATTTACATCTCGAACGATCGCAAACATTTATGTCAGTCAATATTGTCATGTATTTTCGAATGTGGTAAGACTGAGAAGAAGTTAAGGGACGATTTATAATTCGAATTGTAATTTTAAAAGATTTTTAAATTTACCTAATAAACTCTTTCTACTAATTTCGCCTAATAGTCTTGATTATTTTTGATAGGGTTATTTTAAATTAATCCAACAAAAATCTCTTTATTTAAATTTTGTTTTTGGTATGCTTTTCTTCCCACCTATGACCGATTTTCCTTCAACAGAGCACCAAACTACTGTAGATAATAATTTACCCTTAACATGGCTAAATGATGCAAATACTTCGAGTATTTTGTCTAGGCCTATTGTGCAAGAACAACAAAGAGTAAGTCTCAAAGATTGTTTAATATTTCCAAAATGTTAAAAAAATTTGGTGATGCAATAGGTAGAAAGGTTAATTAAATGATAGAAAAATATTTAAGAAATATCAGCGACGATATTGAGGTAAATTTTAGGTTAAGGGTACCGGGTGTCGCACACTAGTTAGGGAATAATAACAATTCAACTGCAAGCCAATTCCTTCTTGTGAGGACCAGTAGGGAAAAATGGGTAAACTGGAAAAAATTGAGAAGGAGATGATCACATGGGGAGGATTATTAATACAATCTAAGTATAAAATCAAATATTTTATACAAATTAAAAATCTTTAAAATGGGTATCATTAAAATTGAGTTTATCAAATTTTAACAAATTTTAAGATAAACTCAACAACCTCATTTCATCAATTACTTTTAATGGGCCAAATTAATCAACAACAAATCTCCCAATCCTCACTACTTTCTTTACCTCCGCCAATTGGATTAAATGTATTTCCGGGGCTGTTGACTAATGGGGGTGAATTGACGAATAAACGTGAAGAGGAAGAAAGGAATAAAATCTTCCAACAGAATGGGGTAGGGAATTTTTTGGAGGATTTTTTTTTATAAAGGTGTGGGGTGAGGGAGGAAAGATGATTTCCTGAAAAAATGATAAGGAAAGGAAGACATTATGTTTAAAAATTAAAATAATTTTTAAGAGGCATGAAAAATAAAATTTAAAGGAGAATCTATCTATTGTTCCTCTTCTTGGCCGACTAAAAAGCCTTGACAACGAACACGAATTTAAATCACAACCTGAAACTTTACCAAATAATTTTCAAATGTCAATGGCTCCAACAGGCGAGTAAAATAAAATATTTTAAATTGAAATACTAGAAGGATTTGAAAATACATTTTTGAAAGTTGGGAATTAGGAGAAAGAGAATCAAGAAGCAAACGACATCTCCAGTCCAACCCATTGTCTTCCCTAAAAGCATGTCCTTTATAATCGCTGCCATGGTTGTTCTAAGCTATCCGTTAACTTAAATCCTGACATTTTAAATGATAGCTGATAATCAGACTCGATATTTTTTTATCGACCGACACAACCCTAATCGCTACTAGAAAATTATTGAGACGCCTTTTATTTCCTAAAATTTTTCAAAATTTTTTTCTTGAAGGTCCCTGTGCTCTTTGCCATTTACCTATTGTAGAGAAGCACTTTCTGGTTGTAGACTCCCAATGTTGGCACACAGAATGTGTCAGATGTGCTGTATGTTCAAGAAATTTGGAGGATTTTAAAGACGAAGAGGGGCAGAGTAATTGTGGAATTTGTTTTGCTAGAGATGGATTTTTGTTTTGCCGAAGAGATTACCTCATGTGTTTTTAATTAATTTAAAGAAAAAATTTTAAAGAAGTTTTTTTAATTTAGAAAATATGGAAAGAAATGTGAAAGGTGTAATTCTCCAATTGAAAGAGGAAATTTAGTTATGAGGGTGCCGGTAAATGGAAAGGAAACACTTTTTCATATTCAATGTGGGTCTACAAAAATTTTATCTAGTTAGGAAAGGATACTTTTCCAAATATTCAAGTAATTAAATTCTTCCTCAATTCCTATCTTCTCATATGACCAAAATATTTTTACCAACTTATTCTCTTCTAAATTTTCGGATACATGTAAAAATACATTTTTGATTTTATTAAAGTAGTGGAGATTCACGTTCGACTAAGTATCAGTTTGGATTCGCTAATTTTTGGGTCGGGGTTTTGCTTAAAACCCTTTAAATCTAAATATGTACATGGTCCCCTAAATTTATCTTTGCTATTTTGAGTGACTTTTGATGTCACATCTGTGGATAAGTTTGTTGGAATTGTTGTTATAATAAAAATAATAAAGAAATGGATCTCAAGAGAGATTAGAGCTGCAAAATAAATTTAATAATATTCATTAAATTTATTTTTTTCCTTCCCGGAAAGCCAGAAAAAATAAAATTACCTTCCTTTATCTGGACTGAGAATTCAATTTAAAAAAGACAAACAAAAAACACATTTGTTTTAATCATTAAAATAAAGGTTTTGTCTGTGTTTGTTGTGGTCGTCCATTACAACCAGGAGAACAATATATGGTTGGGCCCTTTGATGAACCTGGTGGAAGTCTTTTTTGTTCTGGTTTTTAAAACTTTTTTTCGATTTTAAATAAATTTTAATTAATTAAAGAACATTTCCATCTAAATCCAGCAATTCATAGACCGTCAGCATTTCTTCCAGATTTTCAACCTTTAAATTGCAGGACTGAAGTAAATAAATATTTTAAATAATTCGCAGGGAGGGCTCAAGATTGAAATGTCTTTGAACAAAACTAAGATGGATTATCCGTTAACCAATCTAAAGTAAATTTTGAAAACCAGACCCGAAACCCGTTCTGACATTTTCCCAACCCAGCCCATCTCTGTTATCAATATATTCATTCCTCAAAGGATTGTCTAAGTTTAATTGACTAATAAAAATCACACAACCAAAGTCGAAGGTTAACACGTAGTTTTTGGAGAATATTCTTTAAATCTAATATTTTCTTTTTATTTTGGAAAGCCAGGAAAAGACAAAATTACTCTCCTTTATAGATTTTGGATTGAGAATTTAAATATGTTAATTAAAAATAATTTAAATTTCAATTAATTCCAGCCCACCTTTTTAACCGAAAATAATTTATGTTCAACAAATTTATTAAATCAACAACCAACTTCAGAACATTCCCCCAATTCCACCCAAAAATTAATTTCCCACCGACCACCTCTTTCGATGGCAACAAATACATCTAGTAATGAATTTATTGTTGATTATGATAATAATTATGATGCTACAACAAATACTTTTACTTCTTCCGGTAAGGAATTTACGAGGAGTTTTCTGATTTTTTATTATTTCTTTTGTGTTGTGTTAGAGAAAAACGAAATAGTGTGTATAAAGAAGAGAAAAAGAAATAATACTGTAGCATTATTTGTTTAAATGGCAGAAGAGAAGAATGTAAATGTTGTTGTTTTCGCCTATTTTCTAAGCCAATAAAGACAAGAATAAAATCCACCCCTTATCCCTATAATTATCCCCAAAAAGGAAAAGATTTAATTTATCAAAAAATATATTTTTAGTTGCTGGAAGTACAACTCCAAACAGTCGTGGAGGGGCGCAGTCAGAAGATATTAATTTTGGTAATTCCAATTTATCTGACAGCGGTGACCCTTTATCTTCTTCAAATAATTCTGCCCAAAAATTGAAAAGGATGAGAACGAGTTTTAAACACACACAAGTAAATTTTGAAAAAATTTTCTAGTCAAAGAAAGCCTACATAAAATTTGAGACTTTTTGATTGTCCTTAAAATTTCTCCAACATAAAACCTTTAAAGATTTATTTTATTTCTATAAGATTTGAGACTTTTTAATTTTCCTGAATATAAAAACTGTAAAGGTTAACGAAAAATATTTAAATATTTGAGGAAAAAGAAAGAAGAAATTTCTTTTTATTTTTACTTAATATGTAAAAATATATTTAATATTTTATTAAAGTGTTAACGATTTACAACCCTCTAATTATTTTATTATGTTAGTTTAATTTTTGGATCGGGGTTTCGTTTAAGACCCTTCAAATATTTCCCCAAATTTTTCCTTTAAAATTTCAAAAAATAGCCTAGTCATACTAGACCTACATCACATAGCGGCATCGATGTTTAGCGACGTAAAAAATAAATTTCTGATGAGAGTATCCTTAGAGAGTGATAAAACTTACACCTTTGGATAAAATTTATAATTATGAATCATTAGAAAAATGAAGTTCAAAGAAAATATTTAAAGTTAGAAAAATATCTAAATGCCCTTTCTTGGGTAGAAGAGTTATAGTTAGAAGTGGATTTTAATAAAAAATAAAGTTTAAATATTTAAAAATATTTTTTCCCAAAATTTTTAGTTACGTACAATGAAGGCATATTTCTTTATAAATCACAATCCAGATTCAAAGGATTTGAAAATTTTATCTAACAAAACAGGACTGAGCAAACGTGTTCTACAGGCAAAATTATTTTTAATTTTTAAAAATTTTTTTTAATTTTATAGGTTTGGTTTCAGGTTGGATTTTGTTGCTTAAAAAAGGGGAAAGGAAAGTAAACCTCTGACCACAGAATAGTTCAAGTGTCGCATTCTAGAAACAATTTTTATTATGTATGGAAGTTCGGGATTTGTCGAGGGCAATGAGCACAAGAATACTAATACTTCAATGGAGTTTTAGGGTTATTTTAGAGGTTTAGTTTAGGCAACGCTCAAATCCTCTTGGCATATTGAACTGAATAGCAGAAAAACTCAGTTTTAAAATTTTATAGGAACAATGAGTCCACTTACGTTTGAATTAACCACTACTATCTCGGTTTTTAACTCATAGACTGTTTCTAGTTCAAAGAAAAATTTAAAGTCAGAGAGATCTCTAAAAATCAGGGAGAATCATATCTTTGAAAATCAGAAATTGAAAATATCAAAAAATATCAAAGAGCTTTTAATGTAAAAAAATAAAAATGTTAAATAAAAAAAGAATGCTCGAGCCAAATATCGTCGTAGCCAACAAAACCAATTGGGAACCTCTTCAATGGCAGCTTCCGTTCATTTATTAGAACATCAAAGATCAGACAATTCTACTCAACAATTTCTTGGTCTAACGCTAGGACAACAACAAAATAATTGTGGACTTTCTACTAGTTTAGACGAAACCTACAGGCCAAATAAAATAGAACAACAACAAATTGTAAGGAAAAAATTTTTTAGAAGAAGGGGGGGGGGGGATTTACAATTTGGAGTTATTATGGTAGCGTATTCTCCTCTAATTTTCCGAAAAATAAAATTTAAAAAATTCAATTTATTTTTCCTTTTCCAGCAAAACCAACTTTTATTAAATTCCAACTCAAGCCCAATCAATTCATCCAATGAATCAATTACAATCTCTTTAAATGCGTGTTCTATTGATGAACAAAATAGTAGTGATTTGCAATGATTTAAAGAAAATTTTGAAGAAAAAAATGAGAAAATTGTGAATTATTAGAAATTAATTAGTAGATATTTAATAAATATATCATAATTTAAAATTAAATATTAGTCTCCATTCCAGTCATTTTTAATAAAATTATTTTTAAAATTTAAATTTACAGTTTTTGAAAAATATAAAGGAGCAAAGACTGATAAATTATAAATCTCTTTTTGTTTCTAGGAAAAAATTTTTTTGTATGTCCTTCCTCAAATATCAAAAAAATCATAAAACAATCATTATGAGAAAGGGCACCGTTCTCGAGTTGGGCCAACATTCAGTGGATTTTTCATGGCAAATATTTTTTTCGGGCTTAGTCAAGTCATGTTGACAACTCTATTTATAAAAATAAAGCGATAATGAATGATCGCCTTCAGTTAACTGATGACGCTTTCAGTTAACAAAATAGTTTTTAACGGGAAGTTAATCTCCAATTCCCCTATAAGAAAATTTCCTGATAAATGTTTAAAATGGAGAGGGGCTGGGAGTTAAAAGAGAATCGACATATTTTCTAAGGTTTAAGTAGACAACAAGATAAATTTATTTGAGACTTTATCATACATTATTTAAACAATTACAGTACATCATAAGAAATATCTACAACAACCCCACATATATACCTAATTACAAACAATACAAAACAATATACATATATTTACATACAACAATAATAATCATATTTCAAACATCCTTTATTCTAACCATTCACATCTTCCTTTCAAATGCCAGGGATGACTCTTCCTTGCTCAATTGTGGTAGCACGGTGCACGATTGTGGGATCTTTCTAAAAGAAAAAGATTTCATTAAACAAATTAATTTAATCTAAGGCTAATTTCCCACCTTCCAACTGAACGGCTCGGCCAACTGTTCCTGACTCAGATTTGCAAGGGCAGCCTTCAGAAGAGTCGAAATTTGGAAGTAGTCGACTTTTGTCTTGGAGGAGTCGATGGACTTTAAGATCTCGTCAAACGTGTCGGGCATATTAGACAGCAGCAGATCACGTCCCAATTTGCGGCAGTGGATCTTGCAGTCGAGAGTAGAGCTGTGAGGAAGTTTGTCCCAAGGCAAAGCACCTGTAAAAATGAAAAATAAATTGGGTTATAAATTTGATAAATTTCAAAAAATTTACCATTAAAGAATTCATGGCACATATAGAACCAAGATTCGATATCATCCTTCGGCTGGTACTCCACACGGCTGTAATTCGAAATCGGCCTGTAGGCATCAGTGCCCAATATTGGACACGCTCCGGTTGGACGTGACTTTTCCCGACGCTGCCGAGCCAATCCAAAATCGATAATGAAGACTTGGTCATCCATCTCCGATTGAGGCAGTCCAACGACGAAATTACTCGGTTTAATGTCCCGGTGCATCCAATTTCGATCATGGAGTGACCATATGCGCGCAAAAGTTTCCAGGCAAAGTTTGAGTGCATCAGCTTGAGTCAGGATCTGATTGGGTAGCGAGAGTCTAATTCGGTTTAAGTCGGTGCCTAGACGCTGGATCACAAGAACACGGCTGCCGTCGGACGTCCGGAAACGGTCGTAGAGTTCCGCGAAGCCACAAACGCCTTTGCAGTCAAGATAAACACGAGCCTCAATGCCCAAAGTTCTCCTGTTAATAATTGAAAGGAATTTAGATTTTATGAAACTTTAGCCCTAAAAACTCACTTCTTTTCGTTGTTAGCTTCAACCTTCGCCATACACTCATGTGCCGGATTCTCTTTGTGGCGCACAAAGTAGACTCTGGAGAAAGGTCCAAAATGAACGAGGCGAAGCGGATCATATCCAACACGCATGATGGCAAACAAGTCATTGTCACGCACGGAGGGATCTGCTCCTTCTGGCACTGCAAGCTTGTCGTTGCTCACGCTTCCCTTGTCTTCTTTACCACATGCTTGCTCCTGAGGCTGCTGCTTCTCGAAGTTTGCATCCGGCGCGCTTGGAACCTGTAATTAGCTATTTATGTATTATATGAGATGGACTCGTTAAAGAAAAACTAGCCTGTTTGGGCTGATAGAGCGTCTCGTTCTCTGCCGTCGGCTGCGCCCTTGTAGACAAGTCAACGTAGGCGGACTGATCGAAATTCGGCTGCTGTATCACGTCGGCTGAGTTGATAGGCTCGGCTTGACCGCCGTCGACACAGCAAGGGCCAGCAGGTTCGGGCGCAGTAGTCTGCTGTTGATTCTGTGATGCTGGATTCCACGCGGCCGCAGGCGCGCCTAAGTTGATGTAGTCGGAGTCCATTGAACAAGAAAAAACTGGCAGATTGGGTGTATTGTCGATGATGGTTGTCCGATGATAACCCGGTTGCTTTTATACACTAAATAGAAGCGTAACTGATAAAACAGGGAATTTTTAGTATAAAAATTGAACAAATAGACGAACTGTGCGCACAACTCTCACAACTCATCATGGCGCCGAATCGGAAGGAGGACTCTCGTGGACGTCGACGCAGCAGGAGCAGGGACAGGCGTGTATCCATCGACAACAGGCGTTGTTCTGTCGGCAACATAAGGATGGCCACCGCCGGCAACCATCGTCGAACAGCTCAAGGACGCAGTGCATCCAGGGGGAGGACGGCAGGCGGTCAGCAATCAATTGTACGGGGAGTCAGGACGCAACGTCGAGTTGCAGCATCGAGAGCCGCAGTTGAGCCTTTGGCAGACGAAGAACGACAACGGTCATCAACAAATTCGCTCATACAAGAACAGAATGCTGCTCAGCGCTGGTTTAAAGGTAATTTTCTTGAATTTTGCAAGATTTTTTAAAAAACTGATTTGTATTTTTATATTTTAGTCATCAATCAGGACGAAGTCAGGATTGTTCGTCAACAGTACGTCCTAGATCTCCAGCAGTACAGGCGACCTGGCGGAACGTACCAGGCTTTCAATCGGATCGAGAGCGAGTCTCTGGGCCTAAACCGCTATGAGGACGTCCAACTTCTGGACCATTCGCGGGTCATCTTGAAAAGTTCCGGCGGGATAGACTACATTCATGCATCGCATGTAAAAGGTGGACCTTTTCCAATGATTTGCGCCCAGGGACCCGTGGACAGGACGATCGGCCACTTCTGGACAATGGTTGCAGAAAACAATTGCGCGGTAGGACTTAAATTTTTAGCTGAATGTCAACTTTTAAAATAAATTTTTCACTCAATTTCAGGTCATCGTTCAACTTTGCCAGTACGTCGAGGATGGGCGGAGGAAATGTGCCGACTACTTTCCGCAGGGGAAATCGACCAACTATGGCAACGTCACAGTGGAACGAATGAGCCAGACGAAGGAGTCGCCTTCTAACCCGCATGTGAAAAGGACATTGTTCAACGTCGCACTGAGAGGAGAAAAGCCCATGGATGTAAGCAAAGAGTGAGTGAGTTAACCCAAATTCTTAAAATTATAGGTAGCGCATTTCCGGTTCGATGGATGGCCCGATCATGACGTCCCTGACAATCCAGTTTCGTTTCGCCAATTCCGACTTGCGATTCTGCGACAGGCGATCGAAAAGAAGTGCACCGTACTTATACACTGCAGCGCTGGAGTCGGCCGCACTGGCACTTATGCAGCCATAGAGATCGCCATCAGAAACCTGATCCAGAACGACCACCTGATCCAGATGTCGACCGTCTACCGAGCTGTGCGCAATCAACGGGAGCGGGCAATTCAAACTGACCTTCAAGTACTCTAAGTGTAACTGTTTCTAAAAGAAAATTTTTTTATTTTCAGTACTTGTTTCTCCACAGAGCAGTCATCGATGCAGCCGTCGTGGCAGGCAAGCTTGAACAAGCGACAGTGGAACCGTTTCTTGCCGAATATGAAAAGGTCGTCAAGCGAAAACGGAGGGAGGCTGCGGAGCAGTATGAAAAACACAAGGCTGAACAGCAACAAAGAAGAACTGATGGATAATTGTGTTGATTTCACTCACTTATTGTTCTTTTGCCTTGTATAATTGTGTTGATTTCACTCACTTATTGTTCTTCTGCCATGTATAATTGTGTTGATTTCACTTATTTTTTTGTTGTGAATAAATAAATATATGATAAATCTGTGTAAGCTGTATGAGTAAATTTATCAATAGGGCTTTAAGAGTTTCACCCCAAAAAACTTGAGTTGCGGACGAAATCCATTTTTGGTGTTGGAAAAAATTTGCGAAGTTTGTCTTTCATCATTCAAAGTTTCTATCAGCATTTCCATCCTTTAGGTCTTCTGAAAAGACCATAAAATTTGCTCAAAGTCCTTATCCTAAAAAAGTTGACGTGTTACATTTCCATTGAAAAATGTCCAGACCCTTCCAAAATACCCCAAAAATGTTAACTTACTGAATTCCTCACATTAATCTTAAATTCCTTTTTGGAAATCCTACGCCTGAGTTACTTTGTGTTGCCTTTTAGAAGTTAATCAAAAAGAGATCATCTAAAGTCTAATACAAAGCCTTTGTTTCTATCTTTATTTCTGTGAATGTAAATTTAAATTTATTTTGCCTGTTAATTATAACCGAGATGTACATACAAATAAAATATTTTTGTCAATAAAATCCATTTATTATACACCATTTAAAGTCATAATAAATATATAAAGGCACGATAAATTATGGCAATAATAAAAGGGAATGTGTGCAAAGAGATAAAGGGTCTGTCATAAAACTGATCAAAACGGGATTTTAAAAAATATGAAACTTCAAACTAAATTCCAAGTTTAGGGCATAAGTGATAGAAAAGTTGAGAAAGATACGTCAAAAAGGAAAGATGATTACAGAAATAACCGAGAATATCTCCTACATAAGCTAAGAGAGCTAGCCAGATTTCTAGTTAAAATAAAGTTAGACAGACCCTCAATCATTTATAAAAGAATCTCTTTTCCACTTTGAATATATATGATAGATAAATCGGTATCACGACTTTTGCGCCGAGAACATTTGCGCCGCGACTTATGCGCCGCGACTTTTGCGCCGGGCGACTTTTGCGCCGCGACTCTTGCGCCGCGACTTTTGCGCCAGGCGACTTATGCGCCGCGACATTTGCGCCGCCATTGTTTAAAAAATCCGGATCCGAAAAATGCCGGATATCCTAAATTTTCAGTTCGGATATCAGATCCGAAGATTTCCAACTATTCGACAACCCTACTAAAGTGAGGTCCGGCTGTAGTTATTGATATATTTTTAATGATAGTGGCGGCGCAAAAGTCGCCCGGCGCAAAAGTCGCGGCGCAAAAGTCCCCCGGCGCAAAAGTCGCTCGGCGCATAAGTCGCGGCGCAAAAGTCGCGGCGCATAAGTCGCGGCGCAAATGTTCTCGGCGCAAAAGTCACGGAACCGATAAATCATATATAAAATAAATATCTCCAATAAGGTTGTCGGATCCAGATCCGAAAAAAGGCCGGATATCCGGAAATTCTCGGTTCGGATCCGGATATCCGAAGATTTCCAACTATCCGACAACCTTAATCGCCAAACAATATTATGTAATAGAAAGAAACAAAATTTTCAAAAAAAGTCAGTGAGCAGAAAATAAATAGGCACTTATTTCAGGCATTGCAAAAAAAGGAAAAAACATTTTTAAATTTCTAAATAAATTTATATATATTATTTTTTAATTTAAAATAATTTTCATATGTCCATGTTTTGCATTTTTTTAACTTGGAATTTGTTGAATTTGGTATTTCTAAACATGCAATTCCTTCCTCGGTTGAACTTCGTAGTAGACTGCTGGACTACTATGAGAATTGTATGGATGCCGTTGATTTCCGGGTATCTGAAAATTTTATTTTTTGTGAATTGAAACGGAATTTTAAAAAATTATTGGTATTATCGCATTATACCCCCACATGTCCGCAAATGTTTCTCCTATCTTCTCTCCTTTCATAATAGATTTATGCGCATTTTTATAAAGTAACATTTTACTTGCCTTACCGTTAATAATTCTTGAACATTATTTGAGAGAAGAGAAAGAATTTCTGAGCAAACATTTGCGGACATGTGGTGGTATAATTAGATTTCGGAATTTTTGAAAAGCCTGGGCCAGTTCCTGGGCATGTAGTCCAAAAAAATCCAAGCGCATCAAAAACCCAGGAAGGTTAAAACCAGGAAGGTTATCGAGATGTGAAGAGAAAATATCGACAATACTAAATCATTAAACTAGCTATGATTTTAAGATAGCCATATTCCTATAAATTGCTTGAGACCAAAATTTCCGTGATATGGCCAAAAGACTTAAACATCAAAGAAAGGTGGGAATAAACAAAAGAAAAATTCCCTAACAAATCACAAAATTTAAAATAAAAATACCTGAATTGTTGGCGGTAAAATTCTATTCGTTTCATTCAATACAAGAGGAGGAGGCGGAGAAGAATTTATACTAAATGTGGCTGTTGTGGATGTTGTACTTGTATTTGGTAATTGGGGAGAAGAAATATTTGCACATGTTTTAAGTGAAGGTGGAGATTGTTGTTGATGTTGATTATGTGGAGGAGATCTTAGATTGTTGTCATCTAAAAAATATGAGAAATCATATAAGAGATTATATTTTATAGGAAAATTTTTTTTGAAAATGAGAGATGTGAGGGAAAAATATGAAAAAGTAAAATTAATATATATTTTTGTGGACGCAATTTTTAAACAAGAAAGATTTTTTAGGAAGTTCCCAAAAACAAATTTTTAAAAAATTGTAAGAAATTTTGTGTTAGGGGTCAAAATTTATTCAAAATTTGTGTTTGGTCTTTTTGTGTTAGGAGTCCAAAATTTTGTGTTGGGTCCTAAACTTTTTTAAATGTCCACAAAGTTTGGTCAAGTCTTGTATAAAATTATAAAAGTGGTCTAAATTAGAGAGAAAAGGAGAAAAATAACTCAAAAAAATTAAAAAAAAAAATTAATTAAATACAAACTTTGAACATTGCCTCCAACAATAATTCCATTTTCAACTTTCACAAAAGAATTATTATTGCTCTCCAATTTATTTCCATTTTGATCTCTAATATAACGAAATACACGCAACATAATATGAAAAAAGAACAACTTTAAAAAATTTTTTTTAATTAAAAATTCTTTAAAAATTTACCTCAATTAAAAATACAACAGCCAACAAAAAGAGAATAGCAGCCAAAATCATTTGCATATGTGTAATGGTAAAATTTGCCTCAATTGGAGTTCTTTGACTGGCAGTTCTAATACCTAAATATTAAAAAAAATTATTTTGAAAAAATTTTTTGTTGAGAAGAAAATTCCCAAAAAAATCTAAAACATTTAGAAAAAAATTTTCTATCCTTTACTTTCGCCAAAAATAAATGTTCTTGTATACCTTCTTCCCCAAGAGGAGAATGTTCAAAGAAAACTGCATTAATTTGCAAATCAATTCCTCCAAATATCCAAGCCATAATATAACACATAATAACTAGAGTAGCAGACAATACGGCAAACTTTGAAATTTTAGTTAATTAATAAATTTTAAAACTTAATTTTTATTGGAATGAATGACCAAAAAGGAGAAAGAATAATGCTAATAAAAAAGAATAGAGACATTCAAAAAAATTTTTTATTGAATAGAGACAGTCTAAAAATAGAATATTCGTTAATAATAAGGAAAGAGGTTATGGGTCCCACTAAAATCAAAGAAAAAAAATGGGAAAAAATTCATTATTAATTGGGTGTGGCAGTCGAGCTAATTTTAAGATATCTCTTTAGGAAAAAAAAGAAATTATGAGGTATCTTAAATTGAAGATAACACTTATTGTTAAACAGCTCTTCCATCTAAAAACGAACCGAATTTTAAAAATAAATGAATCCTAAATTGAGGACCTAATATTTGGGGGTTCTTAAAATGATGTAGATTGTATTTGCCCATATATCAACAATTTTTCCTTTAATTTAACAAAAAAAAACCTCAACTTACTTGCATAATTAAATGAGGCACAATTAAATGGCACGAATGTGTATACCAACCAATAGGTACCAAAATTGTTGCCACAATTGAGAAAAGAATAAAAAATAGACCAACAAGTCCAATTGAAGTTGATTCTTCCGATATTAAATCAAGAGAAGGAATTGATTCAATATTGTTGGTTGAAGACACCGGTGTGAAGAATAATTCAAAGAGATATGTAACTAACTGGAAAGATATATCTTTATTTTTAAATGAATTTGTTGGTAATTTGACTGTCTCGAAGGTCAAAGAATCTCAAATAAACCTGGATACGCCCCCCTGGATACGCCCTTGATAAAGACCCACACCGATAATTTAAGCCATCAAAATAAAATCTCCCGGCTTACTATATCCCATGAATAAAAGGGTTTGCGGATATACTTTAGCCGGTGGCCCACTCAGAAACGGGTCAAAATATATACCATTCGATTCGTCTCGGCGAGCTGAGTCGAATGGTAACATTCTTTTTTGCGGAAATTCCTACGAGCCGAGATATAGGTACTTAAAAATCGAAAAACCATAGGGGGGACCAAGCACTTTTTTGGAGTGAAAAATTCGAATATGCAAATAATAGCTCATTCGAAAGAGCTCGTCGAGCTGAGTCGATTGACACCAAAATCAACGAAATCCGACTTGATTGGACCGAGATATAGACTTCTGAAAACTGTTAATCCAAAAGGGTGATTTTTGGAATTAAAAATTTTTTAACCATATTATAACTCATTTGAAAGAGCTCGACAAGCTGAGTCGAATGACACCAAAATCACCGGGATTAAACAAGTTTAGACAAAGTTACAACACAAAAAACTAGCAACATAAACCTATGGGGCTTCGGCGAGGCGCTTGTGCAAAACTCCGCGCTTCGCGCGGAGTTTTGCGGCACGCGCCTCGCGGGGAGTCTACGGGCGCTGGGTCTGGGCTCGTAACATAACCCTATTCCTATCTCCCTTGCTCTGGACGTATTTGGGGCCTCCGTAGCAGCGAAAATCTCCACAGATGCCATAGGTAAGGAGCTAAAACAAATGGGCATAACTTTGTCAAATCAAGTCGGATTTTGTTGATTTTGGTGTCAATCGACTCAGCTCGACGAGCTCTTTCGAATGAGCTATTATTTGCATATTCGAATTTTTCACCCCAAAAAAGTGCTTGGTCCCCCCTATGGTTTTTCGATTTTTAAGTACCTATATCTCGGCTCGTAGGAATTTCCGCAAAAAAAGAATGGTACCATTCGACTCAGCTCGCCGAGACGAATCGAATGGTATATATTTTGACCCGTTTCTGAGTGGGCCACCGGCTAAAGTACAGCCGGGTTTGCCAACGAAATAAGGGAAAGGGAAATGCATGAGGGAGAGGCATCCCCACTCCTTACCCGTAATATAAAAGTCTACCAATATTCAAGTAAATTTAGAACTACCAAATTATATTTAAAAAAACATAAAAATCAACCTGATACCCGTAAAATACCAATTCAACAATAGTAATTCCAATAACAAAACATTCCAATTTAATAGAACCACAGCAACAATAAGCGTCTTTAATTTCCTTTTTTGAAGGCCTTTTTGTGTTAATTCCATTATTTTTTTGCAAACCATTTAAATTATTCAAGTTCATTTCCTTGAACATATTGTTAGGTGAAGGTGTTGTTAGAGTTGTGTCTTTCCCATTTTCTTGTTGACGGGTGGGAGTAGAGAGCATAATGGCACGCTTAAAAATTATGGGAATTAAAAAATTAGAGAATAATTTACAAAATTAAATAATAGAAAGGACATATTGGATTATAAAGACAATTACTAGCGGTCGGTAAAATCACATTTGCAGGATCCTGTAACAAGATTGGGTTCTAAAATTTCGTGCAGGACGGGATCTTGCAGGATTAATCCTGAAAATCCTGGCAATACTGAAAACTGAAAAAAGGCAGGATTTCGGACAGGCTGCTAAAAAATCCTGTGCAGGATCCTGTCCTGCTCCGATCTCTAACAATTACACGATTGAAAAAAAAATAAAAAAAAAACTTCAAAAATTTCAAAAACTTAAAAATCAGAAAATCCCAAGTGATTAGATATTTTCAAAATTTAATGTTTTGAAATTCGACATTTCGACATTTCTCTTTTTAATTCCGCGGAAAAATTTAATTTTAAATTTATTACTGTAAGAATTAATGAAGTTTTTACATAAAAAATTTTTAAATAAATTCTCGATAATATTTTCGGAAGAAATGATAAAAATCTTATATAAATTAGTGGAAAAACTCCATAAAAGTAAATTTCTCATAAAAATAAAACAATAAAAATATTATTTAATAAAAGACAACAGGAAATATAAAAATAATTACTAAAAACTACAGAAATTTGCAAATAAATAAAAATATTCAAAAGACGCGGGTGTCCATGAATGAAAGAAAATATAAAATCAGAAAATATGTTGATGTTGTTGTTGATACTTTTCTGCCAATAATCGGCTGATTCGCGCGAAAATAAAAGGAATAAAAAGAAGAAGAAGAAAATGTTAAAGAAGAAAGAAGAAGAGAAGATTGTTTATAAAGATAAGGATTGGGTAGAAGGGGGAGAGGGGATGGAGGGGATATATGACATTAAAATATATATAAAACGATTTTCTTTGTCAATCTTTAAATGACATTGAATTGTTTTGACGAGTCGAGAGATGTTCAAAGATATATATTTAATGATGATGTTGTTGTTGAAAAGGGGTACTCTCTAATAGAAAGGGAATTCTTAAGTAAAATTAAAACTTAATAGATATGTATTTTTTGATAATAATTTATAAATATGTAGGGGAGTTCTCCTATAAATAGGGGAGCTGCTCCTCTAATTAGGATTGGCGGAGTTGGATTCAAAAAAGTCCGGATCTACGGAAATTTTTGTTCAAACCGAATATCCGAAGATTTCACTAGCTCCGTTTAACCCTCCCTCTAATCTAGATCCTCCAGGCATCTTTAATAAAAAAGCATTTCTAGTAGGCCTAAAGCTTTATCCCTCTCTTAAATATTTATTTTTAATGAGAATCTAACAATTCAAAATCACTTATTTTTTAATTTAAAATTTAAAAAATGTTCACAAATGTGTGAGTGTCTCTATTTATTTTTAATTCTAAAATTTTATTAATCCCATATAAATATTTCGTTTATTTGTTGTTTCACTTTTCATAGCTGGTTTTTTTTTGATTATTCAGCAAATATTATAAAAATAAAAAATTTTTTATTTATGGGAATATATACAAATATATATTAAATTGCGCGTTTTTGTCAATCCCATTTGATCAATTAATTTTGATAAAAAATTATTTTAAGAATAATTTTATAAAATATTGGAACGAGAAAATAGATAGAGACGAATGTTATTACTCCAAAAAGACAGAAGGATTAAAAATAAATCTTGCCCTTATCTCTACGATTTTGGCAAAACTAACTATAAAAATAAAAAGCAATAATCTACCTTTTTTTGCCCCGAAAACTCAAATTTTTCGCATTTTTCAATGGCCAAGAAACAGAATTCCCAATTTCCTCTTTTTAGAGCCAATCAAATTTTAAAAAAATTCGAAAATCAAAAATCAAAACGTAAGGAATCAGGGAGTAATTGGATAAGGGTATTTTTTTAAAGAATTTTAGTAGATTTTAAAGAATTAAATTAATTATTTCAGTTAATTCTAAAAAAATATTTAAAAATTATTCATAAAATAAAAATAAATAAATTAATTAAATTGCTCTTATTGATAGAATCAAGTGCTGTATGATTAATAAATAAAAGAAAAAATGAATAATAAAGGGAATGAATTCGCAGGGTTAAAACAGCTGTGGAAATTTTGTATGGAAATTATTTGATAAAAAGTTTAGAAATTAAAATTAAAAATAAAAAAATAAACTTGTTCATTTTAAAAATTAATTAAAAATTCAAAAATAAACCTTGAAAATTTTTTTTTAATTTAAAGAAAGTATATTTTCACGTTTAAATTCTATGTTTCAGAATAGGACGTAAATCAACTTTATTCTCTTTCGTAAATAATTTATCAATGCAATGCATTGATATTCAAAAATATTCTCCAAAATCGTCACCATCAAAAACATCTCCGACAGTTAAATAATTAATTTAACAAAAATAAAATAATAATTGAAATAATTAATATTAAGTAGAATTTTTTAAAGTAAAATTGAAGGGTAGAGAAAAATTTTAAAAAATTTTTTTGCTATTTTTAATCTTTAAAAAATTTCAAAAAACTTTAAGAGGAGGGGTATTTTTAATGTTGAGTGTTGGGTGTGTTCAGAAATTCAGAAATTGCGTGTGTGTAAATGTAAAATGAAACATGTAACTCTTAAAAATTTTTTAAGGTAAATTTAAAAGTTTTTTGACATAAAATCTTGTTTTTTGGTAATATATTTCTTCAAAAAATTTTTTTTATAATTTCTGAATTCTAAATTATGTTTTAATTTAAATTTTATTTTTTAGCATAAGTATAAACCTCAAGGAATTAACTTTTTATAAAACTTTAATATTTTTCATAAAAATTTGACTTTAAAAGGTCCAAAAAACGTTATTATTAGTCATAAATTGGTTAAACAAATGCTCCCCTTAATTTTGAAAAAATCATGAAAATATTTAAAAAATAAATAATTTTTATTTCACATTTAGAATTTAAATATTAAATTTTTATATAAAAAAAATAAAAAATAATTTTTTTAATTTAAAGTTTATAGAAACTAATAATAATATTGACATTTTACTCTCTTTTATTTTATTATTTTACCTTCTTTTTAGTATTGCGCAATTTTGTAGAAGGTAAAGAAAAAAAGGAAAGAAGGCCAATTTTTGAGAAAGTTTGAAGAAAATATTCCGACAAAAAAGGGAAGTTAAGTAAGTAATATCAAAAAGAATATATAAAAAAATAAATAAAGTAAAAATCGGGAAATAATTAGTATTTTTATTTTGGGGTCTTAAAAATTTTTTTTGTAAATTTTTAAAAAAAATTTTGGTCTGAATTTTATAGCAATAGATAAATTAATTAATATAAAATTATCAAAAAAATTTAGAAAATTTGAATATACACATTAGAGATCGAGATTTTTGAAGAGCCTGGACCTGTTCCTGGACTCTGGAGTTTGATTTATTAGTCTGGACTGGATCCTGGGCCTGTAGTCCAGGAAAAAATCCAGGCCCGGGAAAAACCCAGGAAGGTCAAAAATGCTTGGACTAGGACTCTGGACTCAGGAAAAACCCCAGCCTTGGGATATATAAATTATTCTACTCAATTGTCTTAATAAAACCCCAGCCAGACCCAGGCCGATCTCTAATACACATCAGAACTGCCGTTTCGAGGTATTTTTTCTAGAATCTGGACTGGATAGTTTTTACTGATTTTTAAATTGTATTTCGTTCAATCCTCAAGTTTAGAATTTTCTAGAGTCTTGAATTAAAATTAAAGTTGAAAGTTTATCTATCTTCGATATTTGTTAGACACCTCTGTACTTGTGTTTTTGCACTTTTAAGAATTTAAAATTCAAAGAAGATATATGTATTATTAAATAGATCTCCAAATAAAGAGAGAGACTCTTCTTCTTTAAAAAGAGTCTATGAAAAAAGGGGTACTTGAATTATTTCTTTTTTTCTTAATACATGACATTTTTCGCCCTATTTTGCATTCAAAAATTGGAAGGAAAAACTTGGAAAGAAAAGTGGCTTTTAAAGAGAGATGCGCGGATATATATTAAGGAAAGGGGAAGGCCTTGACTTTTTTTGTTGAAGAACGGCACTGAAGGAAGAGGAAATGAAGGAGAAGGAAAATGAGGAAAAAAGGAATGATGATGAGGGGGAGGAGGAGGATTTTAAAAAATAAAGAAATAGAGTTTAAAATTGTACGATCAAATAATTCCTTTACCTTAGTAATTGGTAATAGAAATTAAATGCTCATAGACAAGAATATCTAAACTGAGCCCGAAATTTTGTACCGTACCGCATTTCGTACCGTAGTACCGATAAATAGCGATATATTAACCTTAAATTTTCCGAACAAATTCAGTACAGTTCGGAATACCGAAAATACTGAAAAATGGTGTCGATAGTACGTTATCGGCCGTGCTTTGATTTAAACCTCTATTTAAAGACCACTAATAATTATAAAGGTAATCAAAATATACTGACCGATCTGTAGCCTTTAATGCCCACAGCCTTTATAGAAATAGGTATTTAAAGTTTAGAAGCAAAAAAATGTTTTTTGATGATTAATAAAACAATTATTTTTTAAAAGGTATTAAAAAAGAAAAGGTTTCGTTAATGTTTTAAAGAGGGGGGGGGGGGATTGAATGAATAAATGAACAACAAAAAAAAATAAAATCGTTCATTTTCAGGATGCAAATAAATAAATGTGTCCGTCTCCTTTTGAAGGTTACAAACAAAAAAGGATATATAAATTATTCCACTCAATTGTCTTAATAAAACGTTTGAGGGGTTTCAAGGTAAAAAAGAAATAAAGAATTAAATATTTATATTTTAATTTTACAAAGTTGAATAATCACTCTTTTACCTAGTTTTGAATTTAGAATTGAGGAGAGGCATTTAATGTCAGCATACCTCATCATTAGATAAAATCATATCCTATAATCAGTGTAGCCTAAATAGAGGAGTGATTATTGAGATGTTATGGATTGGGAGCAGAGGTTGGTAGGAATTCTGATTTCCGGCTTTTGAGCCAGTTCCGATTTCCGGCTCTTCCGATTTCCGACACCTCTGAATGTTCCGACCCACCTCTGGATGGGAGTTGACTCAATGGTCACTAAATTTTGAAAAGATGGATCATAAATTAGGGATTATCTACATAATAATTAAGGGTATCTACTAATAGTCAGAGTTCGACTATATCCCCTTTAATTCTTCAGCTTTTCATTAAAAAATCTTAAGAATATGAAGGATAATAAATAAGGATGTGTTTGCATCCTCAGAAAAAATCAAAAAATTCCAAAACATATTTAGAGAAAACCAAAAATTATTTTTAAAAAGAATAATTTTTGGTTTTATTTTAAAGGATTTAAAGATTATAATTTTGAAGAGAGTCATGTAAAATAAAAATATTTTTTGATTTTTGAGATTTTTGGCGCTTTCTCCAAAAAGCTGGAAATTTTTAATTTTCAAGCATTTCTTTTTGTTAGTTTGAAAATTCTTTTATTTTTTTCTTTTCTTTTTGCGCATTCCTTCCGTCAATTTGCGGGCAGATGAGAGAAGGAGCATCTGTCTCTCTCTTCTTTTTAAAATTTTTTTTGATGACCACCGACAAATAGATGATGGACATAATTTTATATACATATTATTTAATTTTTATTGAAAAAAAAATTTTTTTGGAAGGCTTGAAAGACAATATAAAGAAAAGAATAATTATTATTTAATTGTAGAAAAGAGCTTTTCTAAAACAATTTTTGGAAGGGAAGATTCGCGTGTCTTCTCTCCTTATAATTTTTAAAGGATGATTGCTCTACTTGAATCTCTCTCAATTTTCTATTAAATAACTCTTCAATAAGAAGAAATAATTATTAAAAATGTGATTGTTGCGTAATAACTAGTGGGGAAATATATAAAAATAATTTTAAATTAAAGTCTAATAAAAATATTTAAATAACCCCCTCCCTCCTCTTCAATCCTTCAAGGCACACTCCCTCCAAATCTATTTATGATTGCGCAAGAGTAAATGGAATTTAAATTGTTGTTAATAATAATAGGGTTAGGCATTAATAAGAGAAAAAAGATTGATAGGATAAATCGAGAAATGACGAGAATGGGTAAATGAAGTTAAAGATATTATGGGGGATCTCTGGGAAGTGATTATTACTTCCCAGAGGAATTCCTTTTTAAGTGAAGAAAAATATGGTTTAAATTTTTCTATAAAAAGTTTATTCTTCTCTCCTTAAAATTTAGGAACCTTAATGTTTAGGTAACTCTTTGACTAAAATTGCCTCAGGTCACAAACACAAGTTTTGTATTTAAATTTGATGGGCCATTTACCAAAAAAGAGGAATATAATTAAATTTTGCTTGAGGCAATTCTAGCCCAATCTATAACACCTCATCTCAGCTTAAATATTTCGCGCTGAAGTATGTTATCTGTTTTGTTTTCTTGTTATCTGATTTTCGAAATTTCACGACAAATATAAGAGAAAAACTTAAAGAGTTAAAGAGACATCGTAAGTTTAGGGACCCAGTAAGGATATTTATATAAATCAAGTTGACTTTTAGGGATTTGAGAATTTTGGGACAGATCCGCCCCTTTGGACATCTAAAGAGTAAATAAGTCAACTTCTAATGAATACTAGAATAATATCGAAAAAATAAAAATGTTTTTACCTCATTGCGAGAAGTTGAAGTTCCAAACCAACGAAAAGAACCGGAAACTACAAGAAATGAGGGATGATGTTGTTTTCGGGAGGAGAGGGAAAAAGTATTTTCTGATTTTATCGAAATACTATTTTTCATTTTTTTTTGTTGACTTTGAAATGAAAGGAATGTTTTTATCTGATTTTAATCTATTTATTACATTAACCTTCAGGTTTGAAATGAATTAATTTAATGGAGAAAAACAGAAAATTTTTTAATAAATATTGAAAGGGTTATTTGGGCGCGGAATTATTGGGGCGCGGAGTTTATTAAAATTAGCTTTATGAGCTATAATTTTTGAAAAAATAAACCAAAAATTCTGAAATTCTTAGAGGATTAGGATAACACTATTAGGGACATTTGTACAAAATTTTACGAATATAGAAAATAGATTGGCTATTTTATGTTGTTTTATAAGGCATAAGGTTGTTGTTTTATAGGGCATAAGATCAAGAATGTTTGAGAAATAAATAGATTAAAATCAGATAAAAACATTCCTTTCATTTCAAAGTCAACAAAAAAAAATGAAAAATAGTATTTCGATAAAATCAGAAAATACTTTTTCCCTCTCCTCCCGAAAACAACATCATCCCTCATTTCTTGTAGTTTCCGGTTCTTTTCGTTGGTTTGGAACTTCAACTTCTCGCAATGAGGTAAAAACATTTTTATTTTTTCGATATTATTCTAGTATTCATTAGAAGTTGACTTATTTACTCTTTAGATGTCCAAAGGGGCGGATCTGTCCCAAAATTCTCAAATCCCTAAAAGTCAACTTGATTTATATAAATATCCTTACTGGGTCCCTAAACTTACGATGTCTCTTTAACTCTTTAAGTTTTTCTCTTATATTTGTCGTGAAATTTCGAAAATCAGATAACAAGAAAACAAAACAGATAACATACTTCAGCGCGAAATATTTAAGCTGAGATGAGGTGTTATAGATTGGGCTAGAATTGCCTCAAGCAAAATTTAATTATATTCCTCTTTTTTGGTAAATGGCCCATCAAATTTAAATACAAAACTTGTGTTTGTGACCTGAGGCAATTTTAGTCAAAGAGTTACCTAAACATTAAGGTTCCTAAATTTTAAGGAGAGAAGAATAAACTTTTTATAGAAAAATTTAAACCATATTTTTCTTCACTTAAAAAGGAATTCCTCTGGGAAGTAATAATCACTTCCCAGAGATCCCCCTTAATATCTTTAACTTCATTTACCCATTCTCGTCATTTCTCGATTTATCCTATCAATCTTTTTTCTCTTATTAATGCCTAACCCTATTATTATTAACAACAATTTAAATTCCATTTACTCTTGCGCAATCATAAATAGATTTGGAGGGAGTGTGCCTTGAAGGATTGAAGAGGAGGGAGGGGGTTATTTAAATATTTTTATTAGACTTTAATTTAAAATTATTTTTATATATTTCCCCACTAGTTATTACGCAACAATCACATTTTTAATAATTATTTCTTCTTATTGAAGAGTTATTTAATAGAAAATTGAGAGAGATTCAAGTAGAGCAATCATCCTTTAAAAATTATAAGGAGAGAAGACACGCGAATCTTCCCTTCCAAAAATTGTTTTAGAAAAGCTCTTTTCTACAATTAAATAATAATTATTCTTTTCTTTATATTGTCTTTCAAGCCTTCCAAAAAAATTTTTTTTTCAATAAAAATTAAATAATATGTATATAAAATTATGTCCATCATCTATTTGTCGGTGGTCATCAAAAAAAATTTTAAAAAGAAGAGAGAGACAGATGCTCCTTCTCTCATCTGCCCGCAAATTGACGGAAGGAATGCGCAAAAAGAAAAGAAAAAAATAAAAGAATTTTCAAACTAACAAAAAGAAATGCTTGAAAATTAAAAATTTCCAGCTTTTTGGAGAAAGCGCCAAAAATCTCAAAAATCAAAAAATATTTTTATTTTACATGACTCTCTTCAAAATTATAATCTTTAAATCCTTTAAAATAAAACCAAAAATTATTCTTTTTAAAAATAATTTTTGGTTTTCTCTAAATATGTTTTGGAATTTTTTGATTTTTTCTGAGGATGCAAACACATCCTTATTTATTATCCTTCATATTCTTAAGATTTTTTAATGAAAAGCTGAAGAATTAAAGGGGATATAGTCGAACTCTGACTATTAGTAGATACCCTTAATTATTATGTAGATAATCCCTAATTTATGATCCATCTTTTCAAAATTTAGTGACCATTGAGTCAACTCCCATCCAGAGGTGGGTCGGAACATTCAGAGGTGTCGGAAATCGGAAGAGCCGGAAATCGGAACTGGCTCAAAAGCCGGAAATCAGAATTCCTACCAACCTCTGCTCCCAATCCATAACATCTCAATAATCACTCCTCTATTTAGGCTACACTGATTATAGGATATGATTTTATCTAATGATGAGGTATGCTGACATTAAATGCCTCTCCTCAATTCTAAATTCAAAACTAGGTAAAAGAGTGATTATTCAACTTTGTAAAATTAAAATATAAATATTTAATTCTTTATTTCTTTTTTACCTTGAAACCCCTCAAACGTTTTATTAAGACAATTGAGTGGAATAATTTATATATCCTTTTTTGTTTGTAACCTTCAAAAGGAGACGGACACATTTATTTATTTGCATCCTGAAAATGAACGATTTTATTTTTTTTTGTTGTTCATTTATTCATTCAATCCCCCCCCCCTCTTTAAAACATTAACGAAACCTTTTCTTTTTTAATACCTTTTAAAAAATAATTGTTTTATTAATCATCAAAAAACATTTTTTTGCTTCTAAACTTTAAATACCTATTTCTATAAAGGCTGTGGGCATTAAAGGCTACAGATCGGTCAGTATATTTTGATTACCTTTATAATTATTAGTGGTCTTTAAATAGAGGTTTAAATCAAAGCACGGCCGATAACGTACTATCGACACCATTTTTCAGTATTTTCGGTATTCCGAACTGTACTGAATTTGTTCGGAAAATTTAAGGTTAATATATCGCTATTTATCGGTACTACGGTACGAAATGCGGTACGGTACAAAATTTCGGGCTCAGTTTAGATATTCTTGTCTATGAGCATTTAATTTCTATTACCAATTACTAAGGTAAAGGAATTATTTGATCGTACAATTTTAAACTCTATTTCTTTATTTTTTAAAATCCTCCTCCTCCCCCTCATCATCATTCCTTTTTTCCTCATTTTCCTTCTCCTTCATTTCCTCTTCCTTCAGTGCCGTTCTTCAACAAAAAAAGTCAAGGCCTTCCCCTTTCCTTAATATATATCCGCGCATCTCTCTTTAAAAGCCACTTTTCTTTCCAAGTTTTTCCTTCCAATTTTTGAATGCAAAATAGGGCGAAAAATGTCATGTATTAAGAAAAAAAGAAATAATTCAAGTACCCCTTTTTTCATAGACTCTTTTTAAAGAAGAAGAGTCTCTCTCTTTATTTGGAGATCTATTTAATAATACATATATCTTCTTTGAATTTTAAATTCTTAAAAGTGCAAAAACACAAGTACAGAGGTGTCTAACAAATATCGAAGATAGATAAACTTTCAACTTTAATTTTAATTCAAGACTCTAGAAAATTCTAAACTTGAGGATTGAACGAAATACAATTTAAAAATCAGTAAAAACTATCCAGTCCAGATTCTAGAAAAAATACCTCGAAACGGCAGTTCTGATGTGTATTAGAGATCGGCCTGGGTCTGGCTGGGGTTTTATTAAGACAATTGAGTAGAATAATTTATATATCCCAAGGCTGGGGTTTTTCCTGAGTCCAGAGTCCTAGTCCAAGCATTTTTGACCTTCCTGGGTTTTTCCCGGGCCTGGATTTTTTCCTGGACTACAGGCCCAGGATCCAGTCCAGACTAATAAATCAAACTCCAGAGTCCAGGAACAGGTCCAGGCTCTTCAAAAATCTCGATCTCTAATGTGTATATTCAAATTTTCTAAATTTTTTTGATAATTTTATATTAATTAATTTATCTATTGCTATAAAATTCAGACCAAAATTTTTTTTAAAAATTTACAAAAAAAATTTTTAAGACCCCAAAATAAAAATACTAATTATTTCCCGATTTTTACTTTATTTATTTTTTTATATATTCTTTTTGATATTACTTACTTAACTTCCCTTTTTTGTCGGAATATTTTCTTCAAACTTTCTCAAAAATTGGCCTTCTTTCCTTTTTTTCTTTACCTTCTACAAAATTGCGCAATACTAAAAAGAAGGTAAAATAATAAAATAAAAGAGAGTAAAATGTCAATATTATTATTAGTTTCTATAAACTTTAAATTAAAAAAATTATTTTTTATTTTTTTTATATAAAAATTTAATATTTAAATTCTAAATGTGAAATAAAAATTATTTATTTTTTAAATATTTTCATGATTTTTTCAAAATTAAGGGGAGCATTTGTTTAACCAATTTATGACTAATAATAACGTTTTTTGGACCTTTTAAAGTCAAATTTTTATGAAAAATATTAAAGTTTTATAAAAAGTTAATTCCTTGAGGTTTATACTTATGCTAAAAAATAAAATTTAAATTAAAACATAATTTAGAATTCAGAAATTATAAAAAAAATTTTTTGAAGAAATATATTACCAAAAAACAAGATTTTATGTCAAAAAACTTTTAAATTTACCTTAAAAAATTTTTAAGAGTTACATGTTTCATTTTACATTTACACACACACATTTACACACACGCAATTTTTTTTACATTTACACACACGCAATTTTTTTTTTCTCTAAAAAATTTAGAAAATCTCAAAAAATAAACAAAATTTATATAGGTAAATCTATTTTTACTTCCGGTAAAATTAATAAAAATTTTACTCAATACTTAAAAATAATATGTAGAAGAGAGAGAAAATTGTTGAGAGAAAAATCGCGGAGAGATTGACTAATTCTTCTTTTTTTTGAAAAAAAATTTTTATTTTTCAGTCTCTTCCCCACAAAAAAGCCCCATTTCCTCTTCTTCTGTTCAATTTTTGACTGAAGACCATTTCAATGACTGAAAAATGCTTTTGAAGAGAAGGAGAGATTTTTGCAGCAAATCGACAATTCCTTTCACCTTTTTTTAATATTAATTAAAGATTAAATAGAAAATAATTGTAAAAATTAGTTGAAAGGAGAAAAATTAATTTTTTATATCCTTTTTTTCTTGCAAATGAAAAATAGGCTAGATAAAAGGGGGGAGAGAATCGATCAGTTTTATGGGGGTTGTGTTAAATGTGAAGGACATATTTTTGTAGGGGAAGTGTTATATTTGTAAAGTTATTATTAGAAAAAAAAATATTAAAATAAAGTAAAAAATGAAGATTGAAGATAATGTGAAAAGTTAATTATTAGTAGGCTTTTCGATAGAAGGGATCCTGCTGAAATAAAAATGAATGAATGGGAGAATACCTGTTAGTATTTGATGCCCGGTGATTTTCCGTATTTTTAAAAAGTTTTTGTTCAAAAAATAATTTAATTACATTTTTCTGAGGATTGAAAAATTAAAAAAATCTTTTTTACCAAGATTCTACTCAATAATGTTTGACATAATACATAATTACAAATTAAAATTACAAAGAAATTTCCGATTACAAGAAAACCTTGTTGCTCGTAAATACCTCCTTAAGCTAAATTCGAGGAAGTTTAAAGTTTTTTTGTTAATTTTTGTAGAGAAATTAAAACATTTTTAAAATGAACTTTTTCTTATTTAATGAGATTCACGTACTTTTAAGTGATATTAAATTTTAAAAAGGGAACATTTTTTGGAAGTTTTCATCTACAAATTTTTAAAACAAAAATTAACTAAATGTTGTTAATATTTAATTTAATTTTTAATATAAACTAGCTTCCCTACACACCCCAAAACCAATTTAAAAAAAGGCCTTTGGCCTTTCCCATGCCTTAAATATTTCCTAAAACCCCCCAAATCCCCTACCCGTCAACTCAAAAATTACAAAAATCGTTTAAAAACTTTTAAAAAAACTCACAGTTAACCGATCACTTCTATTTCTTCTATTTAAAGATGTTCTTAAAGGTTTTGGAGGAGGAGGAAGAGGATTATTATTTTTGTTATTTGAAGATAATAGAGGTTTCATAACCTCCATAAATTCAAAATTAGTTAAATTATTTTCTTCTTTTTCAATTAATTTTTGAATTTCTTCTTCAATTTCTTTATTTTCTTGTTTATTTTGTTCAACTTCGTCTTCTTCAATTGGAGATATTATTTGATCTTCCATTAATTTTTTATTAGAATTTATTTTAAAATTTTCAAAAAGCCTTTAAAATAAGAAGAAATTTTTTAATTATATGCTTAAACATTTTATTAAAAAAAATTTTTTAAAAATCCAATTATTGTAAAAATATAAATTTCAATTAAAAAAATATTTATTAGCAACATTATAGAAAGGGGGACACGCCCAAAAGCCATAAATAACTGGAAAATTTCTGGCCCTTATCAATTTTGGTACCAATCTCTTTAGCTTGATGAGAGGAATCGTTTAATACTAAATTTGTTAAAATTCGGAAATTTGGAAGCAGGTTATTCTTTGCAACGTTATTGCAACGCACCGCCGTATTCTTTAAAGGATGTTAACTTGATATAGGTGAAGTTTTCAGGTTCTAATTAGGGACGGCCACAAAACGTTTTTACAGCTCTACTCGGAGGTTATTAAAGAAAACATCAAATACATTGCTCTAATATAGTTAATAACAAGAATTTCTTCACCTTTTATAAATTCTAACTGATTTTTAAAGAATGTAACAAAAATTAAAAAAAATTTTCTACTCAATTTTACAAATCCGGAGTATTTTATTAATTAAAATTAAATAAATATTTAGTAGTACACATAATAATGTTTGGTTTTAATCGTTTATTTAACCAAAAGAAACTGCAAAACATTTTATTTTTCATTGACTTTTACACCCTTTTCTTTCCACTCATTTAGCGATTTATCACCGCGCAAGATTGAAAGAATAAAAATATTTTTTTGTTTGATCTAATCTCTGGAAATGTCTAAAAGAAGAAAATATACTTCTTTGCTCTTCATCCAATTTAACATTTAAAGAAAAAAAATATTTTTTTCTTCCAAATTTCTCGATCAACGACTATTAAAGAAGGGGGAAATAAATAATATTTTTGTATTGAAAATATAATTTATTTAATAGACTTTATTTTATTAAAAATATTTTTAAAATTATTAAAATTTAAAGGAATATACATACACTGGGTTTCAAAAAGATGGCACATCATGTTTTTTCGACCTAGCTCAGCGGAAAAGTGTCAATTTTGTTTAAAAATTTTTTTGTAATTAGATTTGCTCAATAAAATGCTCTTAAAAAGACCCGAGCGAAAAAACCATTTTTTTTAAATTTTTTATAAAATAATTTTCAATTTTTCACTTTTTCAAAAAAAAATGGCACATTTTAAATTTTCGACATTAGGAGTGGTCTGAAAAATTTACAAAAATTCCTATAAACATATCTATTAATGTCGATAGAAAATAAAAAAGAAACAAAGTTCTATATATCTCCTTCATCGACAAAAAAAATTTCAAAAAAATTTATTTAAAATTCAATTTAACGGCGCTCCGACTCGGGCATCCATTTGCACAGTAAGACTTTTGCACAGAGGGCATCTGCACAGTGGACGATTGCACAGTAATTTGTGGTTAAGTGGATTCGTGTTAGGTTTTACTTATTGTTATAAGGGAATAAATGTTACTAATTATTAATACCTTTACTAAAAAAATCTTAAATTGTATTAGAATTCATAATTCTTTTTCTAACCTAAGTATTTCCTAATTCTTTTTTACATATTCTAAATTTTTGTTCGCTTATCAAGTGGAGAAATTCTAGCAGATCTTTATTAAAGAGTGCAAGTATTTGTTGTAAAAATGAATTTTTACTAATTTTTAATGATAAATATTTACTTTCTAATAAGTTTCTTAATAACAAAATGCTTTCTTCTAAATTTAAATACAGTCAATAAAGATAACAGATTTTTTAAAAGGGGTACGTATCCAAAAAGTTTTTTCTTGTTTAAAAAATGTTGTTAAGACTCGGGGCAATAATTATGTTCAGTTAGATTTTTTATTCATTTGATCCTTTATGTGATTTACAGATTTTTCTTATGAATTCTAATACAATTTAAGATTTTTTTAGTAAAGGTATTAATAATTAGTAACATTTATTCCCTTATAACAATAAGTAAAACCTAACACAAATCCACTTAACCACAAATTACTGTGCAATCGTCCACTGTGCAGATGCCCTCTGTGCAAAAGTCTTACTTTGCAAATGGATCACTGTGCCCGAGTCGTGTCACCCAATTTAACACCTTCTAAAGAGGAATTCAAGTAAAAGTAGACGGTATTATGAGGGAAAACTAAAAAGAGGATGAATTGTCATTTATCATAAACGTTATGCCAAACATTAAAAATTTGCGGAAAAATGTTTTTATATTTTTTCTACTTTTTCGTTTTTTGGATTTTTATCAGTTAATCTTTTTTTCTTATTTTTGTTATCATTAATATTTTATTACTTTTAACAATTACCTACTTATATATACTCTTCATTTTAGGTATTTTTGATAAATTTAGTTAAAAATGGTTTCTCGTTTGTTTAAGCCTTTTGATTTTGTCCGACAAAATGCTGGTTATTTTTTATTTTAAATAATTTCTGAAAATCTTTAAAAAATATTCTAAATTTATTTTTTAAAGACCAATTAGCTGTTATTGCTGTGGATGGTCCAAAAACGGTTTTGCCGAATGAATGGTTTACTATTTGGAATAGTGCCAAACTTAGATTGTGCACTGATGGGGCTGCTAATAATTTGGTGGAGTCTTGCAAGTTTGTTTGGAAATTTTGTAAAATAAATTTTAGACCGAGAGATTGATAATACAGAACCCCTTTTTCCTCCCCTATTTTCCCTATATATTTTTACAAAATGGTCAGACATTTTCCTTTCATCCATCCAATATTCTTTCATCTATTAATCGGAAATAATCCTTTTTGTTTGATTGTAGACAAAAATTAGAAAGGCAAATTGGATGGAAGAAAGGAAAAAGTCTGACTATTTTGTAAAAATATATGGGGAAAATTGGGGAGGAAAAAAGAGAGTCTGTACGCTTCGATATTACCGAGAGATTTTATTTTTCTGAGTGGAGTCGAAAGAATTTCTTGTTCTTTTTAATCTTTCTCCTCTTACAATTTTTTGGTTTTCTGGGATTTTTATTTTCTTTTCTTTGGAATTTTTTAAATACCTAATTTTAGTAAAAAATTATTTTTTCAGGTCTACCAAAACAAAAAATCCAGACTTGGTTGTAGGTGATTTCGACTCTATCACAGAAGAGAGCAAAAAATATTTTGAGTCGCAAAAGGACTGTCAAGTGTTAAAAATTGATGACCAAAACACGACGGATTTAACTAAAACTATTGGGATTTTAATGCAAAAGGTTTTTTTTTAATTTTTCTTTAAAAATTAATTTAAAAAAAGGCGGGTAGTTTTTTTGTTGATAAACCGTTGGCTGCTATTTTGGTTCTGGGTGGACTTACAGGACGTTTTGATCACGTTATGGGAACTTTTAATGCAATGATGTTGCAGGTTTTGTTTTAAATATTTTTTTAGTAAATTTGATTTTGTCTAGATTCAAGGAGTTCCCTCAATTCCTATTTATCTTTTGGATGGTACAAATGTTGTTATGATTGTTCAACAGGTATTTTGAATTTTATGGTATTCTTTTATAAGGGATCATCCCTCTCCTTTAAATGTTTTATTTTTGGTCATAATTCGGGCTGGTATCTTGTTAGTCCCAATTTGAAAAATAATATTCTATTCGGTAAAATTAAAGTTCCCCCCCCCCTTTCCCTCTTTAATTTGTATACAACGGTCAGACTTTCTTCCTCAATTCCACTCTATTTTTCTGTGGCACATTTAAATGAGAGACATTAATAAGAAAATGTTTCATTTTAATGAAAGAAAGTCTAGCCGTTGTGTACAAATTAAGGAAAGAAAAAGAGGGGGAGTGAACTTGAATTTTACCTTCTATTCTGCTCTTTAATTGTCACATCTGAACTCAGATATTTTTATTAATCAAAGAATTTTTTCGATAACAATTCGGAGGGGGGGTCTAAATTAAATTTAAACGTTGTGTTTTTCTCAATCTTCCAGCAATTTTTCTTTACAAAATTAATTTTCAAAAAATTTTTCCCACCAGAGTGATACAAACATTGAACTTTTGGAAGAGCCAATTACCGGCACCTGTGGTCTCATTCCTCTTGTGCAAAGACGTACTTTGGTGACAACGGAAGGGTTTAAATGGGAACTTAGTTAATTTTATAATTTTAATAGAGAAAAATTTTTCTTTTTAGAGGAAACAAAATTGGATTATGGACATTGTGTTAGTAGCTCAAACAAAATTGTTAAGCCTCAACAACTTCGAATTCGATCTTCGGAACCGATTGTGTTTACTTTCGAATTGAAGCGTCCTTTTGGATTAGTCTAAATGTTTTGGGTAATTTTATTAAAATTATTTTATAAAAAATATTTTTAGTTCTATAGTTGTTGCTTTTGGCCAGTTAGAAAGGTTTTTTTGTTAATTTAAATATGGTCGGTGAAAATATTAAAGTGATACTCATTTAAAAGTGCCATTATATTGTTGTATTTATTTGTTGAGATATTTTCTGTTTTGATAAAAATGAAATGAGAATTTTTTTTTAAGTTTGTTAATATTACACTTTCGCCTAGGCTGATCTGTGTTATTTTTTTACTCTTTTCTAATTAAATATTAAGTTAGAATAGTTGAGGAATTTTTTATTCTTAGCTTTTCCTTATAAGTTCGAAACAAAACAGGTAGTCGCAACTAGGGTCGTCGGTTCCTGGAATTCTTCGGATATCCGAAACCGAACCGAAAAATCCTCGGTTCGGTCCAGAACTGACAACCCTAGTCACAACAAATCCTTAACTTTAATTGTCGTCTTTGGAGTCTTCCAAAGTTTAGAAGACGACAGTTTTAATTTTTTAAATTTTTTGTGTCGTAATCTCTTTTGAAATTTCTAGACGTGCATATTTTTCCCTAAAAGATCAATTCATTCAATAAATATGAAAACTGAAAGAAAATCACTTCCTCCTGAATTGCTGCCAGAAATTATTGATAATTTACCAATCAACTTAAGATGGTCCGAACTAAGAATCTCTCTGTATTTTGATGTTTTTTTATTTAAAAAACAGAGTAAACAAATTATTTCCATCAAAAAATTTTTATATCAAGTAAGTCCTTCCTTAAGACCTTTTCATTTATAATTTTAGGTACGAGAACTTTTTTAATCAGCAAATACTTGTTTAAAAAATTGGAAACCATTATTGGCATCAGATGATTCTACTTCTTTATCAAATTTAAGATATAGACTCGCTGGACTTTTTGGGGGTATTAAACTTTTAAAAAAATCTTATTAAAAATTAATTATTTAAGCCGCCTATGAATCAAAACAATTCTCCACCATTCTTAAAAATATAATTGATGGGTGGTTTGATATTCTAAACGGTGGCGAAATGGCAGAAATTGATGAAATTGCAGAGGTCAGTTTAAATTTTAGAGTACCTAAAGTTGCGGTTTATTATATGAGAGGGAGAAGGTGATTCCATGAAAGGTGGGGGATGATTAAAAAAATTTTATCAACTCTATTATCTTGTTTAAACTAAAATTTTAGAATAAATTTTAAAAATTTTAAATTAAAATTTCTAATATTAAAGCAAAGACAGCTCCAACAGTTTCACAAGCAAGCTTCAAAAATGATAGAGAAAATTGAGGAGTTGATTAATGTCTTGCAGGCTGTCAATGAAGAGATTTTCTTAGCTATTAATGGCTACAATCCATCATTTCTGGAGTTCCAAAATAAGATAATTAATAGATTGGCAAATAATGAAAATTAAAAATGTTAATTTAAATTATTTTTAAAATAAATTTTTTGACATTAAATTGTTAGTCACTTTTATACACCTTATTTCTGGGATGCAGGTCAGAAAAAATTGTTGAGGGCCTTTTACTGATTTTTTTGTCACTCTCTCATTTTTATCTCTAATTTTTAATTTACCCTTTTTTATAGAAAATATTATCCTATATCTAAATCTACAAATCAGCTTTGGTCTAGGCATTTCCCCCATAAAATCCCACTTTTTCACTAAATTGAAGTTTATCAATATATTGGGAACAATAAACTAACAAAATCTGAGAACAAAAAAAGGATAAAAATACAATCGATATGTATAGAAATCTATTCAAATTGACTGGCCGAATATGCAGTTACCCAGGAGACCATAAAAGTGGCAAAGGCTGCACCAAAACCTTCTTTCGCAACTTCCCAGAAACCACCGAAATCTTCATCATCTTTCTGGAATTTTTTAAAATCTACAAAATGTTATAAAGCTTAAAACAACCTCTTGGTACCACGTCAAGTAAAGATGACCTAAAAATTGAATTTAATTAAGCCTCGCCCAAGATTTTCCGTAGAATGATTTTTTGACCCGAAAGCCATATCCTTATTAACCGTTTTTAGAGGAAGCGAAAATAGTAGTACTTCAATTTAGTCCGAAAACTTTCCTAGTAACCCCCATAAAAGTAGCCCAATTAAACCATTAATTACCAAGAATCGTTGAAGTTCCAATGTAAAGAACAAGCGCCACAAAACCTTTTAAAGGGATTAACCCCCACAACAAGCCAATAACAAGTGACAAAATCTGCCTTCCCCAATAAACAACATCCAACAATTCATCTTTGTCTGTCCAACAACTTCTCCGCGTTAAAGCTTTTGAAACCTTTTAAATTTTAAAATAATTTTTAAAAGAAAATTTAAAATCCCAACCGATTCAATTATTGAAAGACTCCTCTCGTTATCTTCGTTTTCACTCTTCTTTTGCTGCATAATTCACCCAATAAACATCAAAATAAAATAAAAATTTAAAAATAAAAAATATTTAAAAATAACATGTTCTATCAACAATTTAAAAAGAAAAAAGAATGAAAAAAATAAATTTTTATTATAAAAAACTTTTTATAAAAAATAATCAGTCAAACTTTTATTTGAGATCCTTTGTTGCCTTATAAACCCCATTCTCAATAATTACCAAATTTTGACGAACTTTTCTGTGCATAAACATTTGAACTGCATCTAATGAAGGAATTGTTTTTCCTGGGCTAGTAAAGTTTTTAAACATTCTATGCAAATATTGAGCTGTTAAAGGTTCGTTTGTTGTTCGATATATTAACTGTAAATATTTTTAGGTTTAAAATTAAATTAGAATGATTCCCCCGTCGTTATGGATTTTTTGAGTTATTTCCTCTAAAATTCTCGTAAACAACAACAGCAGGTAGAAATGGATTACGTTGAAAAAACCCCGTCCTCGCAAAAACCCTCAAGAATCTCCAAAGCCTTTTTAAGTTACTCTACTCAACTTTTATGATGCTAGTGCCAACTACTTCCCAAAAACGACCCTTTTAAAATCAACTAACCAGATTTTTTGTGTAATTCCAATATTGCTCCAATTCTTCAACTACATCTTCAACTGAATTTTGCTCCTCTTCTTCATCATCGCTAAAATCATCTAACATAACAGCTTCATCCTAGAATTTAAAAAATATTCTATTAAAATAATGCTAGTACTCTTTTCTCCATAATCTGAATAGAAGACGGGGAAAAAGTAAGACAAAAAGTCTCCTCGAGCGTAATTTCATCCAAACCTCCTTGAAATATTAAACCTTTTGAACATAGCCATTCCAATCTCTTTTTTAATTGTGTAGAATTTATACCACTTTTTTCTGCTAATTCTGAGATAATCCATTTTTCTTTAAAAAAGATTGCTAAACAAATTTTAAAATTAAAAAACCTTTTTCTGCAAACAAAAAAAGAATTTGAGCCTGAGGAAGAGGTAATTCAATATCCAAAGTTTTTCCATCGATTTCCAATTCCAATTCGACTAGACTTCCAAAATCAGAATGCCAAGTAATACTTCGAGCAGCTTTGTGTTGACTGTAAACCTTTTCGTAATTATCAAGTGCATCTTTGAAAATTGAGTGAGGATGAAATGGAAAATTGCTGTCGAGGTCGTTTGATTGAATTTCTGGCCAATAAACAAAAGAAACAATTCGAGGGCTCACTGGGAATGGAAGGGAAGAGGCAGCAAATCTAGCCAATTTCCAAGAATCGCGAATGTCCCTTATCATTACCTAAAGAGACTCAATGTAAAAATAAAAATATTGAAAACAGACCTCACATTGATTCAACTCCCCTTCTGTAAATCTTCTTTTCATTGTTTCCAAATAAGTAAATTCTGAATGTATATGTCTTTCCCAACCATTAGATAACAACCTTTCTGCCAATAAATTTTGATATTCTTTAACAAAAAGATCCTTGCTTCCGTAAATACTGACCAACATATTAAAAACATCTGCGGATTCTCGGAAAAGTCTGCTTTCTTCTAAAATACGAGAATCAAACGTTAAAAAAATTTAAAGTTAATTACTTGGATCAGCATCAATTGGATCCGGTATCCAATCCATCCAACGATTTTCTCTGTTGTCACACATCATAATTACATATTCATCGTTTAATCTTAAAATTTAGCAGTAAAAATTTTTCTTAAAATTAAAATAAACCCGTTGAGTTGCTCTTCCTCTAACATAAGCGTTAAACGACTAGCATTAGTTACAGCAATATCTGAGGTTAAACAATTATCTCCAGGCTTCTCGATGGCAATAAATGTAATTATTGTCCGCATAGTATCAGGTCTTTGTCTAAAAATTAAATTTTCAATTTAATTATTAGAGATGTGGATTTTTCTGTATATTAAAACTATAAAAAAAACAGTTTCCGAATTCACAACTAAAATCGGTAATAGTGTCGTTTCCTTTCCCACTTTTTTCCTCACCAAATTTTTTCCTAAAATTCGTACAAAATGGGAAGTCTTCCTTCTTCCATCGCCTTTCTTTCTAAAGAACTGAAGAAAATAATCATTCTTGATTGTTTTTAGGCAAAATATAGTAAGGCAATTGTGATGGAAGACTTCCCATTTTGAATAAATTATAGGAAAAAATTTTGTGAGGAAAAAGGGGGACCGAGAACTACACTATTACACTAAAATCAAAAACTGTAAAATAAAAAAACTAACTTAACATAATCTCTGATAATTCTACATATTCTATGCACCAAAACAAATGATGGATCATACTGTGATAGACATTCAATTATTGTTGCATATGCCTGAAGAATGTCGTGAGTATTCACTCCTGAATTTAATTATAAGTCAAAAATTAATTAGCACATTTACCGACATGGAGCAGCTTATCTCGTATCAACTTCTCCAATGCAATTGAAAAAGCCTCTCTGGAATAAAGGTCATAATTGTCAATAAGTTTTTTAATTGATGAAATAACATTTTTGCCTCGATCCTTCCACATAAATAAAATATTTAGCTCTAAAGATCTGCAAAAAAATAATTCAGACCAGGCAGTATAAAAGCCATTAAATAAAAATCGTTAATCTCCCCCACTTCAACTTAACATATTTCTACTCTACTCGCTTCTACGTGACGATATTTAATTTGGCCCGATGTGTCGAGGTACGTGCCGAAGTATTTTTATTTTTTACTTCGCTCAATTCGCGTTTTTAAATTTTAGGTAGCAAACAGGAGGTACCGACCAAAGAGGTTGATGAACTCTACAGGAAGTTTATTGAAGATTTCAACACCATGAGAAGGGCAATCGGCAAGCTGGTTGAGGTCTATGATGTTTTCTTGAAGAAGGCTGCGAGTGGAGTTGGACCTCATTTTGCTTTAAGCAATCATCTAAGAGAATACGCCGCCAACTTTGCCGAAAAGGACGAGGAACTCGCAACAGAATTGAACACCTCAGCACAAACAATCGAGGATATTGGGAAACACAACAAAGATTTTGTTGTTAATGCTCGAAGCCATGTGATTGTCCAACTGAAATGTTGGTACAGTGAGAGCAGGAAGCAGTTCAAACAGGAAATGTCCGACATTGGCAAAAGGAAGACACAATTAGAGACTGAAATGAAGCGTGCCGGTGTTGTAAAATTGAAAGAAATCGAAAAAACCAGAGAAAGCAAAAAGGAGAAGGATTTTAGAAAGAGAATGAAGCTGCTAAGAGAAGGGATTCTTTTCTGCAAAAATCATGCTGTGAGTTTTTGAAGAATTTTTTAAACCAAAAAAATCTAAAAAATTTCAGGCTTCTGAACTAACTGATTACCTTCGACAGATGCTTGTTCAAATGAATATCTTAGGCGAAGAGAGCACTCGAACAATTAGAGAAGCAGGCAAAGTAGACTCGTCTTCATATTGATGTGAGAAGTAACAGAATGATTGATGTCAATGACATACCATAAACTGATTTAATTTTGATTATTGTTCTAATTCATAGATTTATGAAATTGTATTCGTTACATATTGAATTTAATAAAAGGGTTTTATGTTTAAAGAAGATTTTGTTTGTGTTTATTAGGGTGATTTCTGAGAAAACCTCTCATGTTTCATTTTCCACTTTATTTGTAATTTGCCAAAATTTGCAATATTGGCGAATTGTCTATTTTGCGAGAAAAGAGGTAAAAACGAGAGGTTAGAGAAAAAAACAATTTTGGAATGAGAGTTTATTTTTTGCTTTCGTTAGTGGGCTGATTTTGATTTTTATTGCAAGCTTTCAATAATATTTTTATTTGTTGGTTATTTTTCTAAAGTGTTTCCTTGCGTTATTCGATTTATTTTCTTTGATTCAGAGAACTCCTTAAACGCGTTTGTCCTCGACATAAATGTTTGTTAAATTTGTTTTAGCTAGGCTTTTGTATCTTTATGATTGCTAATTAACTTTAAATTTCAACATTTTTCTAAATATCTTATCAAGTGTCTATCAAACGTTTTTAACTTGTGTTAACGTATGATTCATTAATTTAGACTTTAATAAACTTTTCTTTAAAATGAGCATTAAACGCGTCCACGCTCGTTATATTTACGATTCTCGTGGTAATCCAACTGTTGCGGTTGATTTAGAGACAGATAAAGGTTTTATCTTTTTGAGCGAATTTTTAAATTTTAATTTAAAGGACTTTTCCAAGCTGCTGTTCCTAGTGGAGCTTCGACTGGCATCTATGAGGCGCTTGAGCTTCGTGATGGGGACAAGACTGTCCATCATGGGAAGGGAGTGCTTAAAGCTGTTGACAACGTCAATTCTAAGATAGCGCCAGCGCTCATCGCTAAGAACTTTAATGTCACGGATCAAGCTGCTATTGACAAGTTTTTGATTGAGCTTGACGGAACCGACAATAAAGGTATTTTTGACTTTTTGGTTTTACAAAAATTTTAATTTTAGGAAATTTTGGTGCGAACGCCATTTTGGGAGTTTCACTTGCGGTTTGCAAGGCAGGCGCTGTTCACAAAGGAGTTCCTCTCTACAAATACATTGCTGAGTTGGCTGGCATTCAAAAGGTGAGATATTTTTGTATAGTTATTTTGATTTAATCCTTTAAAGGTTATTCTTCCTGTTCCGGCTTTCAATATGATTAATGGTGGTTCTCACGCTGGAAATAAGTTGGCAATGCAGGAGTTTATGGTTCTCCCCGTCGGTGCTAAAAACTTCAAGGAGGCAATGCAAATTGGTTCTGAGATATATCATCACTTGAAGAAGGTTAAAATTTGGTTCTTATTTTAGCTATTCTTTTATTAGGTTATTCATAAACGTTATGGCCTTGATGCAACTGCCGTTGGTGATGAGGGAGGATTTGCTCCAAACATTCTTGACAATAATGAGGGGCTGGATTTGCTTCTTGAAGCTTTTAAGGCTAGTGGACTTGCTGACAAGGTAAATAAACATCCCCATATTCAGTCAAATCCATTTTATATTTAAAGGTGATAATTGGTATGGATGTCGCTGCTAGCGAGTTCTACAAATCTGACGCGAAGAAATACGACCTTGACTTTAAAAAGTAATTTATCGTTTTTAAAATTTATATCTTTCTTTGTTTTAGTCCCAATTCCGATCAAACCAAGTGGTTAACTGGGGATCAATTGGCAGATGTTTATAAATCGTTCATTGCTAAATACAACGTCAAGTCGATTGAGGATGCTTTTGATCAGGATGATTGGGACAATTGGAGTAAGCTGCTTTCGCAAACTGACATTCAATTAGTGGGCGATGATCTTACTGTGACAAATCCAAAGAGAATCAAGCAAGCTGTTGAGAAGAAAGCGTGTAATTGTCTTCTTTTGAAGGTTTCAACTTCTATCAAGTTTTTTCTAAAAATTTCTATCTAGGTCAATCAAATTGGAACTGTTACCGAATCAATCGAAGCCGCGACTTTGGCTCGTAGCAATGGCTGGGGTGTTATGGTTTCTCACCGTTCTGGAGAAACTGAGGATACATTCATTGCGGATTTGGTTGTTGGCCTTGCTACTGGACAGGTTTTTATTTTTTATTTCGATAATTTTCTTCGGATTTTATTATAGATCAAAACTGGTGCTCCTTGTCGTTCTGAGCGTTTGGCCAAATACAATCGTATCATGGTCATTGAAGATGAGCTTGGTGATGGGGCTGTCTACGCTGGGCAGAATTATCGAAAGCCTTGAGAATTATAGAAGCTTTAATAAATGACAATATTTTAGTTGTTAGTCTTTAATTGTTGGCAATCTCTTTTATTTATGCCGGTTAATTTGTAGAATGTCATTGATTTATAGATAATAAACTTTGCAAATAAATTTTAATTTAACTATGCGTTTCTTCGAATTTTTATTTTATTTTATGTTAAGTTAGATTTTTAAATATTTGTTAGGATATGTATAACCAACAACAAACGAATCCTTTACAACATGGTGCAGCTGCACGAATTGTGGTAGGCTTTTTTGTTGTCTTGTTTAATTTTACATAATCTATTCTGTTTAGAGGCCAAACCTTGCTGCTCATCCTCAAATGTCTCCAAATGTCGCGGCACATTCGCCTGCTCAATCCCTTCATGGTCAACAAGTTCTTGACAAGCCAGGGGTGTTCAACACTGGACGATCTCCTCAATTAGGCAGTGTTTATTCTTATCCGGGTTCTGCTGGTTCAGTTCCCTTTAGTCCTCAACAGCATGTAAGTGTTGGACAACAACATGCAATTTATGGAAGTCAACATTTATTGCAACACCAACCACAATCGCAGCAAATGTCTCATCCCTTATCTGATGCTCCAGCGCCAAATACTCCTTCCACGCCTCAACAAATTCCGCAGCCTCATTCTACTGGCTCAACAGCCACCACAGCAACATTTCATACGCATCAACCTGGTCATTTAACTGAAATTATTGTTTACACATTATTTTCAGGTTCAGTACCTCAAGGTTCCGTTGGCCCACCTTCTTCAATACCGATGCAGGTTGGTACCCCGGCCGTTGCTCAGTCGACAAATGCATCTCCAAGCAAACAGCCGTCAACTTCAACACAGCCCCCAGCTGTTGTGCAACCGGATATTGACCCAATTGCAACTTCCAAGATGTTAATTTTGAAGGATTTGAGAAGAACTATTGTTGTAAGCCTTTTAATTTAAAATAATTTAAATGTCTCAAAATTAAGGATTTAAACTTGTGTGCAGAAAAAGTTGTTGAAAACTTTCTTTCTGAATCCACTGGTGTTCCAACAGCAACTGGTGAGCGTCCAGAGGAGAGACGATCAAATATTATTGGTGCTTCAACAACTGGTGGTCCTCATTCCAATTTAGGCATAGGAGGGCCTCATTCAACTGGTCCTCATTCAAATTTAGGCTTTGGAGGACCAAATTCAGTCAATCCACATTCTGTCCAAAACCCTCTTTCTGTTAATCCTCAATCTGTTAGTGCAATTCCGCCTGGGTCAGTCAAGTCGGGTTCTGCTACTGATGAATTTGGGAAAAAGGAAATTGAATTATCAGCAAAGGAGCAATATGATATGGCTAAAAATAGTTTTATGAATGTTTGTGACAATATAGAAAATAATATGGTTATTTTTTAATTTAAATATTTTTTTTGAAATCTTTTTTTAAAGAAGTTGATATTGGAAGTAAATAGACAACAAGGAAAATTATACAATACTAATGCTGGTTCTGCTATAGTTTCTGTTCCTATACACGCCGGAATAAGGTATAAAATATTTTGAACTTTAAGTGTCAAAAATTTTAAATTTCTTGAAATATCTCAAATTTTTCAGTGGACCAACGTTAACTTTACCAAATATGTTGCATGATTTTACACAAGTAATGAATGCTGATAAACAGGCTATTAAGTCGAATATAGAAGAATTGAATAATTTAATGAAGAAAGTTTCCAATGGAAAAAATTGAGAGAAGTCTTTTTTGTAATTTAAAACTTTTGTGTTTTTAATAAATTGATTTTTAAAAATTTTTTTCTTTGATCTTCTATGTGTTCTTTTATAATATCGCTTAATACTTTTATTTTTGCTTTTCTTTTGTCTTTTCAATTCTTTAGAAAATTTAAATTTTGCTAACTGATTTTGATTTTAAAAAATGAATCCGACTTACCAAGGAGGTAATTACCTTCATTATCAACCGCCCCCACCGCCACCTCAACCTCCATTGCCTGCTACTAACTCAACCAGCAATACAATTGCCACTACAAATAATCAGTCTACTTATTACAATGTGGTTACATCTCCAACAACGTCTTATCAATATTGTAATAATACTCTTCCTTCAATTTCCGATACTGGGAGTACTCAAGGAATTAGTCAAGAACCAACTTTAGCGGATTACAATGCTTATCAAGGATATGATGGTTATTATGATTATTATGAGGGTTATGGTGAAGAAGAGTATTATGAAGATGATGGAAAACAAAAACACTATCATTGTGAAATTTGTAATGTTATGTGCTCTGGATATGATAATTATTTTGCACATTTGTGTGAGTTTTTTATATGAAATTGGGGTTCTTTCGGATAATCTTTTTTAGAGGCCTTCCACTAAGGTTGGCGGTTCCGGGTAACCGGAACCGAAAAACCCGGATATCCGGAAATTTCCGGTTCGGATGCCGGATCCGAAATAGTTTGGATATCGGTTCCGGATATCCGGAAATTTCCCAGGAACCGCCATCCTTACCTTCCACCTGGCATTATACGTTACTAAAATTATAATGCCTGGAATAATTGTTTTCGAAAAGAATATTAATTGGGAAGGGGATCTTAAAACCTATTTAAGAAAGTCAGGGACAAGATCTAAATCCCAGAATATAAGAGAGTCAACTGAAATGTAAATCAAAATTCTAATTATTGCTTAATTTCTAAAATTTAGCTGGAAAAATTCACAAACGTAAACAAGCTGTTTTAATCGAAGCTGCTCAAAACAAGTTTACTACTAACAATAGAAATGCTTTTCGTTGTGTCATTTGCAATGTCGATTGTTCTAGTGAAGAAATTTATCAAACCCACGTTAATGGGCAAAAACACCAAAAGGTCTTTAAAATATTAAATTAAAAAGAATATTTCAAATTTAAAGGTGATAAAAGGATTAATTAGAGAGAATAAACCAATTCCCGTTGTTGAGGGTATTCAGTCTGTTCCTCCGAAAAATGTTGGTCCAAAGAAAAGGAAAGATATCAGGTTTGGAATAATTTTTAGTTTTTATCTATTTTTTCAACTTTCTATTCTCTGAATTTTTTACCACCCCCCCCCCCCGCTCCCCTAAAATTGGGAAAATGAAAAAATTTTAGGAGGGAAATGATTAGAAAAATGAATTACTACAACCCCCAAAATTCTCAAAATTTTTGCCAGCGCTGAAAAATAAAAATATGTGTACAAAACCCCTCCTGAAATCGGCCTCCTGGCTACGCCTTTGTCACTTAATAGGATTTTATAATTTTGGAATATTTTATATTAAAATTCTAAACGGCCTTTTGACACAAAACCTTAACATCTGATACATTACTTTTTTTAAAGTTATTTTAATTTTGTCTCTAACATGATCTGATAATTAATTATCTATGTTTGCTCCTTTTAAAACTTTACTTTTTTCATTCTAAATTTTTTTTTGTTTTTAGTGAAGTTTTTGTGGATACTGTTAATCCTTTTGGAAGTGAAAATGATGAACATATGGTTGAGAAATTGGATCAAATAAGCCTCAACAAAGTACAAAAGAATTCAATTGAACAATTAGTTTTACTGATAGAAGATACTTTATTTAATGTTTCTCGAATTATTGAAGAACAACACGTTGCTAATTCTGTTTCTGGAACTAACATAAATTCTTCAAATCGTTTGTTACGTGGTATAATGAGAACTGGACTTTTGGCAAATGATTTATTGTTGAAAAATGATAGAAGGGTTTGTTTTGAAATTTTTTGATTATTTTATTGATTATTAGTAGGGTTGTCGGTTTCACCCAATTCTTCGGTTAACCGAAACCGAACCGAAAATCTTCGGGTTTTCGTTTCGGTTTGGACCGACAACCCTTTTCAATAGGATTAAGTTATAAGTTTTTGAACTTGCGACATGTATTTTAAATTTTATTTTTATTTGAGTAACTTGAGAATTTATTTAATTATCAAAGTTAATGCTTGGAAGTTCGTACCGAAATTTGTACTTGTACGTCGGTACGAATTACGAGTACGAGCATAGAATAGGCTGTTGCGAAGTAAGAGAAGATTTGAAATTTCTAAGCACTTGTCATTCTTCCTTTTTCCCTTCTCAATTTTCTTAACAGAATTTATCCCTAATTTTTATTAACTTAAATATCTGTATAAAATATTTTTATTACTCAGGCCCATCTAATTGTTCTCTGTTCTTCAATTCCAACAACTGATATGCTTAGTCAAGTAACTGAACTGTTTACTCATTATGTTAAGGTTGTTTTTAAATATTCTTTTTTTTTTAAAATTCCTCTCATTTATTTTAGAAAGGCGAACAAACTCTAACCCATAAAGGAAAAATATCTGTTGAAGAAAACGTTAGAGAAGCTGGTTTTTCGGTATCTCAGGCAGGAATTCCTATGTATATTTGTGTTTCTTTTACTTGTTCAACTATTCGTCAATGGTCTCCTGGAGGTTTCTTTTGTCCTTTTAATTCTTTTCTAAATTAATTGCAAAATTTTAAGATTTAAATTATTATTCTTATAATATTCCACAAAATGCATTGCCACAGGATGCTTGTCTTCAAGCTTTGGCAGAAATGAGACGAACTAAATTTTATCAGGTAAATTTTAATTTTTATTGAATTTATATCTAAATTATTTTTTAGGTTAAATGTGCTCAATATGAATGGATGACTGGAGTTGTAAAAATCGTTAGAGAATTTTCTAATAGAATTCCAGCTTGGAGTCCTTTAAGTGATTGGGTTTGTTTTTTAAAAGATTTTTTAAATTATTTTTATATTTAATTTAGGTAATTATTTTAATTGTTGAAAAAGTTTTCTCTTCAAATACATCAGAACAACAGCCTGGACCGAGTGGAGCATTAAAAGCTTTGTTTAGTGCAATTTCTGAAGAAATTATTTTGTCACGTAAGAAATTTTGAAAGATTCCAAAATGTATATTTTTGTTTTTTAAAGCTGGATCAAAATTATTGGATCCATGTGAAAAATTGCCAACAGATGTTTTAGCATCAATAACTCCTTTGGAACGCCAACAACTTTTTGCTAGTGCTCGTTATTCTCTTAGACAAATCAACGGAAATAAAATGGCAAAATTGTTGGCGCTAGAAGGTCCAGGAGTTCCTTCAGAAGTTATTTTTCCTGCTAAAAAGAGGGCTAAGAAAATGGGAATGAATAATGATCAACCACCGGATTTGTCAGCAAATGATAGAGGAATGCCTGCTGAACGAGGAAGAGGAGGAATGGGAATGTCAACTCCTGGAATTGGGAGGGGAATCCCTCCAGGAAATGGAAGAGGTTTGCCTCCTGGAAATGCAAGGGGTTTGCCTCCGGAACGTGGAAGGGGAATGTCAGTTTCTGGACGAGGAAGAGGTGTGATTTTTAATATTTTTCGACTGTCAAATATGAGTTTTCGAAAAATCCTCAAACATCGTTGAAAACAAGTTTATAGACAGACTCACGATCAGTAAGTGCAAATTTCTCAGTAAGGCCGATTTTAGTTTTTTGTAGGATCAATATTTCTGATTCTAGTTTCATTCTTTCTAAACAATTAAAGTTTTTTCCTTTCAAATTTTTGTCTCTTTTAGTTTTTTAAATTTAAATTCTTTTACATATTTTAAATTAATTTTTATTTAAAAGTTGCCTCTGGTGGTAATGCAGAAGCAATAGGCACAAGATCAATGCGAGTGTATGACAATTTTTAATTGATTGAAAGAATTGCAAAAATATTTTTTACCAAAAAAACTTTTTTTGTTATTGTAAAGTTTTGTTTTACACATTTAATCTTTATTTTCTTTCAGTGTAGTAAAATTATTTTCCCTTTATAGCATTAACTCTCATAATTTAAATTTAAAAACATCACCAAAAGACGTGATCAAAGTTTAAAAGAAAAATTTGAAATGATTAAAATTAATTTTCGTTTAATAGTTGCCTCTGGTGGTAATACAAGAATTACCTGTTAAACTTTCCGGAAAACAAACTTTCCTGATACTAACTTTCCGGAAAACATAAATTATTAACTTTTTGAATAAACTCTTTAAAGTTTAATTTTTCGATGAACAGGCTTTTTATTTATAGTTTTTATTTTTGTTTCATATTTTAGCTAGTCAAATTTTGATTTTTTTCTCTTTTAATTTAATTTTCTTTTTTTTTTTTTGTTTTTTCTTTCCCTTCCATTTCCCCTTTTTCCTTTCATTATCTAAAGTGAAAATTGAATTTTTGAGGTTTTTAGATTTTTTTTGCTTTTTTCGAGGGGTTTTCTATGTTCTTGATCAGTCTGTTTGCTACCCAAACTTTTGCAAACTGGAGATTCACTGAATCAAGTAAAAAATAAATATCTCGATACACATAAATTAATTTAGGAAGAATTTGGGGAAGAATACTGATTTTTTTTATTATGGCTTTTATACTGCCCGGTCTGAATTAATTTTTTTAGATTGTTGGAACGAAACATTTTATTTATGTGGAAAGATCGGGGCAAAAATGTATTTTATCTATTTAAAACTTACTGGGATTAAACTTTGAGAATACTATTTTTAACAATTTTCCGGAAAACGAATATAGCAACCCTTCCGAAAAATAAATATATTAAACTTTCCGGAAAATAAAATATAAAACTTTCCGGAAGGTTTGCTATATTTGTTTTCCGGAAAGTATATATTTATATTCCGGAAAGTTTTATATATTTATTTTCCGGAAAATAATATATAAAACTTTCCGGAAAACAAATATAGCAAACCTTCCGAAAAATAAATAGAACAAACTTTCCGGAAAATAAATATAATAAACTTAATACATCACGGTAAACATAAATAAATTATTAACTTTTTTCAGTAAAAAGTAATTATTTTTTTGATGAGAAGTGTTGACAATTATTTAAAGTTGTTATTTTTCACTAATGATTTTTGCAGTGAAATTCACTAATCTTTATTATAAATTTTATACTTTTTTAAAGGAATTAAAATAAATTTTTTTATTGCGAAAAAAAATCTATTCAGAAATAAATTAGTCTTCAATTTTTCATTAAGAAATAAATTTTAAAAATAAGAAAAATCAAACTATTGAAATATTATGAGTAAGAGATATCCGCTAATTTTGAAGGTCTGGGGATAATACCTATTATGTAATAGATTTTATACTGCCTATTCTGAATTAATTTTTTGTTCAGATTTTCTGAACTAACTTTTCAGAAAATAATACGCATTTTATTTATTTGGAAAAATCAGGCAGAATTGATACATATTTCGTCTATTAAAAACCTTCCGGAAATAAACTACGGAAAAATTAATGATTTTTTTCCTGAAAGCAAATATAGAAATCTTCCGGAATATAATAAACTTTCCGGAAAAATAAATAGAACAAACTTTCCGGAAAACACATAATAAACTTTCCTACTAGTATATTATACTTTCCGGAAAACTTAAATAAATTAGTAAACTTTTTTCAGTATAAAAGGCGAAAGTTGTAATTATTATTTTTACTAGAAAGTATTACCAAGTTTTATTCATTTAAGTTTTATTTTACCGCACTAGTTTCAAGTTTCATCTTTACTCTTTAAAATGAAATCTTTTTTCGCTTTGCGATTTTTCTTTTTTCATTTCCATTTTTTCCATTTTTTTCTCCTTCCATATTTATTTTAGGGAAATGGATTTTTATGAAATTAATGGAATATTTTATTCTCCATTATTTAGGAGATTGAGGAAAAATTTTTTGAAGTTTTCCAATTTTTTTCACCTTTTCAAAGGCTTTTTTTGAGGTTTTGAGGGAAAAGTTGATTTTAAGGGAGGACAAAACTCCAGCTGGCAAAAACTTGAGCTTTTTATAAGCTTGAAAAATTGGGAAGGGAAGGCTTTTAAAGCTAAAAATTCTTCAAAGTCTAGGATGAAAACGACAAAGGGAAAGGAGAAAAAGCTCAGAGAAATTCCCTAATTTTTAAAACCCTCTTCAACTTTTTCAAAATTTATTTACAAGAAAACAAGCAAATACAATACAAGAAAGGCAAAGTGAAATATAATATTTACAATACAAGCAAGTACAAAAAAAAGAATTGTCCTATTTATATTATTCCTATTCTTCATCCCTTTAGAAAGGGCTCATCATCCCTATAGCCAGGGCACTCCATCTATCGTGGCATTGCTTGCAGGCCTTGCGCAAAGTTCATCACATCGCTGGCAGAACGTCTAATATGGGCCCGATGCTCGTTGGCAGACAGGTAGAGGTACGCGCGGATGAATCCTCCATCGTTGACCTTGGTGACCTTCAGTATATTGGCGCGAGCGTGACATCCGCGGACTTTGCAACTAAATTTGGAAAAAGTTGTTTAATTTTAGTTAGATTAAGATATTTTTAGTCAAATAAAAATTTTTCTGACCTGTAGACGTACACCTTGCACTTGACGGCCTGAGCACGCAACGAAGGGTCGTTATTGACAGCCGGATACGTTCCATCACACGACCAGAGGTTCCTATCCTTGAATTGTGAGAGTACCAATTCGCTGTCTGCCAAGGAGTCGAACACAACAGGAGCGGTCCAGACTGTGGCCATATTGCTGATGTTGAAGCTGTAGGTGGAGTAGCACTTTGAGTAGGTTGAGTAGACTGTTGATATCTAATCAGAATTTGTGGTGATTTTTATAGGTGATTTGATCTCCCAAGTTTAATTAAAGTTTATTTACACAAAATTATAGTATAAAAACAAGTTTTAAAGTTCATTTTATCACTGTGCCGATGGTTGCGGCCAGTCATCTTCATAATTAGTTGGGGGGGGGGGGGGGGGGTTTGGAAGATTTAATTGTATTATTTATTAATTTCTCTATCAAGTTTATTTGAAAACATAAAATATTTTGAGTATTTATTAATTTTAGGTCAATTTTTTGTTTAATTTCTTTGTAAAACATAATTATTTTAAGTTACTTTTACTCTTTGCATTATGGAGAACTTTTACTTTTATTCATTTTAAATATAGAATTATTTTTATATTCTTTATTTCTTTTTAAAATTTAAAAACATTTGAATTAAAATTTTATTAAGGATTAATTACTACTAATTATTCCGGATATTACTAGGAAAGTTTGCTTTTTTTCCAAAAAGTTGTTATATTTGTTTTCCGGAAAGTTTAATATATTTATTTTCCGGAAAGTTTAATATATTTATTTTCCGGAAAGTTTAATATATTTATTTTCCGGAAAGTTTAATATATTTATTTTCCGGAAAGTTTAATATATTTATTTTCCGGAAAGTTTAATATATTTATTTTCCGGAAAGTTTAATATATTTATTTTCCGGAAAGTTTAATATATTTATTTTCCGGAAAGTTTAATATATTTATTTTCCGGAAAGTTTAATATATTTATTTTCCGGAAAGTTTAATATATTTATTTTCCGGAAAGTTTAATATATTTATTTTCCGGAAAGTTTAATATATTTATTTTCCGGAAAGTTTAATATATTTATTTTCCGGAAAGTTTAATGTATTTATTTTCCGGAAAGTTTAATATATTTATTTTCCGGAAAGTTTAATATATTTATTTTCCGGAAAGTTTAATATATTTATTTTCCGGAAAGTTTAATATATTTATTTTCCGGAAAGTTTAATATATTTATTTTCCGGAAAGTTTAATATATTTATTTTCCGGAAAGTTTAATATATTTATTTTCCGGAAAGTTTAATATATTTATTTTCCGGAAAGTTTAATATATTTATTTTCCGGAAAGTTTAATATATTTATTTTCCGGAAAGTTTAATATATTTATTTTCCGGAAAGTTTAATATATTTATTTTCCGGAAAGTTTAATATATTTATTTTCCGGAAAGTTTAATATATTTATTTTCCGGAAAGTTTAATGTATTTATTTTCCGGAAAGTTTAATATATTTATTTTCCGGAAAGTTTAATATATTTATTTTCCGGAAAGTTTAATATATTTATTTTCCGGAAAGTTTAATATATTTATTTTCCGGAAAGTTTAATATATTTATTTTCCGGAAAGTTTAATATATTTATTTTCCGGAAAGTTTAATATATTTATTTTCCGGAAAGTTTAATATATTTATTTTCCGGAATAATTCCGGAAAACGGAAAACAAAATAAGGAGATTAGGATTAATTACTACTTCGCGGTAAACTCATTTTTCCTGATCCAGAAACGTTTCGGAAATAGTAATTCGAAAATTAAGAAAAAACAGAAACGCCGGAAATAAATTACATTTTCATTTTTCTTTGTTAAAATAATTTAAAAAGACATTTAAATTTTATTTAAAATTACTTCAAATATATAATTGAAATTCTAATTTAATTTACTCAATAAATTTAAAATTAATTGCTTCAATAAAAAAGGTGCCGCAAATAATCTAACACCAATAAAATAAATTTAAAAATTCAAATTTATTCTTTTTTTTTAATTTTTAAAGTGAATATTGTTTAATTTTTATCAATTTTTTAATTTTTTAAAAATTAATTTAATTTTTAAATATAAAATAAAAATTTTGTGTAAGATTTTATTATTTTACAATTTTCTTGTATTCATTTATTTTTTTAAATTTTTATTTCTCATTATTAGAAACCACCTTGCTTGTTGTGGAGTATATTAAATTTGTCGTATCGCTTAGGAAAGTCCCCCATCAGATACAAGCCAAATAAAAATTGTAGTTTAAATTAAAATTATTTTATGGGTATTTAAAATGTGGGTTGACATTTTATGTAGTAATGAAAGTTTGACTTTGTTGCTATTTTTTATATTTATTTTTTTTTAATTTTGGCGGTGAGAATTGTCTTTCGTGGTGAAAATTGTCTTATTTTTTTAAATCGAAGTTAAAAAATGAATGTGAATTGATAGGAAGTTGTACATAAGGATGTTGAAAAGGACAAGGGGAACTTTAGAACAGAATTGAACACCTCAGCATTAACTACAAAAATTTGTTGTTAATGCTCGAAGCCAAGTGATTGTCCAACTGAAATGTTGGTACAGTGAGAGCAGGCGAGAGAGCCCTCTTCCCCGTCCTTTTTCTAAATTAAAAATCTCAATGTAAGTATGTATGTGCTTTGAATTTTTCTCTTTTGTATTTTTTTCTTCTGACTTTAAGAAATTGGAATTACAATATCGAATAATTTTATTAATTTTGTAAAGAAATAAAATAGCTAACAAAAATAAATTATTTTAGAATTTTTATCAAGTTAAAAAAATTTTTTTTATGTATTTACATAAAAATTTAGAAGAACATTTAAATTTTAAATTTATTTCAAAAATAATTAAAATTCTAATTTAATTTACTCAATAAATTTAAAATTAATTGCTGCAATAAAAATGGCTACCGAAAATAATTTAACACCAATAAAATAAATTTAAAAAATATTTAAATTAGATAAATGTTTTTGAAGTAAATAAATTTTAAAAAAATTAAATTTTAGTCCATCAAAAAAAATTTTATGGGCAAGAGGATGAGGAGATATATTAACAGTTAGATCTGAACTTTAGATACTCACATGTGATACTATGTACTTTATTTTAGTTTTTTTATATTGATTGTCCACAGGAGCTTCTTTTCTTTAAAATTATCACTAAAAATAATTTAAAATTTTAATTGTCAACTTTTTTTATCTGGAATTAAATCCAAAAATCTTCAATTTTTCCATCTGGATTTAAAAGGCTAGGCTAATGAAATACTTTTGTATACTTTGGGGAAAACTTCCTAAAAATATGAGTGAGGTTTTGGCTTTTAATATTCCAGTTAGCTGTAAAATAACGAAAATGGATATCTTTAAAAAATTAAAATATGATAAAATTAGTTCGTCCAACTCTGTACCTTATAAAATATTTCTGCCTATACTTTTAGTACGGCCTCCAAAAATTATTTAGGATTCCACTGGATTCCACTGGATTATTCTGATTTTATTTTTTTAACTTAGGTAAAGTGAAAATTATAAAAATTAATATTAAATAGAATTACTATGATCTACTAAGAGAATCGGCAGAATAAATGTAAACTTAAATGAAAATTTTGGGAAATTTTCAAAATAATATTGATAAATTTACTTTTGATAAAAAAAAGTTGGTGGTAAGAAATTGTAAAGCATATAGTTATTAATTTCCTAAGGCTGAGCAGTAGGCGGCGTGGTGTAATGGCTAACACATCAGTCCGGTCCAGACGTGGGCGAAACGTTTCGTTTCGTTTCGTTGTTTCGTTAGTTTCGTTATGTTTTTTTCTGTTTCGTCTCGTTTCGTGACGAAACAGTTTTTAATTTGTTTCGTTTCGTTTTGTTAACGAAACACCTGTGTTTCGTTAACGAAACATTTCCTATTTTTTTAAAATTTTTTTTCAGAAAATGGCTAATAATAGCAAATACAATAATTATTTTAAATTCGAAAAAAATAAAATTTCTTGCAACCAAGAACATTGTGACTATTTTTATGCACCAAAAAATCAATATGGTTTTCCAACAACATCTTTGCGTAAACATTTAGAGCGTAGGCATCCATCAGTGTTTTCTGAGCTCCTCCAATTCGAAAAATCAGAAAAAGAGATGGATGATGGAAAAGAAAAACTTAAACAGACAAGTTTAAAAAGAATATTTTCTGTTTCTGCCGGTTCGGCTTCAACTTCCCAAGTAATGACATCAACAAAACAGCCAAAAATAGAAGAATCATTTAGTAAGAATTAATCAAATTTTGATATTTAATAAATTTTTATTTAAGAACAATGGACAGCTGATGGAGAAATGACTAAAAAAGTTGATAAAGCAGTAATTTCCTTGATATGTACTGCTGGTCTTCCATTTTCTTTTGTTGAAGAGCCGGGTTTCAAAAATTTGTTACATATTCTGCAACCACAATACAAGATCAGGTTTTTTGAATTAATGTTTTGAGATTAATCTGAAATTTGAGGTCAAGAAAATTCTTTGTATATGAATCATTGCCAAATATGTATGAAGACATGGTGGGTGTTGTAAAGAAAGACGTTTTTTCTGCTCCTTTTGTTTCATTGTGTATTGACTCGTGGTCCTCAGAAGAAAGCACACATTCCTTACTTGGCGTAACTTGCCATTTTCTTAAAGAAAATTTTGAACCAAATCATGTTTTACTTGCTGCATCGCCTATTAAAGGAAGTCACACAGGCGATAAAATAGCATCTTTGGTTGCTAAGGTTATTACTAATTTTGGAATAGACAAAAAAGTCGATTTTGTATTCATCGATTTTGTATCCATCGATTTTGTATTTTAGGGATAGCGGGAATTTTGCCGTTATTTTCACTACTTGAACGAAAAATGATTAGCAGCGAATGGACTGCAGAAGACTTTCCAGTGGTCAGGGAAAAAATTGCAAATTCACTTAATGAACGAATGCGAGGTTTTTTATTTTAATAATCTACAAATATGTAAATTTTTGAAGATTGGGATTCAAATAAGAATTTAATTCTTTCTACTATTCTGGACCCACACTATAAACTTTTTTATTTTGATGAGTTTCAACATGATCGTTTTAGAGATTATTTACTTTTGGAAGTTGAGAAAATCGCTTTGAAATCAATTAACGTAATTCCTTTAATTTAATATCTATTAAGCTATTTTATTTCTTATTTAGGAGGATAATGAAACTGAAATTCCACAATTTGAAGATATAGAAATGCAAATGCACAATGATGATCCATTTGAAGAATTTTTACGAGAAAGATCTATTTTGATGCCATTTTCACAACCGTCTCCTTCCATTGCAGATGCAAAGGCACAAGCAGCTGGGGTTAGTTAATATAATCGATAATAGAATATTTTTTTATTTATATTGTTACAGCAAGTGACCGAGTATTTGAACACACCCAGATTTGAAGGACGTTCTGCTGATTTTTGGAGAAATCCTCTAAATGCTGCAAAGTTTCCCCTTCTTTTACCACTTGTTCGAAAATACCATTCAGCACCAATGTCTTCTTCAGAGTGCGAACGTGTGTTTTCAGTTGCAAAATATATTTTAGATGATCGAAGAAAGAGTATTACAATGGAAAATCTCGAAAAACAGTTATTTTTACATGAGAATTTGCTCATTTACGGGTTTAAAATTGAATAAATGGCAAAATAAACCAGTTTTTTTGAAAATTTTTTAAACTTAAAATGTTTCGTTTTGTTTCGTTTCGTTTCGTTAAATTTTGACTGTTTCGTTTCGTTTTGTTAACGAAACGATTTTTAAAAATTTTTGTTTCGTTTCGTTTCGTCCGAAAAAAATTTGGAGTTTCGCCCAGGTCTGGTCCGGTCTACTGAAGATGCTGGTTCGCTCCCAGCCGCCGAATAACCTTTTGCTCTAGCTAAAGGAGAGAAATAGCTATAGCCCAGCTGCTTTACTAAATTATTCAAAAAAAATTTTTTCACATTTCATTTCTACTTAATATTAATTTTTACAATTTTAATTTTACTTAAGTTAAAAAAATAAAATCAGAATAATCCAGTGGAATTCAGTGGATCCTAAATAATTTTTGGAGGCCGTACTAAAAGTATAGGCAGGAAAACTTCCTAAAAATTGTGTTAAAGTAAATGGGGAAAAATTGGAAAAAATTTTATCAGCTGAGTTGATGGTTGATCTGTTGATTTTTAAGCTAAATTAAAAGGGACAAAACTATTTTTTAATCTTGGTCATCAAAGTAAAATTTCGTCTTTATTGAAAATTTAAATGATTTTTACTGGGTAATTTTATTATTTACATTATCAGTCCCTAAATATCTTACAAAAAAACTCACATTTCAATTTATACTTAATTTGAACATAAATTTGCATTCCTCTACATGTAAATTTTTTTATTAATTCAAGAGGAATTATTTTTTAAACCTTCTCGTCCTCATTGAAAGTTTCTTTTCAGATATTTCTAACCTCCTCCTTCCTATCTCAGACATTTTAATGACCTTGACTCGGTGATTTTGGATAGATTTTTGACGATATTTTAAATGTATTGTTGAAATAAATTCGAAAGGGAGGAGAGGAATTAAGTCAAAGGCTATTCAGTCATTCTATCTTCTTTTTAAAAAAAATGGAATCATTCAACACTTTTTAGTTTTAAGTATTTATGGCGGTCATTTTTCCCTCGTTTTCTTTTTTTCTTGGTAATTATTGGTGGTAAACAGAGGTGGATCGGAATAGCGGTAGGTATCGGAAGTCAGAACTAGCTGCAATGTTGATTGGAAAAAAAATTATCGAAACCAAAGGCGCAACTAGAAATCCCTGTCCCATCTCTGGTAATGAAGATAGAAAAGGGCCGCAATAACTCACAGTCCAAAAGTCAGTGGACAATAAAAAATCCTCTCCAGCTTTAGTTAAGTTCTAAAAACTTTTCATTATCAGATACATACCTATATTAGAACAACTCGTAAAACAACCCAGACTTTTTTAATCTAAAAAACCCTTTATATTCTCTAGACATTCAACTCATTCATCAAATTTTTAGCTTTTATGACGTTCTACTATTTACACTCGTGTTTGAATCTTCTTTTAGCTTTTATTATTTATAGTTTAATATCCCAAAAAGAAAATATTATTCCTCGAAATATATTTATTTATATCTTTTGTAAAAGCCGATTTATTGACATCAACAAATTGTCATCTAAAAAAGAGAAAATCCTCTCGGAAATTGAACGTTATTTAATAGATATAAGTAAACGTCAAATGATAAAAAGTCTATTAATAAATATAAAAAATATATTCTAAAAATAAATTCTTTCATTTAAAGATTGGTATTAATTTTATTGTAAATTAATTTTAAATATTTCACCGAAACTTCAATTCACTTAAAAGGAGATTCAATAAAATTCTAATTTAATTTTGCAGAATAGGTTCAGAAAGAATATATTGACAGCAGAGGTGAATCGGAAATAACGAAGGTGCCGCAAATCGGAATTCCGATTCACCTCTGATTGACAGGTATATAAGGATAGCTATTGGCAAATTATTGATGAAAAATTCCATCAATCCATTTTCCATCACTTTGATTAATATTGTCTTCTAAAAATCCTTTGGAAGTTTCTTTTGATTCTGGAAAGACCGCTGTCTGATTATTAAAAAACTTATCGCCAGTTGAGGTTACCTTAGTTATCCTTGTGAAATATCAAAATAACCCTTCCAATTAATGTTCCACTATGAAAAATTTTTTAATAGACACAATTATTTGTTTTTTACACAATTTTATTTGCAAAATAAACCACCCCTTTCCTTTTTTTATTTTAATAAATTTTTTCTACTTTTCCCTCATTTACTCATCGAGGCGGCGCCAAATCTTAAAGTCAAACTTTACAGCAATATATAAGTCACTGATCGAACAAACAAAAAAATTTTGCTGCGAATGGCGCGAGAGAGAGCGGCAAATCTTCGTTGGTAAATATAAAATACAAACTCTTTCAAAGTGTAATGTGTTTGTTGAGAGTGGACGAAAAAGCTAAATCACTGAAAAACGAGAATTTGGCGCAAAAATATTAGCGAAGATGGATTTTGGTAGGACTATCTACTAAAAGGACGATTCTCCTATTAGAGATGATTTATTGAATAAATACTGTACTTATTCTAATATAAGGCACTCTGTGAATAAGATACGATTTAAAGACCTCTAAAGACAAGTGGATTAATATTGAAGAAGAGAGAGGGGCACTCTCCATTTCAAGAACACTCATTAGAACGGAGGTTTACTGGGAATACAGAGTGTAACCTCTCAAAAATATCTTACTCTCGGAACTGAATTAAGATGACATATGAAGAAAAGTGATAGTGATCTGGAAGAGGGTGTCATATCAGAGAGGCTTGAATGTCTCACTCCTTTGCTTCTTTTCCTTTCAACTAGCCAAGATCATGGTCCTTCCCTAACCACAAGAAAAACTTCCAAAATTATTTTTTTGGTGAATTGTCCATTTTATAAATCGTCTCCTTTAAAATGATGATCTACTAGCAGCAGCTTTTGCACTTTTGTTTGCTGAGAAGAGAGGAAGAAGAAGGTAGTAGAGGAGGAAGGGATAAACTAATCCATCCACCAATCGGAGCGACTTCCTCCAAAATTGGGAATTTCATCTAAAAATTTATTCAAATCGATTATTTATTTTTTTGTCTATTTTACCCTCAAATTAACTAGTCCATTAGTAATTCAAAGAAAAAATAAAAAAAGATTGTTTAGCAAAAATGATGAGGGGGGGGGGGTTTGAACTAAGAGAAGAAGACTTCTTTTATTTTTTAAAAGTGCCATTTCTCCCTCTGTTTTGGGGGGCTCATTTCTTGTTTTATGTAGTCCTCATCTTATTTAAATGCTAATTGCACATTTTTCACATGAAAATATTTTGGAAGCCTTTAATGGAGTAAATATAAATGTTTTTGACTTTGAATAAATATTAGAGAGAATGGGTAATTTTTATTTATTTAATTTATTAGTAAGAGAAGGCTAATTAATTTATTTAAAAAGCATAGGGAATCGGAAGAAGAAAAAAATATGGTAATTTTAGAGGAATATTTAATGTTTTTTTCAATTTTAAAATATAAATTTGCAAGATTGAAAAAACTCTAACAAGATTGAAGCAATAAACTCTAACAAAGTATTTAAAAGTTCTGATCTTCCAGAAGGATATTCCTGGCTCACCCAACTGAAGTAATTTAATATTTCATGGAAAATCTACTGCCAAAATATTTTTGTTTCTTTATTTAAATCTAGGGTCGCACCCCGAGCCTTCGGGGGCGGGATCGTCAGGGATCGGTGTTTGCCGAGGTAGAGCATTCGGGGTTTGGGTCGGGGTTTTTGCCTAAAAATTCTGTGGATCAAATACATTTTAATCAGAAAACTTCTCTATTTAAATCTTCGCCTTATGAATTTATTTTTTGAATATCTCATATTTAAAAGTTTCAGTTATGAATAAAACTTTATATAACTGATTTGATTGGCAAGATTGTTAAGGACCTATGTAGATATTTTTACATAAATACATTTCAGTCAGATTTCTTTTTCTTGTACTTTCCTTATTATTTTTTACAAAAAAATCTTTTTTTTTGTTTAGTCATCATTTCCAACTATTTATTCCCCCACAATTCCTTTTCATATACTTTTTTATTTTAACATTTTTACCCTTCCGCGCAGCTAATCCTGTCTCCTTTTTTGTCGGTACTCTCAAACAAACGTGCCAGAAACAGTTCAACACCACCAACATTGAAGAGCGGAGAAAAGATTAACAAATTCTTCTAACGGCATTTTTCTTTTGACCGATGACCGTGACGTTATAAAGAAAAGAAGTGTTTAGTAGGTAGAAACAAATCGACCGGAAATAACAAAAAAATTAATCTCGAGATCAAAACAAAAACATTTTTGTGACTTCACAAAATGTGACTTCACAAAATTTATGACTTCACAAAATATTAACAACAAGCGTCCTTATTCATATTCCAACTTTTCCCCTCCTGACCAAACATCAGGGAAAAAGAAATTATTAATTGACTCTATTAATGCAATTCCTCCGATTGGAGAATTGCCACAACTTGACAACAGCATTCCGGATTTTGCTAAAACCATTATTCAGCAAAATTATTCTTTAATTACCCATCTGACAAGTCTATTAAAAATTGCCACTTCTTTATTACAAGACACTCAAACTCCAACCGAAATTTTTGAAGAAAAAGAGCGACAGAGGTCGTTGGTGTTAATTAATTTACCTGAACAACCAACAACGACACCACCTTTCGAACGTGCAGTAGCTGACACTAAAGCTGTTCAAGGTTTACTTCACCAGCTGGGTGTGGAGTCTTATCCTAGTAGTATATATAGGATGGGTGTTTTTAAAAACCCAGCTGAAAAAGGTCACAAGCCCCGTCCCATTAAAATTCTAATGCCATCTTCTCAGCATCAACGGCACTGTTTGTCAGCTTGGAAAAGAGAAAGAATCAAAATTTGCAAAGACGAATTATCTAACATTTTCCTTCGGCCCTCTCTGACCTTACAACAAAGACAATTTGAATATGAACAACGAGTAGCAAGGCGTAAGGAACGTGAAAAGGCAAATATGGATGGAATTGAAGTAATTAATACGCATAATAAAAATTTTTAATAAAACCTCTCTGTATTAAGCCGGGTTCAAACTATTCCTTTAATCATACTGCACCCAAAACTCTTAGTAAAAATACGAAAACAAATCAAAAAAGCATAACTTGTTTATATTTTAACGCGCGCAGTCTTAAAAACAAATTAGAAAATCTACATATTATATTAGAACAAAAGATGTATTTACTTTTACTGATTACCGAAACTTGGTTAGACACCAAAATATTAGACTCAGTTGTTATAGGTAATTTTGGTTATTCAATAATTAGGGCGGACAGAAATAAAGGAGTGGGTGGAGGATCATGTATAATTATCTCAAATACTTTACCATTTATTATCATCAAGTCCTGTCTAGGTTTAAGCTATGAAATCAGCGGAGTAGACCTTATTTTACCCAACAACAATATAAGAATACTAAACGTATATAGATCCGTTAATAAAGAAAACACTAAAACCTTTCATCAGCTTTTTGAAAATCTTCATGACCTTTCTTTAGACTCGCCTTCACTAATAATTACTGGGGATTTTAACTTCCCAAATTTATCGTGGTCAACTAACTCTCCACATTCTAAAAACTCTAAGGATGCACAATTTATAGAATTTATAGACTCACTTGAACTCACACAGCACGTCAATTTTCACACTCGTTTGGATAAAATTCTTGACCTAATTCTTAGTAGTCCAAAAAATCTGGTCAAAAATCCGCAAAAAAGCACACCTTTTGGTACCTCAGACCACAATCCAATATCTTTCGAAATCAATTATTATCGTGAGATTAAAGCACTTAAATCCCCGCAAAAGCGATTTTACAAAGCAAACTACACGGACATAAATAATTTCTTAAATAATATAGACTGGTTAAGTTGTTTTTCAAAAGCTTCAAATCTCAATGAACTCTATTCACAATTCCTCGAAATAACACATTATACAATTGAAAAATACATACCTATAACACAAGGAAAAATAGATCCAAAGGCAATTCCTATCCACATTCGTAAGCTTTACTCCCACCAAAAAAATCTTTTTAAGAAAATTCCAACTAAGGAAACCGCAAAACAAATAACACTACTTAGCAAAAATATTGACAAACAACTTAAAAAATTTTACAGAAATAGGGAAAGAAAACACCTTAAAAATTCCCTTTTTAGATTCAAATACACTAGTCAATTTTTGAAGCCTAAAAATAGCAATATTCCGACTATTTTCAATAAAAATGGATTGCCTGTCTTTTCAGAAAAAGTTAAAAGTAATATACTAGGCGATGAATTTAGTTCATACTTCAATAACGAAATTCCAGATTTAGAGGATCTAAGCCAAGATAACCCACAAATTCTCAATACTCTGGAATATACACCTATAACTGTAAATGATGTCTTTAGTTTACTTTGTCAAGCCAAAAATATCAGTAATACCAGTCCAGACCAAATTCCTTATATATTTTTAAAAAAATGTGCACAAACGCTAGCGCTTCCGATTTTTAATATTTTTTCATATTGTCTCATGTCCTCAAATATTCCTGACATTTGGAAAACCGCAATAATACAACCAATACCCAAAAACGCAAAACCAAAATCTGCACAAGATTATAGGCCAATAGGATTGACCTGCACTCTGCTAAAAGTTTTCGAACAAATTATAGCCAAACAAATAAACGAATTTCTGCTTAAAAATGAAATCCTACCGCCTTCACAGCATGGCTTTGTTAAAAACAAATCTGTAACCACGCAACTACTAGAAATTACAAACGACATATCACATGCACTAGAGGAAAAAAGCCTAATTGATATTGTATACTTTGATCTGGCAAAAGCTTTTGATTCCATTCCGCATGCACGACTATTTAAAAAATTAGAAATCATTGGAATTAAGGGAAATTTACTAATACTAATTAAGAATATAATCACTAATAGAAACTTCAAAGTTAGAGTAGGCGATACTTTATCTTCAACTTACGAAACACATAGTGGGGTATATCAAGGATCTGTACTCGCCCCAATATTATTTAACATTTATCTTTATGATTTACCGAAATACTGCTATAATGACAATATCAAATGCAAACTTTATGCAGATGATATAAAAGCGTATCAAATATATAAACAAACTAACCAAAACCAATTACAAAATTTTATCAATAAGTTTCACGAATATTGTTTAATCAATGGTTTGAATATATCTATAAACAAATGTCATACACTCTATCTTGGAAAAAACAACAAAAGAAACCCCTATAAAATTGGCGACAAATACATAGACTCATCATGTAACATTATTCGAGACTTAGGAGTATATTTTTCATCTGATTTTAAATTTTCGGAGCACACTCAAATTATCACATCTAAAGCACGAAGGACCATGTACAATCTACTTCACTCTATCAAATCTAAAGATCACAATATACTTATACACATGTTTAATACCTATATAAGAACCGGTTTAGAATTTGCCTCACCAATCTGGAACCCACACTTAAAAAAAGATATAATTAACATAGAAAAAATACAAAAATACTTCCTCAGGTCTATTTATGCAAGGAAGCATGGGCAGTCAAAAGGATTTAATTTCTCTAATATTCCAAAATACTCTAACCTACTGAAAATTTTTAAAGTCGAAACCTTAGAAATTAGGAGATATAAAATTGATCTAATTCTCTTTCATAAAATTATTTGAGGAAATATAAAAGTAGAACATAATTCATCTTTCTATTTCATCAACACTAAAACACGTGGGGAAGAATTTAAATTAAAAACACAAGCTTGCGCAACCACAATTAGATATAACTCCTTTTTTATCAGAACCGCTAGACTTTACTCTACATTACCGATAGAAATACGCAAAAATACTCCCATTAATTTTAAAAAACTATTGGATAATTTTGATTTGTTTTCACACATAACCTCCCTTAAAACTTAATTAAAGAATAGTTGAACTATTTATTTATATCAGATCATTTGTATTATAATTTATATATTATTGACCACATATTCTGTATTTTTTTTTTTTGATCGCGCGTCAAACATGACGTAATAAATTGAAATTGAAATTGAAATTTAAAGACCTCTAAAGACAAGTGGATTAATATTGAAGAAGAGAGAGGGGCACTCTCCATTTCAAGAACACTCATTAGAACGGAGGTTTACTGGGAATACAGAGTGTAACCTCTCAAAAATATCTTACTCTCGGAACTGAATTAAGATGACATATGAAGAAAAGTGATAGTGATCTGGAAGAGGGTGTCATATCAGAGAGGCTTGAATGTCTCACTCCTTTGCTTCTTTTCCTTTCAACTAGCCAAGATCATGGTCCTTCCCTAACCACAAGAAAAACTTCCAAAATTATTTTTTTGGTGAATTGTCCATTTTATAAATCGTCTCCTTTAAAATGATGATCTACTAGCAGCAGCTTTTGCACTTTTGTTTGCTGAGAAGAGAGGAAGAAGAAGGTAGTAGAGGAGGAAGGGATAAACTAATCCATCCACCAATCGGAGCGACTTCCTCCAAAATTGGGAATTTCATCTAAAAATTTATTCAAATCGATTATTTATTTTTTTGTCTATTTTACCCTCAAATTAACTAGTCCATTAGTAATTCAAAGAAAAAATAAAAAAAGATTGTTTAGCAAAAATGATGAGGGGGGGGGGGGTTTGAACTAAGAGAAGAAGACTTCTTTTATTTTTTAAAAGTGCCATTTCTCCCTCTGTTTTGGGGGGCTCATTTCTTGTTTTATGTAGTCCTCATCTTATTTAAATGCTAATTGCACATTTTTCACATGAAAATATTTTGGAAGCCTTTAATGGAGTAAATATAAATGTTTTTGACTTTGAATAAATATTAGAGAGAATGGGTAATTTTTATTTATTTAATTTATTAGTAAGAGAAGGCTAATTAATTTATTTAAAAAGCATAGGGAATCGGAAGAAGAAAAAAATATGGTAATTTTAGAGGAATATTTAATGTTTTTTTCAATTTTAAAATATAAATTTGCAAGATTGAAAAAACTCTAACAAGATTGAAGCAATAAACTCTAACAAAGTATTTAAAAGTTCTGATCTTCCAGAAGGATATTCCTGGCTCACCCAACTGAAGTAATTTAATATTTCATGGAAAATCTACTGCCAAAATATTTTTGTTTCTTTATTTAAATCTAGGGTCGCACCCCGAGCCTTCGGGGGCGGGATCGTCAGGGATCGGTGTTTGCCGAGGTAGAGCATTCGGGGTTTGGGTCGGGGTTTTTGCCTAAAAATTCTGTGGATCAAATACATTTTAATCAGAAAACTTCTCTATTTAAATCTTCGCCTTATGAATTTATTTTTTGAATATCTCATATTTAAAAGTTTCAGTTATGAATAAAACTTTATATAACTGATTTGATTGGCAAGATTGTTAAGGACCTATGTAGATATTTTTACATAAATACATTTCAGTCAGATTTCTTTTTCTTGTACTTTCCTTATTATTTTTTACAAAAAAATCTTTTTTTTTGTTTAGTCATCATTTCCAACTATTTATTCCCCCACAATTCCTTTTCATATACTTTTTTATTTTAACATTTTTACCCTTCCGCGCAGCTAATCCTGTCTCCTTTTTTGTCGGTACTCTCAAACAAACGTGCCAGAAACAGTTCAACACCACCAACATTGAAGAGCGGAGAAAAGATTAACAAATTCTTCTAACGGCATTTTTCTTTTGACCGATGACCGTGACGTTATAAAGAAAAGAAGTGTTTAGTAGGTAGAAACAAATCGACCGGAAATAACAAAAAAATTAATCTCGAGATCAAAACAAAAACATTTTTGTATTTTATTTGTTTTTACATAAATAGAAAATGATAAAGAAAATTTTATAGAAAGGAGAAAAATACTTTTAAAATTTCTCCAAGGAATAAAGGAACCAGGGGTCGAGCCGAAAAATCGTGAAACCCCACCGATTTTTTGCCCCGTGAATTCACAATTCCCGAAAATCGAGAATTTCGTTTTCTGTCGGCGCGATCCCTAAAACGAACACATCGTTCAGCATTTATTTCTAATTTCATAGCCTCTCTCCAAATTTCTTCTAAATTAAATATATTTACTTAACTTTAGGTTCCCCCTTTTGTAAATTCAGATTTTTAATTTAGAGAGGGGGAAAGGGGAAGAAGCTTTCAAGATACAAAAGAATGCATGTTATATAGACTTTGTAGAAGTAAAGGTTTTCTTTTACATAATTAATCAACTCAAAAATTTCAAGAAATTTTTTTAAATTAATTTCCCTCTCCAAATTTATAAATCCCTCTCTAAAATTTCTTTTACGTTTTTATATTTCTCCCAATTTTTAATTGTTTTTTAATTTTTCCTTTTTTTAGAAACGATTATTTGGCAATAAAAATAAATATATGCGCGCGAGTATATTATTTTCTCTTTATTCCTAAAAAGTTATGCTTGTTGCGCCAGTCGTAATAATTTTTGAATAAAAGTTGGAGAAATATATAAAATTATTTTTATGACTAAATTTTCTAAAACTTGAATTTAAAATTTATATTTTTATGTTGAAAAATAAATTTATTAGAAGTTATAAAAAAGGGATAAAAAAGAAGTACCTATGTATATTTTAAATAAACCTTCTCTAATATTTCTCCCAATTTAAGGGATAAAAAAGAAGTACCTATGTATATATATAACTGATAAATATTTTACTTGAAAAAGCATTCCTAACATTAAGGACTGAAATTGTAAATATTTTTTAATTTAAATGGAAACACGTTGAAAAATTTGAATTGTCGGTTGTTAATTTTCTTATTAAATGCTTAATTAAATCAGCTATTAAATACCCTCTAGATTCATCTCCAGAAATTTTTTTGATGGACTATTTTTTTATTTCTCAATATTAAATATATAACTGATAAATAAGGAAGGACGGTATTGGAGTCCTGCTTGGTATTGTCGGGGTATCCAGACTTTTCAAATCTTGATCTTTGTTGAAACCATTACTGAGGTAAAATATCGATATCGATTTTCCTAGGAATAACGAGCTGCTGGTATCAGGATTGTGTGTTGACTCAACAAGAATATTCATTATCAATTACAAAGATGGCATTTTGGACATCAAACATCGCTCAATTTTTTCTCAAATTTTTCTATAAAATCCCCCTAAAATATTTTTTTTCGTCTTCCCCATCTTCCCACAGACTTCCATAAACAAAATACCAAAATTATTTTCCCACCCAAAACTTTTTTGGGCTAACAAAAAGGAATACTGTGGAAAAGGAGTGTCGTCGGGCTTTGTTTGTTTAAATAAGCAAAAAATTAAGAAAAGATAATAATAAATTATTTTGGACGTGTTAAATAGGCGCGACATTAACCAAAAAAATTGTTGATGATTAAGGAGAATATTATTTCCCTTATCTTTTAATATTTTTGTTTTAAAAATGAAAGAAAGTTTTTTTATCAGTAAAAATATTAAGAAAGGTTTATGGGACTTTTTTGGAGACGGTTATTTATTTTAAATAAAATGTCTCAAAAATAAGTAACTTTTATTTATTTTTATTTTGTTTGTAATAATTAGAGATCAGAAAATTGAAGTACATTCGGCTCGTTTACTTACACCCTTTGGGGCAGGGATGGGACGGTTTGAGAAAAAAAGTTGGGCCGGGTTTAGGGTATCGGGTAACCCGTCCCATCCCTGCTTCGGGGCTTTAAAATTATCTAAAATTGAGTATATCCATTGGTGGAGATATCACAATTAAACCCAACTGAAATTTAAAAAAATGTACCGTAAATTGAGGTGTTATCTATTAATGAGTGTGTGTAGAAATGAGATCCGTTTGTATTCAATCTAAATTTTTTTAGTATTTTTGAGTAGTTATCAGTGGCTCCGAAGACTAACTCGGCCAGAGCTAAGATTTTGAAACGGAGCCGAAGCCAAAAACGCCTAATGATCGTGCCTAATTGGTCGCGCCTAATACCTAGCTAGCACTGGTCTTCACGTAACATTCGTATTTATTATTAAGTGACCATTTTTCTTTCCAACGCATTTTTAACTAAATTTTCATTTTTTTCGACCAAGAAAAAAATTATAGGAAGTAGGGGAATTCTGAGGAAAAAAAATGAAATTTTAAGGTATATGTAGGGAACTAAGATAAAATAAATATCTAAAAACGAGGTAGAGTAATTAAACTTTTTGAATATTTAGAAAAAAAACTTGCCTGATTAAAAAAATATTTTTTTTAGATAATTTTAATTGTATAGAAAATAAAACATTTATTTTTCCTTCTTTTTACTGCGCAGAAAAAAAGAAAGGAAGGTGAATATGTAGGGAGAAAAACAATTTACCAACAATCAAAACAATTTACCAACAATTTAATGGTTGTTTTCCTTTGCAAATCATTGCAGTAGATAAAAAGAAGAATTAAAAGTAAATTCTTCCCTACCGTAATGCTTAGTTTTATACGCCAATTCAAGCGAGTCAAAAAGAAAAAATGGAAGGAAAATTGGGTATATCGAAGTTGGGGGGGGGGGGGGGGGGGGAATGAATGAAAATTTGGTGGGGCGAAGGGAACATTGTGGTCGTGTGGAGGGAACATTATATTGGGGGTAGGAGAGAAGGAGAATAAAAAAAATTTTGTGGGAGAATTTAGGAGAAGAAGAAAGAGGGGTAAACGATTGTTGGAGTCTATTTAACTAGTCTATGTATTATTCATCATCAAAGATGAGGCGCCAGATTTAGAAATTAAGGCGCGGTGGTGTTAAAGCGTGAAAATTTATTTTAGATTGTTGGAAATATGGAGGTGTAGTGTGTAAGGGTAGGGTGAAGGGAACATTGTGGTGGTGTGCAAAAAATTTTGCAAAAAGGTCCCAAAATTTTTGGTTAATAATTAGGCAAGGTATGGTCAAAAAGTTCGAATTTTCTTTAAAAATTTATATTTTTGTCTCGAGTTTTTCGCTAATAACTTAAGAACTACCTCCCCAAAAAGTCTGAAATTTTCAGTTAAGTTAATAGATATTAGTGATGTTCGAGACTCTCGGTCTCGACTCTCGAGTCGAGAAATTTCTCGGGTTTTTTGAGCTCTCGGTCTCGGTCTCGGTCTCGGTGTTTTGGTCTCGGAAAACGAGACTAAATTTACACCCCTAATGACGGAAATTTTTTGAACTTTACTCGGACCTTGCGTACTTTGATATTAAAATTTTTAAGGAAAAGTCTCCAAAATTCCCAAAATTTTGCCTGCGGCGCTGAAAAATGGAAGAAATCTGGCTTCTTGAGCTCCAAAATTCTCAAAATTTTCGCCTGCGGCGCTGAAAATGGAGGAAATTTGGCTTCTTGAGCTCCAAAATTCAAAAAATTTTCGCCTGCGGCGCCAAAAATGCAGCAAAAATTTGAATTTAATAAGATTAAAGGATTAGATTTTGTGGTTTGTGGTATATTAGATACTGTGGATTCTGAAGGATAAAATTTAATATCAAGGGATGGGTGCATCGATGGATCAAAAAGATATTGTTGGATTTGTAGGGATATGGAAGGATATGAGGGGATTTTAAGAGATTAATGTGAATATCATTGAATATATATTGTGGACAAGTGGATTCAAGCGAGTATGGGGATTTTGAGGTATATCAAGGGATTTTTGGGGATTAGGAGGGACATCAAGTGATATCCCTCTTAATCTCTCGGTCTCGACTCTCGGTCTCGACTCTCGACTCTCGTTTTGGTCTCGGTCTCGGGGTTGATTCTCGGTCTCGGTCTCGACTCTCGACTCTCGGGATTTTTTGACTCTCGAACATCACTAATAGATATTACGAAATAAACAAAATAAAAATTTCATAATTTTTGGCTCTTCATAAACAGAAATATCTTAGCCCGCGCCATACTCTCCCACGCCTTAAAATCCACAAAGAAGAGAGAAAGAAATGAATTTCGGGTGAGAGGAACCCCAAAAAATCTTTTTTAATGTTTATTTTATACCCGCCCACCACAATTTAAACAACCACTCACAAACAATAGGAAAAAACTCCTCCCTTTCCCCCTTCCCTTTATTTTCTTTTTTCTTTCCCCTCTCGTCACAAGAAGTGTATTAAATATTATATAGTCTTCCCTTCTTAATTTTCAATTCCCCCCTTTTAGTTAAAACCCCCAAAATTTGTCAAAAATCCTCTAAATTCCCCAACTTAATCCCATAAATCATTTAAAAGCCTCTCAAACCAATCTTCTTTAAAAACATGTATTTTTAACAGAAAAATAATCCCGGCAGACTAAAATACCCGAAAATGCCCTCCTAAGCGCCGATTAGTCTCTGCCGGGCCGCATAAGTAATCTTTTTCTTCCTCCCCTCTTTTAAAATAATTTTTTCTCTTCATTTCACGGCCCTTTCTTTAAAATTTTAGGTAATTCCCCCCATCACTTGTTGATAATCCAAAAAATATATATACTCATCGACCTAAGGCTTATCCTACTTAAAAAATTAAAAGAATAGTTTTGAAGGGGAATTTTTTGAAGAAGGAGGGGAGGAGGGGGAAGTAATCTTTATTGTTATAATTAGATTAATAAATCTTATAAGGAAATCCTCTAATTAATGAAAAGATTCTAATCTTATCGAGAATGAAAAAATCTGAGAATAAGCTAGTAAAGAGGGGACAACATAGGAAATTTATGAATATGAGGTCAAACTTAATTTATTCTGATCAAGTAGTTAAGAGTGTCTCAAGTTTAAATATAGACCTTATTATTTATTTCTATTTAGGATATTAATGACAAAAATTTCTAAAAGATACCTTTAGTATACATATTAGATACAACTCGTGTGTTTACGATCCAACTTTTCCTGATTTTAGTTTTTTTATTTTACTATAGTGTTGTGCCAGTACTTGCAGAAAAATGTGATATCGCCTGAGGATCGATTATTAATCGACTGTGGTTGACCACCATCCAATCAAAGGGTTGGATAGTGGTGCAGGTCTTGAATCGGGCCCTTTCTGGAATAGGGCCTTGGTTCTATCCCATCTCTCATCTTATAAACTTTTCCACGTCACGAAAATATTACAGGCAGGGATCCTGCCGTCCCTATTCCCGAAATCAAGAATTTATTTTTTCTCGGGAATCCGGAGTTTCCGAAACCGGGAATTTTGGTTTTTTGTCAGCATGATCCATGATACATACATGATGTTTTAAATTGGGATCAAAAGTCTCCCTAATTGTAATTCCTCTAATATAATTTTCAAAGTTTATTTTTCGAAAATATTTTAAAGATAAGTGAATTACTGTATAAATATTTTTAATAATTACATACTATATCCTCCTACCTTTATTTTTTTAATTTGCCACGTCAGTAATATTTTAGAAGGAATTTTTATTAAATAAAAGCCAAAGAAAGTAAAGGCGATAAAGTAAAATCTGAGAGGGAATTATTTGAAAAAGAAGATTTTCTTGACAGATTTTTTTCATTCTTTTAGTTATGGTCAGTCATCTTTATGTCCAAATAAAAATAACAAAAATGAAATCATTAGAGGATTTTATTTGTTTAAAATAAAGAAAATGTTTTTTAAAAAGAATTTTCCGGAAATCTTCTTTTTGAAGAAAGCTAAAGAAGATTTTTAGAGGCTGATCCTGATTTTTGGGGGGAAATTTGGGGAATGACGTTATTTTGGTGGGATTTGACGATTTTCTTAAATGATAAGGATTTTTAAATATTTGAAGGTTTTATTTAATTAAAATTATGAGAGAAATTGAGAGAGAGATTCCCTCCCTTGCAGTCTGAATTATCAATTCTCTTTTAATTTTAAATTATTGTCTCTAGTAGGGTTGAGGGCCGGATCCGGCCCGGTCCGCAGGATCGAGTCGGGCATCGAATTTTGGCCCAAAAAAGACTCGGTCGGGCCGGCCCGATAAAAATGAGGAAAGAAAAAATGACGTGAACGTCAGCTCGACTCGAAAACCCCAACCCCAGTCTCTAGGGATAGATTTGGTTAAATTACTCTCTTATCTTAAAAAATAATATTTCCTATCAGCAACCTCATCCTCCAGATCCTTTCTCTTAAAAAAACGAGTTACTATTGTAAGGAGAGATCCTGATTTTTTGGGGAAAATTAGGGAAAATAATGTTATTTTGGAGGGATTTGACTATTTTCATAAATGATAAAGATTCTCTAGATTGTCTCTCTTAAAGATCCGCTCCCTTCACTTCTATCTTTAATCCCAATATCCCTTAGTTTTCAGCTTCCATCTCAGAAAAAAATAGGTATTTACTTCCTCCAAAAGATATTTATTTGTATATATGTACATATTTTGTATATACATATTTTTTAATTCCTCCAAAAGATATTTCTCTTAAAAATCCGAGCCAAATCCGATCCGAGCCTTCCTCCAAAAGATATTTATTATTTTTTAATTTAATTTACGGAAATGAAAAGCAAAAATTAAAAAAAAAAACGAAAAATAATAATAATAGAAAAAAACATTTTGACCACTAAACTACTTTATTTAATTGCCACATTACGTAAAAAAGTATTAAAAAATATTTGTAACAAAATTAAAAATATAAATACATTTTTTTCTTCTCCTCCCTTATGACCATTCTTTGAGAGATCATTTAATAAAATAAATTTATTTTTGGGAAAATTCTCGGATTAATTTTTGCTGACGTCTAAAATGAGGGGAGGGGAAAGAATATAAAAATAGGGACAGATTTGGCTTTGATTCCTTTTATATATTTTTTAAGATTTTTACGTAGTTTTGTGAGCGCATCCTTTTCAAAAAAAATAAAATAAATAGAAAATTTTTTATTTCTTTCCTTTATTTTTGTGGCATTTTTTGATTTTTGACTGAAAATTAAGTGCGTCAGGAAATAGCTACACAAAACATTTAAATGAATTGGATTTTAATAGCCTGGAATTTAATGAATGGAAGGAAGGGATATAAAGCACATTCTGTCCTCAATAAAATATTCTTCAAAAATATCGAGAGTTTGAGGTCTGGCATATTAAAGAGTAAATATTAAGTTACATATTAAGTGATACAGTCCAACCTGATTTTTATATACTCCCTTGGGTTGAAAACTTAATAATGAGGGGGCTAATAATAATTCCTAATAATTTAGAGGTACTACAAAACAACGGGTATAAACTTGGGAAGTTCCTCCAACTAACCAAATATCGGGGTTATAAAGCTCGGGGGCAGGTGTGTCGGCGGTACGGGGTTTTCCTATTGTTTCGGGTCGCGGAAAATCATTCGGGAACGGGGTCGGGGTACAACTCTACCAAATATAAGAAAATTTATTTTAATGTTATTGGTATTTAAAAATAAGGTTCAATTATATATATCTCAAAAAATGTTCTTTTTTTAATATTTTTTATTAATAATATTCCTTCATTCAGATTTTCTTAACTTTTTAATAAATTGCCAAATTTAAACGCCAAATTTTTCTTTAATTTTTATTCAAATTAACTTCCTTTCTTCGCTCTAAACAATGAGCAGCTACAGCATCCAAAATTCAGCAGCAGCCCAATCAATGGCTGCTTATTTTAAATCAGTTAGTGGAGGGCCTAATCCGTACACAACTTCCTCACAATGTTTTTTATTTAATTTTAAATAAAAAATATTTGGAATTTTTGTAGCTCCATTAGCCTTTTCTGCGGCGGCGGCGGCTGCCAGTGCTGGGTTTTCACCTGCAGCTGCTATGGCTGTAGCTAATGGGTAATTCTTTTATTTGATTTAATAAAAATTTAAAAGAAACCTATATAATGGACACCTTCTAAAATATCTCAAATAGCTCTTCATCCTATTACTCTTCATACTCTTCATCCTATCGCCCTCACTTGTTTAAAGTAGAGATCGGTGCGGGGCGGGATCCCGCGCGTGATTTTGCGGGATTCCGTCTCGAAATCCCGCATTTTTTGAATTGCGGGATTTATCCCGCGGGATCCCGTCCCGCAAATATTTAAAAGAAAAATCACGCATGCGGGATCCCGCAAATACGATTTTACCGACCTCTAGTTTAAAGCTCTAATTTATCTCTTCTCGTTTATCACATCGAATTATCCCAATACTATCCCTCCCAGTTATTTCAGGAGGTTGATTTCCTCAAAGGGGTTTTATATTTTAGGAATAAATAATTTAGAATTCTCTTATATCAAGTTAAACATAAATAATCTTTTCCCTTCACAGATTTCCATTTTCTTCGCCAGACGCCTCAGGGCTTTGGTCAACTGCTCCACCACGTTTTGGGTAAAAATTTTTATTTCCTTCTATGTAGAAAAAATTTTTTTCAATTTAAGAAAGCAAAGAAGGGAGAGAACAACATTTTCTCGAGCCCAATTAGATATACTTGAAAAGGTTTTTTTGGAATTAATTTTTAATAAAAAATAATTTTTTCCCTTAATTTTACAGCAATTTGTATCACAAAGATATCCAGACATGTAAAAAATAATAATAATTTTAAAAATGAATATATTTATTTTTTAATAGATATTTGAGAGAAGAGATGGCAGCAAAAATTGGTTTGCCAGAATCTCGTGTACAGGCAAGTCGAAAATTAATTTTTTTTTATTAAAATTTTGTGTGGGTTAAACCTCTTTATTTTTGTGTAATATTTCTGAAATTTAAATACCCAATATGGAGTTGTTACTTAGTTCCAAACTCCCCTAAAGTAAAGCAGCTGGGCTCCGGAGCTAGCTCCCGGGGTCATACCCAGCACTGCTAATAATAATGGGTTCTAAGGTTTCTGGTCCAGATATCCGGAACTGGAAATCTGTGTACTTGGAAATTTTCGGTTCGGATATCGGTTCCGGATATCCAAAGATTTCCCATAACCATAATCCGCAGATTCCACATATTTTTTAGTGTTTACCTAATATTTTCTTATTGTCTCCGTTAATTTTAAAGAAGAAACGTCTCTATTAAATAGGGTTGGAGTTTTCGAGTCGGGCCGATGTTCGAGCCATTTTTTTCGGTCTTAACTTATATCGGACCGGCCCAACCGAATCTTTTTCGAACCGAAATTCGATGCCCGACTCGATCTTTTGGACCGACCATGCCCCCAACTCTAGTACATATTAAGCAAAAATTATTTTATTTCTTCATTAAAGGTCTGGTTCAAAAATCGCCGGGCCAAAGCTCGTCAAGTCGAAAAAATGGATAAGCGTATATCCTCAACAAATTGTTTACGTCTTCCATGTTCCTCCACAAATGGAGGAAAATTAATAATAAATGGGGGAATTTCTTCAACAACTTCAGATTCTTCTTTGGATAATTCAATAAAAAATGAAAAAATAAATAATTTAAATAATATAAAATTAGAAGAAAATGAAGGGGGAATATTAAATAATAATGAGAGTGGAGGAGGAGGGATATCCCCAGGTTCTCAATTAGAAGCTGAACCTAAAATGCAGCAACAACATTTGGCTAGTATGTATTTGGGAAATCTTTCACCTAGCGCTAGTAAGGGGGTTTGAATTATTTATTTGGGATATTTTGTTGTGTGTGATTTTTTGTGTGATTTTGATTAGTGTGATTTGTGTGAGTTAATTATGTATAACGTTGGGTAGCTAGAAAAGTAGTCTAAATAATAATAACTGCTCTTCAACTGACTCTCAAAACTTATAGAACTGTCAAATAGGGCCGTTAAGAATTTATGTTTTTTAATCTGAGGCCAAGTCTTTGTCTGTCTTAGGGATTTTTCGATCTTCTAGTAGATAGAGAATGCTTTATAAACCAGTGTAGTTTAAGTTTTAATGTCCATAAAAAATCATTTTAATTATTAAAATAGAGCCTCTAAATAAACCTTAATCTAGTATTGTCACATCCCTCTAACTTTTATTCATTTTAATTATTATGTTATTATTATGTATGTATAACGTGAGTGAGTGTTTTTTTTATACCATTTTAATTAAGTATTAATTTATTTAAATTAAGTGATAAACTATTACCCGCCATTTCGTAATGGAGCATATGCCGGTGTTTATGGCAATAGTTACACCAATAATTCTATGGATATGTATACAGCGGTGAATTTTAAATTATATTAAAATAAATTTTTATAGTCTAATAACTAAATTGAATACAATTTCAACTAAAAAATTTTTCGAAAAAAAAATTTAAAAAAAAATTTAACAACAATAGATTTAGAGAAAAATTCCTTTTTTTAAAGGCTTATCCAACAATGGCTGTTGCCGCCGCTGCAAATATGAGCATGAATGGATACACAAATAATATTAGCTCTGCTATGAATAATCTTCCTCAAGTAAATTTATTAAAATAAATTTATCAAAAATAATTTTATTTTTTAGAGTTTAAATGGTTTTATGAATTAAAGAAAGGAAAGGCCATCCAAAAAAATAAATTTTTAAAAAATTTGTTTAACCTTTTTCTTTTTTCCATTAATCTACAACAATTTTTCGATGCAATATAATAATTAAAAAATTAATAAAAAAATATATTTACCTACCTAATTAATGTAATCTCAGGGCTCTCATTCGTGCTTTATTTGAAAGTATTATACTTTGAAACCGACCTCCATACTTAAGAAATTGAATTTATACTTTATTGAAAGTATATACTTTGAAATCAACATTTTTGATTGAGAATGAAATTGGGGAAGGGATTGGGCAAAAAAGTGAATTTTTTTAGCCTTGGGCCTTCGAAATTATCAAAATTTTCGCCTGCGGCGCTGAAAAAAAAAGAAATCTGGCTTCTTGGGCTCCAAATTTCAAAAAATTTTCGCCTGCGGCGCTGAAAATGGGAGAAATCTGGCTTCTTGGGCTCCAAATTTCAAAAAATTTTCGCCTGCGGCGCTGAAAATGGACGAAAGTAATTTGCTTGAGGTTAAGATTTTTGACATGTCATGCGTTTAAATGCACAAAATGCTCAGTGGAAGCAAGAAATTATTAGAAAAGATTCATTTAGGAGAGAAATATAAAAGATTTGAGCACGAATAAATATTTTCCAATTTAATTTGGAGTATACTTTAAATTTGGAAATTTTCTCCCTATATACTTTTTTATCAAGATTTTGATACTTTTGAGTGGCATTTTGTCGATGAGAGCCCTGTGTAATCTTAAAAAAAAGTTCTTTTTTTAAGTCAGGAATAGGCAGAAATTTAATTTCCTTAACAAAGATAGTCTCTTATAATGAGAGGTGGGTTTCTGACTTCCGGCGTTTTTCCCTTCCGATTTCCGAAAAAAAATTTTGATTTCCGATTTCCGAGTTCCGACTTTTGAGCCAGTTCCGCTTTCCGGCTCTTGCGATTTCCGACACCTCTGACTGTTCCGACCAATCTCTGCTTCTTATGAGAGTTGACTAATTCTAAGTAAGCACTACTAATAGAAAACTAAACTATAATTTTGTTGTTGATTCTAAGAAATCCTTTGTATTTCAGAAAATCCCCCCTTCCTTGAAATATCTAGAACTAACTCTCTCGAAAGGATATCCTTCCATAATTAAAAAAAAGAACTTTTAATTTTTAGTTAATAATCCACCAAGAAGAAAAATATTTTTGTACAAAAATTCCCTCATTTTAAATTTTTGTGAATTATTTCTAAATAAATATATGTGATATACTAAGTATTTGATTTTAATTTTTATAGAGAGAAAATTCAAAAAAATATTTTAAAAAACTTCATAAATTTAATATGTATGCAGTTAATCATTAATTAATTATTTATGTTCATCAACCGGCTTTGATTGACTGCTCTCTTTTATTTTTTAAATTTTTTTCACACTTTTTTTCTTTATATCAAAAGAAAATTTTTTAAACTGCAATTTTTTAATTTTTTTATTTTAATTTTTAGTCCAAAAAATATGTATTTAATTGCAATATTTTTAACTGTTATTTAATGCAACAAAAATTGTAAATATTTGAATGACTCATTTCTTTAAATTTATATAAAGTTTAAAATGTTTCTTTAAATTCTTTTTCATTTTTATTTTTGTTTGTCTAAAATTTTAAAGATTTGTGTCATTGTGGGAATTTTTATTGTTGTCTTCTATGTTGGTGTGGATTAGAGGAACTATTATCCGACTTAGAAAATAAATTCAGTATTTTGGGAATTGAATCAGCATTTGAAATCAGAATGTCGCTTCGTATATTTGGTCCCTTGTGTGAATGTCTTAAATTCGTTAAAATTTCAAATCCACTAAATCCAAAAAGAGGTTGTGGGTTAATTTATCCGCAGCTGCAGTTCTAGGTTGATTCTTTTAATGAGGGTTAACCTCAATTTCTACCCGAGTAAGAGGAACCTGGTAAATATACTACCTCATTTTTAGAATACCGCCCCAGTAATTCCAACACCCAAAAAATTTCTTTTAAAGAACATTTTTAATTTAAAAACTCTCCCACCATTAAACCCCCACCATACATAATCAAAACATTTTTTTCAAAAATATATTATTTACCTACTCCTTTCAATCATTTAAAATAAAAATATCAAAAAAATTAAAAAGAGGGGAGGAATCCGTGCGCGCAAATTCATAATTAACAAAAAGAATGTAATCAATCATTTTTAGATTACGAACTCTAAAAATGAATGGAAAATAACCACAGACCTTTTAAAACAAGTCATTTTATTATTTTAAATTTATTGATAATTGCAGTATTAATAACAACGCCTAAAAAGAAAAAAAATAGTTTTTATCAAGTGTGAGAAAACTTTAATTTTATTTATTTTTCATGTGCTTGAATCTTCCAATTTTTGAAAAAATTTTAAAGAGTTTTTGAAGACCTTTTTAATAACTGTAAAAAACAATTGAGGACAAACTTCTCTTTAAATTTTAATAAAGTTAACAAATTTCACATTTAATATAGTAATATGAACACACACTGCATTTCCTTAAGGGAATATTAAAGTACCAAACGAAAGACAACTAAATCTGTTCAAGAGCTGGACAGAAAAAGGATAAAATTTTTTTGAAATTAGAGTGCTTATTAAAGATTTTTCAAATAACCTATGTACCAGGGGTGTGCCATTTCGCCTTACGTCTTTAGCCAAAATTCCGCCTTTTTTGGACTTTCGCCTTTCGCCTTCCGTCTTTTAAATTTACTTTAGCAATTTCGCCTTTCGCTTTTTAAAATCTGTTTCGGCACATCCCTCTATGTACCTTAAACATTAAATTAAACATTAAATTGCTAACTTTCTAAAATCTAAAGATTACTGGCCTTCAAAATAAAGAAAATTAGGGTTTGAATCGAGCTTCATTAATAAACATCTTTTGAGAGAATAATTCACTTTTGTATTTATTAAATACGCCAAAAAATAAATAAAAACACAATGCCAAAATAAAAAAATTCCTAAAAATTTTCTTGCCTCGGGCATTTTAGCTTTCCTTTAATTTTTTCAATTTTTTTCTTGCCTTTTTTAAAAGAATGTTTGTGCCTTCTTCATCTTCAAATCATTCCCCTATTTTTGCCAATTCTTCTTCTGGCCCAAATTCTGATTTTGTTGTTTCTGCGACTGTTTGTCCAAGTATTACAGCTGTTCAACAAGCAAAGTTATGTCAGAAAAGATGTTTACAATGGAGGGATATATTTTCTGAAAGAATTTATTTGGTTTCTTTTAAATTTGATTTTTTTTAATTTTTTTCCAAAGGTTTGTAATCAAATCCACCCAGGAATGGGCCTTGAAAAGGATGCCCACCAATATATTTCTGAAATATTGGCAAGAGTTTTGTATGAAATATTGGAGCAAGCACCAACAAATCCTGAAGATTTATTACAAAAAGTAAAGACTACATTCCCTTTGGCATTGGGGAATTTTGTGGCAAAAGTGAGTTGATAATTTTTGTTTTTTTAATATTTAAGTAATATCCTTTTGGCAATCCTGTTAATTTTCTTTTTGTTATTCGAACCATCTCACGCTGGGTATTCTAATTGATGGCCTCCCTACTTCAAAAGAGGATTTTTTATCTCCATTCCTTGTTTTGTTTCAGTTTTTTAAAGTCTTAATCAAATCCACTGTGTAATTATTGAAAAGGATATGACGTTTTTTGTTTCCCCGCCCTAACTAGAGACCGAACTTTAGTGGTCGTTCGATAATATCGGTATTGATAATATCGACATTGATATTTTCCATCGATATATCGTATTGATTCTGTCTAGTTCTAATACATCTTAACCCTAATCTATTTTCCCAGTAAAACCAATTTTTACCAAAAAGATTTTAAAATTAAATTTTTCAAAAAATACAATTTAAGGAGACTCGAGATTCTGTTCAAAATTTCTTCCTCAAACGCCTCAACCAAAGCAAATCAAAAGAAGTTAAATCTCTGGCTGCACTTTATAGAAAAATTTATAATGTATCTAAAGAACATTTGGGACAAAAATTGGACGAAAAAACAGTCTCTCAATTAATGCATGTTTTGGAGTATATTTTACATGATTTATTGAATGTGAGGGAGAGGAGGGTTTTAATTAAAATTTTTGATAACAATTTTTAGTGGACAGGCACTTATGTAAATAAACTTCTCGATGAAAGCAGCACAATAAGTCTATTTGGACTAAGAACGGCTTTAAATGCTGACAGAGTTTGCTTTAAGTAGTTTTTTTATGATTTTAAATTATTAGGGGCTAGCTGATCTACTTGAAATTCTTTATGGAAATGAGGAGGAATTGTCTTTGGCAGGAGTTTTTACAAATACTACACAATCTTCTCCAGCTGCGCATACAGTTAATTTTTTTAATTGATTAGATTTTTAATTTTCTTAACTGAAAGGTTTACTTTAAATAATAATAAAAAATATATACTTTTTAAATTAAGTTTGGGGTTTCCTCGTCTAAATTTTCAGTTCGTTAGAAATCCTCTAAAAAATTGTTTCTTATAACCACGTTAATTTTTATTCTATATTTTTTCCGTTAAGTTTTCTATTTGATGTTTGAGTTAAAATGTCATATACCTAACTAATATTTTTAATATTTTATTCATTTAAAAAATTCTTATTTAATTTTTAGCCGTCTATATCTTCCTCAATTTCTGTTGACCAACATGTACAAGAATCTGACAAAAGTCAATATTATGAAAAGGTTTTATTTAAATATTTTTTAAAATTATTTCTCTTAAATTTAGCTTTGCAATGAATTCAAACAAGACGAAATGCGTTTTATTCGCGACCTTAGTATGATTGTTAATGTTTTTAAACGTCGTTTGGAGGCAGGAATAATAGGAAGTTCCCCTTCTAAAGACAATTATATTGCTGGAATATTTGGAAATGTTCACGAAATTTATGAACTTACAATAAAAATACATCGAACAATCGAGGACGGAATTGATATGGCAAGTCCCCCATTGCTTGGAATGGGACTTTGGGAATTGGCAGAGGGGTGTGAATTTGATGTTTATCTTCAATTTATGGTTTGGTTAAAAAACATAATTTTAATAAATTTTTTTTTAATTTAAGGAAGTTTTTAAAGAACCGCTTAATAAGAAAATTGAAAGAATGATGAAAGAGCCAACTTATTTGGAGTATTTTGATGTAAGTTTTATTGAAATTTATTGTTCAAATTATTTTTCGCAGCTAATAGTTTTTAAAGAATTTTTTTATTCATCGTTTTCATCGGAAATTTGTTTCGGGAAAAATTTTTCGGGAATTTTTGGCGATCATTTTCTGATCAAAAATGACCCTTAATCTCGATAGCCCTTAATTTTTTCCCTAATTTTCAGATTGAAGATAGAATTTATAGTGGCACTCCAGGAGGGCATACTTTCCGAATGGCTGTCAAATATGTTTTGCCTTCTTTACTTTATTCTGTAATGGCACATTTTAGATGTTATGGGGAATATGTTAAGGTTTTTTAAATTTCTATTTATTTATAAAAACTTTTTTAAGCTAATGATGGGTGCAACAGAACAAGAAACTGATCAAAAAGACCTTTACAATACAGCAATGTATTTAAATGTTGTTGGGAAACGAATTCAAGATCTTAAACTTCCAATTGCGCCACACATGTTTTTTTAATTAATTTTTAGCTCAAATTTATATTTTTAAGAAGCGAAAAATATTCTCGTGGCATTCGGAGAGACAATACTCGATCTTTTCATATGAATGTTATCCAACATATACAACGAAGCATTGGTTTATTGTTAGATAAAATCCTTGTATATTTTTTTTATTTTAGAGGGCTGGGAAGGCAAAGAAATTGGATATATGTGTAATATGTTTATAAGAGAAGGGGAACTTTTCCAGATGAGGAATTCGCCGACAATTGCAGGTAATTTGGAATGGGTCTTTTCTATTCTAGTCGATCGTCCTATAAAGAATTTCCTTTTACCAAATTTGAGTCTTAATTCCAATTTCCACAATCTGTGCTTGTTCATAGCAGAGGTGGGTCGGAATTCCGATTTCCGGTGTTTTTCCTTCCGATTTCCGAAAAAAATTTCGATTTCCGATTTCCGACTTTTGAGCCAGTTCAGATTTCCGGCTCTTCCGATTTCCGACACCTCTGACTGTTCCGACCCACCTCTGGTTCCTAGTTCTAACACCCCCGATTGTTCTGACCCACTCTCTCATTCCCTTAAACTTCTTGTTATTACTGCTACAAACCAAAAACTCTAAATCCTTGTTTTTTTAATTATCTTTCAATACAAATCCTAATTTTACTAGTTTCTAGATAATATTCTCCGTACTCGATCTAATTGGACTGAAAGATATGTTTTTCTCTTTGACCACTTGCTGGTTATATGTAAATCACTTAAAAACCATAACACAAAAGGAAATGTTACTGGAAGCCAATATTTATCTTCAACATCTGCCTCATACAAATTTAAAGATAAATTATACATTCGACGATCAGATATAATTGATTTAGAAGACGATGATGAAGTAAAAAATGCTTTTAAAATATGTACAACAGCAAAGGGGAGTAATGACGAATATATGAATATTGTTACTTTATTTTGTCAAACACCGGAAGACAAAGAAGCTTGGATGACTTCTTTGGTTGAAATGCAGACTGCTGGGTAATTTTTGTTGATTTTTTTAAAATTTACTGGGACTTCTTTTTTTGCCTCAACCAAAGGAATTTTTTAGACTTTTAAGCTATAATGTAATTGTATTTTTAGCGTTTTACATCGCATGTTGGAAGCTTATTTAAAAGAAGAAGAAAAACGTATTCCACTTATTGTACCTACTGTTTGTGAATATCGCTATGCAGAGCCGGATACAGAAGAGAATATAATTTTTGAAGATTATACCCATAATAGTGGTATTCCTGTTGTGCGTTCAGGCACCATTTTGAAATTAATTGAACGTCTCACATTTCCAAGGTTCGTTATTTTTTTCGATATTTTACAGCAATTTTTTCTTTTAGATATACAGATAATGAATTTGTCAAAACTTTTATGATAACATATCGATCATTCTGTTCTTCCTCCGAACTTTTTTCTTTGCTTATTGAACGTTTTACAATTCCAACCCCCCATCCATTTGCTTCACTAGATCCACATATGAGTGTTGTATTAGCTACACAACATCAACAGAATCGGTTTATTTATATTTAATTTTTAGTTATTAGTTTATTTTTCTTCTAAAGAACTTCGGGGGATGTTGTCAGCACTTCTCCAGCTTATCAAAGCCTTTCTCCGGCAGAATTGGAGCAGGCATTTCACCGTTTTCGACAAGAATATCAAAAACCAATTCAACTCAAGTTTGTTTATTTTTCCTTTTTTTTTCTAAAATTATTTTATTTTCTAGAGTTTTGAGTGTTTTAAATCATTGGGTCAGTAACCACTTTTATGACTTCGAAAATGACCCCGATCTCCTACAAAAACTTGTTGACTTTCTTAACGGCAAAGATACTACAATTAAATTGACAACAAATCACAAAAAATGGTGTACTAAAATTCAAGTAAAAATATTGGATTTATAATTTTAATTTCTTTAATTTATAAAGGATGTAATTAAAAGAAAACAACGTAATTCAAGTTCTGCAGATGGAACTTTACAAAAACCAATAAACAATGACAGTTTACAAGTTGCTGGAACTGGTGGTTTTGCTCCTAATATTCCAGAGGTATAATGTTTAAATTTGGATTATTTTTTGATTTGTCTCAATCCCATTTTTGGAGAAAAGTTTCCATTTATCCCTTACCTAATTATCCTTTCCTGATATATGATCTAAAATTGTATCCTCTGTTTTTATAGCCCGTTTGGCACTTTGCAAAAGAAGGCGATATTGCTAATTATGATATGTTGACACTCCATCCATTAGAAATTGCAAGACAAATTACTTTGCTTCATTTTAGTCTTTATCGTGCTATTAAACCTTTTGGTTTGTTTTACTCGAACTGTATGTTCACTTATTCCAATTTTTTTTAGAATTAGTGGATGCTGCTTGGACAAAACAAGACAAATACCAAAGAAGCCCTCAGCTCCTAAAATTTATTGACCACAGCACAAATGTAAATTATAAATCAATTTATTAATAAATTAATAACTTTTTAGTTAACCTATTGGGTCGCTAAATCTATAGTAGAAACTGAATCTTTAGACGAGAGAGCCGAAATGTTTTCACGCGTTCTTGAAATTATGTTTGTTTTTGAGGAATTGAATAATTTTAATGGATTGATTGCTTTTTTCTCGGCTCTTAATTGTCAACCAGTATATCGTTTAGAAGAGAGCAAGTCGGTAAGTATAGAAGAAAATTGTTTTAAATATTTTCTAAAGAAATCCTTTCCTTTTTTGTAATTTACTTATTTAAGCGCCTTGAGAAGGAGAAAAAATCTTGGTATGATCGTTTTGTTCAATTATGTGGTGATGGACATTTAAGTGAATTATTACATCGTCTTCGGTCAATAAATCCGCCGTGTGTACCTTTTGCTGGTTTTTATTTTTTTAATTATTAAATATCTTCCCTTTTTAGGCACTTATTTGACTCAAATTGTTCTTCGCTTGGAAAGTCTTAAACAACTAGAAAATCGAGATAACAAGGCAAACCAACAAAAACAACAAAATGCCTCTCCAAATACTGATCAACAACCGGTAAATTTTTTATGAATCCGTTTTTTAATGTATTCTATTCCTTTTAACCGACTTATGTTTATTTAAATTTATGTGGCTTTAACTAATCTTTATTGTCATCCCTGAGAGCCGCATCCTCTTTAATTTGACACATTGTTTTGTCTTTGAGAACTTATCTAAAATTCCTTTAACGTTTATTTCAGAAAACTGATGTCTCTACACCAGAAGCTGAATCAGACAAAAACTCATCCCCAAGATTGCCCCAAAAATCCAAACTCAATGAACGCTTAAACGTCTCTCAAAGAATTATTTCCTTTGTTAAATGTCGCAAAATTGCTGCTATAATCCGTGAAATTCAAATGTATCAAAACCAGCCTTATCCACTCAAAATGGAACCGACAATTCGGGTGGGGTTTTTTTTAATTAAAATTTTTTTAAAGAAATTTACTGAAAAATTTTGATGTTTTCTATTTTTGATTAATTCTTATTTAGTTTTTTCATCTTCGTTTGATTACGTGTTTTAGTAATGACAAAAATACCTCTTTAATTACGTTTAAAATTTCTTCCTTATTGCTACTAATAAAAAATAGTTTCTTTCCTTCTAAACTAAATAATCATTCATTTAACATAGTAGAACACAACAAATCTCGTGAGTTTTAATTGCAAATGTCGCTTCTCTTTTCTGCAACTATATTTAAATTGTTAAAGTTTTAAGGATCATAAAGATGTTTAAAGATTAGAAAAAAGATATATAGATTACCCCTCCAATTTGATCACTTTTTTATTTTTCGTTGCAATTTATCTCGTTAATTGTGGTATATATTAAGTAAGCTCTCATTGATCTTTTTCTAAACAATATTTGGCTTCGTTGATTAGTTTGAAGAAGGAAAGTAGCCAACTGACGCTTTTCATTTAGTCTTCTTTCTTAAAATTTACCGCACAATTCATTGCTCTCGAAAGGAAAAAGGCGAAGTAGTTAGTTACTCGCCGCCCACTAAAATGGCCTTACACACTGATTATCTTCTTTTCTTCTTTTTTTCAATTTAAATTGCTTCTTCCGATTTAGAATCGGAAAGGGAGAGTGCGAGAGAAAGAAAACCTTTTAGTAATCAAAACAGATTTCTTTCCTTTCCTTTCTTCATTCTCGAAAACACATACATATACTCCTCCTGTTTCATTACAATCAATCTCTTAATGTGTCCAACGACGTTTATCTTTTTTAGAGTATAAACTATTTTCTTCTTTTCTTCGTCGTCCACTTTCCTCCTCTTTTTTTTATTTTAAAATCTAATTAATTTTTAAATTTAATTCATCTTGATCAGCAACACTTTAACCCTATTTTTGGATATTTCTTTTTATTTTTACTTTCATTGTTCCAAATTAAAAAAAAATTTTTTCTGGTCAAATGGTTGCAATGTTTTCATTTTTTTGTGAAGCTGCTGAACCTATTTTTAATAATTGTTTTTCTTCCACAAATGGTGGTTATGATTATTTAATGTTTCCTACTGAAAATCGACGGAAACATGGTTTCTCTTTTTGAAGAAATTTTGTTTCTAAAAATATTTTTTTTCTTCTTCAGCAAGTTTGTATCGCAAAGTTAGTATTGCTAATAAATGTTCTGTTGTGAGTATTCCACAAATAAATTTTGCACGTTTTTCTGGCAGAATTTCTCGAACATGTTCTGTTTCTAATGTTGAAAGGTGTTTGTTTTTTTTCTTTGCCCCTTTTTATTCTTTCAAACAAAAAAAAACTTTTAAAGACTACATAAATCATCTTCTGCGCCTCCTTCCGAAAATTTTTCTGTTAAAGAAGAATGTGTAAATAATTTTTTATATTCTCGTCCAAATTCTTTTCATAAATTAAATGTAAGAAGAAAATCGTCAGTAAATTCAAGAAGTCGGACGAGAATTGATTTGAGGAATGACGGATCGACTGAAAGGAAAACTAGCGGATTTGGACGATTATTGGTGTCTAATTTTTGATCAAAATATAAATATTTTATTAAAATTAAATAGTTTTTTGTGTTTTTCAATTTTTATTTTTCAGCATTTCTTCGAATCTATCAACCCTCTCAATGGCTTTAAAGACAAAGACGATTTTGAGGAATACCTGTACAATAGGTCTAGCAAAATTGAACCAAAAAATGGAGAAATACCTAATCCGGTATGTTGCCTAGTTTGATTTTTGTGTTACCTGAAGATTAAATGGGCACTGGATTTTTTTCCAAATTTAACACAGGGATTCGCTTCTCACATAAATTTAATAATTTTATTTTAAACTATCTTTCAGAAGCCCAAACATTCACTTGAGGCTTTGAAGTCGCCAGGAGTTCGACAACAACAAAAAACTCCAACCAGCGCAAATGCACCTAGCGCTACACCAACCCAGCTTCGAGCATCAAAAAGCTCTACCAAATCTTCTGTTTCATCACCACGATCTCCAAACCAACCTGGAACAACGGATAGCGGTAGTGGCAATTTACTCTCACCATCACATATGAATGTCCCGTTTTGGAGCAGCCCACCTTCCGGTTCTTCGACTAATTCCCCAGCTTCTTTAATGACTACAGAAGATCAAAACTTTGCTGTTGTTGATATAAATCCTGGTAAGGGTTTTTATGCGAATATTTGATTAAATATTTGATTCTTGCTTCATGGACATCATCATTGTTACAATTTTTATTTTCTAGGCCAGTTCCCTCGTTGGTTAGCTGATACAACTAGCAGTGGACGTGTCAATCCAGCATTCATTTCCGAATATGTACCAAGTGCTGCAGCAGCCGCAATGTTGCCTTCAGCCCTCTCACACAGCTCCAACGAATCACCGCCACTTTCATCATCTCCAGGCGTTAATTCCTCCACCTATCCTCATAGTAGGAGAAAGCCGCCTGTCCCTCTATGTATAGGTGAATCTCATTTTACCTTTCCACCACCGCTTCCACAACAACAACACCCTCAATTTGGAGGAACTTTTCGTAAACCTCCAGCACCACCTCCACAACACCATCAAAATATTCAACATCATCAATCAAGTGAAGAACCAAGTCCATCTTTTCTTTCGCCAACATCTGCTTTTCCTTTGGCAAAGCCGCCATCTGCTCGGAAGAAGTTGCCTTCAGAAGGTTCTCAAGGTGAAGTTGGCGATGAAAAATCTTCGGTGGATTCTCCAGTTGTAAGTTTTTATCATATTATACTTTAGTAGAAGCAATTTTCTTTTTTAAAGGAACTTCCTCCAAAATTGCCTCCTCGTTTAAATTTATTAACTAAAGAAGCATCAACAGAGGCAACAGCTCCCCCAAGGCCTCCTAAAAAACTTGCAGCATTAAATTCAGGCAAAAGTCCAACATGTGAAAACCAACAAAATTTATCAATTTCATCAACAACAGCTTCACCATTTGATTCTGAAGCAATAGCTCCACCATTGCCTCCAAAACCAAAAGGAATGAAAAAGTGACCAAAAAAAACAAATCCTGTACTTATTTAAAAATATTTTTGTATTTTCAGTCATATCTTCTCCCATTTTTTGGATGATACATATATTCCTTCCATCCTTTCTTGCCTATTTTCTGATCTGACTTGTTTTTTTGCTCATACTTTTTTAATTTTATTTTTCTTTCATAATTACAAAGTGCCTTTTTCTTGCTTAAAAATTATATTAGCAAATGAATAAAAGGGTATAAAATAATGTAAATGTATTTGAAATTTTATGTTAATTATTTTTTTGTTAGAGGGGCATTCGAAAGGTCGACTTTCTTTCGACTTTCGAGGAAACTTTTCAAAATAATACTTCCTCTTATCCGAGTTTGAATGACCGGTTAATTTAGTAATGACCAGTTAATTTAGTTTAAGGAACTTCCTCAACTGAGTGCTTTAACACCTATTTTATCTCCTTTTTAGACATTTTACCATAAAAAAATTTCTAAAAAAATATTTCCCAATATTTACTTCGTTAAATTCAATATTTATTACAACAAATTTGAAGAGATTCTTTTCTGTTAATTTATTAATTCATCCAGGCCTGAATCCATCACCTCTCCCTGTTGCTATATTTCTTTTGGATGCTTTTGTTTCAATTTCCATGGGGTCAATCTGACATATAATTAAATTTTTTGGAGTAAATAATTTTTTCCAGAATTTTACCAAAAAATTTGGCCATCTCAATTTATTGATTCCTCCTCTAGCAACTAAATTTTGTCTATTATAGTTGTTCAAGTCATTTTCTAGATGCCGCCATTGCTTTGAATTTAACAAAATTTTAAGTTCTCCAAAATCACATTCGGACAAAGAAAAAACCATTAAAAGGCCAATGCTGACCAAAAATCTTTTCTGAATGAACATTCAGTGCCTTAACACTAAAAAATTAAAAAAAATTATTTTCAAAATTTACGCAATTCATTAAAAGGGGGATATGCATAACGAGATGAGGAAAAACATAGTAAATGAAGGACATCCATCATTTTTATCTAAGCTTACCACACAACATTTAGCCCCTCCTAAAATACTTCCGGCATATTTGTATGTGTGCAGACGACGTTCTTTAGGAATAATATGCCTTTTTGAGTGGGTTTTCTGTTAAGAATCTAATTCCGGATTTTAGTCTGCAATTGACAGCTTTTGGTTTAAATCATCCACAATTTTTAATAATAATTTTGCCAAAAACTTTTTTTATGTCATTTCAAGGAATAAAATTTGAAAATTAAGGATTTGGTGATTGATCCCTTAATTGAGGAAAACTGAAAGAGGAATACTATGTTCCTTAGCAATAATAATATGCCAGCAAATAATGTGTGGTAAGAGTGGATAAAAATGATGTTTTTTTCAAAAATTTCTATGGAAAATAAAAAAATTGAGGAAGAATAAATCTTTAATATTTTCAATATTCAATAGGTAGACACTTGTGCGCATAAAATTAACATAGTAATTGTTTTATGCAGACTTTGGATTATTTAGCATAATTATTCTTTTTCCTTTTATGTTTTTTTCTGGAATTTATATAACAAAAATAGAAAAAAATCTAATTTATTTTCATTATCATGATTCATCATTCGACTTATTCTATTTGCAATAAGCGCACTGTATGCCCCAAAAATTTTTATGGGAATTTTTGGAAGTACGGAATTTTGTAAGTTTTCAATTTTGAAAGTACGAAAGTCGATTTGTGAGGAATTTGTAAGACTTTCAAAATAAATACGAATCGGAGCCGTTTTTAACTTGTCTTTTTGTAAATAAATTTTAATTTATTAGTTTGTTTGATTAGATGTTCATTAAAATTGAGATAGTTTATAAATTTATGTTTTGATTTTTTAAATGTATTCAATTTCCAATTGTCTTTACTACGAAGCTTTTAGCAAAATATTAAATCTCCTCAGGAAATCCTTTTTGAATTAAAAGCTTTTCATAAATTTGGCGTTTTGTTTAATGACAGTTTGTCCCAATATTGAATGAGAAGAAAAACTAAAAGGAAGAGAGAGTGTGGAAAATATGGCGGTTTGGCTAGAGTTTCGCCTTTCTTTTTTCTAATTTTGGCTTTGTTTTTCTTCTAATTTTTACGAAAATTAATTTTAAAAAAATTTCAGATTTACTATATATTTTTTGTAACGTCCTCTTTACTTGTCTACATAAACTTGAGGATATTTCTTAACCTTTAATTATGTTTTATGCCCAATTTGTCTTATCCAAAAAAGGCCCGCTTGCAAAAATATGGCTAGCAGCACATTGGGAAAAGAAACTTTCAAAAACTCAAATTTATGAGACAAATGTGCAGGATGCTGTTGCAGAAATTATTCAACCAAAGGTTTTTTCTGGATAAATTTTGAGGAAATAAGGGTAATAGTTCGGATGAGACCCCCCCCCTCCTTTTTCCATCTTTAAATATTAAAAAATGGAACCCGTCGAGCTGTGTCGAATGACACCAAAAACAACCCCCGGTCTTAACTTTGGGCCGAGATACAGACCCCTGAAAATTGAAAAATAACAGGGTAGACCAGGCTTATTTTTCGGGATAAAAATTTGATTAATCAAATAATAGTTCATTCGAAATAGCTTGTCGAGCTGATTCGAATGACATCAAAATCAACATAATTGAACAAGATTTGACAAAGTTATAACATAAAGTAATCCTATTGTAGTCGTGAGACGCTTTTGCAAAACCTTTCTCTTTGCGGAGGGTTTTTGTCTGTATCTCGGCCCAAAGTTAAGAGCAGGGGTTGAATTTGGTGTCATTCGACACAGCTCGACGAGTTCTATAACTTAAGTCTGACTGACCATTTTTTAATACTTTTAGAAATGAAAAAGGGGGGGGGTCTCATCCGAACTATTACCGAAATAAGCCTAATTTTAGGTCAAACTTTCTTTGCGAACTACTGGACATTTACTTCTTGGAATTGTCAGAATTTATTCTCGCAAGGCCAAATATGTTTTGGCTGATTGTAACGAAGCTTTTATTAAACTTAAAATGACTTTTAAACATGGAAGTACTTGTGACCTTGCTCTTCGTGACAGAGAAGACAGAATGGGGAGTACTGACATTCCTGAAGTAATCTCTTTGTTTTTATTTTTAAATTTTTTCATAAATTTTTAGGTGATTACTGATTTTTATGACAATCTTCCGGAAATTAATGATTTTGATCTTGGCCCGCTCGGCGAATTTCAAGCAAATCAGAGCCGAATTGATGATATTACACTTCGAGAAGAACGACCAAATGCTTACAACAAAGGCCTTGATTTCGTTGCGACAACAGATGGAGAAGGGGTAAGCGATTTTTTGCCAGTTTTAACTGGCTTTTGAATTTTTGTAACTTGTAAAGATGCGTGAGCACGTAATGAACTAAACTTTTTAAATAAATCAATAAATGTCCTTAGCTAAAATTTTTTTAATGAATGAGGTGAGAAAAGTGGAAAAATGTCAGCAAAGAGATAACCGCGTTGCATGCCCACCCTTTGCTAAATTTTTTTAATCTAAATTTTTTTAATTCCAAATTTTAATTTATCAAATTTAAGTTTGACGATTTTGGAGAGAAAGATAGACGAGCTCGCTCTCGAAGTATTTTTGAAGAAATGGAAGAAGAAATGGAACAACAACGAAGGGAATCTCGCAATTCTGTGGCAGCACCAGGAGAAAGTTTTTTGATTCCTCGAGATCAAAGTCTTCTTAGAGAAGATGGACCGCCACAAAAGGACAAGGAAGGATTCGAACTTTTTAATAGCGATTTGAATGATTTTGGGACTGCTGAAGATTTGGATTTGTTTTTTAATGCTTCGGATTTGGGAAGGTTTGAAAGGCGAAAAATTTTGAAAATTTTAATTTAATTTTTAAAGAGAATTAGAACTCAATAACCAAGCGGCCGCCACTCCAATGGCGCCAGGAGACGATATAGAAGACCAGCCGATGGATGTTGGAGAAATGCAGCAAGTCCCCAACAATGAATTAAGTTTTCAATTGGAACCAATTGAGCAGCAGCCACATCACGAAAGAATGCGACATAAACGAAAGCGCAAATTAATTATTGATGAACAAAAAAGTTTAACGGGAGAAGAAATGAAAGCTAATATGGCAGATTATAGGTTTGTATATATTTATTTTTAATTTGGAGGGGTGGAAAATTTTTTTAAGATTTTATGATTTTTCTCATAAACTTCTTAGAAGAAAATTTTATTTTTTAAAGTGAAAAATGGTTCATATTTTCATTTTTTAGAAATTTTCGAAAAGCTTTTTGACTTTTCAGTGACACCCTCCAACCGCTTGATTTGGCACCACCAACAAAACAATTAATGCGTCTTCGCGAAAATTGTCAACTAGAAAAGATTTTAATGATGCCGGCTAATGCAGAATGGATTTTAGATCCTGAAATTATTCGCGTTAGTTTTTTTTTGGTTCTTAGAAATTTTTGTGATGGAAAAATATCTTTTAAGATATACCAATCACGTTTGGAACTCCACGCGGCTGATCCCTATGATATTGCTGAAAGCGATTTGCGTCTCGATTTGGAATTGTCTGACACAATTGTTGAGGAAGAAATTGCTCGAGTAGAGGTTTAATAATTTTTGAATAAAATTTTTAAGTGTTTTTAGGATCGTCCTGAAAGTGCACCTGTTGAAGCCAACGAAAATTTAGTTCCAGAACCAGAAATGGAGGTGTCACAGGAAGTTCCAACAGTCCCAGAAACTTTAACTTCCCCACCACCTGTGGAAAAGAAATCGGAAAAGAGACGCGCTCGTGTTGATGTTTGTTTTTTTTAATATAATTGCTTTAAAATAATTTATTTTTTAATTTTTAGAAAGATGAAGAGGAAGTTGAAGAGGAGGAATTATTTACTCGCAGAACGAAAAATGTTTTACAGGCGATTGCAACTAAAATACGTTCAAACAGCGAGAATAAGGTATCTTGTTTTTAATAGAGAGGATTGATTTGTAAGGCTAAAATTTAGAAAATTTGTTATAACTTGGATTTAGTTAGGTAATCTCTAATTCTTCAAATATTCCTTTATCCCAATCTGACTATTTATAAGAGAAGTTTGGTCACCTATAGACCTTTAAAAAATTCCAAATTAAAAATTATACTTTTAGATAACATTCGACGACTTATTAACAAAAGGGTCAACACGTAGGACAGCCGCGCAGAAATTCTATGCTCTTTTGGAACTTAAAAAATGGCAAGCAATAGAGATTGAACAGGAAGAGCCTTATGGACCAATAGAAATCTCATCGGGACCTCGACTACAAGAAACAATGAAATTCCCAGTCTGAGTCCTTATAAATTAATTTGTTCTTAAGGTTTTTCTTAAGTATTTTGTTCTTAAATATCCGATACTCCTTACTTATTTTAAGCTTAATTTTCTGTATTTTTACTTAAAAAATAAATGTAAATTAACTATAATTTTTATAAAAATTTAAAGCAATTTATTAACATATTTTTAAAGCACTTAAAGAAATTTTATTTTTTAATTAACTTCATCATAGAAAATTCGAGCCAAACAGAATCGGCAAAAAAAGGCAAATATAGAACATAAAATTTGTAAAATAATAAATTTATTTGTCAATTCCCATTCAAATTGAGGTCCACGAAATTTTAATATTAAGTTGAGAATTGTTAAGTTGTTCATTGATGTCCAACTAAATTTAAGGAATTTAAAAAGAAATTAGTTATGTCTTGGTTCAGGGAACCTTTTCTAATAATCGTCTAAATTTTACAGCCGCTGGAGAACGAAAATAGTGATAGGGTCAAAAAATTGAAACCGAGGAACCATTCGATTTTTTGGATCCAGGACATCAGGATTAAACTAATTTTGTCCAAATCCCAAAGTAAAAGTTTTGTCATTAGCAACTTATTATTAAAAAAATAAAAAAACTTGCAAACCTTTCTCCATCTTTAATGTATTCCTTGTAATAAATTAATCTAGCCATTCCAAGTATTCGAAAACAAAGATTTCCAATTTTGGTCAATTTATGAGGTTGAAAGTCCACCATGCTCATTTCTAATTTTCCATTTTCATTTAAACGTGGAAGTCGATGCCGAGGACAAGGAATTAAATGAAAGAGTTGTGGGCAAGAAAAAATGAAATTTATTATCTAAAAATGAATTTAAAAATAAAATTACGAAGTTAACCTGTGGAAGAAGAAAAAGCAACAAAGTTTTTGAAAAGCGTCCAGTTAGAGCAGAAACTGCAATGGTCATTCCGGCCCAATAACAATAAGTATCGCCAACAAATGCTTTGGCGGGATATTTGTTGATAATAAATAAAGCTGTTGATGTGCCAATAAAAGGAAGAATAAAACAAAGTGAAAGAACGTGATGCCATAATTGTATTGAATCTATTGAACGGATAACCTAAAATGAAAAAGGAACATGACTGACTTCGATCAAAAAAGGATCCAACAGAGGAACACTGTTTACCATAGTAGCAAATTTGCTATATTTTTTGGTACCATTCGATAGAAGACCCCCGAATTCCTATTGAAAAATCATGTTCGAGAAAGAGTTCGCAAAAGTTTAGCCACCGGGCAGGATTCGAACCTGCGACCTCCTGACAGTTATTGCTAGGCCCTGCCTAACCGTTTTTAAACCTCCGCCTAAGCGTTTTAAATGCTGCTAGGTGAATCATCCTTACATTCGTTTTCTTGCAAACTGACTTTGGGCCGAGTTATAGCCATTCAAGATTGGACTACTAGATTATGAATTATAGGGGAGTAAGTTCTCCTATATATCCTACCCGAAAAATCAATGAAGAAATCAAAAATCCTTCAAAAACTAACCTGAATTGTATTGAAAACAGCAATACTAGCAGTAATAACCAAAGACTGTCCAACTTCAACTCCATTAATTCCAGCAATTATATTAATTGCATTGGTACAAAAAATAACCAGAGAAACCATATAAACATAATAAAACGGTCCAATATCCAAAAAGCTAGCACCTCCCAAATATTTTTGTAAAAAATGTGGCAATAAAACAGCAGTGGAATTTTCTGAAAAAATTAATTAAAAGAATTTAAATATTTTCAAACTTGAAAGAAGGTAAACTAAAAGAAGAGGCATAGAAGAAAGTGTTGGAAATAAAAGTTTGTGGCGCCAACGAAGGTCAAGTATATCATCTGCAAATCCCAATAAAACAGCTGTACAGATACTTACAAGTCCAGCCAAAAGAGACAGCAAATTGAGAAAAGAAGATTTATCACTTAAATAAAGGAAAAAATTTTAATTTCAAAAAATTTTTTCAAAAATTTTGGAATTTATTTACCCAATTCCAGAGGGAAGGGGCCGTTTCTCAGATACGCCCTCGGTTACTAAAATATTTTTCGCAAAAAATAAATACCATTCAATGTTTGTTGATCCATTTTCACCAGTAAAATCACGCCTCAAAAAAATCGCTTAACGTCATATGCAAAACTCCAGTTTTGTCACTGAAAGAAGTGACAACCGCAGAAAGAATTGTTGGCGTTCGAGTATATTGAATCTATTCGTTGTTGGCGCCTTGATAGCCCTCGACCATAGGAGAAGAGTTGTAAAATGCCCAAGGAACTGCATACTTCACCCGACGCTTAGCATTACGGAGTTGAGTCGAGTCCTGGAACTTGAATATGTTGCCAAAAGCAGTTGCCTCACCACCATTAGCGACCTATCAAATTAAAAAGTTAAGATAACCCAGAATATATCTGGCAATGACAAGTAATACCCGAACCCTAATATATTTCAAATAAAACTAACTAAAGCATTTCTAATCAGCACCCGGTTTTCAAGATCCAAACAATCACCACCAACAAAGTCCAACACCAGAAGAGGGTCGCCATTTTGTTTGGTCAGCCATTCTTCAAATTTTGGACCAAGATTGAGTTTATCGGCAATAAGTTTTGGAGTCAAATCTGGATCACGATTTCTTAAATTAATAAATATTTACAAGTAAACAATTTAAAAATAAACTCCGTGTCAATGTCAACAATGTCCAATGATGAAGTCATTAATAAAGAGAATTAAATTAAACTTTAATCTAAAAAGTTTTGTTAAAGAAAAGGAATGGGAAACTTTATTGAACTAAAATAAATCTAGTACGAGTTTGTGAACATACGACAAAAAATTAAAACAAAAAACAAAGATGTAAAAGATTGTACTAAAAATGAACATCAAAAATAAAAAACAAAATAATCGAATAAGAGACTCTATTGTTCCTTTTGCAACCAAGAGTCTCGAGACGAAACGGCCATATTTAGGGTTGGGGTCAGTTGGGCGTGGGCAGTTGAGCGTCAACCGACGTTGATCGGCTATAACTTTTTGCTGGTTGATCCAATACTAATGAATCATATAGCATTCGAAAGCCCTCGTTAAGCGCTATATTTTTTCAATTGGGTGGATTATGTTTGATCGCTATTTAAAAAGTTACAATTCGATAAGCGTGAAAAACAACGATTTCTTGAACTTATCGACTCGTAACTTTTTAACCGGTGTTCAGACTTATCTATCCAGTTGGGATAAAGATTGGGCTCATCGAGGGCTTTCGAATGATATAAGATTTATTCTGATACGATCAAGCTTAAAAAAGTTATAGTCGATTAAAGTTGGCTGACTCTCAACCGACCATGCTCAACTGGCCGCTCCGCCATTTTACGTTTTTTAGAGTCTGGCGTGATCCTGTGTTAAGATTCTAAATCCGTGTTATTTCATGATCCGATTATATTGGTGGGTTATCCGGAAGAATCCGGCATGAGCACGAACTTCAAACTCTGGCTTCCGAAACCGGAAAAAATATTTTTACCAGACACTATTGGTGAAATTCGGGTTTGGAACACAAAATTTACACAAAGGGTTTAATAATTATTCCTTACATATGTACATATTAGAGACCGGCAAAATCGCATTTGCGGGATCACGCATGCGGGAGTAACTTTTAAAAATGTCTGCGGGAGGGACTTCCGCGGGAATAATCCCGCACTCCCGCAAAATCCCGCAAATCGGAAAAAGTGCGGGATTGCGGGAGCGGGATCCCGCAAAATCCCGCGCGGGAGTCCCTCCCGCGCCGGTCTCTAGTACATATGTGAGTAAATACTTGTAGGCACAAAAAGGCATCAAAAGGCACAAAAGGCATCATGTAGGCACAAAAAGGCTCCAATGAAACATTTATTCTGAGTCGAGATAAAAAGGCTCAAAATGGTCAACGTAAACCTATGTTGGGTGGGAGCTAACTCGAAAAATTCCAACTCACGGAACAGACAGGATAAATTGCAGCAGAGCCCTCGGAATTACCGATTTTTGTTTAATTTATTAATTTTTCAACTTTTTTTTAAGTAAATTTGGAAATTTAATGTCGCTGGATAATTTATTTAAAAGTGATGAAAAACATTTTATTTCTCCCATAATTGACCTCCAAAAGTTTTTGGCTGAAGCAACTTTTCGCAGTGATCGTTTGCGAAATTTTTTTGGTTCAAGCGAAAGTCATGATTCTCGTGATATTTTTCGTCAGTTTTTGGCAGCACGTGGATTAAATAATGAAGAATCAAATTCTGTCATTGAAACTGCTGAGTTTGTTTTTTAATTTCTAAAATTTTGAAATTTTTTTCTTTTAGTGGATTTTTAACTCAAATTTTGGATGATAGCCCTATGGATGAATATGAAATAACTTTTCCTCCAAAAGACAGCCAACTTATGACACACAAGTATTTTAACTTTAGTTTTTTTATAAATTTTTTGTTCAAGAGTTCTTCACGATATTCGACGGACAAATAAGACTAGTGCCACAAAGAATGCTATTGTGAGGAATGGAAAATATTTTAAGTATCGAGAACAGGTTTTTTATGTTAAAATTTAAGTTCATACCCCCTTTCTATCTCAAGGTATTAGAAATAGCCGGAATTTGCTTGCTTCCTCAGCTTCACTATATGTTTGACATAGAAAATATAAGAAATGAAGGATGAGTCACATCCTTATAAACCTTTTATTCATGTGAACGTCCAGAATAAGTTGAGGAAGGAAGCAAAATCTGACCATTTTTAATAATTTGAGGAAGGAAAAAAGAGGGGGTTTATTAACTCAAAGTATCCTTTTTGTTTTTAATAATTTACCAAAGTTTGTTTTTAGGAGTTGAGAAGGTATTACACTCCTCCCAACTCTATTTGTGATAAAGACATCGTCCTTACTGTTCAGTTATTGAAGCCTTACAATCTCACTCCAGAAATACAGGATTCACTCAAAGTTTGGATTTTTTGGAAAACAAAAAAAAAATTTTAGAATCGAACGGAAGTTAAATTTCTTGTCCGAGGAGATATGCCACTTGTCAAACTTCGTGAAAAAATATTTTGTACTTCCGATTTTTGGTCTAATGAGGATTTTGAAATAGTAGATTTGAGTTTAATTTAATTCTCTTTATTAATGGCATCCTCTTTGGACATTGTTGACATTGATACAGAGTTTATTTTCAAATTGTTTACTTGTAAATATTTATTCTTTTAAGAAATCGAGATCCAGATTTGACTCCAAAACTTGTTGCTGAAAAACTCAATCTTGGTCCAAAATTTGAAGAATGGCTGACCAAACAAAATGGCGACCCTCTTTTGGTGTTGGATTTTGTTGGCGGTGTCTGTTTGGATCTTGAAAACCGGGTGCTGATTAGAAATGCTTTAGTTAGTTTTATTTGAAATATATTAGGGTTCGGGTATTACTTGTCATTGCCAGATATATTCTGGGTTATCTTAACTTTTTAATTTGATAGGTCGCTAATGGTGGTGAGGCAACTGCTTTTGGCAACATATTCAAGTTCCAAGACTCGACTCAACTCCGTAATGCTAAGCGTCGGGTGAAGTATGCCGTTCCTTGGGCATTTTACAACTCTTCTCCTATGGTCGAGGGCTATCAAGGCGCCAACAACGAATGGATTCAATATACTCGAACGCCAACAATTCTTTCTGCGGTTGTCACTTCTTTCAGTGACAAAACTGGAGTTTTGCATATGACGTTAAGCGATTTTTTTGAGGCGTGATTTTATAAGCGCAATATTATGTTCTCATAAATTTATTTATAATAAAATGGTTTTCTAATTTATGTGAATTTTTTTGTTTTTAAGTTGAGAAATTTTAATGTTAATGAGTTATTTAAAACATTACGTTGACAACTTCTTTAGTATTGCTGGGAAATGAAATCGAGAATTCAAGATTTCCTTAGATCAGGTTGTTAGGAACTCATTCATACTTGATTTTTTGGGCTTTTATCTTTTGTTTTCTCGTGCCAATATGTATGTTTTGTCTGTTTTCCTCTATTTCCTACCATGTGGACTATTGTCGTTTAATGATGTAAGTGTCCATCCCTTTCATTGTCATTTTATTCTTGAATAAATAAAATGTTTTTCATCACTTTTAAATAAATAATCCAACGACATTAAATTTCCAAATTTACTAAAAAAAGTTGAAAATTAATAAATTAAACAAAAATATGTGTTCCAGGACTCAGCCATCCTCCGCTTGTAAAAAGATCAATAGATTCTTATTCGATTATTTGGTTTTATATTTGTAATGTTTGTTTTTTCTGTCTTCATTCTTATATTTTTTGATTTTTGTAATTGATTTTTTGAAGTATGTTTTGGAAAGTCCTCTATTTTAATTTTGGTTCAACAAACGTTCCTTGTTCTTTTTCTTTAACAAAACTTATATTTTTCTAGTTTTTAGATTAAAGATTAAGTAATTTATTCTCTATATACGATGACATCATCTCCAGACTTTATTGATAAAAAGTTTATTTTTAAATTGTTTAAATTGTATATGTAAATATTACTTTAAGAAACTTCGATAAAGATTACACGCCGCAAATGATTGCTGAGGAGCTCAAGCTTGGTGATAAATTTGTTGAGTGGTTGTCCAAAGAAAAGTTTTCGGAAGAAAGCTCACTTCTCGTTTTGGATTATGTTGGAATTGACCTCCAAAACCAGGATGCTATTAAGAATGCTTTGGTAGGGTTAATTCTAATAAACTAGGGTTCTGGGATTACTTGCCAAAACTAGGTAATAATTTTGGGTTGCTGAAACAGTTACAGAATTGAAAATTTTTCGTTATTTTAAGTGTATTTTCGTGAAAATTTTTCTACATTATGGGTTATTTTCTCACTAATTTTTTAGATCGCAAACAAAGCGGAGGCGACTATATTTGACACCATCTTCAAATTCAAAAACTCGCGTGAGCTATGTGATGCTAAGCGTGGGGTGAAGTATGCAGTGCCTTGGGCGTTTTACAACTCAACTGCTCTGGATATGGGTTATCAAGGTCCCAACAGCGAATGGATTGAATATACTAGGACGCCAACTATCCTTACATCAGTGGTTTTATTCTTCGACTATAAAATTGGAGTCTTGAGTATGCAACCATCCGATTTTTTTGAAGCGTAAATTTTTAATTTTGACATGTATTATGTTCTCATAAAATTATATTGAATAAAATGATTTTCGTTAATTCTATTGTTTTTACGTAAGTTGAGAAACATTTTAGATATTTTTTTACTAAATGCGGAATTCATTCCAAAAGTTTCTTTTTTATTGACAAAACAATCATTCAAATTTGTAATATCAACATTCAAAGTACTGACTAAAGTTCCCTTAAAGTTGCCAGAGTTTTTGCCCAATTTTTGTCGTATTTTCTAGTTATAAATTAGCAAAAAATTCTGATACAGATCCAATAAAAATGTTTTGGCGTGCATTAGTTGTTTTATTTATAAATAGTTTGATGAGTTTGTTGGCTGGTTTGGCAAGTTATCACTTTATGTTACAATTTTTGCCAATTTTTATTCAACGAAAACTTTATGGTTTAGATCAATGTAAGGTTTGCTATAAAAGTATTTTTTTATTTAATTTCAAATTTTCAGTTAGATAAAAAGCCAGTACCAGAACCTATTGGGGTTATCGCTGCAGCGATTTATTTAATTTTTCTTTTCACTTTTATTCCACTACCTTTTTATGATTTAATAAATCAGAGGGCAATATTTACTGGTGAAAATGGATCAACAAACATTGAATGGTATCTCTTTTTCGAAAAATATTTTAGTAACCAAGGGCGTATCTGAGAAACAGCCCCTTCCCTCTGGAATTGGAAAAATAAATTCCAAAATTTTTGAAAAATTTTTTTTAAATGAAAATTTTTTCCCTTCCTAATTCCTTTGCTCATTTTAGTGATAATTCTTCTTTTCTCAATTTGCTGTCTCTTTTGGCTGGACTTGTAAGTATCTGTACAGCTGTTTTATTGGGATTTGCAGATGATATTCTTGACCTTCGTTGGCGCCACAAACTTTTATTTCCAACACTTTCTTCTATGCCTCTTCTTTTAGTTTACCTTCTTTCAAGTTTGAAAATATTTAAATTCTTTTAATTAATTTTTTCAGAAAATTCCACAGCTGTTTTATTGCCACATTTTTTACAAAAATATTTGGGAGGTGCTAGCTTTTTGGATATTGGGCCGTTTTATTATGTTTATATGGTTTCTCTGGTTATTTTTTGCACTAATGCAATTAATATAATTGCTGGAATTAATGGAGTTGAGGTTGGACAGTCTTTGGTTATTACAGCTAGTATTGCGGTTTTTAATACAATTCAGGTTATTTTTTGAATATTTTTCGAAAATTTTTTTGGTTTTCTGAGTAGGGAAAAGAAAAGAGAAGTTGCTCCTTTACCCCTATAATTCACTGCGGTCCAAATTTGAATGGCTATAACTCGGCCAACAGTCATTTTGCAAGGGTCCTCTATCGAATGATACCTAAGTATGGTACCTAATGGTATCGAATGGTACTTAATCGAATTCATAGTTACTCTAAATGATTTCCTTTTTTGATTGAAATGTCTGGGTCTTGTATTTGATTTGTAGACATCGTTCTCTTTCATTCTACAAATTTTTCATTTAATTCCTCATTTTTAGGTTATCCGTTCAATAGATTCAATACAATTATGGCATCACGTTCTTTCCCTTTGTTTTATTCTTCCTTTTATTGGCACATCAACAGCTTTATTTATTATCAACAAATATCCAGCCAAAGCATTTGTTGGCGATACTTATTGTTATTGGGCTGGAATGACAATTGCAGTTTCTGCTTTAACTGGACGTTTTTCAAAAACTTTGTTGCTTTTTCTTCTTCCACAGGTTTTCTTTGTAATTTTATTTTTATTTTTTAATTCATTTTTAGATAATAAATTTCATTTTTTCCTGTCCACAACTCTTTCATTTCGTTCCCTGTCCTCGTCATCGACTTCCACGTTTAAATGAAAATGGAAAATTGGAAATGAGCATGGTAGACTTTCAACCTCACAAATTGTCAAAAATTGGAAATCTTTGTTTTCGAATACTTGGAATGACTAGATTAATTTATTACAAGGAATACATTAAAGATGGAGAAAGGTTTGCAAGTTTTTTTAATAACAAATTGTCAATGACAAAACTTTTCCTTTGGGATTTTGACAAAATTAGCTTATTGTTAATTCTGGAGATGTCCTGGGTACAAAAATCGAATGGTTCCTCGGTTCTAATTTTTTTGACCATACCATTATTTTTGTTCTGGCTGCTTTAAAATTTCGACGGTTATTAGAACAGGTTCTCGGAGCCAAGACGTAATTTATTCCTTTTTAAATTCCTTAAATTTAGTTGGGTGTCAATGAATAACTTAACAATTCTCAACTTGTTATTAAAATTCAATGGACCTCAATTTGAATGGGAATTAACAAATAAATTTATTATTCTACAAATTTTGTGTTCTATATTTGCCTTTTTTTGCCGATTTTGTTTGGCTCGGATTTTCTATGATGAAGTTAATTAAAAAAGAAAAAAGTGCTTTAAAAATATTGTGTTAATAAATTGCTTTACATTTTTATAACTAAAAATTAGTTAATTTACGCTTATTTTTTAAGTAAAAAGACAAAAAATTAAGCCTAAAATAAGTAAGAAGTATCAAATATTTAAGAACAAATTGCTTGCCATCTATTGCTTGCCATTTTTTAAGTTCCAAATGAGCATAGAATTTTTGCGCCGCTGTCCCCAAATTTTTTCCTTTTCCCTATTTTGGGGAGGGGGGGGGGGTTAGAATAAATAAATCCTATGTTAGAATGAATAAATTTCGCATTTAGTAAAAAATATTTAAAATGTTTAACAATAGAATTAATGAAAATCATTTTATTTAATATAAATTTTATGAGAACTTAATACATGTCAAAATTATAAAGTTACGCTTCAAAAAATGCGGATGGTTGCATACTCAAGACTTCAATTTTATAGTCGAAGAACAAAACCACTGATGTAAGGATAGTTGGCGCAGAAGTAAAGACAATCAATTCTCCGTTGTCACCTCGATAGGATTTTTCCAGAGCAGTTGAATTGTAAAACGCCCAAGGCACGGTAGCTTGCACCCCACGCTTAGCATCACGAAGCTCACGCGAGTTTTTGAATTTGAAGATGGTGTCAAATACAGTCGCCTCCGCTTTGTTTGCGATCTAAAAAATTAGTGAGAAATAAACTAATCCCGAATGTAGAAAAATTTTCACGAAAATACACTAAAATAGCGAAAAGTTTTCAATTCTGTAACTGTTTCAGCAACCCAAAATTTTTGCCTAGTTTTGGCAAGTAATCCCAGAACCCTAGTTTATTAAAGATTAACCAACCAAAGCATTCTTAATAGCATCCTGGTTTTGGAGGTCAATGCCAACATAATCCAAAACGAGAAGTGAGCTTTCTTCCGAAAACTTTTCTTTGGACAACCACTCAACAAATTTATCACCAAGCTTGAGCTCCTCAGCAATCATTTGCGGCGTGTAATCTTTATCGAAGTTTCTTAAAGTAATATTTACAAATAAACAATTTAAAAATAAACTTTGTATCAATATAGTCTGGAGATGATGCCATTGTATATAGAGAATAAATTACTTAATCTTTAATCTAAAACTAGAAAAATATAAGTTTTGTTAAAGAAAAAGAAGAAGGAACGTTTGTTGAACCAAAATTAAAATAGTAGGACTTTCCAAAACATACTTCAAAAAATCAATTACAAAAATCAAAAAATATAAGAATGAAGACAGAAAAAACAAACATTACTAATAAATTGTTTTTTACAAGCGGACGATGGCCTATTTTCCCTTCTTCCTTCCCTAAGATTGTAAATAATGGTCATATCTTCCTCTTTTTCCTATTTGCCCTGTGGCATATTCAAGTAAAATCTTAGGGAAGGAAAAAGGGGGGGGGGGGCCAGGCTATAAGATGGAGCGTTTATGAGTCCAATCACAGTTTATGAGTCCAATGAAACATTTATTCTGAGTCGAGATAAAAAGGCTCAAAATGGTCAACGTAAACAATTAAAATAGTACGACTTGGTGGGAGACTTGTTGGGTGGGAGCTAACTCGAAAAATTCCAACTCACGGAACAGACAGGATAAATTGCAGCAGAGCCCTCGGAATTACCGATTTTTGTTTAATTTATTAATTTTTCAACTTTTTTTTAAGTAAATTTGGAAATTTAATGTCGCTGGATAATTTATTTAAAAGTGATGAAAAACATTTTATTTCTCCCATAATTGACCTCCAAAAGTTTTTGGCTGAAGCAACTTTTCGCAGTGATCGTTTGCGAAATTTTTTTGGTTCAAGCGAAAGTCATGATTCTCGTGATATTTTTCGTCAGTTTTTGGCAGCACGTGGATTAAATAATGAAGAATCAAATTCTGTCATTGAAACTGCTGAGTTTGTTTTTTAATTTCTAAAATTTTGTAATTTTTCTCTTTTAGTGGATTTTTAACTCAAATTTTGGATGATAGCCCTATGGATGAATATGAAATAACTTTTCCTCCAAAAGACAGCCAACTTATGACACACAAGTATTTTAACCTTTTTTTTTGTAAATTTTTTGTTAAGAGTTCTCCATGATATTCGACGGACAAATAAAACTAGTGCCACAAAGAATGCTATTGTGAGGAATGGAAAATATTTTAAATATCGAGAACAGGTTTCTTTGTGTTAAAATTAAAGTTCATTCCCCCCCCCTCTTATCCATCCTCAATGTTTTAGAAATTGTCGGACTTTGCTTCTTTCCTCAGCTACACTATATCCTTATGGCTAGTCAATAAGTATTACTAGTTTTAAGTTTGACAATGTATAAAAAATGAAGAAAGAGTCACATCTTTATAAACCTTTTATTCATGTGAACGTCCAGAATAAGTTGAGGAAGGAAGCAAAATCTGACCATTTTTAATAATTTGAGGAAGGAAAAAAGAGGAGGTGTATTAACTTCAATTTTACTTTGTCTTTTAATAATTTACCAAAATTTGTTTTTAGGAGTTAAGGCGGTATTACACTCCTCCCAATTCCACTTGTGATAAAGACATTGTCCTTACTGTTCAATTACTAAAGCCTTACAATCGCACTCCAGAAATACAGGATTCGCTCAAGGTTGAGTTTTTTTAATGTTTTTAAAAATTAAAAAAATTTTTTTAGAATCGAACAGAAGTTAAATTTCTAGTCCGTGGAGATATGCCACTTGTCAAACTTCGTGAGAAAATATTTTGTGCTTCCGATTTTTGGTCGAATTATGAGGATTTTGAAATTGTTCCGCCTGATCCTGAATGTTATTTTGATGTATATTTTGTTAATTTTTTTTATAATTTCCTCAATTTTTAGCACAAATTCCCTTCAAGTTTTATTTTTGTCCACGACACATTTTATGTTGACAAAAGGAGAGCAAATTCTATTGATATTAGCGAGTATTTATTTTTTTAATTAAATTTTTTAAAAATTATTTTAAGGCCAATAAGAGAATTTATGAAAAGAAAGAAAAAAGATTTTGGAGAATTTTATGTGAAAGACATGGCTGGAGTTAAAATTATTGATTTTAAATTGAGACTGGGTCAACCTTATGTTTATGTTCATCAAGGATTTTGTGAGCATTTGTAAGTTTTTGGAGGCTTATTAAAATATATTTAAGAGATCGTTTCTTGATGTTTTCTTGGGGAAATAGGATTTTTCGCGGCCTGTTTTAACCCTGAAATTTTTTAACAATGAATTTTTTTATTCCCTCAGAAGCATGTATTTAATTAGAATAGATTTCAAAATGAAAACCAGTGTTTTTAAAATTCGGATTAACAGAAAGCCAGGGGGTGAGGAGGGTACTGGTTAATAAATATGTAGTAGTGAACAATCCTATCTTAAATTAAATTAAGATGTTTAACCTAACCCCACATATTTTGGTTAAATTATAAGAAATTTTTATTAAAATTTATAAATAATTTTCCCAAAAGGATTATATTCACCGATTTGCGTTTATTACTTCCTGGAGATGTTCAACGAATCGAAGATTACCCAATTCGTCTTTTTGACATCAAAACCCAAAAACTTTGTTGTGCTTGTAGCGACGAAATTTCAAGTTTTGTAGTTACTGAAAGTGATCGTTTGCCAAATTCTCCGGCATTTTTCTGTTCAACCTGTTTTACTGCTTTTCATTATGATAATGGGCAAAGAATTGGAAATTTTAAGGCTTATCATTATTTAAATCATGCTGGGACTGAATAGGAAATTTTTTTTGAAAAAAAATTTTTTTGGAAAAATTTGTTTTGCTTGTGATCTCATAGAAAAATAAATTTAATATTTTGAAAAAAAAATTTTTTCTTTAAATAATGTTAAAAATCCTTATAATTATTTTCTTAAATTTTTATTTATAATTTAACAATAATTTTTTTAGAATTTTTAGAAAAATGGAAAAAATAAATATTTCTTCAATTTCTTATTGTAAAATTATTTTGCATGCATTTAAATATCCACATTGTCAAATTAAGTAAGAAAAAATTTTTATTTTAGAATTAAAATTTTTTTTAATTTTTTAGAGGTGTTTTGCTTGGTAAAAATAATTCTGAAGGTTTTATAGAAGTTTTGGATGTTATTCCAGCATTGCATTCTGCATTGGTTGTGCCTCCTATAGAAATTTTGTTTATTCATTTGGATGTTTATTGCCGTGAAAGGCATTTGGAAATTGTTGGGCTTTATTATGCTAATAATGTTTTTATGAATAATAGGTTTGTTTTTTTAATGTTTTTTGATGGTTTTGGGAATTAGAGGGAGATTATAGAGTTCTGGAGTACTAGGCCAAAATTTCAAATAATTTAGTAAAATCTTGCTAGGAAATGTTCAGAACTGGTACAAAAAATTTCGTAATTTTTTACACCATCGTGTAGAGCAGGGTTGGTAACCTTTTGCCAATTTTTTGCTTTTTTGGCCCTGTTTTTTCTGTCCCTTTTTTGGCCCCAAAAATCGAAAAGTTGTAGCTGATCAGGTTTTTAGTATTATGGAATCGAGTCTCCCTCGTTTTTAATTAAAGAGGAAAATATAACAAATTATTTTTCTAAAATAATATTTTAAAAATTATTAATGTTTTTTTATTTTTAAAATCTTTATTTTAAAAACTAATTTTTACTTTTTTCCCACCAATTATTTAAAATTATTTTTTTAAGTTTTGACGAACAATGGATGAAAATAGCTTCAGATAAACTCCAAAATCCAATAATTTTACAATTAGAAAATTCCAAACTTTCATTAAATGCAGTCTCTCCTTGTCTTCGAGCTTATTGTCAAGAAAGGTTTTTTTTAATAATGTTTATTTAAAAAATTATTTTTTTCCAAAAAAAAGTTCTCAAAAATGGAAAGAAATTAATTATTTTGTTGAAAATTCAGACGAAACAGTTTCTTTAGCTTCTTTAGCTGTTCAAAATAAATTACACAAAAATTTGGCAGATTTTGAAAATCATTTGGACGAACCGTTAATTTTTGATTTTTTTAATAGTGATTTAAATGAAAAAATTTTATATTCAAATAATTAAATTTAATGTAAGTAAATTAATTAGTTAAAAAGTAAATAAAATAATAAATTTATTAAAAATGAGAGATCTTTAAAAAAACAAAAAAATAATTAGTATGATTCTGGGTGAGAGGAATAGGGGAAATAAATAATAAAAAATATAAAAATTTATGGGTTGAATCAACAATTTAAAAAATATTTTGGGAATTTCCGTAAAAATTCATTTCTAATTTTGGGTTGCTACATATTTTATATTTAAAAGTGTATATTTTTTTGATAAGAAAATCTTTTTTTAGTTTAAATAGAAAATCTCTTTTAGGAATAGAGTGGACCGTTAAATCGGTTGTGACTTGTTGATTCATAAATTATAAATATATGTTCGTATTTATTCTAATAGAAAATCTTATAACCCTCCACACTTTATTGTCAAAGAGAAGGTGTATTCCCTTGTTTTTTTCTCTTGTTTTACACCATAATTTTTGGAATTTCCATTTTTTGTTTGGTTGGGGTTTCCGTTCAAACGGCTATTTTTCTTGGAATAATGGAAGGACTCGTCCTTATTTCTTTGCCAGCCACACTATTAGAATAAATACAAACATTTTAATTTTCAGTTATTTTCTAAGGCCAAGGCCAAAAAGGTTTTTTAATAAATAAACGCCTTGGTCTTCTTGCTGAAGGAATTTCTACACTTTCCTCCTCCCCTCTTTTTCTTTCTGTTTGTTTTTGTAGTAAATGTAGACTTCTTCTTTTGTGATTCTTTTTGTGATGATATTTTTGTTTGTAATTGTTATGATTTTGTTGAAAAATAATGGGGGAATGTTTATTTAAAATATCGCGATGATGGTGATGATGATAATTGTGGTGGTGATGGGGGTGATTATACTGAGAAAAAAAATTATTTTTTTTAGTAAATGAATGTTTGTGAGACAAGGTCATCTTATATTTTTTATAGGAAAATAAAGGTACTTTTTTTATAAATTTTCTATCCCATGTTTACCGATATCTTTATTAAAGCCCTTTATTGGAGCCCACACTAGCAACGGTATTTTTTGGTATTCCGATAGGTGGTCCAGTCAAAATTCCGGGCTTTAGTATTTATTAAAACAAGTATTGGACGAAACTTACGTTATTTGTATTTATTATCCTTCGTTCATCATCCTCCAAAACTGCAGGATATCCCTCATCTTCTTGACTAATTAAAGATTCTGTCCTTTCAAGTATATCCAGCAATAAAATCAAGAAGAAAAAGGAATGAAGAAAAATACTAGAAAGAAATTTAAATTTTAAATTATCCTTTTCTTTTACATTCTCTCAAATTTGGATGACACAATTTTAGAATGACCTTCTAACCTACTTTTTATTTTTACTAGAAAGGAAAAAAATTAGGGTTAAATTTAATTGAGAATTTGATCACATACTTTAAATTGTTTGAAAGAGAGGGAATATTTGAAGGAAAATTTTTTAATTTTTAAGCAAAATCGTGATAATTATCGAGTAAATACTGCATAAAGATAACACTATTTTGCTAATATTTTGGAGAAAATTGAAAAAACTTAAGTTTTTTGATTTAATTTTTTGGTCTAATACTTTTAGTTTTAATTTATTCACTTTTTATTCCAGAAAATTTTTGGCGTTGAAGAATTAGACAATATGTGCCCTGTATGTCGTTGTTGCCACCATCTTCCCAAACTTATTTTATTTAAAATTGTTAACATTTAATTAAAATCTTTAAAAAATATTTTTTAAAGAGAAATTTAATCTATCAAGAATTTTTTTCAATTTCTTCGACTAAAGGAATTCGGGAATGATCAGAACGTTTGGGAGATTGTACGTTAGCCTGCTCTCAATCAGAGGAAGAGTAAAGGATTAGGGTTGAGGGTTTCGAGTCGGGCCAACGTTCGAGTCATTTTTATCGGGCCGGCCCGACCGGGGCCAAAATTCAATGCCCGCCCGACTCGTCTTTCGGACCGGCCGGATCGGGCTCCCAACCCTATAAAGGCTATTTTAGGATTTTTTTGAATATAAGGAATTTGACTTATATTTGTTGCGAATTTATAACCAAGGAAGAATCTCAATTTGATCTATTTATAACATAAAGATATGTTGAATTGGAACAGAATAAAAACAAATCAAAATAACTAGAATGAAAAACATATTTAGTAGTTCTTATATTTGAGAGGCGTGATAATTGAAGTGAATAATAACAACAAAAATAAAATACTAGCTATAATTAAGAAAAGATTGCGCAACAATTTCCTCTCCTTTTATTTTTTCTTTCCCCTTATCCTTTATTTGGAATTGGATCATCTTCAAATCTGAAAAGCTTTTTTTCTAAACAAAGAAGAAATTAAAAGAAGAAGAGTCTATAAAAGGAGAGAGGAGAAGATAATTAATATAAAATTATTTAAGAGGTTACACAATATATATTTATTTATTTAAAGTAGGTCTCAGCCAAAATCGCAAAAACAAAACCATCAAAAAGCAGGTTTAATATACAACGAAAACAAACAAAAAAAAATTGAGGAAGGACGTCTTCCCCCCGTGGCATTGCGTAAATGTCATTAGAAAATAGAAGCGACTAATCCAAAATTAAAGGTGAGAAGGAAAGGTGTGACTTGTCTAATAAATTTTAAAGCATATTTACCCACAAAGAATAAAATTTATGATAAAAATATGGGGAAGAATAATTTTAAGGAAGCTAAAAATGAGCAAAATAAAAAATAACTGTAATTTTAATAACTTTGTATTTAAAGAAAGGAGATAAAAATATTTTAAAGATCTCTTTCAGCTGGAACTACAGCAACACCCGCTAACCCAGTGCTGAGGAGGTTCGTCGACAGTTCATAGAGGATCTCCGGCAGTACAGGCGACCAGGCGGGACTACACGTCCTTCATGGGAGCTGAGTCCGGACTCAATCGCTATAGGAATATTCAGTTGCTGGACAGTTCGCGTGTTGTTTTAAGGACAGCTGGCGAGCACGCCTACATTCACGCATCACATGTCCGATGGCTGTAAGCAATTGGCTTAGTAAAACAAAATTTTTTTGCATTTATAGGTAATACACTACAGTTCGACGGATGGCCAGATCATAATGTGCTCCTTCAGTAAACTCAGACGCGCAGTTTTTCGACGGCGCGTCTGCAGCCATCGAGATCGCCATCAAACGACTGATCCAGAGCAACCACTTCGTCCAAATGTCTTCCGTCTTACGGGCTGTGCGGGACAAACGAGAGCGGGCAATTCAAATGATCTTCAAGTAAGTCTCGGGGAAAAGGGTATTTCCAGTATTTGTTTCTCCACCGAGCAGTCATCGACGCAGCCCCGTTTTAAATGAGGAACTTTTTTATTTGTTGATAATTTAAAGCTTGTTCCATAGCTTAATTTTTAAATTTAAATTTCGTTTTTACAATACATTCAAAAATCCTCCATTTTTTAGTCAGAAATTTTTTTGGAAGTTCAGCCGGGTTTTCTCTTATTTATTAAGGTCTGAATTGGTGTTTTCAAATATATTTAATTAATTGATATTTCGTATTTCCGCATAAAACATTTCGAAAAGGAAAATTGAAATGAAAGAATCGAATTGTTTTTTCTTCGTGTCTATTTGAGTCGAGATCTTTTTATTCTTATTTTTTGTCCCGGACTCATGTCAGATTTGGACAGACAATATGTCATTCGAAAGAGGAGTTGACCGACACCAAATCAACGAAATCTGACTTTATTGGACAAAAGTTATGACTAGTCGGTCATCCATTTACATGAGTTCCCCTCAGCGAGTTTTGGCCGTAACGGGTGGGGCCTGGAATCTCAAATTTCGGGTCCGCAAGGTTCGCGCCACGCCTTCGATTCAACAAAACAAAAATTCGAGGTACTACTGAAGAAAAGGGTGCTTTTTCTGCGGACTTATTTTGCGGACTTTTCCTTTCCTTCTTTTTCCCTTTTTTTTAAAAGATAATGTTTTAGCTTGTAGCAAACTAACTGTCAAAGGATTAATTTTTATTCGCACAAATATTTTTGATTATTTGTTATTTGTGAAATTAAATGAAAAAAACAGTCATCTCCTCCAAATTTCTGTTTCCATACAAACTCATTCATATAACTTTCAAACGTTGTTTCAACAGTACCAAATTCAGTTTTATGTCGTCTTTTCAATTTTTGCCATAGGATACTGCATACTGATTTCTTACATATCCATCTTCCATTTTGTCCACGCTTTTCTTTACGCATTTCTTTTCCACAATTACATGTTCTTTTTCTATGAAGCATTCCGAGATCAGTGATCCATTGTTGAAATTCATCATTGGGTAATTTAATTTTATCATACAATTTAGTTAAAGTAAAATTTTTTATTGATTGTAACATTTTTTTCGTTTATAATGTTTAAATTATTTGTGAACGACATTTTTCAGACCGGCATAAAAAATAATCCGTTGACTGTTAGTTGCTATAAGCAAAACATTTAAACAGAAATGAAAAAAATAAAATTCATCTTCTCTGTATCAATGTCTTTTGTTTGAATATGCCACACGGCAAATAGAGGAAAAGAGAAAGAAGAAAATCTGACCATTGTGTACAATCTTAGGTAAGAAAAATAATGGGGGGAGGGCCGTTGACAGTTAGTTGCTACAAGTAAAACATGTAAAGGAAAGGAAAAGTCCGCAAAATAAGTCCGCAGAAAAAGCACCCTTTTCTTCAGTAGTACCAAATTCGATCACCAAAAATGTTTGACCCTCCCCTATGGTTTTTAACCATTTCGAGCCCAAAGTTGCTTCCGCGAACTAATTCTTATGCCATTCGGCTACCTCATCGAGATCTTACCCTTTGATTGACATATTGATTGTCTAAATCTAAAATAGCCCTGAAAGTGCAATTAGGCCTAGCTATTTTTTAATCATCATATGTATACCTATTTAATTTGATTTTTCCTTATAACTCTTAAAAACAATATTTTTAGCATTTTTGGTACAAAATGCCGCCAAAAATTAAACGTACTTACAGCAGATGCAAAAAAACAACTAATGAACAATTTGTACAAACTGAAGATGATGCTTTACTAAAATTATCAAATCAACTTTTAAATGATTTACAAAAACATGGGACAGAGTAAGACTTTTTTTCTAATTAAATCACAATTAGGTTAAGAAATTTAAAATCGGTTTTCAATCAAATTTTCGCTGTCACGAATATCTTGAATTGTTTTTTAAGCTTTCCGATTTTAAGAAAGTGATTTTGGTAATATTGAACCTGACATACCCCATTTCTTCCTCCCTAAGTTCTTTCCTATGTATCTACAGAATGGTCAGACCTTTTCCTTCCATCCCAATTGCCCTTCTATATTTTACCTCCAAACAATCGAAACAAATTTATTTTTATTTCCCCTTGGATGGAATTAAGGAAAATTGAAGGAAGAAGTTTGACCATTCTGTAAATATTTACGAGGAAACTTGGGTAAGAAAAAATGGGGTCTGTCAGGTTCAATATTACCTTGATTTTCTCCAATACATTTACGTCGATAAAGATGTTATTAATTTAAATTTAAGTCCAAAGGAGCAGACTCCAGAAGAATCAATACGACGTCAAATAATTCTGTCTTCACACGTCAAAAAATTAAGTAAAGAAAATTTTGAACTGAAAGATCGACTTGGAAAAATGAATTTGAAATTTTCTTTAATTTTGGACAAACTTCGAATTTACAAGTTTTTTTTTAAATTTAATTATCAAAATTAAAAATTTTTAGAACTGAAAATGACGCTAATAAAACGAATTTATTGGATAATTTGACTGCTTTGAATTTAGACCAAAATAATGCGAAAAAACAATTAAATGAACAAATTAAAAAGGTTAATTTAATTTTTTGGAGTTTTATTCTTTCTGTTTCCCTCTTGTCATATTAGTGTGGGGCAACTTGTCAAGACCTCGTTATCATTCACGAAAATAGGGAATTTGGTTATCTGTCGGTGCGATCCCTGCTCGTTTGCCTTGTACGAAGAAATATTTAAGTTTTCTGGATTTAGGGTTATTTTTAGTTTTATGTTTTCTAAATTTACATTAATTTTTGTAATTCTATTGAAATTTTGAGAAGTCCCATAATATTTTCAATTTTTTTTTAAATTTCTAAAAATTATTAAATTTGTAATAAATTTAAAAATCTTTTTCAGTATTATGCTCACTTTGAAACAGAACAACAAAAATCGCTTAATAAAATTAAAGCAAAGGAGGCTAAATTAACAAAGCTTAAGGTTAATAATTTTTATAAATTTTTGTTTGCTTAAAATTGTGTTTAAAAATTTTTGAGGAATTTTATAAATTCAAAATATTTTTTATATATTTTTTTAATTTTCAGACAGAAAAAGACGAAATTAATTTCCAACTCCAAAATGTTCTGAACGCGTTCCAAGTTCAAAGTCGACTTTTAGAAGTAGCCAGAAAGGAGGCTTTTAATGCTAGAGAAGAAAGTAAAGAAACTGAACAAAAATTACAGGACAAGCTTTATTTGAGTTTGTTTTAAATTTTTAATTAAAATTTTAATTTATTTTAAAGCAACAAATCAGAGATGTGCAAACTGTGAGATTAAACAAAGAGTACAAAATAATTTAACTGACCAAATTGCTGATTTGAAGAATAAAATTGCAATGGTAATTTTAATTAAAATTTGAAAGTTATTTTGGGGTAGGGGATATTTTTTGTTTTCCTCGAATTTAGATACTTTCATCCAGGCCCGTAATTTGATTTTGATTTTTAGCGTTGCAGGCGAAAATTTTGGGGACTGCAAACGGAAAAAATTAACTATCTCAATTCCCTCTCAAAATTTTTCCTTTTCCCCATTTCTGGGGCCCCTACCCCTGGTACGGCCCTACCCTCATCTTTTTTTCCTGATTTTTGCAGAGAAAATTGTAGGGACTCTTTTCATCTTTTAGGTTACAAAAGGTTTTTTTTCTCTTGTCAGATATTAATTTTTTATTTTTTTTGTTCTGTTGATTTTAAAAATTACGGAATGAAAATGATGACAAATATTTTTTCTTTTTCCGTTTCAAACATATACCTATATTACTCTTTTTCTTCTAAATAATAATAAATTCTAAAAATAATTCCAAATAAAAATTAATGAAAAATATTTTTAAGAAAGAACAAGAACTTGAAGAAAGAGCAAGAATTAATGTAATATTTGCTGAAAAAGTAAAAAAAGACAAAGAAGAATTTAATAAAAAAGAATTATTGGCAAAGAAAGAATTGGAAAAAGCAAATAATTTAAAAAGAGCTTATTGTGACAAATTGAGAGAATATCAAAAAGCATTGGAAAATGAAAGGAATGGAAGGGCTTCTTCTATTTCGTGTCAATCTTTGCCTGAATCGAGTGCTTTGACTCCTCCTGAAGGTTTTATTGAAAATGATTTTTGGGGAAAATAATTAAAAATTGGGATTTTCTTCAAAAACTTGGGGTTGTTGACATTTAGTTTTTGTTGATATACGGGAAAAGTATGAATTAATAAGTAAGTTTTTAAATAAAAACAAAATAAGGAATTATTTACCAGAATTAATAATTTAATTTTAAATAAATTTTATAATTTTTTTTTCAATTTTTAGAGGTTGATAGATCTCCTTCAATAAATATTAACAACAATTCTGAAATTAATAAATCTGCAACTAAAAATAATTCTCCAACTAAACAAACTCAAAAAGACAATTCTGCTGTTCCTCCGCCAGAAAAAATAAGAAAAACAACATTTGAAGTTGCTAGGGGTTGGAAGGCTGTTTTGGATTTGGCTGATTCTTTAGATGGTAGCAATCGACAAATGAATGTTTGTTTTTATTTTTAAAAATTTTAAAGAAAAAAGAAGGGAATAAAATGAATTTAATTGGAAAGTTTGTTTAAAAAAATTCCTTAAGATTAAAGGAAACGTTTTCCATCATTTTTGGGCCAAAAATACGCGAGGCCCGAACCTTCCTTATATAACAACTAGAGACCGGTTCGAGACGAGATCTCGAACAAAATCCTTTAATTTTCTAATTTTCAGCAACCACAACCTAAAATGCCAGGTACAACAACAACAATTCCTCGTATGCCTGCTAAACCAATTTCTTCTTTGGCACCAAAACAAAAAACTAAAGCAAAAAAGCAACAACAAAAACAAATAAATTTACATCAACTACAACAAACAAATCAACAAAATATGAGATTATTTAATGGAAATAATTCTTTACAAAGAAACCCTTCTGATATTCAATCTTCAAGCAATACTTGGAGAAGTTCTGGAATTAGAGTACATGAAAACTTTCATTCTCACAATCAATCTAATAAAGAGATGATAAATCGTTCTTTGCAAAGTTTGAATTTTTTTAATATTTTTTAAAATTATTTTATGAAATTTTGAGAAATTCTGAGGAATTTATCTAACTTGGACTTCTTTGGAATATTTTTTAAAAGGAATTTAGGGGTTGAACTTAGAATTCAATTTTTAGCCGAAAAATTAATTTTCTTTTTATTTCTCATTTTTTCCGATTTTTTGTAAAATCATCTAAACATTCGTTTTCCATGTTTTTGCTCCCATTCCCTGACCTTTAATTAGAAAACCAAAAATGAAGGTCTAGTTTAATCTAAATTAATTTTAGACTAGTTTATTTTCATCAAAAAATTTTTGTAGATGAATCAATGCTTCGACAAAAAGCTGCCCAACAAACACGTCAACAACCAGTTCCTATTAATCGATTAGCTATGAATCAACAACCGGGGACTTCCAATCGACAACAAGACAACTTTAGTATATATTTTAACTAAAATTAATTTAATTTCAAAAAATTCTTTTTAGCTGTTAATCGTGACCTTTTACCTTGGCATGGAACAATAATAAAGCAACAACAACCAACTCCAGACTCTACACCATCATTATATAGGTCATTTTGGTGAAATTAACAAAAATATTAAAATAGATGTTTTGGAAGATTTTTCAGACTTTAAATGTTTTATCCGTATTTTTATTTTACCCGATATTATCAACCTCATTTTTCATTTTGTTTAGGAAAAAGAAATGGTGGTTTGTTTGGTGAAATAATTATTGGATACGAGGGATGGGACAAAAAAATTCAGTCTTTTACTGCTTCGACTCGTAGCATAAATTTTTTCACAACCGGTTATGTACTTATTCGTATTCCAATAAGAATAAAATTCCAAGCAAACCGCCATTTGTTTAAAGATTGTATTTTTATTTTCACATTATAAACTACCAGTCATTCATTTTTGTAATAATTTTTGACTTGGGTCAATAACCAAAAATGATTTAAAGTTTTATTAACTAGCCCTACCAGAGTTGAGCGCAAAAGGCAATCCTGAAAACCAAGGCCAAAATTTCACCCCTGATCCCTACTTAAAGTTTACTTAATTTCTAAAATTAATTTGTTTGGTTATTTCCCCAATTGGTGACTGGTATAGGTACCCTCAATATTTTAATTTTCTACCTTATAGCACCATACATATAATAAATTTACATCTTGAAATAAAGGTTTTTATTTAGTAGATGATTTTTATTATCAGAGCAGTTAAAAATTTTTTAGAAGTTCTATTTTTGGTGAATTGCTCAAATAAGTAAAGGATTTATAACTATTTAACAAAAAATAAGAGATTGAGAAGACAATATTTTTGTGGATTTATATAATTATTTAAAATATTCAAAATGAGATTAAAATCGAGAAATAATCAAAAAATCAAATCTTTTCTGCAATTGTTTCGTAAATATTTCGCTGCACTGGATCCAATTTATCAAATTGACGCAAAAGTTTTCTCTCACGCTCTTCTTCTGGCAAATTTAGATATCTAAAAATTTATTTTTGAAAAAATTAAAAATACTTTTTTAAATAAATTTCTTACTTTCCTTCCTTCGTTTTCTTAAATAAATCAAATGCTGTTGCTTTTGGCTTTTTCTGTTTCCTTTCAGTTCTACCTTTGACTTGATTGTCTAACTGAAAAATAGGAAAAAATCTTTTCGAAACTAAAAAATTGTTTCGCCCATGAGTTTTTGGTGTTTTTTGTAAGCTCCAAGATTTTTTATGTTTATTTTTTGGCAGAGATTTTTTTTGACTAAATAACGAAATTCACCCCAACGCCAACAATTCACCGTGCCTAAAACAACAATCCCCCATGTCTTCCCATGCCTAAAATTTTTTAGTCAAAAATTCAGAAAAGTTGGAGCCCAACTTTCCACAGCCCAAATTTTCGGGATTTTTGCACCTGACGTATTCCCAAAACATTTTAAGATAGAATTTAAACAAACCGCCATTTCCTTCTCCAATTTGAATACCTTCTTTTGAATGCTAGTAATTTGAGGTTCAAACAAACTATTCTTGTATTTTTCAAGAAAATCCTTACAAGCCACGATTACATCATGTTTTCTTTGTTTAAATTCCTCTTCAGCTTCAATAACTTTTTTATTCTAAAAATAAATTTTTTTATCAGAATTGAGGGATGACATTTGTGGACAAAACATTTACTTATTGAATCAAAAAAAAGGTTTTATGTAAGATATTAAGTGTCCGCAAATGTCTGTCCGCAACTTTCATTTATTCGAAAAAAACAAACATCTTTATCTCTAAAAGTATCCCTCAAATTGTTATTTTTTCCAAATAATTGTGCCTGATCCACTCCACATTTATTTATAAAAATATGCCAAAGAGATTTTAATTTTGGAAATTCTGGATAACGTTGAAGAATATGATCAGTTTGAACAAAATCCATAACTTTTTTAAGTGCTTCAGCCATAGGAACTTCTGACATTAATGTTGCCCAACGATAAAATTGAACAAAACAAGCTTGTAATTGACTAAAAAAATTTAAAGAGGTCTTGAAAATGAAATAATTACGCTAAATCGTAAGAAGGATCAACATTTGGGACATCTCGTAAAAGCGTATTAAATTTAACATTGGCTTTTCTACCAGTCAAATGTAAGGTTTTCTGCTCATCCAGATCCAAAAGATACTGAAAAAAACAAAAATAAAATTTAAAAACAAATTAAAAGTCGGAAACTAAACGCTTTTAACACAAAAGTAATTTTCTTTAAAATATATAAACGTTCACCTATTTCACTTAATAAACCTCCAAAAAATGGTACTTATTTAGTTTCCCACCCCCAGTCAATTTTTTTGGAAAATATGTAAAAATGGTCAGTCTGAACAACAATTGTAGAACCGATCGAGCTGTGTCGAATGACACCAAAATCGACAAAATCCGACTTGATTTGACCGAGATACAGACCCCTGAAAATTGAACAACCACAGGGGCAATTTTTTGAAATGAAAAAAATTAAATAAATGATAGCTCATTCGAAAGAGCTTGTCGAGCTGAGTCGAATGAGACCAAAATCAACGAAATCCGACTTGATTTGACAAAGTTATGACATAAGGTTGCCGACTCCGGTAGGTCTAAATAATGTCATAACTTTGTCAAAACTCGTCCGATTACGTTAATTTCGGTGTTATTCGATCATCTCGACGAGCTCTTTCAAATAAGCTATCATTTGTATACTTTTTCGTCCTTTTGGTTTTTCGCCCCTGTGGTTGTTCAATTTTCAGGGGTCTGTATCTCGGTCAAATCAAGTCGGATTTTGTCGATTTTGGTGTCATTCGACACAGCTCGATCGGTTCTACAATTGTTGTTCAGACTGACCATTTTTACATATTTTCCAAAAAAATTGACTGGGGGTGGGAAACTAAATAAGTACCCAAAAAATCTCTTTAATTATTAAAAATAACCTTGCAAAAGCTATACATATCCTTCGGCATAACATTAACTGCCGGAGTATTTGAAGTTATAGAACCATCACGTTCATGCATTTTTTCCAAATCAACTTCATCTTCTTCAGAATGTGAATAGTCGGCCGCTTTTGGTTCCTTTATTTGACTTGTAGAAGGGATTAAATTGTTGTTATTAGTAGAAGCTCCAACAAAACTAGCATCGCCACCATCAGTCATTGAATCGTCCAAAATTCGTTTCTTTTTCTTCTTTTTCTTTTGGTGAGACTGAATATATATTAAACAATTTTGTTTTAAATTTAAAAATAACCGTATTTTCAACAGAATCTATCCTTGCAGTAGTAACTTCAGAAAATGATGCATGAGGAGTTTCGAGAACAATACTTTCATCTTTATGATCGCCGTTGTTCTGGCAAGATTCTTCTTCGTGTTTCCTCTTTTTTGCTTTTTGAAGTGACTAAAAAATGTCTTTAAAAAGTTAAGATAGAATCCGTAAGGTTCTTATTTAGTAAAGATCTGATAGAAGACATACCCACTGTGGGGAAGAAGGAGGTAATGGGGCAGAGTAAAAGGGTCATTTTCCTTAAGAAAAACTTAAGAAAAAGATAACCTCAGCTTGGCTTGTAGATTGATGACCTTTGACTGGCGATCCAGAAGTTGATGTTATTTCGTCTTTTAATTTTCCCATTAAGCAATTATTAAATATCCAAAATACTTTAATGAAACAATACTAAGTGTAAACAAAACTAAAATAAATAAAAACACGGAATAAAAGAAAGCAAGTGTAAGCAAAAGAAATAAAAAAAAGTAGACTTAAAGAAAAAATCAATTCGTTTCTTCCATTTCAAATGTTTCCATTTCGAAATCTTTCCTGCCAAGAAAAATACAAAATATCAATTAATTAAATATATTACAAAACACCCAATAAAATTTTGGTAAGAAGTCATTAGAGTCTCGCATTTTTTTTAAATAAAAATTACAATATTTTGTGTTGGAAATTAATCTTTTAATTGAGGTTCCGTTTTAATTTTAAATTTTATTCTATCCTAACCATCTACTAAATATTCTATCCAGAAATCTGTCTTCTCTTCCTTTATTTGATGAGGACTCTCTCGGAGAGAATGGCCAATCCCAATTATCAGAATTACTTCCTCCATTCCTTCCTCTACTTCTACGGCTCCGGTACAAAATATGGAATCGTTAAAATATGGAATGGTTAAAATCGCGAATAGGCTAAAAAGGGGTTAAAATACCGAATCGTTAAAATATGGAAACGTTAAAATATCGAATCGGGTAAAAAAGGGTTAAAATATGGAATCGTTAAAATATGGAATGGTAAAAATGTCGACACGGCCAAAATCTGTCAAAATGTCGAATTCTTTTAAAAAAGGGTCAGATGAGTGCCATACGTTGATTGTAGATGATTTTATCAACTTATTAATGATAAGTTGATTGATAAGTCTCTTATGTCGTAGTCCGGCGCAATCTTTTCTGCCAGAGTTCATTGTATTTTACCGAGTAAAACCGGACCGGATAAATCAAGCATAATCGACCGGATCCGATCCGGCATGATCGTACGGATCCGGAAAACATAACGCGATCCTGATATGGAAAAATTAGAGTGGTGTGCATTAGTTTTTAGTTAAGACCTAAAGTTTGACCATACCGTATACGGTACGAAATACCGAAAAATACCGATCAGCTTTTAAATTTTATCGGTCGGATTCCGTACCGTACTACCGACACGGAATATCGAAAAATACCATCGGTAACACCCGGTAACGCCCGGATTCTAGTTTTGGCGCCATTTTTAAAAAATTCGACATTTTGATCGATTTTGGCCGTGTCGACATTTTTACCATTCCATATTTTAACGATTCCATATTTTAACCCTTTTTTAGCCTATTCGATATTTTAACCATTCCATATTTTAACGATTCGGTATTTTAACCCCTTTTTCGCCTATTCGCGATTTTAACCCATTTTTACCCGATTCGAGATTTTAACCCTTTTTTAGCCTATTCCATATTTTAACGATTCGATATTTTGTCCGGACACGACTTCTACTTCCAAAATTACTTTCTTCTCCTCTCCCTAAACCTAAAAATGAGAGAAACTGACAAAAATATGATTGGGATAAAAATTATTTTCTTCTTTCCTCTTTACCGTAAATTGCTTGAATAGCTCGAATATCGTCGCTTCTTAACAAAAATTTTATTAACAATTTTTCAGAATGTTTTATATTAAATACTTTAGTCGAGGCATAACATAAACACCGTTTTCGACAGTTTCTTGATAAAATGGTGCCATTATTGCATCTTCAACTTTGGAATGTGAAAGTCCCAGAGTGTGTCCAATTTCATGAACAGTCACTAATATATTCTTTATAAAGTTTAAAGGAAATAAGGGCAATCTCTTTCTTATCCAACCCTTTTGGATTCGAGAATTGAATATGAAATACGATAGTCTATAAAAGGATTTTAGTTTACATACCTGGGTAGAGATCAGTATAACGACTACTGAAAATTAAAGAAAAATTATTTTGGCTAATGTACTAAGAGGAGAATCAGAAAAATTGTGAGGACACATTGTACATATGAGAGAAATTCTGATTTTTCTTAAATTCTGAAAACTAACGTTCCAATTTTATTAGCATCTTCTGGTCCTAATGCCCAATTCTCGCTTTCCTTAAAATTTTTTTTAAATAAATCAAATTAATTAAAAACATCAAAATGAAGTTTTCCATCTTTTGGCATTGTTGCGTGAGCTAAAACTCCTCCTACAAAAAAATATATTTTCAGAACTTGTAATTCTTTTTACCTCTCCCATCAAAAGGCCATGGATCTCCATGACTTCCAGAAGCAAAAATCTTTTTAAATTAAAACAGTTTTCTTTTAGTCAAAATTTCAAGTATATCCCAGCACCTTGGAAACACTCACCCCCGACCCGGTTATGACTTTTTGTGAGTCGGAATGGAAATTTTGACTGAAACTTGGAATAACTTAAAAATGATAATTTGTTTTGGGATAAGAAGGAGCTTCCCCTCTTTTAAAATTTATCCATCTTACTTACAATGTTAATATCAGCCGTTCCACTAGTTTCTTCAAATCTTATTGGTATAACAGCTGACCTTTAAGATTTTTTATTTATATTACTTTCTATATTTATTGTGTACCATGTTTGGAATGCACGTCTAATAGCGTCTCTAAAATAATGAATGAATATTTTTAATTTTTCGACTCTACCACTTGTCCCAACTCTCTAAATTAGTTTAAATTAGGATAACTAAGGATATGATAAATTAAGGGATAATTAATATGTTGGACAACTAAACAATACTATGCTTGAGTGAAGGGAATAATTAACGTTATCGGTCTGTAATAGTGGGAAATGTTCAATATTTATAGGAATAAGTCGGAACGTTTATCTTTATTAATTTTTTCTACCTTTGCCTTGAAGATGACAAATCTGGAGAGAAATTATGTATTGAATATTTAATTAAAGATTTATCCCATTTAAATTGACTAGCCCCTCTATTGTTAGTAATCATTTCAACATCTTGCATTCCACAACGTTTTTTAGCCATTTTCTTTTTTGTTTTAACATCAAGTTTTCCGGTAACTGGCTAATATATAAATTTAATTTTAAATTAATTAAATATTAATATTTACTCACTAAATGCGCAAAAAGTTGAAATTTTTTGATGGCATCATTTATTGGGCTAAGTAAAATTTGAAAATTTTATATCAAAATTTAACATATAGAGATTTATATAGGTAGGGATTAGCGGAAAAGGTAGTTAGGAAGGACTTGAAGTTAAAAAAAGTAGATTAAGGGACCAACTCTCCATTTTATCTGAGGGTGTTTGTGTAGGGGACTTATATAAGGGACTGAATTAATCTCTGGATATCTGATGTTTATGACTGCGGTTCTAACTTTTTTAATCAGTTGGGAATCTTGTTCCTTAAAGGACCTTTCCCCAAAAATTCCTTCAAAACCCACTCGAAGCCTCCCCCAGAACCGCGATTGTTGTTAAGCTCTCCGGGTGGAACATAACCAAAATCTTGTAAATATTTCTTAAAAAATAAAATTAATAAAGAAAATCTTTATTATTAACCATAGCCTTTTCATTAGATACAGGCTTTTCTTCTTCATTATTATCACCAAATAAATTATCGAGAAAATCTGTACTGACAAAAGGAATTGTTGTAATTGAAAGAATAATAATTAAATTAATAATTAAATATTTTTTCCTTTCCATATTCAAAAAATAAAATTTTATTTTAATTTATAAACTTTGAAAAGAAGTCATTGTAAGAAGGCGAGGAATGAAAAATTCAATGAGAGGAATTTTTGAATTTTCAACTATTTTTCATCTTAAATTTAGTGTAGAAACTTCGCCTTCAAGTCAGGCTTAGTCAAAGTTTTTGTGGGATGGCTTGCATTGAAAGAAGGCGAGAGCTACAGCTTGTCGAGCTTTTCTAACTCTTGGAGAAATAAAAATAAATTTTTTGAAAGAATTAACTCAATAAATTATTTTGGTGATTGATTTGCTATTTTTTAATTGCAATTGAACATTGAGAGAGAAAAGCACGAAAACAAAAAGATTGAAAAATTAAAATACAAAGAAGACAGCAAATCAGGTTCCGATGGAGGCCATTTAAATTAACAAAAAAATTTTTTTTGTATTTTCTTAGTCAATAAAATGAGGAATTCTTTAAAAGAATATTAAAATAATTTTTTACAAAATTTAAATTTTTGTCATAATTTTTAACAAAATTTATTTTAAAAAATTCTTTGAATTTTTATAAACTTTTCTTTTTATTAAAATTTACAACCTCTTTGTGCGTAAATAGAACAAAAAATAAGTAAATAAAAACAAGCATACATATAAAGCTTTTTTTCTTAAAAAAGGAATTTTCTTGTATATAAAATCAAAAAAATAAATAATTTAAATTTTTGTCAAACAAAAAATCTTTGTAGTTTTAATAAATTTTATATTCCTTCCCCCTCCCTTCTCTTCCTTTGATGACTCACAATTCAATAATATCATCATTACTATTCTCTTGATCATTTACTAATTTTGTAGTTATTTGTTGTTGTTGTATTTTTTCTTCTTTTTCTGTTTTGTGTAAACGAAAAAATTTAATTAAAGCCCCCAAAGCTTCAGAAAAATTTGAAGAATTAATTAATCTTTGTTTTATCCAATTAGGTAATCCATTCCCTAAGAATTGCTGAGTAAATCGAGAATCTAACAATAATATAACTGCATAATCATTTTTGTGTCTAATAACACGCCCAATTGCTTGATTTAATGATTGAAGACATAATTGCTCGTAAAAACGATTTCCGGCACCTGGACCATTTGTTTGTTCAACAAAATTTTGAACATTTTGTTTGTTCAAAAAATGGGATTAAGATGGGTTTTTTTTAAATTTATTCATGTTTTTGTTTGCTGTTTTTTCACATATTTTTTCAATTTGTATATTTTTTTATGCACCACTTTAATGTATTTTAAAATACCTGTGGTTTGCTGATAAATAAATAAATAAATAAATAAAAAACTGAAATTTTTAAATAAAAATGGGATTAAAGATGGGTTTAATTTTTTCAATCCCCTACTTAGAACCTTTACAATTTTTAAAGCCTAGAAAAATGTGAAGTAAAACATGGGAAAAGGAATATCTGGGATATTAGAATATATTTTGTTGTGTCCCCTCAATTTTTATCCCGATGTTATATTATATATAAGATCAGAAAACGGACTAGAGGAGGAAAAGATTTTAGTGTTTATTAAACAAGTCCAAGTGCTCATAATTTTATTATCTAATAAAGTTAGTTGTTTTAATTTTTCTATTTTTCATATAATTTTTTTCAAGTTTCAATGGTTCTTTTCTTAAAACCCCCAGATTTAAAATACATATTAAAAATTACTTTCATTCTCTCTTGTAATTCAGCTGATTGTCTATTTGGATAAGGAACACCAACCTTTTTAAAAGGAAAAAAATTTATTTTTCAATCTCCAATCCCTAAATTACCATCAAAACACACCGTCCCAATTCATCAGAAAAATTAATTCCTTCACTCAATTTCCCCCCAACAACAGCCATTAAAAGAGCCCCACGTTGAGTAACAGCAGCTCTACAAAATGTTGGCCAAATGGATGTTTCTTCTTTTCCTGCACGTGTTTCAATAAATATTTCCTTTCTTCTCTTAAAAATTGTGATAAATTTGAAAAAAATTATTTAGAACCTCTAATTGTTCAAAATGTCCAGAAGAACGAATTGATCGAATAAATGTTCCGAGAAAAGCATAACTAAAAAATGGAACGAGGTTTTAACAAAATAATTTCCCTTTAAATATGTTTAGTTCAAAGATTGATCACTCCCCTTCTGTTATTTCAATTTCCCATTACTAACATCTACTTATTTATGTGCTCATTTGGTTTAAGAAAAGACTATAAGCCTAAAAATAATTTTAAAAGCATTTCAAATGACTGAAACTTTTAAGTTATAATCTCCAAACATTTTAAACTAAATTTTATCAAATTAATTTCATTTACTTCCTCACCTAGGAAAGAAAGCAACAACTCCATTAGGTATTTGTCTAATTAAATTAATAAAAGATTGGGCCAATGAACGTAAAACTGATTCAGAATCACGATTTGCAAAATTTAAACTTAATGGTTTATCATCTGGTCCTTTACCTAAAAATTAAAAAAAGTTCAGAAAAATTTTAAAAATTCACCAATAGAGATAGCCAAAAGTTGTTTAGGCCCAATTACATGTCCACAAGAAAATACTTTAATTCGTTGTTGGGGTATTTTACAAACTCTTTTAAATGCATCCATTAATTGATCAACTGGTCTCATTGTTCCTCCAAGTAAAATTAACGATCGACATTCATTTACTATATCTCTCAATTTTTCTGCTGGGTTGAGTAAAATAAAGCGTAAACGAGGATCTCGAATATTTGTTCGGTCAATAACTATACGGGCGTCTTCCGACCGAGAAGTTAAAGCCTAGTAAATAAAGAGAATAAATTGAGGAACATTAGGTAATGTAAATAAATCAAAAACCTCATTTTAAATACCACACCCCCTTCCCCTAGTTGAAAAATTGTACCTTATAATAAGGACTATCTTAAATCGAGGGTATCTCTTAGACAGCTTTACCCCCCAGCAGGTCAGTCAGAAGTACTAAAATCTATAGATCGGCCTGATATGGATCCAAATACCTGGTTAAGATCAAGGCATTTCGGTGTTCCTTGATTTTTCCCTCACTTAAGGCCAAAAATCTGGTCATGGTCCTCAATCAAAATAAAGAATCAAGGTTTTTTAAAATTTTCTATCTCTATTAAAATCGTATCCAAATATGTTTTAGGAGTATCTAAGATCGTGGTTTATATTTTCAAAATAAAATCCAAAAAATGTTAATTACTTCAATAAAATCACGAAGTTGATATAAAGGTGTAATATTTACAGGAGCAACTAAAAAAGAAAATTTAAAAATCAATTAAAAATTAATTTAAATCTCACGATTAGGGTTGTATATTGTTACTTGTGGACGATATCTTAGCCGAAAATTTCTCAATTTTCTGCATAATTGTGAATTTTCGAGATATGAAAGTAAACGGCATAAGTCTATATTTATTGCATCGCCTAACTAAAAAGAATTGTGAAAAAAATTTTTGACAAAAAAATTTTTACTTGAGCAAAAAAATGTGCCATATTAATAACAGTTCCATCTGTAGAAGACCCTTTTTCTTTAGAAATAGAACCAAGAAATTGATACATTGAATATGCTAGACAGTGAAGTTGTTTAACATTGCGTAAATTGCGAAAACTTAAACGATCTTGAAAATGTTCCATATAATCACTTAAACATTGACAACAAACATCTAATTGATTATTGCTTAATTCTACCTGTGGAAAATTTAAAATAAAATTTAAAAAGATTTATGAATGGCAATCAGAAAAATCGAAAGTTAAAAAGGGAAAGAATTTCCTCCCATTAACTGTCTGCAATCTAAAATTTTTTTACAAAACATAATTTAATCAATCAGCATTTGCAGACAACAAAGCTGGACGCAAAAAATCCACAAGCCAAAAAATCCCAAAATTTTGGAAATCCGCAATTGTGGATAGTTCTGATTAGACGCCCTTTCATAAGCACCCAAATAAATTTATTTTTGCTTAATTAAAAGTAGGGCTGGGGTTTTAGAGTCGGGCCGACGTTCAAGTCATTTTTTCGGGCAGGCAAAACCGAGTCTTTTTTGGGCCAAAATTAGATGCCGACTCGATCTTTCGGACCGGGCCCCCAACCCTAATTAAAAATATAAACTAAACAGTATGTATGCTAGCCAATGTTTGTAATAAATTATGTGCTTCATCAACAATAATAACATTTCCTGACAAATCAAGATTCCACGCCTGTCTCGTTCTTTTATGCAATAAAATATTGTAAGGGACTAAAATTAATTGGCTTAATCCTAAAGCTGTTTTGCTTGCATAATATGGGCATCCATGTCTTTGACGCCCCAACTTTACTAATTGTGAAATCCCTCTAGCTTGACCAACAAATTTTTCATCTTCATCAACAGCCAATATTGCATCAGATAATTCTTCTATAGCATCACCTTTTGCATAAGAACAACCACAACCACTTTTTGGGACTTCACATTCCTAAACGGATTAAATTTTAAATTAAGTAATGAAGTGTTATGTAAAATAAAATAGAAAATTTGAAATGTTTTCATTAGCCTTTTCTTTAATTTTTTATTTTAATTTTATTTAAATACCAATTTTGGACGCTTCCCGTCTTCAGTATTCTTGCCTGAACTGCTAAGAAGTTCATTACATCGATCATTAATTAATTTGCCTTCTCCAAGTTCGCGAACTTCCTAAAAATAATTTGAAGAATATTTATATGAATCCATGAAAGAATCCACATAGGTTTTTAAGGAACAAAGTTAAGATAATTATTGAGCAGCAACAGAAAGGAGGTTAATAATTGGAAGGAGTTTACCTACTCTTTTAGATTTTACAATTAAATTTATAATAAAAACCCCTACTTCATTAACACAAAGCATCTGCCTCGAACCCAATGTTAATACCCGTGGCTTGAAATTTGTTTTCTGCAATTCTTTAACAAATTGTTCCAACTAAATAATTATTAACTTTTAAATTGAAAAAATAAATTTACTTGAGAATGAGTTCGACTAGCATAAATTAATTTATTACACCGAAGGACAGGTTCACTTTCTGGAGGGTCACCATTAATTGAATTATTGAAAGCTTTCTTTTCATCGCCTTCTTCTTCGCTATCACTGAGAAGTAAATCCTTGAAAGAATTTTAAAAAGAAGTAAAAATTTATTGAGAGGATTTTACAGTAAAAATTAGTGTCCGAGAGGGGACCTAAAAACAATTCCAGTCATCCAAAACAAGGGATGTTAATGAAAGGTATGTGGGAAATTCAGAGAAAGCCCAGAATCTTTCCTAAAAAATTTAAAAAAACTCAACTCTATCTCTTCTTTTATTAAAATCATTTTTGTTGTCACTATCATCCTCTAAAGTAATAATATCAGAAGAGGCAGGAGGAGGAGCATTCTCTAAATCATTTTCTACTGAACGAGATCTCTTCCCTCTACGTATTTTTCTATTCTTTTTAATTCCAGATTCTCTAAATTCTTTCTGATCTTGACGTATTTGTGCCAATCTTTGTTGTATTCTTTGTTGTTTTGCTTTTTCTTCCCGAAGTTCATCCAATTCTTGTTCAATATCCATCTTTTGTTTGTGTACATTTATCCAATCTGTGTCATAACCGTCTTCTAAAAATTAATATTTTTTTACAAAATTATCTGTTTTTCACTTTAATGTTCCAAAATATTCTAACAAAAAATTCCAATTTACCATTTATTTTTTTTCTAAGAGCTACACTTTCTGTTAATTCATTTTTACACACTTTCTCTACACTTATTTTGATGTTTATCTTTTAAAACAAATAACAAAAAACCCTCAGTTTCTAGTGCTTTACAAATATCCACTAAACACTCTTCTTCCTTTCTCTTAATCTTAAGAGAATGATCGATCTTAAAGTAGCAAGAAAAATTCACTGCAAAGCTTAAAAGATCTGGAAAGAACCAACACATGGAGAACATTTTAAATATAATTTAACTAATCTCTTAAATGGCTGCTAAACAAGAGGAAACAACGGAAGATGGACTTAATTACAAAAATACAACAACAAATGTCCACCCTTTAATTGTTCAATTGTATAGGTGCGAATTGGATGAGGATAATAATAAAGAAGAGAATAAAAATGAAAATAAGGAAAAGGAAAAATCTCCTCCTGATCCAATATTTAGAGCTGATGAACATGACAAACAAGTAAAGAAATAAATAAAATTATTAATATTCTAATTTTTAGTTTGATCCAGACAAGTATTTAGAGGTAAGAAAAAAGAGAGAAAATCTGAACGGCAATCTCCACCCCAAAAATAATTATTTGATAGGGATTCTACAAATCTCCACGTGAGGATGTTGCAATGCAAATAGTGCTGTTTTTCCTACCAGGGATGGTTTGTAGACTTCCAAAAACTATAGGTACAATGCTTGATTTGGGTGCAGGTTGTAAAAAATTATAGAAAATATTTTCCAAAAAAAAATTTTAAGGTCCAACAATATACATTCCTTTAGTTTTGCGAAACCATATTGAATCAATTTTTAGTTCCGATTATTCCCCACAAAATAGGCAAAGAGTAATTGATTGGATATTTGCAAAAAATAGTTTTGATTGGTCTGAGATTTGTTGTTGGATTGCTGGGATAGAAGCAAGACATGAGAAACCGTTACAAATGCAGGATTTTACTAGAGAGAAAATGAGGGCTGTTTTAGAGGTAATTATTGAGAGAGAGAATATTTTCTTTTAGAAAAAGTTTCTAGGTAAATGTACAGAAACGTCCAGTTATTCAAAGTATTGAATGGAAAGCAGAAAATTTAAAAGAAATTCCAAAACAATTCGATTTAGTAACAACAGTGTTTTGTATGGAATATTCTTGTGAAACACTTGAAGGCTACAAGAGGGCTATAAATGGAGCTTGTGGATTAATTAAGCCTGGTGGTTGGTTACTTCAAGGAGGAATATTTCACGCAACAGAATACCGATTTGGAGGGAAACGATTTAGCAGCCATTTTTTGACTAAAGAACATGTACTGACTGCTCTTGAGGTTTTTTTTGAAAAATTCTCGGAAAATTCCCCAAAGTTCTTTTTAGGAAAATGGAATGGAAACGATAAAGGGAGAGGATTATGACCAATTCCATTTTATAACACATGATGACATTTTCTTGCTACTTTCAAAAAAGAAAATGGAAATTGGAAGGGAAGAATAAGGAGAAAATTAGAAGAAAACAAACCTTGCAAATTCAAACATAATTCTCGTATTCGCTTCTCAACATCTTCTAGATGCCTTTTTTCGTTTTCCTCGAGCCATGTTAGGGACTGAAAAATAAATTTCTATTATGTCGATATTTCTAAAAATAAGGCAAAACCAATTCTGATACTATAACCATTAAAGGATAACTTTCAAAATTGGTTCCCAAAAAAATTTACCGCGCATATTGTAGACAAAGATTTTCCAGTTCCAGTAGGAGATTCAAAAATAGCAATACTTCCCTGTTCAGCCGAATTATAAATTGCATTCATTAATTGACTTTGGATTGGATATGGATCATATGGAAAGCCAAAAGGTTTTCGATTTGGATCATTTTTATTCATCTTCGAAATTAGTAAAAATATCAACATTTAAAAAGAAATTCATTTAAGAAAATAACTTTAAAATTAAAAAAAAACTTTTACAAAATTAAGTATTTAATTAAAGAAAAAATATTTCAATTCAAAAAATTCAAAAAAAATCAGCAATATGTTAATTAAAATAATAAGATCAATAATAAACTTCCCCATTCTTTCATTCCTTAATTTAAATTCATTTAACAAATTCCTTCTCGTATTTTGCCAAAAGATCCAAAACAATTCTGTAATTATTCACCAAATTTTCATAAAGTGTTTCCAATTGATGTTGCTGTTGTTCCTTTAAATAAATTATTTAAAAATTAATTTGATTAGATTATATAGGCAGAAAAAGATTAGGAAAATTTTTAATTAATTTTTAAATAATTAAAAAAATATTTTGGGCATCTATAGACAATAGACAATTTTCAGAATTTATTAATTTTCTTTCAACTTTTTTCTAAATTCTAAAAGATTGTCTCCCGCTTTAGTTATCCCATCTATATCCCCGTTAATTTCCCATCTTTTACCGGTTCAAATGCCATCATTGCAATAGCCAAAGATTGTTCATCATCCGCAAATGATTGTGCAATCCTTCCTCTATCTCTTTTTGGATCCATTACAAGTTTTTTCAATCGTTTAAAAACATCCTCTTTAAATTGCTTAAGTTCTTCAGGAACATTTACTTTTGTGTGGAAAAGTCGCAGAATTTCATAAATACGACGAGCTTGCATCTAAACTTTTGATAACCTTTTAATTCAAAAAATTTCAAAACCTTGCATAATTTATATTTTTCTCGAGCTATTTTATACATTTCTGTGTTGAATCCATTCATAAGATTTTCTTTCGAAAATTGTGGCAATTTAGAGCAATTTAAAGCATCGACATAATCTCTCATAATTACAAAAGAATCTGCTGGGACTTCAGCTAAATTAAAAAAATAATTTTAAAAATCAAAAACACAACCAGTAATATCCCAAACAGTTTCAATTCTCCAAAGATCGGAATATATTGCTTGTAAAAATTTAGGTCCAAGACCCATTTTTCTAAAAGGAGGAGCCAACAATATTTGCGCAATTCTAATTCTATCCTTGTCTGGGTAATGGTAAAAACGATAAAGATTGGCATAACCAGCAAATTTCCAACGAGAAAGGCCATTATTTGAAGATTTGAGAGATTCAAAAAGAAAATAATTGAAGAAACGGGGATCCTCTTCATCTGTATATTGGACCTACAAAAATATATAGATAATATAAGCAAGAATTGAAAATAGAAATTTAAGGAAAAATCCAAAAAGACTTAGGGACAAGTCCATAATAGAGGGAGGAATGGGGGGAAATTTTTCTGGGCCAAATTTTTAGCGCCGTAGGCGAAAATTTTTAAAATTTTGAAGGCCGTAGGCCAAAAATTAACTTTTTTTTGCCCAATCCCCTCCCCAAAATTTTTTCCTTTTTCCCATTTTCACCTGGCTACGGGCCTGCTTAGGGAGTATCTCCCCACCCAAATTTCCTTTTATCTCCTTCATTTTTTCTCCTCTCATGGAGATTAAAAACTGTCGAAATATCAATTTAAATAGGGCAGTCAATGAGAAAAGGCAGTCATTTTTAATTTTGTTTTTAAAATTTTTGAATTATATATTTTAGATCAATGAATTTTTTTAGTCTTCCGAAGACTGAAGAAGCAGCGATAAAATTTTTACAATCAAAAAATATTCTACCAACAAATAAAATTTGTGAAAATGGCCACGAAATGAAGTTAAGTATTGGTGAGCAAATTAGCTGGCAATGTAGTAAATCTACGTGTCGTTCTGAAGTCAATATAAGAGTTGGAAACTGGTTAGAGGGAAGTCATATTCCAATTGTCACCATTGTTCGTTTTATTTATGCTTGGGCTATTGGAATGACAGCAGTTAACAATAAGTTTTGTGAACGGGAATTGGAGATGAACTCAAAAACAACAAATGATTGGAAAAAAAAGTTACTAAGTATTTGTGTGGAACACGTGGTAAATAAGCAGAAGAATCAAGGTATTAAATAATAGTTTTGATAGGTATTAGCATTAAATTATTTAGATGGTGAAAATATGGCCGTAGAAATTGACAGAAATCGAGCAGAATTTATGTGTAGAAAGGAAGTTAAAAAAGAAGATTTTTTCGAATGGATATTAGAGAAAATAGCAGAGATTCGGGCTCCTAAATGATTTTTACATTATCTATTTGCATAATTATAAATTTTAACATTTTGTCTTGAAGTCATTTTTAATCTTTTATGAGAGGAGAAATTTGCGGACAAACATTTGCAGACTTGTGAGGAGATATTCCCAAATACCACCAAAACATAAGAAAAGAAATTAGAAATCCTTAATACACCCCCCGAAATAAAAAATTGAAAGTAGTAAAGAAACTTGAATAAAATAATTTCAAATTTATTAAGAAAAAAATTACCGATTCAATATACCAAAAAGCGATTGATTGAGCCCTTTCCAAAAATTTAATTCCCTCTTCCAATCTGGGATCAGTTTCCAACTTATCAAATTTGTATAATTCAAAGCAGCGTTCTTTACCGATTTCTAGAATTATTTTCTATTTAGCTAAAATTATATATTTAATTGAATTTCCCCCCATTTTCTATCTAATCTAAATATTTTCCCTTCTTTTGTAATGTAAATATTTTTCCTATTATTTTAAATAAGCGCATCTGTTTTTAGAAAATTATTCTTTTTTTTTTGTGTATGACAGCCGCCTTTCATTCATTATATTTGTAGTTTTGTTCACTTATTGGAATGTTGTTTATTTTCAACCTTTAGTCCCCTCATATATTCCTAACCCTTCACCACCCAACTTTTACTTTTGTCATTTGCCGCGTTATTCATAAAAAAATCTAAAAACCTTGTTCAATATAAAATTTAGAAATAAGTTCTCCATAAGGACGAAATTTAGTTTGCTCAACCAATTTATCCTTAAATTTGTCAAAAGGCAAATAAGCATCCAGTTGTGTGCTAGGTAAGGCATCTTTGATTTTCTCAACAATATTGTCAGCCTAAACGATTTTATAAAATAAAATTCATTAATAAAATACTTGAATAGCTGAATTTCCATTAAGAATTCCATCATATTTAACCAATGAAGTAAGAAAAAGAGAAGCATCCGAATATATTACATTAACGGAAAGATTTTTGTAGCCAACAATCTTTTCACTAAAGAAAATAAATTTTAATTAATTAAATAAAAAACAAACGTTTCCCCAAAATGTTGATAAGCAAATTCAGGGGAATATTTTGGAAATTTATCAATTTCATCAGTTGAAGAAACTTTTAAATTTTGATTTTATTAAACGATAAAATAGATTTAAATTAACCAAAGTTAAGCTTTACAGCAAGCAAAGCATCTGCCACATATTCATCATCATTCTCTTGTCCAGCTATAACTGAGTCTAACTGCATTGAAAAAGCCACTAAAATTAATTTAAAAATTAAAAATAAAAAAAAACAAAAATTTTTTAGCTTAAAAAACTAAAAAAATCTTTTAAAATTTAAATTAATATTTCTTGGCGCGTTGTTGAAAAATTAATTTTCATAATGTCAAATAGAGCAAAAAATATCAAAATATCTAAAATTGAAATATCTAATTTAGAAAGGTCAAATAATTTCCAGTCGAAGCGGCTGCTAAAATTTATTAATTTTTATTTTTTTTTATTTAGAAAGTTTTATTTAAAAATTTTGTAGAATGTTGGAAGAATTGTTAACTTCTAATTTGGATTTAAAGGTTAGTTTTAAAATTAATTAAAAAAATTTTTTTCTAAATTTTTAGGATGTAATTATTAAATTATTTGTTAATGTTCAAGACCTACAAAAAATGTTTTTGGAAGAGAAAAATAAAAATTCTGCTTTGGAATTACGAGTAAAGAATTTAGAAGACAGAAATCAATTTTTAGAGAATAAAATTAAAAAGGTTTGGTTTTGTTGGTTTTTGAAGGGAAGGGGGTAGGGTTGGGGTTTTTGAGTCGGACCGACGTTCGAGTCATTTTTTTCGGGCCTTATTTTTATCGGCCGGCCGGACCTAGTCCTTTTCGTCCAAAATTCGATGCCCGACTTGATCTTTTGGACCGGGCCGGATCGGGCCCCCAACCCTAGAAGGAGGCATTCGAGATAAATTTTTGTTTTTCAGAATAAACAACGAGTACAACTTATCCATAATGAAAATAAAGAAGAAATTTTAAATTTGAAAAAGCAAAATGATAAGAAAATTCAAAAGGTTAGTTAACTTATTTTTAAAAATCTTTTAAGAAATTAATTTAAGTTAAGCTCTGCATTAAATAAAAGAATTGACAATTTAACCTCGAAATTGGAGCAATTGGATAAAATGTCCGTAAAAAGAGTGGTCAGTTTTTGCTTTTTTAAATAAAACTATTTGGTTCTATTTCAGTGCTTTTTACCATTTCCAAACAAGTGGACAACAATAAATTCTTTATGTTGTGACAATGATTGTGTAAATACAAAAGCTCCTGGGGGTTTGTGTGTTAATGGGAATGGGTTTATTAATTTGTACAGTGACAGTGTGAAATATTATGAATGTGAAGAAGATAGAGGTGGGGTTTTACTGATATATTAATTAGGATGTTTAGAAGTAGGGTTGTCGGTCTGGACCGAACAGATGATTTTTGGGTTCGGTTCATGTCAGTCCTGGATATCCTAAGTTTTTCCTTGAACCGACAACCCTATTTAGAAGAGTTAATAGTAGGCTGATTTTTTCGAAATTAACTAACGGAAAAAACATTCAAATATTTATTCATTTGATAAATTCTTTCACGTTGTCACAACATTCTTGTTTTGAGTAATCTCCGGTTAAAAGATTGCTGACAAAATATTGTCATATATCCCTATAAGACATTTTTTATGACTTCGAACGTTACTAACAATTTTTTAAAATTAGATAAAATTTTCTTTTATTTCAGGAACAAATGTAACATGTTCTATTGAAGCACAATTTAGACTTATTAAGCCTGAAAAAGATTACTTCTTTTATTCTCTATTCTATTATGAAATAACTTGTCAGTTTATTCTAGATCGTGTTAATTATGAAAATGAATTAACTGTTGGATTTTTCAGCAATAGAAATATTTTCGCAATTGAAGCGCACGATTTCCGAATTTTTTACAAAATTAGAGGAGAAGAGTTCTTTGAAGATCTGGACGAAATCGAATTTATTTGGAGGAATGGCGATGTTTTGGGTTGCGGTTTAGTTTTCCCTCCAACTGATATGCCTGAAAAACAACCTTATGTTTTCTTTACTCAAAACGGGAAATTAATTGGTAAAATTTTTTTATTTTTTGTTTTCGATCTGAAAATTATTATGGCCCAGTTGGATTTTCGAATTTGGATATTAAGTCTGAATTATTTTAGTTCAAATTGAAAGAATCTTTCAAATGTTCAACTTTTACTCTTGATAATTCCAAGCTTCGCCCCCTCCACCCCTCACCTTTTCCTTACTTTTTCCTTTCTTACGGAAAAGGTCTTTAATCAGGCCAAATAATTTCTAGCTTTTTTACTATTTTTCAAAAAAGACTTAAATATTAAATTTGCTTTCTTATTTCTAGGCAAATCAATAAAAGGACTATCTGATAATTATTGCAAGCCGTATTTAAGTCTGAAATGCTGTTCTGTTAAAACTAACTTTGGAGAGGATTTGGATAATAATCCATTTAAATATGATGTTTCTAAACACCACGTTTCTCAAGAATTTTATGAGAATTCTGAAGAATAGGAAAATTAAACAACGAAAAATAATATTAATATTTTATATTTTTTTTATTAAAAATTATTAATCTAAAATATGTGAATAAATCTTTTAAGCAATTTGAAGCTTTGACTGTTTAAAATTATTTTTTTAAATAATTATTTTTATTTTTCCGAATTGTCTTCTAAAATAATTTTTAAATTTACTTTTCAGTTTGCTATTTTGTTAGAAGTCGTTTCTTTTTTAATGACTGCTTCATTTTCCACAGTTGATCTTACACCTGACGAGTATGAACGTTTGACTCAATTACGGTTATTATTTTATATTTCCTAATTTAACAAATTTTTTTGAAGGTCCCGAAAAAATCAATTACTTGATGAAATACAGGTTCAAATCAGGCCCGTAGCCAGGGGGGTAGGGGGGGGGGGAATTCCCCCCCCCCCCCCCCCCCGAAATGGGGAAAAGGGAAAAATTTGGGGAAGGGCTGGGGCAAAAAAAGTGAATTTTTTTGGCCTACGGCCTTCGAAATTTTCAAAATTTTCGCCTGCGGCGCTAAAAATGGAAGAAATCTGGCTTTTTGAGGTCCAAAATTCAAAAAATTTTCGCCTGCGGCGCTGAAAATCAAAATTTTGGCGCCTGCGGCGCCGAAAAAGTGGATTTTTTGGCCTACGGCCTTCTAAAATTCTCAAAATTTTCGCCTACGGCGCTGAAAATAAAAATTTTTGGCGCCTTCGGCGCCAAAAATTGGGCGCAAAAAATTTTTCCCCCTTTGGCCCCCCCCCCCCCCCCCGAAAAAAAATCCTGGCTACGGGCCTGGTTCAAATCATTTAAAAAATTTCAATTCTTTGTTTTTATATTCCAGATTCTTCAACAAGAATTGTCAAAAACAAATTCAAGATTGGAAACGCTGAGTCCAGTTTCTAATCGGTTTTAGATTTTTCTTTTAATTTTTTAAAGTTTTTAGATTACCAAAAGCAAAAATTCAAAAATTGGCTATTAGTGCTTTTAATGAAGATTACAAAAAGGGTGTCCAATCATTAATTGATGCTTGTTTGGTTGAGAATTCAGCTGAAGATTTTGCTCGTTTTTTATTAAAAAATAATGATTTAAAAAAGGTTTTTTAATAAAAAATTATTTTTTTCCAATTTTTTCTAGTCCGCAGTTGGGGATTTTCTTGGAGAAAATGAACAATTCAATTTAGATGTTCTCCGACATTTTGTTTGTCTTCAAAATTTTGAGGGATTAATGTTGGTTCAAGCAATGCGTAACTTTCTCTCTTCTTTTCGATTGCCTGGAGAAGCACAAAAAATTGATAGAATAATGGAACGTTTTGCTATTCGTTTTTGTGAACAAAATCCTTCGATTTTTGATCATTCTGGTTAGAAAATATTTTTTGAAAAGTTGGTTGGGGAATTTTTTTACCTTTCTTTAATTCCTTCCTTTAATACTTAATGAAGAGGGGATTTAAGATCAATTTTCTGTTAATTTTTAACATACATATGTTGCCCAAATTTAACTCTGATTAATTCACTAGCCATAGGCAAAAAAAGAAATTTGGAAAGAGGGAAAGTTCAGACTTGCTCAAATTTAGTTATCGATGTATAGCAAAGCCTAATTATTATTTTCTTTGAAAAGCTCGCTAAGTGAGCCTTGCTGAAATTTTAATTTCGAAATATAATTCTAACAGCCTTACTTCCCTCATTCTCTTTAAATAATTAATTATTTAAAATTATTTTTAGATACTTGTTATACTCTCTGTTTCGCAACAATTATGTTAAACACTTCACTTTACAATCCAAGTGTCAAAGAAAGAATGAGTTTTGATGATTTTCTAAATATAACAAATTCTTTAAATGTTTCTCGAGATTTAATTATTGTTTGTTTTTCTTTAATTTATTCTTTAATTATTTTATTTTAAGCAAATTTACAATTCAATACGTGAAGAACCTTTTAAATTCCCAAAAGATCATCAAATTGATAACCATTTAAATTACAACTCTTCTCGTTTATTTAGAATGGCTGAAAAACAGGGATGGCTACACAAACAAGGTTTGATTATTTTTAAAAATTTTAAATTTTGTTTTTGAATTTTGGGAATTGTTTCTTAATTTAAGGGGAAGTGAGTAACCGATACTTTTTTCTTATACTTTCTTTTTCAATATTCTTCCTTCGCTTATTTAATCTTACTATTAATAAATTTCGATTTTTACCAATCAAAGAATTAGGGATAAATTTGTTGTCAAAGTCAATTTTTAATTGAAAAAAGGAGGATATTAACTTTAAATCTCAAATAAGGTGGAAGGGTCTATATATGAAAAAAGAATAATTTCGTTTAAGAAAATATTTTTCTAGGTAGTAATCATTGGACTTGGAATCAAAGATGGTTTGTCCTCTCAAATAAATGTTTATATTACTTTGAATTTCCAAATGTGAGTTTTTTTCTAAAAATAATTTTAAAAATTAAAAAAAATTTTAGAGTCGAGAACCTAAAGGAATAATTCCATTGGAAGGTATTTGTGTGAGAATGGTTGGATACAAGGACGTTGATTCATTTTCTTCAAGTAAAAAGCCGCACACTTTTGAATTATATTCTCCAAATTCTGAGATTGTTAAGGCACACAAAACTAATTCTGAAGGTTAGTTGAAAAATTTTTGAATTAGAAATTCTGAAACCCTGGAAGGAAAATTTTTGGTGTGCGGACATATCGGGATTGGGGTGACAAAAATAATTTCTTCCGCGTTTACGTTTGTTCTAAAACATAAAAACTTTATTCCTCAAACAATATACTATCCAATACCCAGTGGCCGTAGGTTCCGAAATCAGTGGGGTAACTGTTCGTACATTGAAATATCCTGATATGTCCGCGTGCAAAATTTTTTCCATGAATAGGAAATAAGTAACAGCCCCCTTTCTATTTTTTAGAACTGAAAAAGCACTCCTTCCGAATACAAATTATTAAAATTAAAATTCTTTAAATTTTTAAAGGTCGTTTAATCGAAGGAGGAGGGCAACACACCGCTTATAGAATGGCAGCACCAGGACATGAAGAAATGCATTCTTGGATTAGTGCTCTCCAAAGAAGTATAAATAAAGATAATGCTATAGAAGAAGTACTTGAACGAAGAAGGGCAAAATCGGTTAATAATGGAAGTTTTGGAGGTAGTAAATAATTATTGAAGAAAATATTTAAATTATTTTTTAAACGATTCTATGTAATTTAACCCCCTAAAAAGCCTTTCAATTTAATTTAATATTTAAGTATATAATTATTTTAATTAGCCTTGTTAAATTTTACTTAATGACATTGTAAATTTGAATTTTTAAATAAACTAACGGTTGGGATAGTTCTTATAGCAGTCATAAATTATTGGTAAAAATGGCTCTATATTTATGGAATGAAGTCTCAAAGCAAATTTTTTTCATATTCCTCAAAATGGGTAGTTTCAAGAGCTTCACCGGAAGTTCCTGTCCGGAACCAAAGAATTAGATCCGGTTTCGGTCAAAATTTCAGTTCGAGTCCCGGCCAAATTTGCGGTTCCGGTCAAGCACTAGTAATTTCCCTATACATTTCTCTCTATTCTGATGTTTGCCATAAGGCTATAAACGCAAAGGGATTAACTAAACGTGTGTGTCCATGTTCTAACTTGCCGTGTGTGTGTGATTAGTTCGGTTCCGAATTGGAACCCTGGTTAGAAATTTAAAAAAAGTATTTGAGAGTTTTTATAGAAAATTCTATTTCCAAAAGGAGTTTTTTGTTCAAAATAATTATAAAACTTCATAAAATTTTATTTTTATTTTGAAATTTTTTTAATAGGGAAAGGGTATGTAAAAAATTTTTTTGAATAAATACAAAGAAAGTGCAAATTAAGAAAAAATTTAGAAGTGTGAAATTATTAATAAAGTGTAAAGTGACTAATAAAGTGCAATAAAGTGATAATTGATATATTAATAAAGTGCAAATTTACAAAACTCGTCTTTGATAACAGTATCCGTCTTTAAAATTTCTTAATTATTAAAAATATTAAGACGGCAAATCTTTTGATTTAAATAATTATGAACTAATTTTTAATAAACTATAAAGCACAAAATGTGTTTAAATACTTGAGTAAAACTAAATATTAATCATTAAAAAAATTTTTTTAATAAAAACAAAAAAAAATAACAGATTTGGCTCAAGGAAAAGTTCTCAAAATTTAAAAGAATGATTTTGAAATCTAATTTCTTGGTCATTTTCATGCTTTGTGTTTTAGCAGGTATTGTACAGTAAAAGAAGCTGGGCTATAGCTATTACTCTCCTTTAGCTAGTGCAAAAGGTTATTAGGCGGCTGGGAGCTGACCGGCATCCTCAGTAGACCGGACTGATGTGTTATTCATTACACCACACCACCTTCTGCACAGACTTAGGAATTACTTATAAATAGCTATATATTTTACAGTATTATTATACAAGAGTTGTACTCCGAATGTTCAGAAACTAGTATGTTCGGCACATAGTTTTAAATTTATTTCCAAACGGGAGCAAAGTATTAATCTTTTTTCGGTCGAATTAAGTATTAACTTTCAATAAAATTAAATTAAAAATACCGTATTATCTCTAACAAATAAAATTGCCCTGGATGATTTAAAAATAAATAGAGATCTATTAGAGATAATATATATTTTATATTTAGAAATACATTCTGTTAAATCAAAAAACATTTTGGAAGGAAAGAAAGGAAAATCACAAACTAGAAATGTTTTTGAAGAATTGCCAACGATGAAGGAGGAGGGGATTGAAATAAGAGAATCATCTTCATCAAATAATTGGTCTAAAAATATAAATTCAATTTCAAAATCTGTTTGCGAATTTGTTGGAAATTTTAAAGAAAAAATTAAAATAAAATGTCAAAATATTCCAAAAAACAAAATTTTACCAACTAAATATTTAAAAGGAGCAATGTTTTGTGTTTTAATTATTACTGCTCCATGTAAAGTTGATAATATTTATTTAAAACCATTACAAAAAAATATGACACAATATGGAATGTTACAAAGTTAGTAACTATATAAATACCAGGGCTGTATAATTTTGAATTTGAGAAAGCGGAAGACGGAAGCGGAACAAAATACAGCTCTGATAAATAGAGGTTGGTCGGAATTCCGATTTCCGACTTTTGAGCCAGTTCCGAGTTCCGACACCTCTACCTGTTCCGACCCACCTCTGCTGATAAATACCTACATAATTTTAAAATTAATATAAAGTTACCATTATGGAGAAATAAATTTATTTAGGTCTCCGATTGAGAAAATTTTAAGTTAAAATACAAAAAGTTTAATTTACAAGTATAATTTCTGTTTCTAATAATTTCATGTTTTCAGTGAGTATTTAGTGTATTTCCAAGCGAAATTTTTAAGAATTTTAAGTTTAAATTAATTTTTTTAGCCAAAACGTACTTCCAAAATAATTATTACAAATCGTAGCTCCAGATTTTTTAAGAGATTTACATAAACTTTCAAAATCTTTAAATTAATTTTAGATGAATTTGGGTATGAAAGAAATTTTTTTCTCGAATTTCCAGAATTATATCTAGGAGATATACTAAACTTAGAAGATACAGATTGTAAAGAAGTAGAGATAGATGGAGTAATTTATGATGAATGTAATTACGAGATGGAATTAACTGACGATGAATATGAGCTGGATTATAAAAATAATAAAGGGGAAATAATATATTTTGGGTATTTGAAAAAAGATTTTGAATGTAAAGAAAATGGGGAAAATTGTGAGAAAACATATAAATATGTTGAAGATGATGGTGTTTCTACATTTGAAGTTAAATATGAAAAGAAAAATAACAAAAAAGATAAACAGCCTGTTAAGGGGAAAGCTAAAAAGCTTACAAAAATTGAGTAAAATAATTATAAAAAAATAATTTATAAATAATTAAAAATGTTTTTAACTAAAGTAGTATACACTGCTCCACATAACTATAACCTCACCCTAAATTTTCAAATTTCTTAACTTCTACCGAATCAATCGGGCTGATTTTTATTTTATATTAATTAAAGCAGGTAACATTTCATATAAACCCGAGAATCAAAAAAATCTTTGGTCAAAAATTTCTTATTCAATTTTTTTCAAAAAACACCCTCCACATAACTATAACCTCACCTTCAGAAATCATATTAGGAATGTTCGAAAAATTCTACAAAAATTCATGCAAACATTTTCATTGATAATAAGGGAAAATAAAAAAGAACGAAATCTGTAAGTGCTTTTTTCATCGAGATCCAAAATCACAAAAATCAACGGGAAATGGGGGGTACAGTAATTAAAAAATATTTTCACATGTGTAGACTGTAGATAAAATTTTTTATTATAGTCCATCTGAAAGCCAATAAAATTTACTACAAAACCCACTAGGTCCTATCCATGACAAAAATTCTACCTTTGAGGAGTCTTTGGTTAAATGAGATGGCGAATAAATTCAGCCAAATCACCCCATAAAATGTCATTATTTCGAGTTTCTAAATTTAACCGATTGCTCCCCAGTGATAAAATTTTTCTCAATGATAGTACTAAGTGTTTTTTGTAGCAAATTTTGTGGGCTTTCAGAAGAAAACAGAAGAAAAAAACAGAAGAAAAAAAACAGAAAAATAAAAAAATTAACATGAATTAACATTTGTTTTTTCGGTACTATTATAATGTAGCATGTAGTCAAATTTATTTTTATATAATTAAATCATTTAAATTTACCAATAATTTCATTAAATAAGAGGTAAATTAATCATTCCCCATCAGCAATACATATTTTTAAAACGATAAGCTTCCAAAAATCCACGTCAAAAATGAATTTGTTTTATTAAAATAACCAATAAGAGTAATAGAAAATTTATCTTTCCAAATAATGAAAAAAATTTGAAATTATACAAAATTTAATTAAATTGTTATATTTTGTTGGCAGCAGAAATGACAAAATTATGAAAGATTATATTGATTTAAATTTTTAGAAAATTTCTATTTAAAATTGTAACAATTTTTCAGAATGTCCAAGTAAATGTAAACTTGAAACAAACAATTTTAAGGAAAAATTATGTAAGTGGACATAATATTTTTTAAAAACAAAATTTTTCTTTAAATTTCTAATCTAACACTTAAACTAAAAAATTAAAAGGAGTTTTAAAAGAAATTTTTGAAAATTTATTTCATATATCTTCTTCGATTATCTATATGTATGTCCATTCAATACATGATTTTATTGGAAAGATTTTTCAATAAATGTACAGGCCGCAGAAAATACCTTAAAATTCTCTATTTCCTACTTTTTATTTCATATAGTCCAAAAATAAAATTTTTTTAGTCTTTTCTACAGCCCCAAATAGTCAGAGGTGTATATGAGATTGGGGGAAATGTACTAAATGAGCTTTTTTGGGAAAATTATATTTTTAAAAATAAATGCTGATTTTAATTTCCTTTTTTTATTTACAATTTTCTTCTTCCTTTTCTTCCTCCTTTCATCCCCTATTAGTTCCCATATAAACTGGAGGTCCCAGTCCAGTATATCCATATCCAGCATAACTAGAAGCATATGGCGATGTTATTTGCGTACAGGGAGGTTGGTAATTTCCGTGATGATAGTGTTGGGTATATCCATTATTGCTATTTAAATTGTTCTTTACTCTAGCCGTTTTTGATGTTCCCCCTCCACTACTAATATAATTATTTGAATCCATATTATAAATATCTGTTTGGAAATGATTTTCGTTTGGACAGTCTGTAATGCTTGGAACATTACTGAAAACAATTAAAAGGAATTTTAGAAGAAATTTTCGAAATGTTTACTATTGGCTATAAGCATTGGTACGTCGATATAATGGATTTAATATTGAGGCAAGTACAATAATTGGCAATAATAATAGAAGACCCAATCCAAGAGAAAGCCAAAGACTGTTCTGAAATAAATTGTTATTATTTTTGTATGACCTTTATTATATCACACATCTTCAGGTATCTCTCTTATCACTTAATCAAAAATAATCTGTCTTATCCCAAGTTTATCCTATCACTTTCCCACATATCCCTTATCCCAAATAAAAGTTTGTTCTTATATGCTTATCACACATCGCGAGCTATTATAAGCTATTTTTATCACACATATGCTCCAAACTCGTATCACTCGTTAAGACTAACGATCTTTAACTTATCCCGAGTCTATCCTATCACCTCCCCGAGTAGGGTTGGCGGGTCCTGGAAATCTCTCTGAATAGAGAACTTCGGACATCCCGACTTTTTTCGGATCCGTCAACCTTATTCCCCACGTATCCCTTATTCAAATGAAAGGTTGGGATAACATAGAGAGATGTGATAACATACAATAGGGTCCAAAGCATAGTCACAAATAGCTTCTCTTGTATGGACGGCAATTTCTGCCAATGGAGCACAACTTGTTACCTCATTGTTCATCTGTTTATAAAAAGTATTCTTTTAAATATCAGTCAGAAAAACTAACAGAATTATTAATATGTTCCCCATATTGTCTAACCAAATCGGCAAATTCATTCGCAACTTTTAAAGCCACAGAATGTAAATTTTGTCTTAATTTTTGTTCAGACCCCAATTCTTTTTGTGCTTTCTCAACATCTTTTAAAAGAGATTCTGAATCAATTTTTAAAGCAAAAACATCAGAACGAAATTGTTCTAAACGAGAACAAACATTTTCTATTAAAGCACGGACTTGGACGGTATCTGGACGTAATTCTTCCTGAAAAAGGAAATTCTTGAATATTTTTTTTGAAATTTTTCTACCAAAAAATGTAAAACAGTTTCCAATTCTTCAACTTGCCCTTTCTGTTTTTCTTCACTCGATTGACGCAAATGGCGCAATTCGACAGTTACTCCTTCTAATTGGAATCGAGTTCTTTGTGCACAAAACTTGAAATAAAATTTTTATTTTTTATTTTATTGTAGTTTTCAGGATTTTGTGAAAATTGTTGACGATTATTTGAATAAAGAAAGGGTTAGAATTATCGTGAAAATTAAAGAATTTTTAACTAAAAAAATGAAATTTCTTCAAGTTTAGTGGCTCTAGATTAAAGTAGGCAAATCATGGAATCTTGACTTTAATCATGACCCCGATATCTTGACATGCCCCGATATCCCCAAATATACCAATTCAGAATGTCTTCTCCTGTATACGGATATCCTATCTTGATTTCCTATTTATGTAGTTAGATAAACAAAACTTTTATTTAAGTCTTGAAGATTGGCCGTAATAATCTTTATATTGTCCACAATATTCTTTAAAAAACTTTAAAAATTAAAAACTTCTTGTAAATTATTTTCTTTCCATTCAGGTATCTCTACTTGCCCCAATTCTTCCAACCCAATACGCATTTCTGTTCCAAAAGAATTCCATCTTGAACTAAAAGCTGTTGATGTTGGGGAGGAGGAAGTAGAGGGAGGACCAGCCAATGCTTTTTCTAATAAACGTCCAGAAAGTAAAGATTGACGAATTGAATTGGCCTTTTAAAGAAATTATTATTAGATTACCTAAACTAAATTTTAATTTATTATAGATTGGATTCACTTGATTTTAGGTACCAATATATATTTGAAGGAAAAACACCTAATTAAAACTAAAAAACCCTAATTTACGATATTATTAAAGATAATATGGCTGGTTCTTGAAGATTAAATATCTAGGTAAATACAGGCATTTTAATTGGGTTTAAGAAATATTTTTAAAAATTTGGCTGCCCTTATCAATAATGGATACACTCGATTTTAGGTACAACTTTTCAGCTCCTAGAGGGTTCGTAAAATTGAGATCCGACTAGAGCCTTTTTTAAATATAAATCTGATTTTGACTATCCCAAAAAGTTTTAATTAAAATTAGGTATTTATTCTAAATCTCCTCCAAATTACCAACCATCTCTTCATATTCATTATCATTTCCTCCATTAATTAAAGTAAATTTTTTATCCAATTCCAACATTAAATATAAAGTTTTTCCTTGATTACACCCTCTAATAAAATTTTCTGGTCTTCTTTTTTCAGTAAAAATTTGTTGGAAAGAATTTATTTTTTCTGAATTTATTTTTGGTTTATCTAATTCATAAATTGTTATTAAACGATCAAAAAACTGAAAAAAAAATTTTTTTATTAAAAAATATTTTTTGAAATTACCGAAATTATGTCAGGTCTAGCTAAAGGTTCTTTTAATGGATTACAGATTAAATGGCCCAAATTTGCTCCAATTAACATTCCTGAGGCTGAGATTAAACCAAAAACGCTTAGCAAAGCAAGCGAAAGCCAAATAGAGCTTAAAATTTGTTTTTAAGAAAAGTCTATAATAAAGAGAGTTTATTGTATAGCAGGTTATTATATTGAGAGTTTATTGTATAGAAGGTTATTTATTTTTAATTAGAGATCGAAAAAATATCCATCCAAATTTTGAATTAAATAAACAAGGAAAAACAGACAAAAAATTTTTTTACCATCCAAAGAAATTAGCACCAGTAGAGCGAACACAACAATCATCGTCCTCAAATTCACTAGGTCTTCTTCCACAACATCCAAAGCAAAGTCCAAGTAAAAAAGCTAGAGACAAAAAGGCAAAAAGACCAGAAACAATTAAAGAAGCTACCCAACTAAAAAAATTTTTTTGCCAATAAAATAATTTTCTCTCTACCCATAATGAACAAATTGTCTAAATCTTTCCCTATGTGCCATCATTGGATCAATTATTTGTTCATCCAAAAATCGCAAATCAACGGATTTTATAGCAGATGAAATCTGTTCATAATTTGATTGTAATGTTTTGTCTAATAAACGTAAACGTTCTTCGGCATCTTTAAACATTAAGGAAAATTACAGATAATTTTTCTAAGAATTCTACCTTCCCTTCTTTCATCAACTTCTGTTTGTATACCCTTTTGTAATATTTGTAAACCTTCTATTGGAGTAGCAAATCTTCTCTCAATATCTATTTGTTCTATTTGATTTAAAACTATTGGAATTTGTTCGGGTAAGAGAGAAGACTAGAAAAGAAAATTGAAAAAGAAAAATCTCGACTTTTAATGACCCCAAGTAGGAAAACACATTTAATATTAGACAGTAAATCCGGAAATATTCTTTCTTATTTAATCAACAGAACACAATCTCTCTCAGATTGTTTCTCTAGATTTAACGTTATCTTTCTAAACCGGAAATGACTGTTAAATAGAGATCGAGTTGGGTCTTGACCAAGGCCTGGGTTTTTCCTATACCCAGAGTCCAGGCCCAGGCATTTTCTGATCATCCCGGGTTTTTCCTAGGCCTGGGTTTTTCCTGGATTACTGGCCCAGGATCCCGCCCAGACCAATAAATCAAACCCAGAGCCCAGGAACAGTCCCAGGCTTTTCAAAAATCTCGATCTCTACTGTTAAAGAGAAGATAGTGAATAAAAATAAACGAGAGAGTATTGAAAAATGAGAGACTAAATTTCCGGAATAAAATAAATTAAATTTCTGGTTCTCCTTTCCTTACAATTTCTCTAGCTCTCTGTTCCAATTGCCAATCCCCAGTAACAACATTAATTCCATCTTCTTCCTCTTCATTAATTACAGGCTTTGCTAAATCCAAAATAGGATTAATTGCTTGTTTAGCTTGGTGACATATTGCCGACTTTTCTCCATTTTCTGATGTTTTTTCACAGTCTGCCAAATTATCCTTTGCTTGTCTTAATTTTAATAATTTTATTTGGAGAGAATGACGAGCATCTAATGTTTTTCCCAATTCAAGTTGTAATTCCTTATATGTTGAGAGTAGTCGAGGGGCATCTTTTTTAAGGGGGAAAGTTCAAAAATAGTAAAAGTCTAAACAAGACTCACTACTCGCACTAATCACAGCTTTGTCCAATCTCTCAACCCCTGTCACTTGTTTTAACCGTTGTACGGTACTCTCCCCAGCTTTGTCCAAGGCAGAATGCAAAGTTTGATTGAAACGAACAAAATCGTCTCTTAATAATTTTCTCATTTGCTGAAATTATTTTAAATATTTTTATTTGTTAATTAAATACTTCAACAGACTCCCCTCTATAAATTAACAAATCATTAGCACAATAATGCAATCTTGTTGGTAATTCATCCAAACCGTGTTGGGCATATTGGGTACTCAATAAAAGTACTGCAGAACAAAAACTAAAATTATTTATTGAAATTATTTGTTTAAAATTTTCTTTTTCAAGGTTTGTCTCTCTCAAGTTTACATGCAGTATTGTTCACTCTCTCACTTTTTGTCTGACCATCCGGAAAATTACGGAAACCTAAGAAATCGGGACAATTCTGATTTTCCAATTGAGAAACAAAAATCAACTGGTGTTGGAACAACGTCCTCATTATCTCTCATGACTCTTTCCTTCCTTTATCAGCAATGCTCAACCCGAGGGACGTCGTTATAACAGAGATTATCCCAAAAATACAAGTTCCAAAAACCTACATAATAATCAAAACAAAAATTCCAAGTAATCCATTTAACAACGCCCTCCTCAACCAATCACAACGTCTATCAGAATCATTTTCTCTGTTTGATTTTTCAGAATTTTGTTTGCACAAACAAATACAACAACGAATAAATAAATATAGAATAGCAAATATTGGAGGTATTGAAATTAAAAATAAAGCTAGTAAAAGCCACCAACGTTCAAATTGAATCCAGTGATCTCGACGTTCAGTAAAAGAACGTTCCCAAGCATCTTTTTGTCCCAATAAAGCTTCGTCAGAAAGTAAAGCTTGAAAAAGGGGAATTTTTAAAAGGTAAATTAATGCTATAATTATTTGAAAGATTTATTCAATGAGAATTTTTAAATTAAAGGATGAGGGTTTGAATATTTGAATTTATATTGCGGATAGTTTAAATTAGGGTAGCACCCCTCCCCCGGAACCCCGAATGATCTACCCCGACAAACCCTGATCCCCGACGCCCACCCCCGAAGGCTCAAGGTGCTACCCTAGTTTGAATTGAATTGCCTCCTCTTAAGGCTGGCCAAAATAAACGGACCGAATATTTTTCCTCTAATTTTTTAAATTAATTGAAGGAAATTTTCTTTAAATTTAACAAAAATTAAATTTATTTAAAAAAATTAATAATTATTTTTTATATTTACTTCTATGCGGAAAAGGTTCAGAAAAAGTTTTAATAAATCCATTCTGTACTGAATGTAATATTTTCATTGCCGGATCTTTTTGAGAGAATTGTTGCCCAAAAGCCCCACACCTATATTCTGTGGATTTTTTGAAAGGCTCGAATTGAATTTTAATTTGTGTTGAATTTTCTGTTGTTTTAAGATTTTTGTTGTTGTTGGCATTTTCAGAAGAAGTTGTTAAAAAATTAATTAAAAATAAAAGAATAAATGAAAGAGAGGGGAAAATAAACATTTTTTAAATTAAAAATACCGGAATGTTTTTTTAAAGAAAAAGTAGAAAGAATTAATTAAAGGATATTTAATGATGGCATTTAGTGTATAAGCTAAAAATTAAAATTAATTTAAAAATTAAATTTTAAAAAAATTAAAAATTGAAGAAATAGTGTGTAAAAATAAGAGAGACACGTAAATTAATTAAACTATTAAATTAAATAAAAAAATACAAAAAAAAATAATTAAAAAAGAAGAAAAATATTTTTTTTAAATAAAATAGTAAAATAAACATTTAAACACAAATATATATTTTTATTTATTAGAGAAAATGTGTAATTTGATGAGTAGATTTGGCCTTCAATGAATTAAGTGAATAATCATAAAAATATATAGAGAAGAAAATTTATAAGTTGATAAATTAAAAGAAAAAAATTAGAAAAAAATATTATTAAAAGAAAAAATTGTCAAAAGAAACATTTAGAGAAATAAAAATTTGAATAAAGAAAAATATAACCCTAAAAGGGATCGAACCTGGTTTGAAAAACTAGCAAAGTCAACACCACTAACCACTACACCAATCAACCTTACACTTAATATTTTGTTTTGAAGAATATAGTACCTTAGTTTGGCTGACCATTCACATTTTCCCTTTGTATTTTTTTAAATTGGTTCCCTTTTTATGGCAAATTATAAATTATTCGAAAGAGCTAGCTCTTCGAGCCGAATCGGCAGAAAATAAAATCAACATAATCTGATTTATTTAACAAGGTTATCCAGCAAATAAGCTCAAAATGGTCAGGGAAACAGGAAAAAAGGGGAGGGTCAGCCAAACTATTACCCATTCCTTAATTTAATAATTACCCATTCCTTAATTAATTTAATATTACAAATAATTAAGTGTTGAATTGATTAATCAAAAAATCAAACCAAAAAATATAAAAAAATTTTTAACAGAAAAAATTAATCATTTTAAGGGTAATTAAAGCTGAATAAAATAATCAATTAGTAATTTATTTTTTGAATAAATAAAAATATCGTGTGTCATTTAACATAAACCCCATTAATTTCTTTTAAACGTTGGATATATTTTTCTTTAATTTTTTTTGTTTTTCACATTAAAAAAATATCCAAATTAAGTAAAAACCGAAAAAAGAATTGTCGCGTTTTATTCGCTTGAATAGCTTCTCCTTTTTCAAATAAAAACATTTTTGTTTGGGAAAAAAGTATTAAAAATTAAAGATTTTAAAGGATGAAAATGTAAAAAAATAAAATTATTTAAAGGGAAAAACAAAGAAAAATAAGCGAGGGAAGGGACGTGTAGGGGAAGAGGTATTTTTGGTTTTGTTTTTAAAAAAAATGTTTTTTTCCGTCGCTCCCGCTCCAATTATTTTTCGACCCAAAAATTGCAAAGTAGCAATTGAAAAGAAGAAGATGATCGGTAAAATAAGGGGAGAGAAGTGACAAATATGGGGAAGAAAAAATAATTAAAAAATAATTTTTGTTTAAAAATTTTTTCTTATTTTTTAACAAAAATTCTCTCAATTTTTGCAAAAATAAAATTTAAAATAAATATGGGCAAGAAAATAAATTAGCAAGAGATGAATTCTAAATTTAATTAAAAAAAGGAAAAGAAAAAATCTGTCAAAAATAATTGCTGGGAAACTTGGAATAAATTTCTAGAAAAATAATTTTAATTAGCGAGATCCAACTTTGGCAATAAATTTCAAAATTTTTAGAAAAATATTTATCTATCAATAACTTGCAAAATAAAGATCGGGCCAAATAAATATTTGACTTTTTCAATCAAATTTTTTCAAATAACGAATAATTTGATCAAATATTTATTTAATTTTTAACTAATTAAATTTTTAATTAATTAAATTAATTAATTTTAATAAAAAAAATTAAAAATAAATAAAAAAAATAAATAAAATTAATTAAAAATTAACAATATTTAATTTTGCCATTTGTCCTGTCTCTAAATATTGTAGTTTTGTGACAAATTGTTATATAGGGGGAATAATGTGTAAATTAAGAAAACAAAACAAAAATTTTAAAATTTTTAAAAAAGTTAAAAAATACATTTTGAAGGATAGTTGGTAGATTAAGTGAAAAATTTAACAAAAAAAAGACTACTATTGTTTCTTAATAATTTATTTGCGCAGCGCCTAAAAGCGTCCAAAAATACAAAAAATGAGGCTTTATTTTAAATTTCTAATTTATTCAAAAGAATTTTTTTACTTTTTTTCTGATTCATTTCAAATGTTCCATTTTTATGTTTTTTTCCCATTCTTTGTTGAATCGATTTACAAACGTCCTTCGACTCACTTTTATATATGCTTTAACGATGAATGCCGCTAGGGGTTTTTGGTTGCCTCCAAAATTAGCTCTTTTACATGGGGGAATGGGAAATTCAAAAAGGGGGAGAGGAGACTGGCTAGAAGGGAAGAAATAAAAAGAAGAAGAAAAAGCTGTGATGGGCACGAAGGATGCAATTAAGGGGGAAAGGACAGTGTAAAGAGTTTTGGGACAAATTGTTACATAGGGGGAATAATAATGTGTAAATTAAGAGAATAAATGAAGGGTTTGATTGAATAAAAAATGAAAATATAGATAATGTTTGTCGGATCCTTTGAAGAATCTCCATGGTAAAGGGCTTCTTAACGTCTTGTAGGATACCTTCGCGTTGAATTATTTGGGATTCAAATGCTCTAAATGTGAGAATTATCGGTGTTACGAGAATTGTGAATACGCGATTGCGGATATTATAATTACGGACAACGATTGTGGATTTAAAATTTTTTAAATTTTAAAAATTATTGAAGTGAGATCTTGTTTTTTAGTCCCGGCTGTCAGGTTCCGACTTCTGACGGTTTCCGGTTCATTTGTAGACTGATTCAGCACTGAAAACTATAAAAATCTTAATTTTAATAAATTGCGTATCCGCAATTGTCGTACCGCAGAATTATCGGCTGTACTTTAGTCTAGCGGATGCGGAAATAATACATGAAACCGGTACCATTCGATTCGTCTCACCGAGCTGAGTCGAATGGTACAACTCTCCATCTGCGGAAATGCCTACGAGCCGAGATATAGGTCTCCGAAAATCGAAAAACCATAGGGGGGAGTAAGCACAATTTGGGGTTTTTTATTAAAAACAAAAATATGTACTTGCAGAAATAGTCCAGTCTTGTACGTATTGCAAAAAGAAAATATGAAATTAGGTATCTTGTAAAATTCCTTTCTCCGTTCCATTCCCTCCACGGATTAATTAATTACCCCAGGCCGTCAACCTTCCCGTAGTTCCCAAACAAAAATTCGCAAAAATTCTTTCAAAAATTGTCTCTAGGCCAAAAGTCTAGCAATATATTAATAGAGTTTTTTAATATTTTTTCGCATTTTTCTTCAATTACATAATTTAATACATAATTTTATTTAATCTTAATTTATCTAGATTTTTTAAATAAAACTTTTTTCAGAAAATAATTATAATAAATTTTTTAAAAATGACTGAAGAAGGATCATCAAATCATGATTTGGAATTAAATGTAAATAATTTAAAAAAAAACAATTTTAGAAAAAAAATTAAAATTTCCGTTTAAGCCATGTCAATGTAATTATTTAATAAAACTTCAAAATAATTTTGCCAATCTTCAAAAAAATCTTTTTGAAGAAAAAGAAAATAGTTTAAATTTGGAAAAGAAAGTTTATTTTCTTGAAAAGGAGGTTTAGAGATTATTTAAATTAAATTATTTAAAAATAATTTTAGAAAGAATTTAATTTAAAAATGAAAGAAATTGAAGACAAAAATATTTTTCTTGAAAATAAATTGAAAGAAGAGAAAGAGGTTATTTTGGATAAATTATTTAAATTTAAATTAAATTTTAGAAAATTCAAAAAATAAAAATTGATAATCATCAAAAAGATGAGAAAATAAATTCGTTGGAAAAGGTGAATGAAAATATTATTTTATTTAAAAATATTTTAACTTTATTCATTTAAAAAAGGCAAATGAATTAATTAACAAGAAGGTTGATGCTTTAACAATCGAATTGGAACAATTAAAAAATAAGGCTTGTATATTTTTGGTTAGTTAGATTATTTTTAATAAAATGTTTGTTTTTTAAGAATTTTATTTCAATTGAAAATAAATGGAAAGAAATCGACTTTAGTTACAGGAGTGATTTTAAATGTTGTGAAAATAAATGTATAAGAACAAATAAACCAATTGGAAATTGTATTAAGGGGAATGGATTTGTTAATTTAATTAATGATGAAAATATTAAATATATTAAATGTGGAAAAGGGAAAGGTAAATAATAAAATAAATATTTTGGTACTAGTGTCTGGTAAAATCATTTTTCCGCGCTCATGCCATACATAATTCCTTGGATTACTCAGGCCGGATCTCAGTCTAATTTAAAAAATTCTGATTTAAAAAAATATTAATATTTTGGGCGTCCCGTGTTTTGGTAAAACCATATTTTATCCGACTACCTATGTCGTATCCGTTTTAGCCTGACACGGATATTTAGTGGCATTAATAATTTAAAAAAATTCAATATTTTTAGGCGTAAATAAATCTTGTTTAATTATTGCTGAAAATTCTTTCAAAGAACCTCCAGACAGCAATAATTACTTTCTATTTTATTTTGAAATTAAATGTACAAAAATTGAGGGGTTATTAAATAATGATAAAAATTTAATGTTTATTGGACTCAAAATGGGAGATGAGTATGAATATATTCGATTTGGGGCAGATTGTGCTTCAATTTTAGATAACTACGATAATTTTAATATTCCACAATTTACTTGGAATAATAGCGATGTTTTTGGTTGCGGACTAGTTTATCCGCCTGATGATGATACTTATGTTTTCTTTACTCAAAATGGAAAACAAATTGGTATTAGAAAGATAAAATTAAATTTTGAAATAAAATTTTTTACAGGCAAAGCCGTATATTTAACGGATGGTAGTAACTCATATACGCCGTATGTTGCACTCAATTGTTGTTCTGTGGAAACGAATTTTGGAAATAATTTGGAGACTAAACCTTTTGTTTATGATATTTCAAAGCATTTAGTTACAGAATATTATTGAAGGATTTTTAAATGATTTTTTTTATTTGAGTTAATTTGACATTTTTGGATTTTATGCACGATTTTTTTAAATAAAATTATTTTTACTATTTTTGAAAGTAAAAGAAAATTATAGAGAGAAAGAAATGGAATCTTGAAATAATTTGAAAATTATGGAACATTTAAAAATATTTATTGTGTGCCTAAATACTAAATATATTTATTACGGCATTCCTTGAACTAAATTTGAAAAAAATTTAAATAAAGCTGACTGTAAATAGTAGCGAAAATTCCTTAAATTTACGATGGCCAAGAATCTAGAATTCCTCTGTGGCGCCAGAAATATCTGAAAACTTCGAGAAATTGAAAAATCACCACAAAGTGTCCTAGCGCCACAATGAAGCCAAATTTTGACATTTTTATGTTTCCTCGTCGTGCTTCATTCAACGATAAATTCTTTAATTTCAATAAGAAATATGCTTAATTGTAAAAATTAATTAATTTTAATTATTCTCCTGCTTTCCGTTCAAATGCCAAAACGCACGGAAAAGGAGAAATGAGTGCCACTTCTTACAAAAAATGCAAGAAAGGAAGAAAACGTGCGCATTCCCTTTGCGGACAGGTAGGACATCAACTGGACATTTACCGAGAGAATAAAAATTTAAATGAAAAAAGAAATTGCTTTTATGGATTAAAATTCTATTCAAAGAGTTTAAAATGAATAAAAGATTAAAATATTTTTAGTTGGTATTTTTAGTGCTTTTCAGCTGTAGAGCAGCTGAAAAGTATGAGGAAATGAATGACCCTAACAAAATGGACAAAAGAAAATTTTGAGGGAAAAGCTAAGGGAAATAAGCTAAAAATAAACAAATAAATATACTCCCTATGGGAATCAATTCTTTGCGGTGAAAGGCTAATATTGTGAGGGATAAAATAACAACAGCTGGTTTATATGTGAATATAATTAAATAATTATTTAATATTATTGTTGATTAATTTAAATATTAAATTAATTAGAAGCTCATTAAATAAATTAAAGGTTTTGTAATTTACCGTGAAGGGATATAGTATTCGTTAAAATTTAAAAAAATCAAACTGAAAATGTACTATAATTAAAAAATTGGCCTATACGCAAATAAGAGTTGAATAGTTTTTTAAATTTTTTATTTAATTAAAAATGTTATGGTTCCCGTGGAGGTTTTTGCTGCTGCTTTCTTTAGTTTTTTTTAAAAGTACTTAATAATTCAAAATATTCCCTCAAAACATTTTTTATCTTTTATTTTAAACAAAAAATATATTTCCCAGACAAAAATATTCTTAAAAATAAATTCCTTACAAAAAATTGTTTCTAGGCTAAAAGTCCTGCAATATATAAATGGATTTTTCTCTTACATTTACTTCAATTACAAAATTTTTATAAGAAAAAATAAAATTAAGAAAAGGTTTTTAATTTTTTAAATTAATTTTTTAGATTTTTAAAAGTTATTATTTTAATTTAACCAAAATTTTAAAATAATTAATTTAAATTCTTTCAAAATGACTGAAGATGAATTATCGAATATTGATATGGAATTAATAGTAAATTTAAAAAAAATAAAAAAAAATAAAATTTTTGTTTAAGCCAAGTCAAAGCGATTATTTAATTAAATTTCAAAATAATTTTGCCAATCTTCAAACAAAATATATTGAGGAAAAAGAAAATAGTTTAAATTTGGAGAAGAAAATTTTTTTTCTTGAAAAGGAGGTTTAGAGATTATTTAAATTAAATTATTTTTAAAATAATTTTAGAAAGAATTTAATGAAAAAATTAAAGAAATTGAAAATAAAAATATTTTTCTTGAAAATAAATTAAAGGAAAAGAAAGAGGTTATTTTGGATAAATTATTTAATTAAATTAAATTTTAGAAAATTAAAAAAATAAAATTTGATAATAAACAAAAAGATGAGGAAATAAATTTTTTAGCAGAAGAAATTAAAGAGGTGAGTAAAAATTATTTAAGTAAATTTAAATATTATTTAATTTTTAAAAAGGCAAATGCTTTGTTTAACAAAAAGATTGCTGATTTAACAAGTGAAATGGAAAAATTGAAAAATATAAATTATATACCTTTGGTTAGTTTAATTAATTTTAAAATAAAATTTTTGTTCATTTAAAGAGTTTTATTAAAATCAGCAATAAATGGAAAGAAATTGACTTTAGTTATGATAGTAGTTTAAAATGTTGTGAGAATGAATGTATAAATACAAACAAGCCTGATGGGAAGTGTATTGAAGGGAATGGATTTGTTAATTTAATTAATGATGGAAATACTATAAAATATGTTAATTTTGAAGGAAAAGGTAAAGAATAAATTATTCAAAGAAATAAATAGTTTGCTTACAGCTAGAGATAAGTCGAATCTAATATGCTAACTAATATCCGACGATTTTGATAAAATGTAATAATTTAGTAATAGTAGTATTCCCCATTTTTTATTACCTAACATGTACAAAATGGTCAGATTTTCTTTTTTCCTCTATTTTGCTTTTTTCCTGTGGTTAAAGCGGTAATATAAAATTTTTTTGACCATTTGTACATATTAAGGAATATATTAGAGAGCGAGATTTTCAAAAAAGACCATGAGTCAAGGAAAAATCAAGGTCTGGATCCAGATCCAGCCCGCTCTCTAGAATATATAAATATAACCAAAAATTTTCTCAAATTCTCAAAATATTCGCTTTGAATTCGAATTTAAATTCAGTTTTTAGGTGTAAATAATACTTCTTTAATTCTTGCTAAAAATTCGTTCAAACAACCACAAAATTGCATTAATTATTCTGTGTTTTATTTTGAAATTAAATGCAAAATTGAAGGAAAATTTAATGATAAGGGAATGTATATTGGCCTTAAAAATTGTGCTAATAATAAATATGTTAGATTTAGTGCAAATATTGCTTCAATTATGAATGAAATAGATGAATGTTTTTATCTTTCAAAATTTATTTGGAATGATAACGATGTTTTTGGTTGCGGATTAGTTTATCCACCTCAAAATTTTCCTTACATTTTATTCACTCAGAACGGAAAACAAATTGGTCAAAATTAAAAATTAAATTTAAAAATTATTTTAATAATTTTAAAGGCAAAGCTGTGCCGTTAAAGGACATTAATGACGCCTATAAGCCATATGTTGTCCTTACTTCTTGTTCTGTAGAAACAAATTTTGGAGATGATTTGGAGGCTAAACCTTTTGTATATGACTTTTCAAAACATTTAGTTCCCAAATTTTATTGGACGTTTTTTTGATTAATTTTATTTTGTTCTGATTTTACTTTTTATCAGTTAAAAATAAACGATTTTGACTTTTTTTTAATTTTCTACAAATTATTTTTCAATAATTTATTTAAAAAAGGAAAAAACCAAAGAGTTAAATTTTAGAACATTTAAACAATTATAACGAGAAATTTTTGAAACGGTATAACGGTTAACAATTCTGAAAAATTAAAGCATTATCGTGGGCGTGCTCGGCAGAGAACCTTTATAAAAGTCTCATTTAGATAAAAAAAAATGCAAATGAAACGGAAACTGAATTTAAAAATTAAATAAAGATGACTGTTACATAGTAGAGAAAATAAAAATTTAATTAAAAAGGAAATTTGATTTTTTGGATCAAAATCGACGAAAATCGACTATTTTTGTAAGAAAATGAATTCGTCCCTTACAAATATTAATTGTTTCAGGCTATCAAATTTTCTTTGATTCTTTCAAAATACTTAATAAGTAAAAATATTCCCTTAAAACATTTTCCTTATCTTTTATTCCAAACAAATAAAAAATATATTTCCCAGACAAAAATATTCTCAAAAAAAATTCTTTTCAAAAAATTGTTTTTAGGCTAAAAGTCTAGCCTAGCAATATATAAACAGAATTTTCTTTTTTTTTCAGTTACAAACTTTTTATAAGTTACAAACATTTTCTCTAATTTTTTTTAAATTAATTTTTTGATTTTTAGCAGTTAATACTTTCTTTTTAAAATAAAATTTTAATTTATCTTTTAAAATAATTAAATTAAATTCTTTCAAAATGACTGAAGATGAACTATCTAATATTGATATGGAATTAATAGTAAATTATAAAAATAAATTAAAAAATAATAAAATTTTTGTTTAAGCCAAGTCAAAGCGATTATTTAATAAAACTTCAGGATAATTTTATAAATCTTCAGAAAAATCTTTTTGAAGAAAAAGAAAATAGTTTAAATTTGGAAAAGAAAATTTTCTACTTTGAAAATAAAGAGGTTTAGGGATTATTTAAATTATAAATTATTTTTTAAAATAATTTTAGAAGGAATTTAATGAAAAAATAAAAGAAATTGAAAATTATTTTCTTTTAGAAAAGAAAATATTTGAAGACAAAAATATATTTCTTGAAGATAAATTAAAAGAAAAGAAAGAGGTTATTTGAATTAATTATTTAAATTTAAATTAAATTTTAGAAAATTAAAAAAATTAAATTTGATAATCAACAAAAAGATGGGGAAATAAATTTGTTGAAAGAACATAATAAACTGGTAATTATGCAAATAATTAAATAAAGTTTCCAAATTAAATATAAAATCAAGGAATATTTGATTTAATTTTTTAAAATAGGCACATGATTTATTTGACCAAAAAATTGCTGATTTAACAAATGAATTGGAACAATTAAAAAATATTGCTTATATACCTTTGGTTAGTTAAAGGGGTGATTTGTACTTATTTTGGAAGTACAATACTTATAAATCGACCTTCGTACTTCTAAAATTAAAAATTAACTTAAAGTGGACTTTTTGGTTAAAAATTAAATTTAACTTTAAATTTCTCAATATTTTCGCTGGCAATCTAAAAAAGACATTTACAAGAAAATTAATTTTAAAAATTTTGTTTATTTAAGAGTTTTATTAAAATTAACAATAAATGGAAAGAAATTGACTTTACATACAGGGATGATTATAAATGTTGTGAGAATGAATGTATAAATACAAACAATCCAATTGGTGAATGTATTAAGGGGAATGGATGTGTTAATTTAATTAATGATGGAAATGTTAAATATATTAATTATGAAGGTAAAGGTAAGAAATAAATAAATTATAAATTTTAATAAATCAAATCTAATATTCTAACACACACCAGGGCTGCGCGCATATGAAAAAACCGCAATTTTAATTTTAAAATCCGCAGACGCAATCCACAGATCAAAAAGCTGGCAATTTCACTCAATCCGGGGATATATGGGATAATCTGGATATAAGTGAATTAGAAGGGTCAAACATGTTTTAGTGGAAATAATTATTTGGAGAGATATCGAGGAGTAGGGTGTTGACTAGGGAGCACTTGACTGGTCCACATAAGCTTCTCATATCCTACTTAACCATTAATACTCGTGATATCCCGTCCACCGTATCCCTCTTAATTGCTGTAAGGTGGGTGATCAGTGGATCTGGAGGATATAGGAATACCAAAAGACTTTCGAATCAGGTATAGCATATCAGATTTGGGTCATTAAAAGGGATATAGGTAATAACTTCCAACGATACGATGCGTGAGATTGCGAGAAATTTCATGAAAAATCGTAGGAATTTTAAAAATCCGCAGTCACAAATCGTAAATAAAAAACACGCAATCCGCAACTGCGTGCAACCCAGACACGCATAGGTTCTACACAGAATCTGGTAATTCACGGTTTAAATTCGAAGTATTCGCTTCGAACTCGACTTTAAATTTTCATTTTTAGGAGTAAATAATAATTATTTTATTCTTGCTGAAAATTCGTTTAAAGAACCGCAAAATTGTATTAATTTTTCTTTATTTTATTTTGAAATTAAATGCAAAATTGAAGGAAAATTTAATGATAATCAAATTTATATTGGTCTTAAAATAGATGGAGCTGATCATAAATATTTTAGATTTGGTGCAAATATTGCTAAAATTGTTAATGAACATGATGAAGGTTTTAATATTCCACAATTTTGTTGGAATGATAACGATGTTTTTGGTTGCGGATTAGTTTATCCGCCTGAGGATTTTTCATACATTTTCTTTACTCAAAACGGAAATCAAATTGGTAATAATTAGAAATTAAATTTAAATTTTAAAATTAATTTTTCTAAGGTAAATCTGTCTGGTTAAATGAAAATAATGAATCATTCAAACCATATATTATTTTGAATTGCTGTTCTGTAGAAACAAATTTTGGAGATGATTTGGAAGCTAAACCTTTTGTATATGATTTTTCAAAACATTTAGTTCCCAAATTTTATTGAACGAATTTTTCTTTGATTAATTTTGTTTTGTTTGGATTTACTTTTTATCAGTTAAAATAATCGATAATGACTTTTTTGGAATTTTCTACAGCTTATTTATTTAGATAAAATTATTTTTTCAATAATTCTTAAAAAGGAAAAAACAAATGAATTTTTAATTAATTCAAAAAATTAAGATCAAAATAAGACAAAAAATTTTAAGGTTAATAAATGTTAACAAGTAAAAAATCAAAACATAAAATCATTGAGGACTTCCACGCATAAAATAACACTTACCTAATCTTTATAACTTAAAAAAGAGTGAAAATGAAACAGAAATTGGATAAAAAATGAAAGATGACTTAGCAGAAAAAATAAAAATTTAAATAAAAAAGAAATTTTGGTGATAGTTTGGGTTATTCCACCCCCTTTTTTCTGTTCCATGACCATTTTCAGCTTTCTTGCTTGATCTATAATTCACAAATCATTTGAAAGAGCGATTCTGAACAAAATTATGAGCAGAATCCTCTCTGGAAAAGATTTTTGGGCCGTTCTAAGCAATTAAAACAGACAGTCTTAACTTCGTTGTATTAGGTCGATTTTGGAAGATTTTTATGCCATTCGACACAGCTCAAAGAGCTCTATAGAAAGATATATGATTTACCATAAAAGAATTTAGGAAAAAAGGGATGAAACTATTACGAAAATTGCTTTTTTTGGGCAAGAGATGAGTCAAGAAAAAAGTTTTAGCAATTTTATTTGCTAAAATTTACCTGTCCTAACTGTTAAAACAATCATTTCATAATTTTTTAAAGCTTACTTTTTGAATAAAATAAATATACAGAAAGAATAAATATACATATGATCAAATCTAACCAAACATTGTATCATTCGACAAAGCTGAAAGATAATAGTCAGGGAAGAAGGTTTTATTCCCATATTTTTTCTTATTTTTTCATTTCCCTAGAAGGAAAAGAGGAGTACTTTTTCGATAGCTAATAGAGGATTATTTTGAAAAAAAATTTGGAAATTCAAGAAAGATATTTGAAATTATTTTGAACTTAACTAAGTAGTTATTTGAAATAAAAAGAGCCAAACTTTTCGCAAAGTCATTTCAGCTCCTGAAAAATGATATTCTAAAATATTTTATACAAAGGGTTTGGGGATAATTTTGTATAAGTTTATAGCGACAAGTTTTTGGCTTTCTCTTTGTTCTATGATAGTACGATTAAATAATCCGGAAATCATTTTTTGGTGACTTGATAGCTTCTGTGTTGATGCCCTCTGAATAACAATTTCATAGATTTTGGAAAATAGAATGATTCACATTCTAAATATTAGACTAAATACAGTATTCTTAAGTATTTTTAAAGATAATGGCGACGAAACTGTCACGGCGTAAAAACGGCAGCGCAAATGTTTTGGCGCTAAAATTTTGATAAAATTTATTTTAATTGATCGTTTATCTGGATTTTCTTAAAAAAGATTTTGTTTATTTCAGAAATTTTTACAAAATGAATGGAGAAGGATTATCAAATTGTGAGGCGGAATTAAAAGTAAATTTTAAAAGAATAATTTTAAAAAAATATAAAAATTTCTTTTTAAGCCAAGTCTAAGCGATTATGTAAAACTTCAAACAAAATATATTGAAGAAAAAGAAAAGAGTTTAAATTTGGAGAAGAAAATTTTTTATCTTGAAAATGGATTAAAGGAGGTTTGTTTGGATATTTAAATTATTTTTTTAAATAATTTTTAGAAAGAAAAACAAACTTTTCAACAAATAATTGATGAAAAAATGAAAGAAGTTGAAAATAAATCTTTGAAAGAAAAGGAGAAAAATGAAAAGGAAATGAATGAGGTTAATTGGATAAATAATTATTTAAATAAAATTTTAGAAATTTCAAAAAATAAAATCCGATAATGAGCAGAAAGATGAAAAAATAAATTTGTTGGAAAAGGTAAAAATATTAATAAATTATTTAAATAGGTGAGGGATGTCTCGAATTGTGAAGGGATGTCTTGAACGGGCCCCACGCTTGAAATCCTGTCTATTTAAAAGAAAAAAAAACTTATTTCTTTTAAAGATTTCCAAATAAAAATATTTTTAACTTACCTATATAATTTTAAGACAAATGATTTATCTAACAAAAAGATTGCTGAATTAACAAATGAATTGGAAAAATTAAAAAATATTAAATCTTTGGTTAGTTTAATTCGTGTCCGGACAATGCGTCAGTGGACAATCGGTCAGTATTGATATAAAGTGATTAAAATTGATGAGGTAAAGAGATAAAAAATAGTATAAAAAGACTAATGATCGGATACAAATATATTACGAGTATTTAAAAAGGGGTTTTGGGGTTTAAAAGAGATATAGAGGGATTTGTTGCGATTATGTCCGATATCTCGAGTTTGGGAGGATTAACAAAGATATTAAGTTATTGGTTGGATTAAGCTGGAGATCAGACGATTTGTAGTGATATTAGTGAATTTTTATTCACTTTTAATCACTTCATATCGATACTGACCGATTGCCCACTGACGCATTTTCCAATGACGCATTGTCCGGGAGCCGTTTAATTTAAATAATTTTTTGTTTTTTAAGAATTTTATTAAAATTAGCAATAAATGGAAAGAAATTGATACTGATATGTACAAATGTTGCGACAATAAATGTATAAATACAAACAAACCAATTGGTGAATGTATTAACGGGAATGGATGTGTTAATTTAATTAATGAAGAGAATAATATTAAATATGTTAAATGTGGAGAAGGAAAAGGTAAATCATTTAGTGACAATAATTATTAAATATTTTAGGTGTAAATGATATTTCTGTAATTTTTGCTGAAAATTCATTCAAAAAACCGCAAAACAGCATTAATTATTCTTTGTTTTATTTTGAAATTAAATGTACTACTAGAATTGGAGGAAAATTAAATAATGACACAGAAATGATTATTGGTCTTGAATTGGAAACTGCTAATAAAGGATATATTAGATTTGAAGCATCTTTTGCTTCAATTTTTAATGAAAATGAGAAAAAATTTAAAGTTCCAAATTTTACTTGGAAAAATAACGATGTTTTTGGTTGCGGATTAGTTTATCCGCCTGAGGGTGTTCCCTATATTTTCTTTACTCAAAATGGAAAACAAATTGGTAAAGATTGAAATTAAAATTATTTTAAATATTTTTTTAAAGGTAAAGCTGTATTACTTAAGGACAATTGTGACTCATTCAAACCATATGTTGCACTTATATGTTGTTCTGTACAGGCAAATTTTGGAGGAGATTTGGAGAGTGAACCTTTTATTTATGATATTTCAAAACATTTAGCTACCAAATATTATTGAATGGTTTACATTTTTGATTTTTTTATTAATCTTTTATCAGTTAAAAAAATTTATTTTGTTAACGAATTTTACAATTTTTGAATAAAATTATTTTTTAAAGATTTTTCAAAAATAATTATTATTTTTACAATATTTTGATTGATCATTTATCTGAATTTTTAAAATAAAACTTTGTTTATTTCAGAAATTTTACAAAATGAATGGAGAAGGATTGTCAAATTGTGAGGCGGAATTAAAAGTAAATTTTGAAAGATAATTTTAAAATAAATTAAAATTTCTTTTTTAAGCCAAGTCTAAGCGATTATTTAAAACTTCAAACAAAATATATTGAGGAAAAAGAGAAAAGTTTAAATTTGGAAAAGAAAATTTTTTATCTTGAAAATGGATTGAAGGAGGTTTGTTTGGATATTTAAATTATTTTTTAAAATAATTTTTAGAAAGAAAAACAAAATTTTCAACAATTAATTAATGAAAAAATGAAAGAAATGAATGAGGTTATTTTGGATATTTTTAATTATTTAAATTAAATTTTAGAAAATTCAAAAAATAAAATCTGAGAATAACCAAAAAGACGAGAAGATAAATTCGTTAGAAAAGGTAAATAAAAATATTTTCTAATTTACATATCATTTAAGGCAAATGATTTATTTAACAAAAAGATTGCTGATTTAACAAATGAATTGGGAAAATTAAAAAATATTCAATCTTTGGTTAGTTTAATTATTTTTTAATAATTTTTTGTTTTTTAAGAGTTTTGTTAAAATTGAGAATAAATGGAAAGAAATTGATTTTACTTATAATGGTAATTTTAAATGTTGTGAAAATGAATGTATAAATACAAACAATCCAATTGGCAATTGTTGTAAGGGGAATGGATTTGTTAATTTAATTAATGAAGAGAATATAAAATATATTAAATGTTGGGAAGGGAAAGGTAAATAAATTATATTTAGAGATCGGAATTTTGTTTCGTACTGTAATACCGATAAATACCGTTTAGACTTTTTTGAGGTGTCCGGATCTCGACTTTGAGTAGAGATATGAGCCTAATTTTTTGTTACATGTTGATGGACTATACATGTTTGAGGGACTGGGCCATTAGGGCGCGGGGCCATTAGGGCGCGAGCTTATAAAACTGAGTTGCTTATCAAAAAAGATTAAATTTTGCAATAATAACTCGGTACTTTATGGATATGTCACCCCCCACCCTATTTTGAGTCTCAGTTTTCCTTAAACGTAGAAAATGGTTAGAGATTATTTTCTTCTCCATGTCAATCATTTTTTTTCTTCAAGCAAAACAAGTGAAATGTGGTAAATGTAGAAACGAAATGAGTGAAATGTAAGTACAAAATATGGGAAAAGACAAAATAAAAAAGCAAAATACTTGAAGAAGAAAAAATGATTGACATGGAGAAGAAAATAATCTCTGACCATTTTCTACGTTTAAGGAAAATCTGAGACTCAAAATAGGAGGGGGGTGACATATCCATAAAGTACCAATAACTCTCATGCCTTTATCTAAGTTATTCAAAAATTTCAGAATTTTTGATCAAGAATTTCGGAAATTGTGGCCAAAAATGTTAATTTTCTGAAAAAACCCTAATTTTTCGCGGTCTATCGACTATAACTTCAGAAATATTCGATGAAAATTTCTGAAATTTCTGGAGGAGGTAGTCTAGGATGTTAAAGAAATTTGAGAAAATTTTCATAAATTTCGGTTTCGCCTAAGTGTAGTTTCTAGTGCTAGCGCCCTAATGGCCCCGCGCCCTTATGACCCCATCCCATGTTTGATGGAATTTTCGTAAAAGATCGTTTTTACCTCTTCTTTAATCAGAGATATGACCGATAAAATTTTGAGTCATTACTTTTGCGCCAGCTAAAATTGAGTTGGACTCATTTAATATTTTTTAACTTCCACGCTTAAAATTAATTTTAGCCAAATCTTATATATATTTCCCTTGGGGAATATTTTTATCCATTATTAGTTTAATTTGGACCATTTCCTAAAAAGTTATAAATACTAAATTCCTTAGCGCAACCCTTGAGTTATTACTTTTGCACCCCACTGTATGTAGTCATCAACATAAAAATACGGACAAGAGTAAGTGAGCTGAAAATTACCTATTTTCTGTCGGTATCACGACTTTTGCGCCGAGAACATTTGCGCCGCGACTTATGCGCCGCGACTTTTGCGCCGGGCGACATTTGCGCCGCGAATCTTGCGCCGCGACTTTTGCGCCGGGCGACTTATGCGCCGCGACATTTGCGCCGCCATTGTTTTAAAAATCCGGATCCGAAAAATGCCGGATATGCGAAATTTTCAGTTCGGATATCGGATCCGGATATCCGAAGATTTCCAACTATCCGACACCCCTACTAAAGTAAGGTCCGGCTGTAGTTATTCATATATTTTTAATGATAATGGCGGCGCAAAAGTCGCCCGGCGCAAAAGTCGCGGCGCAAAGGTTCCCCGGCGCAAAAGTCACTCGGCGCATATGTCGCGGCGCAAGAGTCGCGGCGCAAGAGTCGCGGCGCAAATGTTCACGGCGCAAAAGTCACGGAACCTTTTCTGTCAGTTAAAAATTAATTTTAGGAAAATTTTGCTTTATTATAGATACTTCTTTTTAATTCTCTAAATAAGTTTAAAACTGGCCGGATTAAATTAACAAATTAAATATTTTTTTAATAAAAATATTTTTTAGGTGTAAATAAGGATTCTTTAATTATTACTGAGAATTCTTTCAAAAAACCACAAAATTGCACCAATTATTCTTTATTTTATTTTGAAATTAAATGCAAAATTGAAGGAAAATTTAGTGATAATGGAATGTATATTGGGCTTAAAATGGATAGTGCTGATCATAAATATATTAGATTTGGTGCAAATATTGCTTCAATTATTAATAAAGATGATAAAAAATTTAAAGTTCCATTTTTTGCTTGGAAAGATAACGATGTTTTTGGTTGCGGATTAGTTTATCCGCCTGTTGGTGTTCCCTATGTTTTCTTTACTCAAAATGGGAAACAAATTGGTAAAGAATTAATATTTTAAATATAATTTTAAAAAAATTTTTTTTTAAAGGTAAAGCTGTTATGTTAAAGGACAATAATGGATCACTCAAGCCATATATTTTATTGAATTGTTGTTTTGTGGAAACAAATTTTGGAAATAATTTGGAGAATAAACCTTTTATTTATGATTTTTCAAAACATTTAGTTCCCAAATTTTATTGAAAGATTTTATTCGATTTTTTTATTAATCTTTTATCAGTTAAAACAATTTATTTATATTTTTGAATTTTACAATTTTTGAATAAAATTATTTTTTAAGATTTTTCAAAAAAATTTTTTTAATAGAAAGGGCAAAAAAAGGAATTTTACAAAAACTAAGTGAATTAGAACATTTAAAACTATACAAATATTCTACTGTTGTATGTCCACAATCTTTCATTATTCTGGACATTCCCATAATTTTTAAAAGCCTCATTTAAATAAAAAAGGAAAGAAACGGAAATTGAATAAGAAATTAAATAAAAATGAGTGTTAGAAGGAAAAATAAAAATTTAAATAAAAAGGAAATTTGGGTTTTTTGGACAAAAAATAATTCAGAAAAAAGTTTGAATAAAAGAAAAAATAAAAATATTTTTAGTAATATGTATATTTGTATAGAACAGCTGAAAAGTATATATTGAAGGAGGAAATGAATGACCCTAACAAACAGAGCTGTTTCGAAACAAAAAAATCTTCGAAAATCGGAAATCGAAAATCGAAAGAAATCCAAAAATATCGAAATCGAAAATCGAAAATATTTTTCAAAATCTTCGAAATCGAAAATCGAAAGAAAAATAACCTCGAAAATCGAAAATCGAAAAACGAAAATCGAAAAAAAAAAATTTTTAATAAAAAATTGGAAGATAAATTTTTGTTGTGTTTGGTTATGTTACTTTGTTATGTTACTTTTGCTTGAACTTTAAGGAATTGGGGAAAACTAATAACTAGAATCGGAGATTTAGGGAAAACACGGATATCCAAAAAATCCGAATCCGGATCTTCGGCACCAACCCCGACCTATTAAATCTTGGCTCCGGACCCGGTGCTTTTCTAAGCTGCTTCATGTTGTCTCAAGACTCCGGGTGGAAAGATAAAGATTAATATTTCATCATGAGATCTGTGAGGATTAAGAGGGATAATGGAGGCTTTGAGTACTATCCCCTGATATAGTAAAGCAGAGCTAGGCCGCTTTACTCATAAGGTGGCGCGGTACCTGGCATAGGGTCCAAGCATGGAGGGTGGTTAAAATTAATTTTTAAAATTAATTTAAAATTAAAATTTAAAATTAATTTAAAATTAAAATTTAAGTTAATTCTTCAATATACCGGAGCCGAAGCATAATATTGTTAAGAGATCATGGGTTCCTCCATTCTGCGCCGCAGGCGAAAATTTTGATAATTTTGGAGGATCCTTAAGCCAAAAGTCTTCCTTTTTCTGCGCCGCAGGCGAAAATTTTAAAATTTTGGAGGATCCTTAACGCAAAATTCTTTACAAATTAAAAATTTTTTAAATTTATAATGGCCGACAGGTCAGAATTCTCCGCTTTTGGCGCCAAAAATTCAAATTTTTTCAAAAATTCGGAAATCGAAAATCGAAAATATCTCAAAATTTCGAAAATCGGAAATCGAAAATCGAAAGGAAAAAAACCTCGAAAATCGAAAAACGAAAATCGAAAATCGAAATTTCGAAACAGCTCTGCTAACAAAGTGGACAGAAAAAAATTGTTGAGGGAAAAGCTAAGGGAAATAAGCTAAAAATAAACAAATAAGTATACTCCCTATGGGAATCAATTCTTTGCGGTGAAAGGCTAATATTGTGAGGGAAAAAATAACAACAGCTGGTTTATTTATGTAAATGTATATAAGTACATATTATTAGTTAATTTAAATATTAAATTAATTGGAAAGAGCATAAAAAGAGTAGGGATTGAAGATCAAAATTGTGATACAAGACTCAAGATATCTTAAAAAACTTAGATCTCGACAACCGAGATTATTTGAGACCTTGTCTCAGTACGATCTCTAAAAAAGGAGTTTTAATTGTTTAAACATTAAATTTATTTTATAAGAAAAGAAATGTGAAATAAAACAAAAATGAAAAGGATTAAAAATTGGACATCTTAAAATATTCTGGGCCAAACTTTAATATACCTATTTTTAATTTATAAGGGACATACATATATATTTATTAAAATTAAAAAAGGAGACTAAAAAGTACAAATTAAAAATATAATGAAAATCCAATTAAAAAGAATATTTTTTATAATAAAAAAGTTGAGAGGATTTCTCAGAAAAATAGCAGTTAAGCATATTACTTTGAATTGATTGGACTGTTGGGAAGGTAAAAATAAGAGAGTGGGGAAGGAGCGGCACTTAAAAATGAGGAAAGGACCGGAAACTGGTCAGGAATAAAAATAAATGTCTGAGAAGAAATTAAAAAAAAGTAATAATAAATATAGTCAAAATCTCTCTAAAATATATCAACTTCGGGATCGGATTTAGTTTTTGTATAAAAAGTAATGTGTGGGACGCCAAGCTTTAACAAATAGGTAAGTTAAAAATAAAAGTTGGAATTTTAAAAAATTAACTTACGCGAATGGTCCCGGTGGTTAAGTTGGTAAATTGAGTATTTTTGAAGGGTGAAAATAAAATACCTATTTAAAGATGCTCAATTTATTTTTAAAACTTGATTTTTCATCAATCTAGTTATAAAATTAATCTTTTTTGTAAATATGTAATATTTTTATCTTTATTAATTTACTGTTTTGGGTTAACATTTAGAATTGAACAGTTTTGCGTCATAAAAGCCATATATAAACGTGATATAAACAGTTAAAAATAATAAAATGGAAAATTTATGACGTTATTGATAGGGAAAAAAGATAAAATTTTAACTAAAATTGATAAAAAATGTTATAAATAAGTCATTAAGATTTTCTAAAAAATTATTTTCTTAATTTTATAATTAATAAATTCTTTTTTTGGTTTAATAAAAATTAAAATTCCCCCCCCCCCTCCTCTGGTTAGTTAAAAGTAGGGTTCAATATTACTGGGCAAGGACTGAGCTTATGAAGACCGAGGGTTGCAGGGAATTCGAACCGCAGGGACGGGGAACGGGGGCTCTGGGGAGAGACCTCCCCCCGTCCCCGGTGAATTCCCTTCCCCGGGGACGGGAAGTTAAAATACCCTAGTTAAAAGTACTTCTGATTTTATGAAATAACTTCAATGTCCCCCTTATTTTGCAGGTTTTTAAGGTAGTATTTAATCATATGAGTGTTCAGATATTTTTAATATTTTAAATAAAAAAATAATTTATTCAAATGCGCGTTTTTTAATAATAACAAAAAATAAAGTGTGTATGTGTGTATTTATTTATTTGATTTACAGCATGTTTTTATTTTTGAAAAAAAAAATTCTCGTTAAATAAATTGTTTCATTCGGGTCACTCCTTTTAATGCATTAACTGACAGCCACGCAAACTGTCAGTATATTTTAGAGAGAAAATTATTTTCCTTTCCACCAATTTTTCAATCCAAAGCCACTCTCCCTCAAACAATTTTCGATCGTCTTTTGCATGAAGGACGAAATAATGTTTTGATGGATGGAAGAATTTTTGGTTAAAGAAGGGAAGAATTATTCCCTCTGCGCATTTTTATAACACACAAAATGCACATTGAAAGCTATTTTCCCCAAATTCTCAATCCAAATGCTTTTGCTTTATGTCGATTAAATAATTGCTCACGCCACGTAAATTTACAACAATAAACAATAAATATTTGTAAATAAATCAAATACTTATATTCAAAAACTTTCTCCTTATTAATTTTATTTTAAAACATTAAAGCAATTCGCAGAAAAGAACAATTCATAGAAATGAAAGTAAAAGGATTTTCCAAATAGGAATTATTAATTATTTTTCGTAGTGGAAGTCAAGTCAAATCCTAACATTAACCTTAAAGGATTACTCATTCGGAATATCCTGTTTTAGTTTATTGAGTTACAATCAAGCAGAAAGGGTTTAAGGGGTCATTATTTATTACTTTATGCCTTAATGGCCCATGTTCCCTTATACATATTTCAGTGAATTGTCTTTCGGTGAGTTTTTCTGGTTTACAAGGTTTTTTGTAATAATAAACTTTCTTTTTTATTGTTAATAGTTTTGTGATAAAATCAGTAAAAGATTAAAGTAACAGAATGCGCTTCTTTTTCTCTTCATTTATTCTCCTTTATTTTCTTTTTTATTTTGTAATTGCCAAAGTAGAAGAAAAAAGGCCAATAAAAGAAAAACAAAGTAATTCTGTTAATGAAGATGAAAATCAAAAAATTGAAGAAAAAGAAGTTGATTTATCTAATGGTTATTACCTAAATATGCTTGGAAAAATTTAAAGAAATTTTTTTAAAGGATTCGGAACAGACATTGATTGGGTACAGTGGAACGAAGCTGTTTCTATAGCTTTGGATTTGAATAAACCTATATTTTTGCTTATACACAAAACTTGGTGTGGCGCTTGCCAAGGTATGATGGACAATTAAACAAATTTTAGGGTGAACTCCGTAATGGCGCTTGTTTTTTTTCTTCAAAAAGAAAAATATAAAAGAATAAGAGAATTTAGTGGATCCCAACGGGAAAAGCATCGTTTTGGTTCCCCATCCCTCTATTGTACCTCAACTCCTTCCAGCGATGGAGTACGATTAACACTCTCTAGAAGATACACAGTTAGACTTGTTAGATTGTCTTTGGATCACTAATAATGCGAGTTTCATTGGCTCTACTCCAGTTTATGCGTCCAATCGACTTTTATGCGTCCAATGAAAGTTTATGCGTCCAATAAAAAGAAAATTGAATTTTTCTTGGTATTGCACAGTTGGAATATGGTTCTACAACATTTCTTCATGTTTGAGACCTACGCCCACTGGGTCTGTGACCATTCCTTACCCTATCACTCGAAATTTTTTAAAGTTACAGCCAATTTTTTAAAATTTCAGAAAACGATTATAACTTTCAGAAATTTCGACGGGTCGGTTAATGACGGTCCGAGACCCAGTGGACGTAGGTCCCGCACATGAAGAAATGGTTTGGAGTTATACCCCAACTTTGCAATACCAAGAAAAATCCAATTTTCTTTTTATTGGACGCATAAACTTTCATTGGACGCATAAAAGTCGATAGGACGCATAAACTGGAGTAGAGCCGTTTCATTTTCCCCATGTTATTTGTAATATACTCATGCAGGGGGGGGGGGGGGGAGGACTTAACCTATTTTTTAAAGTATGGACTTTATTAAAATATTTTTTTAAATTTAGCATTGAAAAAAAGTTTTGCCAGTTCAAATAAACGAGATGAATTAGTAGAATTAAGCAAACAATTTGTAATGGTTAATGTAGAAGATGATGATGAACCAGAAGAGGAAGAATATGCCCCAGATGGCCGTTATATTCCTCGATTATTTATTTTGAGTAGGTGAGGGAGGGGAAGGAAGAAAATTAAAATTTAATTTTAAAAACTTTTTAAAGATAAAGAAGGACATCCACTAACTGTGGATAATGCTAAAAATTATCCAAACAACAAACAATATTTCCCACAAGTTCCAGATGTTATAATTGCAATGAAACTTGGACTTAAAAAGTTCGAAGGGTCAGAAGAAAGGGAAGAGGTTGTTGAGGAAGAAAAGAAAGTGAAGAAAGATGAAAAAGTGAAGGAAAAGGAATTAAAGGTATTCGACAGTTAAAGACTTGAATTAAGCTATCCCACACGTTTTCAGAAAATTTTTCAATAGGGGTTGGAAAAAATAAACTAAAAAATAAAATAGCATAGGGGAAATACATAGAGGAATTATTAAATTTAAAAAATTAAGGAAAAAGCTAAAAAAGAAAACAAAAAACCAGCAAGCGGCGGCTGTCCACACGCAGCTGGCAAAGCTGCCAAAAAAGCGGAGGAAGAAGCAAAAAAGAATAAAGTGGTCAAGGATAAAAACGTTGAAACAAAAAAAGAAGCTGATAAAAAAGTAAAGGAAAAAGTGAAGGATGGAGCTACTAAAGAAAAAGAAGGGGCCAAAAAAGAAAAACAAAAGACTGCCGAAAAAACAAAGAAAAGTAAGGAGGACAAAGAAAAGCCTAAAAAGACTGAGAAAAAGAAGAAAGAAAAGGAAGAACTTTAAGATAAAAAAAATTCTTTCAAGTTTTATAAATTATACAATCAAACCTCTCTCATAAATACCACTTTTTGGGGATGAATTTAGCCGACGTATGAAAGTGACGAGCAGAGGTGGATCAGAATTCCGACGTTTTTTCGTTCCAATTTCCGAAAAAATTTTAATTTCCGATTTCCGACTTTTGAGCCAGTTCCGATTTCCGACACCTCGGACTGTTCCGACCCACCTCTGGTGACGAGGGGATTCCATATGAGAGAGGTTTGACTGTAATTTTTAAAAATAAAGAGCTCCAATTTGAATTGGTGCTCTCCCTAAATATTTTAGGTTTTAAACAGGTTCGGGTAAATAATTGTAATTCCCCTTTTCATTAAAAATACTTAAAAAGCGAGAGATTTTTATTTGCTTGAAAATCATTTTAAAAATTATTTTGTGTTATCATTATTTTGTCATTTGGGAAAATAATAAAATATAATTATAATATTATTAAAATCATTATCGCAATCACTTATAGGAATGTAAATTTAATTAATATATATTTTTGTCTATTACATCGATAATTTGAGGAGGAAAAGATATTTTGCAAATTAAAAACAATATTATATTTTTAAATAACTTCTGTAAGAAGGTCACACAATGTAGAAGCAACACCTTCTCTGCTACTTCGTATTGTAAGTCGATACATCTAGTTTTTTGTAAATTTTTTTAAATTTAAATTCTAGGGGTTTTTAGAGGTATCTAAGGCAAAAAGAATTTTGAAATGTGCCCGAAGATCGAAGATATTAAAGATTGTCCGTGGATTAAAACTCAAAATCCTTGATATCCTCTTTAAAACTTTCAAATCCATCGATATCCCCTTTAATTCCTCCTATTTCCTCTTTTCCTCCTTTAAATCCACCGATTAGACTTGTAAAGAAATAAAAAGTAAAAATTGTGTCGATCAAAAAGTTGTAGGTCTTCAGGGTAAATAGGTCTTAAGGGTGTAAGTCTAGAAGGTGTAGATCGTCAGGGGTGGACTTCGAATAGGTCCCAAATGTTCCGAAAAATTGATTAAAAAATCAACCATCCTGATCCACCAAATTCAATCTAATTTTAATTTTAAATCTGCCTCACCCTTGTTTGTTTATTAGGCTCCAATCTAATCAAAGTCCCAATCTGAGCAGCTTGTGTGTGAATTATGCCAGCACAAACAAAATTATCAGGATTTGGGTCAATTCCTGGAAGAACACGAGCTCCCAAATTTGAAAGCTAAAAATGATTTCTTATCAAAAACACTTTTATAAAACCCACTTGTTGTGAAACATCCTCTGATTCCATTGAAGATTTTGCAGCAAAAATTTTTTGACATTCTTGAATTGGCCTAAAATATCGTTTAAAATTAATTTTTAATTTAATTTTTACAAATTTAGTTGTTTCCAACGATTAAAGAATTGTTCTGAATTCATATCTGTTGGCTCAAAAAATTTATTAATAAAAATTGGGATGTAGAGATTTTGAGAAAATTGTTGTTGAAGATTGTCTTTTGCCCTAAAAAATATTTTCTTAATAATAAAAGTACCCAAAAAAGACAAACGTGTAAGTAAACGAGATTTTAATTACTGGCGATTGCGAAAAGGAATTTAAACAAACAACATTGACTAATTGTTGGATTTGAGTGCCAGCATCAATTTCTGAGTCGATTTGCTTTGCCTATTGAAAAAATATTAAAAAATAAAAAATATATTAAAAAGAAACCTGACAAACTAATTGGCCAGCTAATTGGCCAGGACAAGTAATTGCTGTAATAAATTGTGTAAATTTTGCACTAGTTTTATTTCCATAAAACATTCCCAATCTAGCTAAATTTGAACGAGCTTCTAATTTACAACCAATTTGGACTATTTCATCTTCATAAAGTATTCCAGTTTGTCTCACTATAAACCTGAAAAAAATAGAATTAAGTGCCGTTGGAAAATTAAAAAGTTTTAAAGCAACGCAATAGCGAAGAAGCTTTCTTTAGCTCAAACGAAAATGATTGTCCCCGCTTCCTCTATAAATTTCTCACAAGTCAGGAGATTTAAAAAAATATATCAATTCCGTTAAATTTCCCCAAAATAAAATCTATACTTTAAATAATCGCTTTTGTTGAAAATCGGTTCATCGCTAGTAAATCCATTTGATGTATTCAAATTCCCAAAAATATCTGACAATTGATTGATTGCAGAAGATCCATTAGTTAATTGTTGAACATCACCACTAAGATCAAGAAGCTTGCTTGAATCAGATGCAGAAGGGGACGTTCCCTAGAAAACAGAATTTTATTTAAAAATATTTACAAATAATTATTACAGGTTTAGGTGCATTTGTGGTTGAAGACATTATTGCAGAAGGGCGGTGTTTCGGTTCTGTTTGGGAACTGTCCAAATCCTCTGCTTGTGGTTGCGACTTCTTCAATTTTGCAAGCAAACTGCTTTCCTTTTCTGGGAATAACGGCATCTCCTCAAGAATCTAAACAAAAAATAATTAGGATAACTGAAATTCAAAAACCGTTGCAAGAACATCAGGCGATGCAACTTTACTCAATTGCAAATATTCAACAGCTCTTTGTTGCAATTCAGCATCAGGATTTCTCAAATTAGTATCAGAACGTAAAATCTCTTGTATATGAGTTTTTATTTCAGGAAACAAGTTACAAAATTTAATATAAGTAGTCATTAATAAACATCTTGTAGCAATACTGCACAAATGAAAACGGCTATGTAAAGTTTCGAATTGAATCATTGGACTAGAAAATGAACAAAATTATTTTTTATATTAAAAATTGGCAGAAAACCTCGAACGAGGATCTCCCGCAATTAAATTGCCAAATTCCCCAAGAATATAACCGCCTACTTTAACCATATTTTCATGACAAGTAGCCTGTTGCAAAGCCTAAAAATAAACAAAATTAAATGAAATATGGAATTTTCTTTTATTTTTAACCCTAAAAAATGACCCACAAAAATATCTTTATTTTACCTCAAAAACTGTTTTAGCAGCATATCCTTGAACATCCTCTCGATTAACAACAATCTAACAATAAATTAATTTAAGAAAAAAAAACTTCAAAATAACCTGAATAACTCTACACCAAACTTCTTCAGAAACATAATCCCCAGCAATTCGTATCAATTTCAAAATTACGTCAACATACCAAGTATAATCTGTTGCATATTTCTCTGCAAGTATAGCCACTTTAAGTACCATTTCCTCTCTGATAGAGTAATCAGCCGTTTCCAAATAAGTAAGCATTTCAGCAACAATATTTTCAGCATTAGACCGATCACACATTGCATAAAGTAAATCCTAAATTTTAAGCAAAATTTAAACAGTAAATAAAAAAGATACTCACTACAGCCCGTTGTCGAACGCTAACATCCCTTTCACTCTTTAAAGAATTTATAATTGTCTCTTGATGTTTTTTGACGGCATCGTGTGAAAATTCAGAGGTAGCCAAAAGACACATAGACTCAAGTGCCAAATATCTTTAAAATAAAAATTTGAACATTTTAAAATTTTCAAACCTCAAATTAGTTTCACGATGAGAAAGGAAAGTTCCCAATTGATTACAAGCTCTAACTAAAAGATTTGGTTCGCTGTCGTGATGAATAATTAATGCTATCGCTTCAAACAAAACAGCATTCTTAGCATTCGCGTGTTGAACTTTCTTTGACTTTGGGGCATCCTGTGCTCTGTTAAGGATACCTTCGAGACATTCAAGAAGACGAGCACGATTGCCTGGATCTTCTAAAAATAAAAAATTTTTTGAATGAAAAATTAATTTAAAAACCTGGTGGAGGATAATTTTGAAGTAATCTGAGTAATTTAACACAAAGCCAAGGAGCAGGAACAAAATAGTAAGTATAGTCTTAAATTTTAAATATTTATATTAGTGAAATTTTTTAAAGTTCAAACCTTGTAGATCGGTATAAGTAGAAGTAACAATCTAAAAAATACCCAAAATTAGTAAATTATAATTCAACAACCCTGCTAAGTCTCGAAATTGCCAAAGAAACACAGCCTTTATATTCATCAGGACTTTTCTTTGAGAGAACCTCAATTAAGGAAGCCGCTGAAGTTACCACACCCTTTACATAAAAATTGTTAAAATATCTAAAATAAAGACTAACCAAATGTGAATCATTAAGTAGTTGCACAATTCGAACAGAATATTCACTATGTGGAATAATATCAATTGGAATTCTCAATAATTTTAAAAGACAAAGTGCAGCACTTTGTTTAACAAAATCAACAGTATCACTAAAAAAATATGGAAAAATAAAAAGATTTTCCTTCTAAAATTACCCAGAAGTTAAAAGTTTTGGCAAATCATGAGCAAAAGCTTCACACATATCTTTGGAACCAATATTGGCAATACATTGAAGGGCAAGATTAACATGTACTGGATTTCGCGATTGGAGATCATTTTTAATTGATTGGATTATTAACTTCATTAAATCAGAATTTAAGTTAATTAGAACAGAAATGAACAAATATCCCTTAATTTTTAAATATTTTTTTTAATTTTAAAAAATATTTACAATCTGTTTCTCCGTATATTTATTAGAAGAAAGCAAATTAACAGCCTCCATATGGCCAAAATCAATGTCATGACCAAGCAGAAAAATAAAAAGTAATTTGCAAACATATTTCTTTTTTTGATAGCCATCAAGTGTTTTGTCACCTTTGAAAAAATAAAATTTTTCCTTATTTTGATTTAAAATAAAACCTTTAAATTTAGAACGTATATTCGCCAACTCTTTATTTATCCGTCTCAATTCAGCCTCTTTACTTTTACAATTTCTTATATCGCTTATAAATACGGCTAGACCACGCATTCCATCACCTATAAAATTTTAAAAAACGGATGAATTGGAAATTTAAAAAATTCGTAAAATTAAAGTTTAGATAAAACATAAACCGAAATTGAGTTAAAAGTCAGATTTAGGTTTGAAAAACCTCCGACAATAAATCATTTACTTTGTCTTAAGTACAAAATTATAATAACAAAAATACCTTTTACTGCCGGCATTATGAGCAATCAACTATTGAATTATCCTAACATAAAACAAATTAGTAAAAGCTTATAAAAATGAAAAATATTTTTGTTTCCGAATAAACAGGAATAAAATTGAAAAAATAAATTTGATTGATTTGTAAATAAAAATAAAACAAAAATTTTAAAATTTAATTATCCAGCAAATTTTTCAAGCAAATATTGCTTCTTCCTTTCAACAATCATTTCCTCAATTTCAGCTTGTGACGGAACCATAACATGTTTAATAACCATTTCACGTCCATCTTCTCCCATAACGACAGATTCTTTTATTGGTACAGGTTCTTCATCATCAGAATCCTTAAAAAAATTTTTAAAAACATTTAAATTTTAAAATCTCAAACCGCTTGAACTTTGTAAATGTCTTCATCAAAATCTTTTTCTCTGTTCATTTCAGGTCCTCTTTTTGCCCATTCCTAAATAAATTTTAAATAATGATTTTTAAATAATTTTATAGAAATTGTTTTCATTTAATTTTCTGCCAATAATTATTTAATTTTTATTCAGATTCCCTTAAAATGATTTTTAATCTCCTGACCTTTCAGTTCCTCTTTCCCAACTACTTAATTCCTTTGCCCTGGGGCCTATTTCAATTGTCCACAGATTCTGCATTCTGTGCACAGAACACAGATTCTGTGGAAATTCTGTTTCAATTAAATTCTGTGTGCACAGAATCTGTGGTGCCCGCAGATTCTGCGGAAACATCCAATGATTCTGTGGAAACATTCCGCAGATTCTGTGGATGAAAATTTCTGTGGAAAATATAAAAATCTGTGGATTTTTTCCACTGATCCACAGAATTTGTATTTCAATTATTTTTCTGTGGTTCTGTGTATTTTTTCTTCTAAATTCAAATTTTTTATTTCCGCGTTTTTGAAAATAACAGTTTTATTGAAACGAAAAATGGTTTGGACAGTTCGGTACTACCGCAGTATTAATGGTACCTGATTTTTTGAAGTAAAACTTTAAAAATTCTTAAATTAAACTGAAAAATATTGTAAAGATTTAAAAATTTTCCCTCCAAATCACATAACATCCCTTTAAATCTCTTTGATATCACTTTAAAACCGCTGATATACCGCTTAATTTTCTTGTTCATCCAATATCCTTAAATCTCCAATTAAATTAATGTCCTAAAGCAGGGTTCGGATCGGAAAAATCAGGAGATGTCGATCCGACATGTGGCTTTTTCAAACTACGATAGAAGTTGTTGCAAGGGAGGGAAATGTTTGGGGATTGTTTAGTCAGAAATTGAGGTTCCTGGAAATCGAAAATGCCTGGAATCCAAAATTATAGTCAAATCGGAACTTTAAAATCGTAGAGGAGTGATTAAGTGGGATATCCATTGATTTTGAGGTTTAATATATTGGAGTGATTAAGGAGGAAATCTATCATTAAATAGGAGGAGAGATTATGACGGATATCAATGAGAGATCATGGGAGATATCCCAGTATACGCTATACAGATATATTCTATAGATCCTGGTAAACATCCCCTCATTAGAGATATCCATGATGATTAGAACATCATAGCTCTAAATTTCAGAATCTCTCACGTTTTTTATTTTTTTATTGCTTGAATATAACAAAAACTGCGTAAAAAAGATGTACCTTTTTCAAAATTAATTTTAAGCAATAATTTTAGGTAATAAAATTATAATTTTTATATCAAAAAATAGAGAATGATTCAAACTTTAATAATCTTTAAAAATTTTGAAATTTGGTTAAGCCTAGGCCTAGAAAAAAATTGTTAAAGTTTTTCCACAGAAAGTTCGCAGAAAAAATTTTAGGGTGGATTTTTTAAAGAATTCTGTGTATTTTCCGCAGACCACAGAAATAATTGAAACAGAAATGCACAGAATCGACTAAAAAAGCCACAGATCTGTGGATTTTTTTCTGTGCACAGAAAAATAATTGAAATAGAATTCTGTGGTTTTTGCATGTTTTTGGATGTTTTGCAGAATCTGTGGATGTTTCCACAGATTCTGTGCATGTTTCCACAGAATCTGCGGACTTCTTTTTCCGCAGAATCTGTGGAATAATTGAAACAGAATTTCTGTGGTTCTGTGGTCTGTGCACAGAACGCAGACCGCAGAATCTGTGGACAATTGAAATAGGGCCCTGAGCGTCTTCCTCTACATCAAAATCAAATATAAATAACAGAAATGTAGAAATACTTTTCATTCATCTTCTTATTTGAAAAAAAATTCTCTTAATAAATGGAAGAACTACAAAATTTTAATTTTACTCACTTATATGAAAAACTAAAAATGAGTGACAACGATTTCGATGCATGGCTAGAAGAACTGGGACTTCTTCACGCAAAGAAAACATGTAAACAGTGCGGGGGTAGAACAACACTTAAAGTCGAAAATCGTCATTGTAGATATACAGCTTGGCGCTGCACAACTAAAAATTGTCGAGTATCTTCGGGTTATTTGTGTGGGACATTCTTCGAGCGGAGACATTTAACAACAAAACAAGTATTTGAACTAGCTTATTATTGGGCTCAACAGTTTGGGACAATTAAAGAAATTGGATTTCAAACTAAAATTAGTCAGTCTGCAATAATTGGAATGTTTGACAAATTTCGGGATGTTTGTGTAAAATATTTAGAAGAAAATCCAATTAAAATTGAAGAAGGTTAAATAATTTAAATAGAAAAAATATAAACTAATCAAAATATTTAGGTATTATTGATAGAAAACCAGACAACAGACGAAGGGATAATTACAAATATCAACAAGAACTTATTTGGCGGACTCAATTTGGTGATATTCGTAATGTTTTCTATTATTTGTGGAAACAAATTTCAATATTTTATCCTTGTGAACGAAACGAATAAATTTAAAAATTTTTTTTTGATGGGTAAAAGAGAAGACGCTAAAGCGAAAATACTGACATCTGTGGATTTTTTGTTAAATTATTTTTATTTTTTTTAAATTAAAAAAATTTTAAATAAAATTACCGCATTTATCCTCGCAATTGACAATTTTTCTTCAGCTTTTTCCAGTGGAATTAACAATCCATCGTCATCATCCATATATCCATAATAATCTGCATCAACATTTCGCATAAGTTCTGTTCTAGTTTTCTTCGAAGTAGTTTCTGTAGCTTTCTGAAAAAGTTCACGGACGCCAGGGAGATCCTTTGCAGCTCCAAAATATTTATATCCCTTGTTGCTGGCGACTTCCCTTCCATCACGATCAACTTCTCTTGGTGCTATTCTCCTATAAAATAGTTTTTGGGACTTCTTTTAGATTTTGTCACTTTTTATAAGTTTCCCTCCATTCCCCAAATACTTTTGCTTTTTTAGCTAAATTAATTCCTATGGCCATTTGTTTGCCTTATTAAAAAAATAAGAAGTGGAGGATATCCCAATTTGATTTAAATAAAATTTGCAAACCTGTGATCAACACCGCCCAATTCTTTTATTCGAGCCTCCCAAAGACCTTTGAGCCTAAGCAATTTATTAATCTCGTCGTTTAGATCACGTATCTTAAATTCACCAAGACCAGGATTCTATAAAATTTAATTCTGATAGATTATTAAAATTAAATAAAAACCTGTATTTGAGTAATTTTCTTCGAAATATCATTAATAATCTCTCGTCTGAAACGCTCTGCATCAGGCAATTTCTTACATTCCCGCACATCATTCGGTCTTTTAGCGACAGGCCCCTTTTCTTCTTGTTCTTTCATACGCCGCCATCTGGCCAAAGCTGTCATTGCCTTTTCCGCATTACGAGCCTTTATTTATTAAAATTAAGTACCTAACCGTTCAAAACCAAACAAACCATATTATTTGATCCTGTTCAAGTTGACAAAAAAACAAAGATTTGGTCAAATTATTTGGAATGTAAATCAGCAGTTGGGGTCGGTTGAGTATCGCCAGTGACTCCCGTGAGTTGAGTATAAGCCAGTTAATTCAAATCAATTTAGATCCAGAAACTGTTTGTTCTCTTAAATTATTTAAGTGTGAATATTTATTACGCTACAGACTTAGGAAATTGAGACTGCGCTCAAGCTTATTAAGAATAACTTTGTTAAGTAACTAAAAGATGAAGCTAGGACATTCCATATAAAAATAAAAGACAGAACTTTAAACTGAACTTCCAAATGTAATGTAGAAAAAATTAATACAAGAAATTCGCGAATTTTTATTCTAAATATTCAATGTCTTACAATGCTTATTGTTAACATATAAATTTTTTCGTCACAGAGGATACAATTTATTATAGGGGGATTAAAATATTTCTTTATTATAAAATTAATATTATAGAATTATATATTCCCTAACATTTTTTCATTAGTTCATACCCATAAACTGATCAATAGAAACCTCTCTAATAATTTCTTATTTATATATTCGCTTTCAATTGCTTCATCCGATTGAGCGCGGAACCTGCCTTAAACCACTCTATCTGACCCTCATTAAGAGTATGTTGAAGTTCAATAACATCTTTGCTTCCATCTTTGTGTTTAAGCACACACTTGACTTTTTTGCCTGGAGCAAGAGTGTTGAGCTCAATAAGAGAAACTCGGTCGTCCGGACGAACTTTGTCATAATCGGCTGGATTCACAAAAGTTAGTGGCAAAAGCCCTTGCTTCTTTAAATTCGTCTCTGAAAAATAAAAAGATTTTTAAATATTCACTCTTAAATTCATACCATGAATTCGAGCAAAGCTTTTTACAATAATTGCCCTTCCACCGAGATGACGAGGTTCGAGTGCGGCATGTTCACGAGAAGAGCCCTCTCCGTAGTTGTCATCACCGAAGGCAACCCATGCCTGGCCTTTTGCTTTGTAGTCTCTTGCAGTTTGACAAACTGGTCCCCATTCGCCAGTTAATTGGTTGCGAACCTTAAATTTTTCGAAATATTTCATGAATATAATTCCCATTATTTCTAAAATAATACCTTGTTCAATTCATCATTCTCCGCATTCTTTGCCGTGAGGAACAAGTTGTTTGAAATATTATCTAAATGTCCACGATATTTTAGCCATGGTCCAGCAGCGCTTATATGATCGGTTGTACACTTTCCCTTGACCTTTAGAAAATTAAATATACAGAAAATTTTTTTAATAAAATCAACCTTAATCAAAATAACCATATCAGTCAGATCTTTTCCATCCCACGCGTCAAATGGACTCAATAACTGAAGTCGATTGCTTTTTGGATCAACCACTACATCGCCAGAAAATTTTGGTTGTTGATACAAGTCGGTGCCCGGATCAAATCCTTTCTCTGGAAGACATTCTCCTTTAGGTTCTTCAAGCTTAAATTTGGTTCCTAAAATATTAAAAGCATTAAGATTTAAAAAATAAATAAAAACCGTCTGGCGCTGTCAAATAGTCACGACGCGGGTCAAAGTCTAAAGTTCCCGCCAAAGTCAAAGCAAGCGTCATTTCTGGCGAGGTTACGAAAGCATGAGTTGCAGGATTTGCATCGTTGCGTCCAGTGAAGTTTCGGTTATAAGAACTAACAATTGTGTTCTTCTCTCCCATCTTAACATCCTTTCTATCCCACTGTCCAATACAAGGTCCACAAGCATTTGCAAGAACAATACCGCCAATGTTTTCAAAATCTTTGATAAAACCGTCACGCTCAATTGTAGCACGAACTTGCTCACTTCCAGGAGTTACAGTAAAAATTGGTTTTAGCTTCATCCCTTTCTTATATGCCTGAATTTTAAAAAATCAATAAAAATCAAGAAGCATCCCATACTTGTCTTGCAATGTTAGCAGACCTAGCCATATCTTCATATGAACTGTTTGTGCAAGAACCAATCAGTCCAACCTTGATGTCCAAAGGCCATTCATTCTCTTTTGCGTGTTGACCAAGTTTATCTATTGGATGGGCCAAATCAGGTGTAAAAGGCCCGTTGACATGAGGGACCAATTCATCCAAATTTATTTCAATTACCTGAAAATAAATTATACGAGTGACAAAGTCGATTTTAAAAGCTTACCTTGTCATACTCGCAACCTGGATCGGGTTTAAGCAAATTAGCGTATTTTTTCGCTTCATTGGCAATATTGCCACGACCAGTAGCCACAAGATAGTCTACCATAGATTGAGTAAATGGAAAGATTGATGTAGTTGCGCCAATCTCTGCTCCCATGTTCGTTATGGTTCCCATTCCGGTACATGCTAGGGATTCTGTTCCAGGGCCAAAATATTCAATAATAGCTCCAGTTCCTCCCTTCACGGTGAGAATATCGGCTACCTAAAAGTCATAAGAATATGACTTAAAGGATCGAACAATAAAACAAACTTTCAAAATAATATCCTTGCTTGCTGTCCATCCTGAAAGCTTCCCAGTTAGCTTCACTCCAATCACATTTGGACACTTCAATTCCCATGGAAGACCTGCCATTACATCAACAGCATCAGCACCACCAACTCCAATACAGACACCACCAAGGCCACCTGAAATTATGAGAATATCTTATTTATCAATAGCTATAAAACCTCCATTCGGAGTATGAGAATCTGTTCCAATGAGCAATAACCCAGGAAAAGCATAATGTTCAAGCACAACTTGATGAATGATTCCAGCACCAGGTTGCCAAAATCCAACACCATATTTATTAGAAGCACTGGCCAAGAAATCAAAGACTTCTTTGTTGATTTCCTATAAGAACTACGGATCAAAATTTTAAATATTAAATCCATACCTTTGCTCTATAAAGATCTTTTACGCTTCCGACTTGAGCTTGAATTAAATGGTCACAATGTACGGTCGACGGAACCTAAAATTTGTATTTAGACAGGCATCATAAATATAAAATAATAAACCTGTACTGTAGGGATCCCAGAAGAAATAAATTGAAGCAAAGCCATCTGGGCTGTCGCATCCTGCATAGCAACACGGTCAGGTCTTAGGTTCAGATAGCTTACACCACGTTCAATCTTCTGTCCTTTAGGGTCATCAAGATGAGAATAAACAATCTTCTCAGCAAGCGTAAGAGGTCGATTAAGTCTTTATTTAAAAGAAGATTTAAAAATAATTTAAAATTAAATTAACCTTTTCTTCACAATTTCCAAATTAGTAGCAAGTTTTTCATAAGGAAGTCGGGTCTTTGGTTCATGCTGGCTCATAGGAACTGAAGACAATCTTCCCATTGTTGTGTGCAAACAACGTCGCAAATGAACATAGTTGTTGATTTGAGGGAATAATCCCATTATAACGCTTAAAAGAAAATTTAGAAGCTTAAATTTATTATTAAAAAATTAATAAAAAAAACTCATGTTCTATTACAAAGTGATCGAATTAATAGAAAAAACACAGCTGATAAATATTATACTTTGATCGTTTTTCAGTGAGGAATGAAACCTCCCAGACTGATATGCCCCTTTTCATTTTGATTACGGCCCATTATGGCGCGGGTCACTATGGCACAAGGCGCTCATGGCGCAAAGACATTAATTTTTACTTGAGCCATAGTGGCCTGCGCCGTAGTATCTGTGACCCTTGTTTACTTTTTATTTTTGTTTACAACAAAAAGGAGTATTTCAGTCGGTACACGACGAATGGGCGCGGCCGAATGGGCGCGGACGAATGGGCGCGGCCGAATGGGCGCCGAGACGAATGGGCGCGAGACGAATGGGCGCGGGACGTTTGGGCGCCCGAAATTATTTTTTCCTAGAAATTTTTTTCTGATTTTTTCTTCTGATTTTTTTGTTCTGATTTTTTTTTCTGATTTTTTTGTTCTGATTTTTTCTTCTGATTTTCTGTTCTGATTTTTTCTTCTGATTTTTTCTTCTGATTTTTTTCTTCTGATTTTTCTGTTCTGATTTTTTTGTTCTGATTTTTTGTTCTGATTTTTTTGTTCTGATTTTTTCTTCTGATTTTCTGTTCTGATTTTTTCTTCTGATTTTTCTTCTGATTTTTTTCTTCTGATTTTTCTGTTCTGATTTTTTTGTTCTGATTTTTTTGTTCTGATTTTTTGTTCTGATTTTTTCTTCTGATTTTTTTCTTCTGATTTTTTTGTTCTGATTTTTTCTTCTGATTTTCTGTTCTGATTTTTTCTTCTGATTTTTCTGTTCTGATTTTTTCTTCTGATTTTTTTCTTCTGATTTTTCTTCTGATTTTTTCTTCTGATTTTTCTGTTCTGATTTTTTTGTTCTGATTTTTTGTTCTGATTTTTTTGTTCTGATTTTTTCTTCTGATTTTCTGTTCTGATTTTTTCTTCTGATTTTTCTTCTGATTTTTTTCTTCTGATTTTTCTGTTCTGATTTTTTTGTTCTGATTTTTTTGTTCTGATTTTTTGTTCTGATTTTTTCTTCTGATTTTTTTCTTCTGATTTTTTTGTTCTGATTTTTTCTTCTGATTTTTTTCTTCTGATTTTTTTGTTCTGATTTTTTCTTCTGATTTTCTGTTCTGATTTTTTCTTCTGATTTTTCTGTTCTGATTTTTTCTTCTGATTTTTTTCTTCTGATTTTTCTTCTGATTTTTTCTTCTGATTTTTCTGTTCTGATTTTTTCTTCTGATTTTTTTCTTCTGATTTTTCTTCTGATTTTTTTCTTCTGATTTTTCTGTTCTGATTTTTTCTTCTGATTTTTCTGTTCTGATTTTTTTCTTCTGATTTTTCTGTTCTTTTCTTCTGATTTTTGTTTTTTTTGGATATAGTATAGTACAGGGGTGTGCCGAAACAGATTTTAAAAAGCGAAAGACGAAAGGCGAAAAGGCGAAAGTCGATTTAAAAAGCGAAACACGAAAGACGAAAAGGCGAAAGTCATTCTAAAAAGCGAAAGACGAAAGGCGAAAGACGAAACACCAAAAAAGACGAAAATATGGCGAAAGACGAAAGACGAAAAGGCGAAATAACTGTAATGAGGAAAAATCTCTATATATCGGTTAAACCAAAGCCTTGGTTAATTACCTACTTTCAAATCTTCTGTTTAATTCTCCTAATCTTGTGATATCCTTATTAACCGCTAAATTATGTATATCAGAGGATTCAGAGTGATTTAGGATTTAGGAGGATATCAGAGGATGTGTAAGGCAAATTCAAATTTTTATTTTTTCCTATCATTGGAAATCGACCATCGTTAATTGTAAATATAGTCTTTTATTTTGGGAAATCCCAGGATATCCAAATCCGTTGTCCGAACAAAAATTTTGATATCCGAATCCGTAACCAAAATTTTTAATAAAATACTGAGGCTTACCCAGGTAGAGAATCCCCTTTATCAGCGCCGCAGGCGAAAATTTTGAGAATTTTGGAGGTCCTTAAGTCAGATTTCTTCCCTTTTTGCGCCGCAATAAATACCACTATGCTGGAAAATAACCTGTATTAACTTTTTAAGCGCCGCAGGCAAAGATTTTGAAAATATAAGGTGTCTAAGGCACGGAAAATTCACTTTTTAAATTAAAAAAATAATTTTTTCATAGAAAAATTATAATTATTCTATTCATAATATATAAATAAAAATCTTGTCCCTAAATTTGGTCCGAACCTAACAATAATAAAATGGTCGCTAGTCGGAGTCAAACAACTTACCACTCAACCATCAATTACTTTATTAAGTTAAAAGAAAATTATATATTTATCCCCACTCGTCCTTAGTTTTTCTCTTTCTTTTCTTCTCCCAATTACCAACTTTTCCTCACATACCATCATTAGGGGTGTATAATATTTTCGCCTTTCGCCCAAAAAAGCGAAAGACGAAAGGCGAAAGTCATTTTAAAAAGCGAAAGACGAAAGGCGAAAGACGAAACACCAAAAAAGACGAAAATAAGGCGAAAGACGAAAGGCGAAAGACGAAACGGCACACCCCTGGTATAGTATACCGGTGGAAATGTTTCGACACAAAACCAATACCTTTCGATTCGTCTTGGCGAGTTGAGTCGAACCGTACTACTCTTTTTTTCCGGAGATGCCTGTGGATCGAGATATAGGTCCCCGAAAATCGAAAATCCATATGGGGGAGTAGGTTTGTGTGCTTCTTGCGTTTTACGTGTTTCACAATGCCTCCTGCGCTCACCCCTGCTCAGAAATGACGGAAAATGGAATAAATTGAAAGAAAATCAGAACAAAAAAATCAGAACAGAAAAATCAGAAGAAAAAAATCAGAAGAAAAATCAGAAGAAAAAATCAGAACAGAAAAATCAGAGGAAAAAATCAGAACAGAAAAATCAGAAGAAAAATCAGAACAAAAAAATCAGAAAAAAAAATCAGAACAAAAAAATCAGAAGAAAAAATCAGAAAAAAATTTCTAGGAAAAAATAATTTCGGGCGCCCAAACGTCCCGCGCCCATTCGTCTCGCGCCCATTCGTCTCGGCGCCCATTCGGCCGCGCCCATTCGTCCGCGCCCATTCGGCCGCGCCCATTCGTCCTGCTCCGATTTCAGTATCAAGCTGTTTGTATAAAAGCTTTTTTAAACGGATGTTCCTCTCGTTTACTTTTTTGTATTTAAGTTACCATAGTAACAAAGATAACTATTTGGCAGAAGACACCCAGAAAAGTATTCCTGGATATTATGATGCGTAAGAACGCTCATTTTTCCTGATTTCTTTTTATCACTTTTTTAAAACTTTTTTATTTTCTAGATTATAAATAAATATGTCTCAGTTTATCAAAAAGAATAAAGGCCCTCTTATAGTCTGTGGAATTGTTGGTGGTGGTATTGGTTTATGGGTGTGGAAGACTGTATATCCATCAGTTAGTTTTCTTTTATTTTTAAATTTTATTAATTTCCAAATTAGATGCGTGAATGTGTGTATTCAACTTTCGGCGTCAATGAGGCGGATGGATACACTGTGAAGCGAATTGAAGAGGCCTATCGTAAGCTTCAAGAAAGTGAAGAATGCCATTCGCTTTTGAAGAAGCATTTTACTGAAAGTGTGAAGGATAAGCTGAAGTATAAGAAGACCAAGTTGGGAGGGACTTTGTATGATATCATCCGCTCTGGTTAGTTTTTTAAAAAAATTTTTCTCATAAGTGAGAGCAAAGTCTCTATACAGAAAATTCATTTTGGTAATTTAGGTGTTGCCAATCTTGACTCAGGTGTTGGTGTTTATGCACCCGATGCTGAGTCCTATACAAAATTTGCTGCTCTGTTCGATCCAATTATTGATGAGTATCATGGTGGTTTTGGTCCAAATGCGAAGCATCCCGCGACATATTTTGGCGAAGACAAAATTTCGGAATTGAAAGATTTGGATCCAGAAGGGAAATATATTCTTTCTACGAGGTAATTTTTGTCAATTTTATAAAATTATTTTTCAATTTTAGAATTCGTTGTGGACGCTCTTTCAAAGGGTTAGAATTTATTATCCAATCAAGAAGTTTTAATTAAATTAATTTTTAGGTATCCATTCAATCCTCTTTTGTCTCGTGATGATTATATTACGATGGAGGCAAAAGTCAAAAATGTTTTTGATGGATTAAAGGGGGATTCGGAACTTGGTGGAACTTACTATCCGCTTGATGGTTAATTTTTATAATTATTGCCCCTTTATCCTTGAAAATTAAATTTATTTTAAGGCATGTCAAAGGATACCCAAAAGCAATTAATTGCAGATCACTTTTTGTTTAAGGAAGGTGATCGTTTCCTGAAAGAAGCTAATGCAAGTATGAAAAAGTTTAAATTAATTTATATCTGATTTTATTTTCTAGATCATTTTTGGCCTGCAGGACGAGGAATTTTCCACAACGCCAAAAAGGCAACGTTTTATACGTATCTTTTATTAAAAATTTTTTTTTAGACTTTCCTTGTTTGGGTTAACGAAGAAGACCATCTTCGCATAATTTCGATGCAAAATGGTGGAAATGTTGGTCAGGTGCTTGAGAGATTGATTAAGGGAGTTAAGGCAATCGAGGCCAAGGTGCCTTTTTCTCGTGATGATCGTCTGGGATATTTGACTTTCTGTCCTTCCAATTTGGTATTTTTTGTTTAAAGTTTGTTTTAAAATTAATTTTATAGGGAACAACTGTGCGTGCATCTGTACACATTAAATTGCCAAAGATCAGCTCAAAGCCTGAATTCAAAAAGTTTGTTTAATTTTAGATATTGAAAAATAATCGTTTTATTTTTCAGAATTTGCGAAGATATGAAACTGCAAATTCGTGGAATTCATGGGGAGCATTCTGAAACGGAGGGTGGTGTCTATGATGTTTCGAATAAGGCACGTCTTGGACTTACAGAATATGAAGGTTAATTAAAATTATTTTAGAAAAATTTTTAAAATTTTTATTTTTTAGCTGTTAAGCAAATGTATGATGGCGTTAAGAAATTAATTGAGCTTGAAAAGGCAGCTAGTTGAATTATTCAAAATGATAATAAATAAATAAAAATTAGGTGTCATATTTTCCTATACTTTTAATAGTTAAATATATAAATGCTTATATAGGTTTAATTTTCCCTGTGCTTTTATTTGGTTAAATTTCTTTTTTTTGTTCTTGCCTATTTTTGATTAAATTGAAGTAAATCAATGTTAAATATTTTTTGACTTTTTTCTTTACCTATAAGTGGAATCTTTCTAAATTTGAATTATTAAGAGGGATGAGTCTGGAAAAAATCTGTTGATGAATTTTTAGATCCGTTTTAACTTTTGGATTTTATATTTTTGACTTTTACGAAAAAAGGGAAGGAAGGGGTTTTCGGGCTTGTATTGTTGAATTTTCTTGAATTCTTGTAGTAAAAATTTTGTTTCTACTATCAGCATTCTAATATCTTTCTATAATTTTATATACTCCATGGAATCACCAAAATTTGAATTAACAAAAATATTGGAATGGGTGCAACTAAATGATTATAAACGTATAGCCTTACAATTTCCTCAAGATTTACTTTCAATTGCACCGGAAATTCTTTTGGAATTGGAGAAATGTGCAAATGACAAACAATTTTTTATTTTGGCAGATACTTCTTACAGAAGGTTTTAAATTTTTTAAAATAATCATCCAGGGTATGTTGCGGTATGACTGAAGTTTGACAAAAATTAAATACCCACATAGAGCCTTTTATAAAACTAAAAAATTTGGAATAATCTCTTGTTGAAATACTTTTTAATTAAATTATTTTCAATTTTCAGCTGCTGTTTGGATTTGATTGCTGCTGAGCATGCAAATTGTGATTCTATTGTTCACTTCGGAGGGGCATGTATGACAGATTTAAATGGCAAAATACCTTCCCTTTATATTTTTGAAAATACAAACATCGATTTTGTCAACTTTAGAGAAAATATTTCAAAATTTATTGATACAAAGGATGAAAAGGAATTTGATCAAATACTTATTTTGTGTGATTCTGACTATTCGGATTTGGAAAGTATGGTTTTAGAGTATGTTTTTAATGTTTGTGTAGGAAGAAAGGGGAGATAGTTTCGTAATTTTTATGTCGAAATTGGGAGAGATATTTTTTTATAATTTTAGGGAAAGAATTTTCCTTTTTTAGTCTATGGATCAGGGCTGCACGCAATTGCGGATTGCGTAAATTGCGGGGGTATTTGCAATTGCGAGTTGCGTATTTTAATGATTTTCACGCAATTTTTGAAATTTTCCTCACAATAACTGAAGAAAATCTGGTTTCTTGACACCCAAATTTCACAAAATTTTCGCCTGCGGCGCTGAAAAAGGAAGAAATCTGGCTTTTTTCTTCCCAAATTCTGAAAATTTTCGCCTGCGACGATGTAAAAGCGAAGTTGAATGATATATTGGAGGATTTTTTGTTGCGGAATTTTTTTCAATTGCGCGCAGCTCTGCTATGGATATGTCGGAAATAAGTGCGGGATCTTGGGGCTTATAATCGAGAATCCTCTCTTGTTGTCCTCTTTCATAATTTTTAGAAACCAAAAAAAAACAAAATTGAATATCTAAAAACCTTTAAAAAAATTTTTTTCAGATGAGATCTATCAAAATGTAAAATCTGTGTTTTCAATGGAAAACATTCATTTATGCGGACTTTTAAAGGATTCTTCTAAACTTGAAGAAAATTGTAGAATTATTTTAAAACGTGAAATTCCTTCAAATTTTAACGAAAATAAAAATAATTTATTAATATTTTTTGGAGAAAAAGAAAGTCCACTTTTGCCGCTTTTTGTGTTAACATTAAAAGGAATAAATAAAATATTGCATTATGAACCAAAAGAAAAAAGTTTTTATTTGGAAAGGTAAAGAATTTAAATTTTTAAAAATTTTTTAAAAATTAAATTTTAGTTCAAAAACAAACAAATTATTAATGAAAAGAATGTATTTGGCTGAAAAAGTTAAAGATGCAAATACAATTGGATTAGTACTTGGTTATGTATCAATGGAATGCAGAAAAGAAGCGATTAGTAGAGTTAGAAAATTATGCAAACAAAGAGGCAAAAAACTTTATGTTTTTTATATTGGAAAGGTTTTTCTTTTTTAAATCAATTTTTTTAATTTAAATTATTTTAAAATAAATTCTTTAAATATGTGTTTAAATTAGAATAAAAATAACCCCAAAATAAACAACAATAACTTATAAGAGAATAACTTTCATTTAGTATATTCTTTTATTTGGGGATTCGATTTTTAGGCAATTTTCATTGTCTTATACACGAAAACTAAAGAATTTAAAAATATTTTCAAAAAAAAATTTAAAAATAATTTTTAGTTAAACGAAGCTAAATTAACAAATTTTGGTGCAGAAATTGATGTTTTTGTAATGCTAAGTTGCCCTTATGGAATTTTATTGGATGGAAATAAATTTTTTAAACCAATAGTAAGTTTAATGGAAGTTGAAATGTCACTTAACCAAAATACTCCTTATGAAAATATAAAATGGACAGGGGAAGCTTCAAATATTCTTGAAAGTAAAAAAAAATAAAAATTTTTTGAAAAATTTTCAAAAAATTTTTTTAAGATAAAATTCAAGCTTTTACTGAAGAAAATGATGTTGATATGAGTCTTACATCTGGCAGTGTGCGGTCCTGTGGGTGTGATTCAACTAATGGGGAAGATGAAAATATGCAAATTCTAGAATATTCTGCAGGTTAAGATTTATTTCTTTTTAATTTGGTAGGGCTACTATTTTTGAGATTTTTTTATTTGTCTCATTTATGGAGATACGTATCGGAAATTATATGTCTGTTTTTCGGACTTAAAATGAATTCTAAAAATGAAAGGAAAATTTGTGAGAAAATAAAAAGTATGGAATTTTTCAAGAACCAATTTTAAACAAAAAATTTAGAACTAAAAATTAAACATTCCATACTTGTTTATAAATTTATTTTAAAGGTGATTATTTCAAAAAGAGAACATGGAAGGGATTGGACGATAAAGAATGTTTAAAGGACGATAAAAAGAATTTTAGTGAATTAAAAGAAGGTTTTAGTGGAATTGCTTCCAAATATGAAAAGGAGATAATAAATTAATAATTTTTTATTTAATTTTTAAATATACCTAAAGCAAGATAAATATTTTTTAAATATCAGAGAACCTCAAAATAATTGTTAAAAATTTTCCAAGTTTAATTTTTAAATCTGAAAGATTCATTTAATCCAGGGCTCGCATCGACAAAATGCCACTCAAAAGTATCAAAATCTTGATTAAAAAGTACAGTGCGGTGCATATGTTTAGACTCAAGCACCTATCTTTAATTAAAATTTTAATAAAATTTTTATACTTTATATTTTTTAAAATTTTTTTTCTTTTTTATATAACATTTTTAATGTATTCTTATTAAAAAAATTCATTCTGGGAAAATAATTTAAATTTTTTTAGTTTTTTTGTCTTAAGTGAACTGAGGTCAAATTCTGCTGGTGCAAATGTTTAGACTCAGACTTATAATCGAAAATATCTCGTAGCATAATGTCCCAAAAATTCTACAAAAATTCCAGTGGACATTTCAATTGATATAGAATAGAAGGACAAAAGAACGAAGTCCGTAACTTCATTCAATATCGAGATCTCAGATCTCAAAAATCAACGGGAAATCGGGGTACAGTACTTAAAAAAATATTTTAACCCCCAAGAGCTTTTATAAAAATTTTTCTTTTGGGCTCATTCGAAAGCCCATGAAATTTGCTACAAAATAGTCCAAGTTTTTATTTTTCGAATAAAGACTCATGGAGATGAAGGTAGAGAAATTTCTTAAGTTATCATTTTTGGGGTATTTTAGGCGTTTTTTAACCATTTTTCTGTGAAAGTGAATGTATGTCGAACGACTATTTTTTGGAATAAATGAGACCCGTACTATTTTGTAGCAAATTTCATGGGCTTTCGAATGAGCCCAAAAGAAAAATTTTTATAAAAGCTCTTGGGGGTTAAAATATTTTTTTAAGTACTGTACCCCGATTTCCCGTTGATTTTTGAGATCTGAGATCTCGATATTGAATGAAGTTACGGACTTCGTTCTTTTGTCCTTCTATTCTATATCAATTGAAATGTCCACTGGAATTTTTGTAGAATTTTTGGGACATTATGCTACGAGATATTTTCGATTATAAGTCTGAGTCTAAACATTTGCACCAGCAGAATTTGACCTCAGTTCACTTAAGACAAAAAAACTAAAAAAATTTAAATTATTTTCCCAGAATGAATTTTTTTAATAAGAATACATTAAAAATGTTATATAAAAAAGAAAAAAAATTTTAAAAAATATAAAGTATAAAAATTTTATTAAAATTTTAATTAAAGATAGGTGCTTGAGTCTAAACATATGCACCGCACTGTATATAGGGAGAAAATTTGCGAAAAAAAAGTAGTCTCAAAATTAAATTAGAAAATATTTATCCGCAGGCGAAATTTTATCCGCAGGCGAAAAATTTTGAGAATTTTGGGGGTCCTTAAGCCAGATTTCTTCCATTTCTTGCGCCGCAGGCGAAAATTTTTTGAAAATTGGACTTAAATCATCTGAAAAAATATTCGAATATTGGGAATTTTGAGTTTGACATTCCCAGGATTTTTGGCTCTCCAAATCTCACTTATTGATCAATCAATTCACAAGTCGCATACAAAGGGAAAAGTATGAGCGAGAAAAGGGGGAACACCAAGTAATTTTGAGTTTGAAAGTTTGATATGTGACCTATTGATAAATCAATTCACAATTAAGGGAAAAGTATGAGCGAGAAAAGAGGGAAAACCAAGCTCAAAATTTCCGAAAATTGATTAAAATTAACGAAAATCAAATTCAATTAAACATTTAAAAACAGAGCAAAAATCCAAAGTGATGAATTTGTCAAAAGAACAAATATCGGAAAGAAAAAATGTTAAGATAAAAAATTTTTTATTTTTGAAAAAATTTTTTGAAATTTTTTTGAAAGATTCATTTAAATAAAAATGTCAAATAGACTATCTAAAAACAATCATAATACCGAAATAATTATTTATTCTTCATTTTCCGGGTCAGATGCTTCATAAAGAAAATTGAACCATTCTCCAAAAATGACGTCAGAATGCTTTTTCATCTCAAATTTGACTCCATTAAAAATTATTGCATGTTCAGGTCCTGGTTGTGTTGGAAGATAGGGAGCAAGTCCATTCCAAACACGTTTCTCGTCAATTTTCACAAAAAGCTCAACAAACTTCTCTGCGCCCTCAATATACTCATCAATATCATAATATGTCGCTTCTCCTTTGTTTTCGCGAGCCCTAAAGTTTAAAATTAATTGTTATAAAAATGATTTTATCTCTGTTATGGAATAAATTGAAAAGGATTTTTCAATTAAAAGTTATATTATAGGTTAAAATTTCGGTTAAGATATTTGGTAGGGATATATTTCGATCCCAAAAAATAATTCTATAACAGAAAAAGGAATTTAATGTTAGTAAACAAAAATTACTCTTCCATCATGGAAGTTATAGAACCAAGTATAACTGCATCTGGACCAGAACCAATAAAATCAATTGCAAATAAGCTCAATTCATGAAATGTATCATATGACTGTATATTAATTTTGAGATTTTTGTAAAGAAGCTTGACAACCATGGCGTAAGCCTTCCAGCACTTAAAAATAAAAAAAAATACAAAAAATATCAATTTAAAAATACATTCTTGGATGAACGAACATAATCCCCATCACGTTGATATTTCTCAGCCTTTTTAATAAATTGATTTGGATGACTATACACTTTCTGTAAAAAGGTTAAAAATACAAAATAAGTTGAAAAAAGGATAAACAACGGTTTAGGACAGAGATGGGCGAAAATTTTTCGTTTCATGTCTCGTAGATTTTCGGGTACTACTGAAAAGGTGGCCTCATTTTCCAAATGACCAGTAATCCTCACTATTACCAAAACATACCGAAACATTCGAAGAGCCTCTCGCAGCAACGGTCGAAACAGTCAAATCTCCACCAGTATGAACTCCACGTCCGGATACGAGCGGAAAAGATAATTGCATACCACCAAATCGAAGATGTCCAGAAAAAGTGCCTCCATGGTGGTAAACACGAGAATCCTAAATTTGTCCGTTTAAGAATATAATTTAAAAAATAAAAACCAAAACATTTGTTGGGCCTCCGCCAGAAAAGGTCGAAACATTAGAACCTCTAACACGGCCATCTACAAAAGGTGTCAACCCACGTTGTCCTAAGAACCCCCGAACACCTCCTCCTCCAGTAAGTAAAGTGTTTTTAAAAAACAAGCCTAGAGATTGCTGCATTTGAAAATATTTTTTAAAGTCAATTTCTAAATAAAAGCAGTGAAAAATTAAATTATAAACAAATAAAATTATTGAAATTGCATAAAAAATATTTAAGCAAGTCTTGACAAATTTTGACAAAAAATTTTGGGACAAGTAGGCGCGCGGCCAAATAGGCGCAAAGCCATAACTGGCTCGAGATTTTCTGAACCTTAACAATTTTAGTACCAATCTCTTTAGCTCGATGAGCGGAATCGGTTAGTACTAAATTTTGAAAGATTATGAACTCTTAAAACAAGATGATTTTGCACCTACTTGAGCGGCTAATATTCTAAGACTATGAAAAAGAAAATAGATTGGAAATCTTTATTTAATTTTTAAAAATACCTAAAGCAAAAATAAATATTTTTTAAATATCAGAAAACCTCAAAATAATATTTGTGTGGAAATCCACTCAATTTTATTTTTTTATTTAACTCATTTCCATTCAATCTCCCAATTGCTTATAAAGTATAGGAACATAGTCGTCATATTCTGCCTAAAATTAATTTGAAAATTATTTTTTAAATAACAAAATTACCTGATAAAAGTTGCCGGCAATTGGATTCTAAGACCATGTTTCTTAATGAAATCATTATTTTGAAACGCCCTCGCTTGTCACCTTTGAAAGGAAAAAATAAATAAAAAAGGTCGAAAATGCAATGATTCTATTTCGGTTTTATCACTATTCCCAATAAATTCCTTTGCCTTTACAGAAACTAAAGTCTCTGAAAACTCTGTTTAAAGACTCAAAATAATTTTAAAAAATCGTAAAATGTTTACTAAATTTTGTCCATTTTAATTCCCAATGGCTAGAAATTTCTAAATCTGTACAAATGAGCTTTGGAAAAATACGGACATGGACTTCTAGAGGACAACCCAAATTGAAAATTACAAAAAAACTGAAAAATTAAACCTCAGCTAGCATAAAGCGAACTTATGTTTATTACGCAAATCCTTAGACAGCGGTGCAGACATTATTTGACGTCGAATGTGTAGCATTAAGCTGAGGCTTACGAGACCTTCGACGAGAAGCAAATGGATTGAATTTTATTTTAAACAAATAAAAGAGCTGAAACTTAAATCATCTGAAAAAATATTAGAAAATTGGGAATTTCGAGTTTGATGTTCCCAAGATTTTTGGCTCTCCAAATCTCACTTATTGATTAATCGATTCACAACTAAAGGGAAAAGTATGAGCGAGAAAAGGTGGAACACCAAGCTAAAAATTTCAAATTTCCGAAAATTAAAATTAACGAAAATCAAATTCAATTAAAGCAAAAATCCAAAGTGATGAATTTGTCAAAAGGACAAATATCGGAAAGAAAAAATGTTAAGATAAAAAATTTTTTATTTTTGAAAAACATTTTTTGAAATTTTTTTGAAAGATTCATTTAAATAAAAATGTCAAATAGACTATCTAAAAACAATCACAATACCGAAAATATTTATTTATTCTTCATTTTCCGGGTCAGATGCTTCATAAAGAAAATTGAACCATTTTCCAAAAATGGCGTCAGAATGCTTTTTCATCTCAAATTTGACTCCATTAAAAATTATTGCATGTTCAGGTCCTGGTTGTGTTGGAAGATAGGGAGCAAGTCCATTCCAAACACGTTTCTCGTCAATTTTCCCAAAAAGCTCAACAAACTTCTCTGCGCCCTCAATATACTCATCAATATCATTATATGTCGCTTCTCCCTTGTTTTCGCGAGCCCTAAAGTTTAAAATGAATTGTTATAAAAATGATTTTATCTCTGTTATGGAATAAATTGAAAAGGATTTTTTGAATTAAGTCTGAATAAGGTAAATAAAAATTTCGGGTAGGATATTTAATAGGGATATATTTCGATCCCAAAAAATAATAGTATAACTGAAAAAAAGAATTTAGTAAACAAAAATTACTCATTCATCATTTCAGTATTATAACCAAGTAAAGCTGCGTTAGGTGAACAATCTGCAGCAAATAAACTCAGGTTATATAAAGGATCATTTGACTGTATATTAATTTTGAGATTTTTGTAAAGAAGCTTGACAACCATGGCGTAAGCCTTCCAGCACTTAAAAATAAAAGAAGTACAAAAAATATCAATTTAAAAATACATTCTTGGATGAACGAACATAATCCCCAACACGTTGATATTTCTCCGCCTTTTTAATAAATTGAATTGGATGACAATGCACTTTCTGTAAAAAGGTTAAAAATACAAAATAAGTTGAAAAAAGGGTATACAAAGGTTTAGAGTTCCACCTTTTTCCTTCCAAGTTTTCTCTTTTTTATACGTACAAACAGGTTAGACTATCTCACTTCTCAATTTCACTCAATCCCCCTATAACATATCCAATGAGACATCAAAAAAGGAGCGATTTTTTAATTTTTAAAATTTTTTATCATTTTTTAAGTTAAAATTATTTTCGAAGACCAAAAGACTCAATTGACAGACTGCGAACTTCTGGCCCGCAAAATTCGGATCCACAACTTTGAATCCTCAAAGTTCGATAGGGGAAATATAAACCACGGTTTACCCAAAAAATAAAACCTTTGGAGTTTCAGAAACAAACGTGATATTCAATTTATCACACAACACTCGGTATTGATTATCATCGCAAAAAACAGCGCAATCCTTTCCATTAATATTTAAATGTCGAAGAGGTAATGGCGAGAGAGAAGCATAGTGTTGAAATTGTGGCAAAGTTGAGGAGCTTTGCTTATAATTTTCGAAAGAAACTGCATGCTGGTAAACACGAGGATCCTAAATTTGAGCAGTTCAAAATGATAAAAATATGGTAAGAGTTAAGATTACCAGGTCCCTAAAAAATAAACAAAAAATGAACGAGAAGTTTTGAAGTTTGGCAGTAGTTAATAGTAGTGTCCTGATCCAATCCCGAGTTTTACAATGTCAAATTCTGGGGGTAAAAATGACCACTCATGTCTAATCAACTCAAATTTTAATTCCTAATTCGGACCTTCGAAGAAATAAAATTCGAAAATGTATTCGGATTCTGCGAAGCGCCAATAACCTACAAGAAATCTTGGAAACACCGAAAAGCTATTCCTTATTCTTTCCAAGGACCAGAAATCTTCATTATTACCAAAAGATACCGAAACATTCGAAGAGCCTCTACCAGCAAAAATCGAAAAAGATAAACCTCCACCACAGTAAATTCCACGTCCGGATACGAACTGAGACGATAATTGAATACCAACAAATCGAAGATGTCCAGAAGAACCACCTCCATGGTGGTAAACACGAGAATCCTAAATTTGTCCGTTTAAGAAAATAATTTAAAAAATAAAAACCAAAACATTTGTTGGGCCTCCGCCAGAAAAGGTCGAAACATTAGAACCTCTAACACGGCCATCTACAAAAGGTGTCAGCTGTCCATGTTGTCCAAAAAACCCCCGAACACCACCTCCTCCAGTAAGTAGTGTGTTTTTAAAAATCAAGCCTAAAGATTGCTGCATTTGAAATTAAATTTTTTAAAGTCAATTCCTAAATAAAAGCGGTGAAAAATTAAATTATAGCTGAACTTAAATCATCTGAAAAAATATTAGAAAATTGGGAATTTCGAGTTTGATGTTCCAATGCTTTTTGGCTCTCCAAAATTCACTTATTAATTAATCGATTGGAAATCTTGACTTATAGGGGACTTTTTTTGGCTGGGCCGATTTCGACAAATGATATGTCATTCGAAAGAGCTCGTCGAGCTGAGTCGAATGAGGGGTGAATGGTGTCGATCCGACAATCAGGGACCGAGTTACAGACCCCTGAAATTTAAAAAAGAGAAGGGGGGAGTAAGCTCATTTTGGTCAAAAAAATTCAAAAATGTAAATTATAGCTCATTTTAAAGAACTCCTCGAGCTGAGTCGAATGACACCAAAATCAGCTCGATTGAACAAGTTTGGACAAAGTTATGACACAAAAAACAAACAACGTAAACCTATGGGGCGTCGGCAAGGCGCTTGTGCAAAACTCCGCGCTTCGCGCGGAGTTTTGCGGCACGCGCCTCGCGGGGAGTCTACGGGCGCTGGGTCTGGGCTCGTAACATAAACCTATTCCTATTTCCCTTGCTTTGGACGTACCCGGGGCCTTGTAGCAGCAAAAAACGCGGAGACCATAGGTAAGGAGCTAAAAACGACACATAACTTTGTCCAAACTTGTTCAATCGAGCTGATTTTTGTGTCATTCGACTCAGTTCGAGGAGTTCTTTCGAATGAGCTATAATTTACATTTTTGAATTTTTTTACCAAAATGAGCTTACTCCCCCCTTCTCTTTTTTAAACTTCAGGGGTCTGTAACTCGGTCCCTGATTGTCGGATCGACACCATTCACCCTTCATTCGACTCAGCTCGACGAGCTCTTTCGAATGACATATCATTTATCGAAATCGGTCCAGCCAAAAAAAAGTCCCCTATAAGTCAATAGTACCAATCGATTCACAACTAAAGGGAAAAGTATAAGCGAGAAAATGTGGAACACCAAGCTAAAAATTTCAAATTTCCGAAAATTAAAATTAACGAAAATCAAATTCAATTAAACATTTAAAAACAGAACAGAAATCCGAAGTAATAAATTTGTCAAAAGGACAAATATCGGAAAGAAAAAATGTTAAGATAAAAAATTTTTTATTTTTGAAAAAATTTTTTGAAATTTTTTTGAAAGATTCATTTAAATAAAATGTCAAATAGACTATCAAAAACCAAATCACAATACCAAAATAATTATTTATTCTTCATTTTCCGGGTCAGATGCTTCATAAAGAAAATTGAACCATTTTCCAAATATGGCGTCAGAATGCTTTCTCATCTCAAATTTGACTCCATTAAAAATTATTGCATGTTCAGGTCCTGGTTGTGTTGGAAGATAGGGAGCAAGTCCATTCCAAACACGTTTCTCGTCAATTTTCACAAAAAGCTCAACAAACTTCTCTGCGCCCTCAATATACTCATCAATATCATTATATGACGCTTCTCCCTTGTTTTCGCGAGCCCTAAAGATTAAAATGAATTGTTTGTTATAAAAATGATTTTATCTCTGTTATGGAATAAATTGAAAAGGATTTTTGAGAATTAAGTCTTAATAAGGCAAATAAAAATATCGGTTAAGATATATGGTAGGGATTTATTTCGATCCCAAAAAATAATTCTATAACAGAAAAAAGAATTTAATGTTAGTAAACAAAAATTACTCTTCCATCATGGAAGTTATAGAACCAAGAATAACTGCATCTGGAACAGAACCAATAAAACCAATTGCAAATAAGCTCAATTCATGAAATGTATCATGTGACTTTATATTAATTTTGAGATTTTTGTAAAGAAGCTTGACAACCAGGGCGTAGGCCTTCCAGCACTTAAAAATAAAAGAAATACAAAAAATATCAATTTAAAAATACATTCTTGGATGAACGTACATAATCCCCAACACGTTGATATTTCTCCGCCTTTTTAATAAATTGACTTGGATGACAATGCACTTTCTGTAAAAAGGTTAAAAATACAAAATTAGTTGAAAAAAGGGTATACAAAGGTCCCCCCCCCCCCCCGAAATGGGGAAAAAGGAAAAATTTGGGGAAGGCGTTGGGCAAAAATTTGAATTTTTTGGCCTACGGCCTTCGAATTTTAAGAAATTTTCGCCTGCGGCGCTGAAAAGAAGAAAATTTATGTACAAAAAAAGTTGCGTTCTGAACGCCAAAATTTTGGCGCACGCCAAATGTTAGCCCCCCCCCCCCCCCAAAAAAAAACCGACCCCTGGATACGCCATTGCAAACTGGTTAGACTTTGAATCCTCAAAGTTCGAAAGGGGAACTCTAAACTTTGGTTTACCCAAAAATAAAACCTTTGGAGTTTCAGAAACAAGCGTGATATTCAATTTATCACACAACACTCGGTATTGATTATCATCGCAAAAAATAGTGCAATCCTTTCCATTAATATTTAAATGTCGAAGAGGTAATGGCGAGAGAGAAGCATAGTGTTGAAATTGTGGCAAAGTTGAGGAACTTTGTTTATAATTTTCGAAAGAAACTGGGCCTAAGTACACTTTACCGGGCGATTTTAGATTTTTATGATTTATATGTCAATCGAAAGAGCTCGGCGAGCTGAGTCGAATGACACCAAAATTAGCCCGCGGACTCAACTATGGACCGAGATATGGGTCCCCAAAAATCGAAAAACCATAGGGGGACCAAGCACTTTTTTGGGGGTAAAAAGTTCGAATATGCAAATAGTAACTCATTCGAAAGAGCTTCTCGAGCTGAGTCGAATGACACCAAAATCATCGTGATTTGACAAGTTTGGACACAGTTACGATAGAAAAACTAAAACCTAAACCTATGGAGCGTCGGCGAGGCGCTTGTGCAAAACCCCGCGCTTCGCGCGGGGTTTTGCGGCACGCGCCTCGCGGGGAGTCTACGGGCGCTGGGTCTGGGCTCGTAACATAAACCTATTCCTATCTTCCTTGCTCTGGACGTATTTGGGGCCTCCGTAGCAGTAAAAATCTCCACAGATGCCATAGGTAAGGAGCTAAAATAAAAGATCATAACTTTGTCAAATCAAGTCGGATTTCGTTGATTTTGGTGTCATTCGACTCAGCTCGACGAGATCTTTCGAATGAGGTATAATTTGCATATTCGAACTTTTTACCCCCAAAAAAGTGCTTGGTCCCACCTATGGTTTTCTGATTTTTGGGGACCCATATCTCGGTCCATAGTTGAGTCCGCGGGCTAATTTTGGTGTCATTCGACTCAGCTCGCCGAGCTCTTTCGATTGACATATAAATCATAAAAATCTAAAATCGCCCGGTAAAGTGTACTTTAGCCAGAAACTGCATGCTGGTAAACACGAGGATCCTAAATTTGGGCAGTTCAAAAAGATAAAAATATGGTAAGAGTTAAAATTACCAGGTCCCTAAAAAATAAACAAAAAGTGTACGAAAAGTTTTGAAGTTTGGCAGTAGTACCAGAAATCTTCACAATTACCAAAACATACCGAAACATTTGAAGAGTCTCTCCCAGCAAAGGTCGAAAAAGATAAACCTCCACCACAATAGATTCCACGTACGGATACGAACGGAGAAGATAATTGCGTACTACCAGTTCGAAGATGTCCAGAAGAACCACCCCCATGGTGGTAAACACGAGAATCCTAAATTTGAGCATTTCAGAATATAATTAAAAAATAAAAACCAAAACATTTGTTGGGCCTCCGCCAGAAAAGGTCGAAACATTAGAACCTCTAACACTTGCACATCCTCCAGTAAGTAGTGTGTTTTTAAAAATCCAGCTTCGAGATAGCTGCATTTGAAATTAATATTTTTAAAGTTAATTCCTGAATTAAAAGCGGTGAAAAGTTAAATTATAAACAGATAAAATTATTGTAATTGCATAAAAATATTTAAGCAAGTCTTGACAAATTTTGACAAAAAATTTTGGGACAAGTAGGCGCGCGGCCAAATAGGCGCAAAGCCATAACTGGCTCGAGATTTTCTGAACCTTAACAATTTTAGTACCAATCTCTTTAGCTCGATGAGAGGAATCGGTTAGTACTAAATTTTGAAAGATTATGAACTCTTAAAACAAGATGATTTTGCACCTACTTGAGCGGCTAATATTCTAAGACTATGAAAAAGAAATAATAGATTGGAAATTTTGACCCTATCTGAAAGTAAGGGCGGCATCCAATTTTTTCCATATTTCTAAACAATATTTATTTTTCTTATATTTTTCTCTCTATTTTTGATTTGTGCCGTAAGGTTATAAACGCAAAAGGATTATTTTTCCGTGTTGTCAGGGAACGATATGTGTCCGTGTGTGTGTATTTGTAACAGGGGTGTGCCTTTTCGTCTTTCGCCTTTCGTCTTTCGCCTTATTTTCGTCTTTTTTGGTGTTTCGTCTTTCGCCTTTCGTCTTTCGCTTTTTAAAATGACTTTCGCCTTTTCGCCTTTCGTCTTTCGCTTTTTTGGGCGAAAGGCGAAAATATTATACACCCCTAATGATGGTATGTGAGGAAATTATTTTAATTTTTTTCTATGAAAAAAATTATTTTTTTAATTTAAAAAGTGAATTTTCCGTGCCTTAGACACCTTAAATTTTCAAAATCTTCGCCTGCGGCGCTTAAAAAGTGCATACAGTAGTGGTATCTATTGCGGCGCAAAAAGTAAAGAAATCTTACTTAAGGACCTCCAAAATTCTCAAAATTTTCGCCTGCGGCGCTGATAAAGGGGATACTTCTCTACTTGGGTAAGCCTCAGCATTTTATTAAAAATTTTGGTTACGGATCCGGATATCGAAATTTTTGTTCGGACAACGGATTTGGATATCCTGGGATTTCCCAAAATCTTTTAACTATATTCACAATTAACGATGGTTGATTTCCAATGATAGGAAAAAATAAAAATTTAAATTTGAATTTTTCCATACACATCCTCTGATATCCTTAATCACTCTAAATCCTCTGATATCCATAATTTAGTGGTTAAGAGGGATATCGCAAGATTTGGAGAATTTGATATAAGATTTGAAAGTAGGTAATTAATCAAAGCTTTGGTTTAACCGATATCTAGAGATTTTTCCTCATTACAGTTGTTTCGCCTTTTCGCCTTTCGTCTTTCGCCTTATTTTCGTCTTTTTTGGTGTTTCGTCTTTCGTCTTTCGCCTTTCGTCTTTCGCTTTTTAAAATGACTTTCGCCTTTTCGTCTTTCGTGTTTCGCTTTTTAAATCGACTTTCGCCTTTTCGCCTTTCGTCTTTCGCTTTTTAAAATCTGTTTCGGCACACCCCTGATTTGTAAGTGTTGTCCGTGACCGATGTGTGTCCGTGTGTGTGTGACCGATGTGGACCGTTTGTGTCCGGGTTGCCGGACCTACACGGTCACGGACACACATCGGTCCCGCACAACACGGACACAAACACACACGAACACATCGGTCCCGGACAACACGGACACACACGGTCCCGGACAACACGGACACACATTGGTCCCGGACAACACGGACACACATTGGTCCCGGACAACACGGACACACATTGGTCCCGGACAACACGGACACACATTGGTCCCGGACAACACGGACACACACGGTCCCGGACAACACGGACCACGGTCCCGGACAACACGGACACACACGGTCCCGGACAACACGGACCACGGTCCCGGACAACACGGACACACACGGTCCCGGACAACACGGACCACGGTCCCGGACAACACGGACACAATAATCCTTTTGCGTTTATAACCTTACGCCACAAATCAAAATAGAGAGAAAAATATAAGAAAAATAAATATTTTTAGGAATATGGAAAAAATTGGATGCCGCCCTTACTTTCATATACTGCCGAAATTTTTATTTTATTTTTAAAAATACCTAAAGCAAAAATAAATATTTTTTAAATATCAGAAAACCTCAAAATAATATTTTTGTGGAAATCCACTCAATTTTATTTTTTTATTTAATTCATTTCCATTCAATCTCACAATTGCTTATAAAGTATAGGAACATAATCATCGTATTCTGCCTAAAAATTAATTTGAAAATTATTTTTTTAATAACAAAATTACCTGATAAAAGTTGCCGGCAATTATTTTCCAAGACCATGTTTCTTAGTGAAATCATTAATTTTGAAACATCCTCGATTGTCACCTTTGAAAGGAAAAAATAAATAAAAAAGTCCGAAAAATACAATGATTCTATTTCGGTTTTATCACTATTCCCAATAAATTCCTTTACCTTTACATAAACTAAAGTCTCTGAAACCTCTGTTTAAAGACTCAAAGTAATAAAAAAAATCGTAAAATGTTTACTAAATTTTGTCCATTTTGATTCCCAATGGTAAGAAATTTCGGTACTTGTGAGTTATCCCAAACCAGTTTTTGCGGACATATTTTGCGGACTCTTTTGTATACACAGAATGGTCAGTCTTCCTCCTTTCCTCAATTTCACGCTATTTCACTATGGCATTATTCAATGAGAGGCAATAAAGAAAGGATTATTTTTAAATATAAATGACCGATTTTTAAATCATGTTATTTTATTTCAGTCATTTAGAAATATTTTTCTAGGATTATAAGCACCAAACTCTGCATTTTGAACTAATGGTCCGTTACTTCGTGTACGTACCTTAACAGAGTCTTACCAAATTAACCAGACACGGCCCGGAACAGCTTTATATTTTTGACAAATCTAACCAAATATGGTATCAACCCAGCTCAAAATGGTCAAGGATTCCGTAAAAAAGGGGTGGGGATAAACTACTATTACCGAAAAGCTGCACTGAAAGCACAGATCGGTCCACATTTTTTTATTCCGTATTTTGGTCGTTCCATGATTTGGTAAGACTGTGATTAGTCACGGTTTTCGTGGACATATTTTGCGGACTTGGTAATAGTCTCGTTTCCCAGCCCCATTTTTTCCTCCCAATTTTCTACCCTATGTTTGTACGGAATGGTCAAATTTTCCCCTTTCTTTCATCAAATTTGCCTTTCCATATTTTGCCTAAAAACAATCAAAAAGATTAATTTGTGATATTTAAAAAAGTATTAGAGTAATGAGAAGAATCATTTTCCCAATTAATAAAAATGGAAGACTGTTGTTGTGAGACGAAAATATGAAGGAGGCAGACAACCATAAAAGAAAAATGTATGGATGATTGGGGGCGTTGAGAGAATCACCAAGCTTTTTGATTGTTTTTAGGCAAAATATGGAAAGGCAAATTTGATGAAAGAAAGGGGAAAATTTGACCATTCCGTACAAACATAGGGTAGAAAATTGGGAGGAAAAAATGGGGCTGGGAAACGAGACTATTACCGCGGACTTTTTTGTATACACAGAATGGTCAGTCTTCCTCTTTCCTTAATTTCGCTATATTTTACTACGGCATCATTCAATGAGAGGCAAACATGACCTCTCATTGAATAATGCCATAGTGAAATAGCGTGAAATTGAGGAAAGGAGGAAGACTGACCACTCCGTGTATACAAAAAGTCCGCAAAATATGTCCGCAAAAACTGGTTTGGGATAACTCACAAGTACCGAAATTTCTAAATCTGTACAAAGGAGCTTTGGAAAAGTACAGACATGGACTTCTAAAGGGCATCCCAAATTGAAAATTACAAAAAAAACTTTGAAAAATTAAACCTCCGCTAGCGTAAAGCAAACTTATGTTTATTACGCAAATCCTTAGACAGCGGTGCAGACATTATTTGACGTCGAATGTGTAGCATTAAGCTGAGGCTTACGAGACCTTCGACGAGAAGCAAATGGATTGAATTTTATTTTAAACAAATAAAAGAGCTGAAACTTAAATCATCTGAAAAAATATTAGAAAATTGGGAATTTCGAGTTTGATGTTCCCAAGATTTTTGGCTCTCCAAATCTCACTTATTGATTAATCAATTCACAACTAAAGGGAAAAGTATGAGCGAGAAAATTCCCATATTTCTCCGCCTTTTTAATAAATTGACTTGGATGACAATGCACTTTCTGTAAAAAGTTTATACATTACAAAATAAGTTGAAAAAGGGTAAACAAAGGTTTAGAAGGGTAAACAAAGGTTTCCCCCCAAAATGGGGAAAAAAGAAAAATTTGGGGAAGGCGTTGGGCAAAAAAGTGAATTTTTTTGGCCTACGGCCTTCGAATTTTAAAAAAATTTTCGCCTGCGGCGCTGAAAAGAAGAAAATTTATGTACAAAAAAGTTGCGTTCTGAACGCCGAAATTTTGGCGCACGCCAAATGTTAGCCCCCCCCCCCCAAAAAAAAAACCGACACCCTGGATACGCCATTGCAAACTGGTTAGACTTTGAATCCTCAAAGTTCGAAAGGGGAACTCTAAACTTTGGTTTACCCAAAAATAAAACCTTTGGAGTTTCAGAAACAAGCGTGATATTCAATTTATCACACAACAATCGGTATTGATTATCATCGCAAAAAATAGTGCAATCCTTTCCATTAATATTTAAATGTCGAAGAGGTAATGGCGAGAGAGAAGCATAGTGTTGAAATTGTGGCAAAGTTGAGGAACTTTGTTTATAATTTTCGAAAGAAACTGCATGCTGGTAAACACGAGGATCCTAAATTTGGGCAGTTCAAAAAGATAAAAATATGGTAAGAGTTAAGATTACCAGGTCCCCAAAAAATAAACAAAAAGTGTACGAAAAGTTTTGAAGTTTGGCAGTAGTACCAGAAATCTTCACAATTACCAAAACATACTGAAACATTTGAAGAGTCTCTCCCAGCAAAGGTCGAAAAAGATAAACCTCCACCACAATAGATTCCACGTACGGATACGAACGGAGAAGATAATTGCGTACTACCAGTTCGAAGATGCCCAGAAATAGCGCCTCCATGGTGGTAAACACGAGAATCCTAAATTTGAGCATTTCAGAATATAATTAAAAAATAAAAACCAAAACATTTGTTGGGCCTCCGTCAGAAAAGGTCGAAAGTTTAGAACCTCTAACACTTGCACATCCTCCAGTAAGTAGTGTGTTTTTAAAAATCCAGCTTCGAGATTGCTGCATTTGAAATTAATATTAATAAATTAATAAAATTAATAAAATCATCTTAAAACAAGATGATTTTGCACCTACTTGAGCGGCTAATATTCTAAGACTATGAAAAAGAAATAATAGATTGGAAATTTTTATTTAATTTTTAAAAATACCTAAAGCAAAAATAAATATTTTTTAAATATCAGAAAACCTCAAAATAATATTTTTGTGGAAATCCACTCAATTTTATTTTTTTATTTAACTCATTTCCATTCAATCTCCCAATTGCTTATAAAGTATAGGAACATAGTCGTCATATTCTGCCTAAAATTAATTTGAAAATTATTTTTTTAAATAAAAAATTACCTGATAAAAGTTGCCGGCAATTGGATTACCAAGACCATGTTTCTTAGCGAAATCATTAATTTTGAAACATCCTCGATTGTCACCTTTGAAAGGAAAAAATAAATAAAAAAGTTCGAAAAATACAATGATTCTATTTCGGTTTTATCACTATTCCCACTAAATTCCTTTACCTTTACAGAAACTAAAGTCTCTGAAAACTCTGTTTAAAGACTCAAAATAATTAAAAAAAATCGTAAAATGTTTACTAAATTTCGTCCAATTTAATTCCCAATGGTTAGAAATTTCTAAATCTGTACAAAGGAGCTTTGGAAAAGTACAGACATGGACTTCTCGAAGCCAACCCAAATTGAGAATTACAAAAAAACTGAAAAATTAAACCTCAGCTAGCATAAAGCGAACTTATGTTTATTACGCAAATCCTTAGACAGCGGTGCAGACATTATTTGACGTCGAATGTGTAGCATTAAGCTGAGGCTTACGAGACCTTCGACGAGAAGCAAATGGATTGAATTTTATTTTAAACAAATAAAAGAGCTGAAACTTAAATCATCTGAAAAAATATTAGAAAATTGGGAATTTCGAGTTTGATGTTCCCAAGATTTTTGGCTCTCCAAATCTCACTTATTGATTAATCAATTCACAACTAAAGGGAAAAGTATGAGCGAGAAAAGGTGGAACACCAAGCTAAAAATTTCAAATTTCCGAAAATTAAAATTAACGAAAATCAAATTCAATTAAAGCAAAAATCCTAAGTGATGAATTTGTCAAAAGAACAAATATCGGAAAGAAAAAAAATATTAAAATAAAATTTTTTATTTTTGAAAAACATTTTTTGAAATATTTTTGAAAGATTCATTTAAATAAAAATGTCAAATAGACTATCTAAAAACAATCACAATACCAAAATAATTATTTATTCTTCATTTTCCGGGTCAGATGCTTCATAAAGAAAATTGAACCATTTTCCAAAAATGGCGTCAGAATGCTTTCTCATCTCAAATTTGACTCCATTAAAAATTATTGCATGTTCAGGTCCTGGTTGTGTTGGAAGATAGGGAGCAAGTCTGTTCCAAACACGTTTCTCGTTAATTTTCCCAAAAAGCTCAGCAAACTTCTTTACACTCTTAATATAATCCTGAATATGTTTACGTGTCTTCCTTCCCTTGTACCAATTTTGATGAGAACTAAAAATAAAAATGAATTTTGAAAAGGATTTTATCTCTTGTGAAATAAACGAAAAGGATTTTCTGTAAACGTCAGAAGAAATAAGGCAATTATGCTTGTTATAGTTTGTGGACAAAAAATTGGATGACAAATTCAAAAATAATTCAATAACAGTTTAATGAAATAAAATTACCCATTCATCAGTCTAACAGTAAAACCAAGTGACTCTTTGTTTGGAACATCGTCATCAAGACCAATTGCAAATAAGGACAATTTATGTAAAGTATCATGTGACTGTATATTGATTTGGAGATTTTTATACAGACTCTTAATGGTCAAAACATAAGCCCCCCATGACTTAAAAATAAAAGAAATACATAAAATATCAATTTAAAAATACCTTCTTGGACGACTGAATGTAATCCCCAACACGTTCATACTTTTCCGCCTCTCTAATAAATTGATCTGGGTGACTATACACTTTCTAAAAAGAATAAGTTTAAAAATAAGCTAATAAAAATGGAACCATTTCTGGAATTCCCGAACCAAATGGTATACTCAATAATTCACACAACACTTGGTATTGATCATCATCGCAAGTAACAGTGCAATCCTTTCCATTAACTTCTAAATGTCGAGATGGTAATGGCACATTTGAAGAATAGTATCGAGATAATGTCCAAGTTGAGCTTCGAATGTAGTTATTGAAAGAAACTGCCTGATGGTAAACATGCGGATCCTAAATTCGAGCAATTAAAAAAATGTTAAAAATATCAAAACCGAAACATTCGAAGAGCCCCTCCCAGCAAAGGTAGGTAATTTATCAGTGTCCTGAGTCTGAAAATGTGTTCAAATTTTATTCCGGATCCAAGACCAAAATTCGAGAATGTCAAATTCTGGGGGTAAAAATTCAAAATAAAAGTTATTGTGGGTATTATGACTCATGATCAATCAACTCAAATTTTAATTTTGCCCGGGATTCGAAAAAATAAAATCTGTAAGTGTATTCTGGGCACACTTAATAACCTACATGGAAATCTTGGAAACACCGAAAAGCTATTCCTTATTCCTTCCATGGACCAGAAATCTTCACAATTACCAAAACATACCAAAACATTCGAAGAGCCTCTCCCAGCAAAGGTCGAAAAAGATAAACCTCCACCACAATAGATTCCACGTAAGGCTACAAACGAAGAAGATAATTGCATACCACCAAATCGAAGATGTCCAGAAAAAGCGCCTCCATGGTGGTAAACAAGAGAATCCTAAATTTGAGCATTTCAGAATATAATTTAAAAAAATAAAAACCAAAACATTTGTTGGGCCTCCGCCAGAAAAGGTCGAAACATTAGAACCTCTAACAAGGCCATCTACAAAAGGTGTCAGCTGCCCACGTTGTCCTAAGAATCCACGAACACCACCTCCTCCAGTAAGTAGTGTGTTTTTAAAAATCAAGCCTAGAGATTGCTGCATTTAAATTAATATTTTTTAAAGTCAATTCCTAAATAAAAGCGGTGAAAAATTAAATTATAAAAGGATGATATTCAAAAAATTTGTATGCAAGTACTTGTTCAAATTTTGTTATGTAAAATAATAAAAACGTCCAATATAGAAGTCATTTTCAAAAAGTTATTTTCAAAAAGGTTCAATTAAAAATGGTCACGAATAAAAATGGTCAGAAGAGTCCGGTTGTAGATAGTCATAGATGAGCTCAAAGATTTACCACCCTTTTCATTTGACAAATTTAGAGATTTTGTGGAGTTAATTTTAATAAAGAAGAAATTCGCGTAGTGAGAAGACGAAAGGAAAATTTATGAGAAAATGAAAAAGTATGGAATTTTTCAAGAACAAATTTTAGACCAGGGCTCCGATTCCTACTTTTTTAAAAGTATTCTACTTTTAAATCGACCTCCATACTTACGAAATTGAATTTATACTTTTTTGAAAGTATATACTTTTTTTGATTGAAAATGAAATTGGGAAAGAAATTGGTCAAAAAAGTGAATTTTTTTGGCCTACGGCCTTTGAAATTCTCAAAATTTTCGCCTGCGGCGCTGAAAAAGGAAGAAATCTAGCTTCTTGGGCTCTAAATTTCAAAAAATTTTCGCCTGCGGCGCAAAAAATAAATTTTTTGGCGCCTTTCGCCCCACAAAAGGTGCATTGAAATTGACAAAATGCTCAGTTGAAGCAAGAAATTATTAGAAAAGATTCATTTAGGAGAGAAATATACAGTCGTGGATAGATCCGGATTATCTAGATCCGGATTATCTCGGCCAATTTTCATTTTCATAAAAAATGCAGAAACATGTCAACTGAGATACGAATAGAGCTTTCGATTGGTATATAGAACGTATTTTTTGAATAAAAAATTAAAAAATAAAAAGAAATTTTAAAGCGCTTCCATACTTTTTTCCACGACTGTAAAAGATTTGAGGACGAATAAATATTTTCTAATTTAATTTTGAGCATACTTTTTATGGTAATAGTTTGGAATTCGCCCCCCCCCCTTTTTTTCCTCTTTATTTTTTCCTAGTTTTTTCTCAATTTATAGTAAATTATATATCATTCGAAAGAGCTCTTCGAGCTGAGTCGAATGACATTAAAATTAACGAAATCTGACTTAAGTGAACAAAGTTGTGACCGTATATTTTATCCACTTGCATTGACACAAAAAGTTTGCCCAAACTAGGATTTGGCTTCATAATTTCGGTAAGAATGATCAGATCTGGTCAATCACGGTATCATTCGACCAAGCTCGATGAGCGCTTTCGAAAGATGTATGATAAATTATGTATCAAACAAACAAGCTCAAAATGGTCAGGGAAATGTTGAAAAAAGGGGGCGAATTCCGAACTATTACCCTTTTTATTTGCAAATTTTCTCCCTATATACTTTTTAATCAAGATTTTGATACTTTTGAGTGGCATTTTGTCGATCGGAGCCCTGTTTTAGACTATTCGGAACTAATTATTTCAAAAAGAGAACGTGGAAGAGATTGGACGATAAAGAATGTTTAAAGGATGAAAAAAAAGAATTTTAGTGAATTAAAAGAAGGTTTTAAAGAAAGAAGGTTTTAGTGGAATTGCTTCTATTTATTTTTTTTAATAACATTATTTTTTTAATAACAAATAAATATGAAAAAGAATTAATAAATTGAAAAATTTTATTTTTAAAAATACCTAAAACAAAAATAAATATTTTTTAAATATCAGAAAACCTCAAAATAATATTTTTGTGGAAATCCACTCAATTTTATTTTTTTATTTAATTCATTTCCATTCAATCTCCCAATTGCTTATAAAGTATAGGAACATAATCATCATATTCTGCCTAAAATTAATTTGAAAATTATTTTTTTAATAACAAAATTACCTGATAAAAGTTGCCGGCAATTGGATTACCAAGACCATGTTTCTTAGCGAAATCATTAATTTTGAAACACCCTCGATTGTCACCTTTGAAAGGAAAAAGTAAATCAAAAAGGTTGAAAAATGTAATAGCTATATTCTGGTTTTATTACTATTCCCACCAATTGTCTTTACCTTTATAGAAACTAAAGTCTCTGAAACCAATGTTTTGAGGATCAAAATTAAAGATAAAAAATCGAAAAATATTCACTAAATTGGAAAATTTTTAAGATTAAACCATTAGCTAACTTGGAGCGGAGTTCACCAAATCAAAGAAAAATTTTTTTTGATTTTACCTGAACGATTAGTCAAATGCCCATGTTCTGGGTCATGTATTTTCCCATTTTGTTTATAAACCAAAAATACATATCGGTGAAGTCCAGTATCTTTTGGAGGTCCAGAACCAACTAATAAATTAATAATTTAGTTTATTTTTTCGATTAACCATATTCGCTAAGAACTTCTCCTTTTGAGACATCATTACCAGGAATATTAACAACAAGCCTTTAAATATAAGAAAAAATTTTTAAAATTTTCTTAAATGTACCAATGATGCCATTCACGAAATTTCGGATCAGCTCTGCTAGGAGCATCAGGATCTAAAAAATTACGAAATCTGATAGAAAATCAATTAAATAAAAATTAACCAGTCATTGCAAGAGTATAAAGAACACCATCCTCCGCTTCCCAAGTTATAGTCGGAGGATTTTTAACTTGGGTTGGTGTAAGAACATTACCAAGATTTGCCTGCAAAATTTAGTATATAATCTGCATTTTTTAAAAGTATTGGGAACGATGGAGCCAAAATACATGTGAATTGATGGCTATCCCCCTCCGTCTTAGAATTCTCGACCCCCCACCCCACAAAGACACCGATTTTCTGAGGAAAAGCAAACAAATATGAAATCTCCACTGACTAACCTCAACGCCACTATCGTAAGTCACACGAATTCTTTTCTCAGGTGCTGTTGGAACAACATCAGAAACAATTGAATTTTTCTTGAATTCTTCAATTGTAGACATTATTGTAGCGGTTCTAAAATTTGTTTATTAGAAAATTTTTATGAAAAATAAGAATAAGCAAAGTTTTATAAACAAAGTTTTCTAACCAAATATTTTGACTATTAAATAAAAAAAACTGACCTTGTATGCAGTAAAATTCCACTATTATTGATTAAAGGAGCAAATACTTTAAAGTAACGAAACGACCTAATAGGTGTAATAAACATTAAAAGTGGTATAGAAAATTTCTATAATTTTTGTAATATTCGGATTTCAAACGACAAAAGGATGTCGGAAGCAGCAGGAAGAAAAAAAATTATTTAAAAAAATTAAGGGTTAAGCATAATTGCTTCCCGTTAACAAATAAATTTTTGTACAAAAAACTTAATCAAATAAGTATATTTACACATTTAAATAAAATTAAATTTAAATAAAAATATGCAAAAAAATCCTTCTTCACCGAATTAAAATGGAAAAGCCCAATCATATTCCACCTAAAATCATAAAGAAAATTATTTCTGAAATCTAAATATTACAAATTCATTTTGTTGAGAGTGTATTTGTTCATTTATCTGTCCAGAAATAAAATGTAAAGAATTATTTTGTAATATAAGATCATAGACGGCACCACCCAATAACTGGCATTTTTTTGGATCGAGAAATATAATATTTTGATTAATCCGCGTCCCACGAAAAAGTAAAATCTTTAAAAACATTTTTAAAATAAAATGAAATTAAAATCAACCTTGCTTCCAGGAGGTGTAGATAACAATAGGTTTGGAATACGTTTTTGTTCAAAAGCCTTGAAAATCCTTTCACCATCGGTTAGTTGAAGAGAAAAACATTTAAACTTTTTCTAAAATGATAATTAAAAATTTGACTAAAAAATAAAAATTACATCAATTTTGTAGTCGTCTGATTCAATAACACCTATTTCAGCGGCGGTTTCATCGTAGTCTTTTTGTACAAGTGTTTGGTATTGTTTAAGAAAAGAAGTGCCTATATCGGTAACAGATTCAATCTATAAACAATTTTTTTAAAAGGTTAATTTTTTTAGTAAACCTGTAAAAGTAGGGGTCGTGGCAAATCAAAAATATCATTAGAATTTTCAAATTCTTTGATAGGTTCAGTACTTTGTTGAATATTTGAGTAAATCCATTGTTGATAAACTAAACCTATTAATTTGTCTGTACTGCTCTTAAAAAAAAAGATTGTAAAAAAAGATTTAACAGCAAAACAACCTTAATGTTTGAGAGAAAATTAACAACTTCCCGGAGCCATTCCATTTTTAACTTTATATGATTGCTTGCAAAATGTAAGTTGATTTCTTCTAATTGAGTCATTTGCGCTGATCTATAAAATGATTGATTTTATGAGAAAAAATAAAATAATGTAAACCCTAAAATTTTTTGCCCTGCCGGCAGTGCCGGTATCATATTTTTTCTCATTTCCTTGAAATGGTTATTTTTCCTTAATTTATTTTTCTTAATGAAAGACGGTGTCTTTCTTTTAATTTTTTCGGACGGAGTTATGTTTGGTCCGAGTTTTGGTAGGACCGGTTTGTCCAAACCGAGTTTTGGAGGACCGTGTCTACCTAAACTCGGTCCAGACATAAAACGGTCCGAAAAAATTTAAAAAATTATTGTCTTTGGTTAAGGAAAAATAAATTAGAGAAAAATAACAAACTAAAAAAATAACCATTTCAAGGAAATGAAGAAAAATATAATGCCGGCATTCCTTTCAGATAGGGCCAAATTTTTTAATAAAAATTCTATACCTCGGTCCAGAAGTTATTTGTCTATTAAGAAGCCTACAGAGAGAATGTAAAGAATTATTTTGTAATATAAGATCATAGACGGCACCACCCAATAACTGACATTTTTTTGGATCGAGAAATATAATATTTTGATTAATCCGCGTCCCACGAAAAAGTAAAATCTTTAAAAACATTTTTAAAATAAAATTAAATTAAAATCAACCTTGCTTCCAGGAGGTGTAGATAACAATAGGTTTGGAATACGTTTTTGTTCAAAAGCCTTAAAAATCCTTTCACCATCGGTTAGTTGAAGAGAAAAACATTTAAACTTTTTCTAAAATGATAATTAAAAATTTGACTAAAAGATAAAAATTACATCAATTTTGTAGTCGTCTGATTCAATAACACCTATTTCAGCGGCGGTTTCATCGTAGTCTTTTTGTACAAGTGTTTGGTATTGTTTAAGAAAAGAAGTGCCTATATCGGTAACAGATTCAATCTATAAACAATTTTTTTAAAAGGTTAATTTTTTTAGTAAACCTGTAAAAGTAGGGGTTGTGGCAAATCAAAAATATCATTAGAATTCTCAAATTCTTTAATAGGTTCAGTACTTTGTTGAATATTTGAGTAAATCCATTGTTGATAAACTAAACCTATTAATTTGTCTGTACTGATCTTAAAAGAAAGATTGTAAAAAAAGATTTAACAGCAAAACTACCTTAATGTTTGAGAGAAAATTAACAACTTCCCGGAGCCATTCCATTTTTAACTTTATATGATTGCTTGCAAAATGTAAGTTGATTTCTTCTAATTGAGTCATTTGTGTTGCTACATTTTAAAATTAAAGGGAATTTAATTTTAGGACAACGAAAACAAAAAGATATGTTATAGCATTTCAAAGAAAAAATGACAAGAATTTTCGAAATTTACATATTTTTATGAGTTTGGAAATTAGCATTCTATATGCATTATCAAAAGAGAATTTCCCTTTCACGTGATTAACGAAAACTTCATTGACTCAAAGTCTATTGACGAAAAGTTTTTTGACCAAAGTTAATTTAACCGTTTGAATTAACTACAGTAAATTTTTACTATTTAAGCGTAATTTTGCTTGGTCTTACTAATTCAAATTACCACAGCAAAGTAGCGATGACGTTATTTGGTGCAACAGAAGCGCGTTCGAGTTCGTCACAGAGTTTTACTTTAACGAATTCGACTAATTCGGTCCAGTCTAGTCAGCAATCGAGTGGCCGTCCACCTGTAGGTGGAATTCCCGCGCAGATACATGTAACTCTTTTTATTTTTCATTAATTAGTTTTACTTTTAGCCAATGGCAATGCCAGGAATATTCGACATCGAGAAACGCAGAGCAAAGACGAACAACATGTCTCGTCAGTTTTAATCGGGAATTTCATATCTGACTTTTTTTTCTTTCAGACAGTACCGACCTCGATGTGCTCGAATTCATTCGACGCCATTTGCTTCGTGGTAAAAAGGAGTACCACTACTCGGCTGATCAGATCGAGCAAATAGCGCACTTGGCGATGGAGTCATTTGAAGATCAACAAACACTCCTAGAGTTGAACGGGCCAATATTTGTGTGTGGAGATATTCATGGGCAATATGCTGACTTGCTGCGTATTTTTCATGCTTGTGGACCACCGCATAAAAAACGCTATCTTTTTCTCGGAGATTATGTTGATCGTGGAAGAAATTCTCTTGAGGTTTCGTTTTTTTGAAAAAAAATATTGTTCTCTTAAGGTCATTTGTTTGCTCTTTGCCTGTAAGGTACAATATCCCGAACATATTTTTATGCTTCGTGGCAATCATGAAATCACTCACATAAATCGGCGAGTGCCTTTTTGGATAAACAAATAACGATAATTTTTCAGGGCTTACGGTTTCTTTGACGAGCTGAGTCGTCGCTTTGGGAACGACCGTGCTGAAGAACTTTGGCTGAAATTCAATGATGCGTTCGCCTTCATGCCTCTAGCTGCTACCATTGGAGGAAAAATTCTTTGCATGCATGGTCAGTTAAACCATTATTGAATAATTTTTGGCACTTTTTTCAGGTGGCATTTCGCCCCATTTGCAGTCGTTGAATGACATTCGAGATCTGAAACGTCCGATTCCTATTATAATTGAACCTGGACTTATACAGGACTTATTGTGGGCTGATCCAAATTTGTTGCCAAGTAACGAAGGATTCGTACACAATTACTTTCGGAATTGTTCAGTCCTCTTTAGTGAAGAGGCGTTAAAGAAGACGATGTCTTCTCTAAAAATTAGTCTGATAATACGTGCTCACCAGGTGTTATAAATTATCTAAAAGATAAAAATTAAGTTTAATTTTAAGGTTGCTCAGTATGGCTATGATATGTTCTGTGGCCAAAAGATGGTTACTATATTCTCTGCTGCTCGGTATCATCCAGAGTTGAATAATTGGAGTGCTGTGGCAAGTATTAGTGCCGATTTGGAGGTGAATATGAATAATTTTTTTGTTTAATCCTACATATTTTAGATTTTCTTCGTACTAACTCGTCCAGATGAAGTAAAAAATGAGCAATTCTAAATGTTAAAGAAAGGTTGGCTGAGAAAGAGGGGAATGAATAACTAGTCAAAAAATATATATAATTTTGTTTTGTTATTGATATATTGTATATTTTGGTTAATGTCACTTTCTGTTTTTGTGTTTTTGCCGTTGTTTTTTGAAAGTAGATAAATTGGAAATAAATTGTTTTTGAATTTAATTTAAAACTGTTCTTTTATAGCTTAATCTCTATATAATTTTGACTTTCAATTTATATTTTAAAGTAGAATTAAAATGTCTCCACCCTTTAATGAATTGGCTCGTGTACAGGAATTCATTAGTTTTGCTCATAAACTTGGGGTTGGTTTTGAAGCTGCTTTCATTATTTCTTTGAATGTTAGAGGTTCAGAGTTGTTCAAATATGCAAGAGATAATTTGGTTCGTTTAAAAATTATTCAAAAATTAAGGTTAAAAATTAATGATTTTTTGTTAAAAGAAATTCCCTGATGTAGTTCTAAAATTGTATTTAACTGAGGGAAAAGGGAACATTAAAAGGGAAAGGGACAACATCCGTATTTTTTAAGCTAGTTTTGTGTTTTTCCAGTTCATTGATCTTGAAGATGACTTGTCTGTTGCTTGTAGATTATGTGACTTTTATCAAACTGGAGAGGTATTTGACGAAAATATGCCTGAAATGGAACAATTTTTCGATGATGTTTTTGTTTGTGCACGTTCATTAATGGAGTCAACAAAGCTTCCATATCACAATCTTTACAATTTAGGGAGTAATTATCCCTCTGTGGATAATTTTAACGTTCATCATTTTATTTATCATGTTCAAATTGATTTAAAATGGATACAACCGGTGAATTTTTAATTATTTAGGAAATACTTTAGTCGAAATGTTTTTAGAAAGTATAGGCATTACTAAAAGTAATAGATTCAAATTTTTCCTAAACTCAGGCAAAATCTTCAAAATTTGTTCGTTCTGCATTAGCACATTCACTGTGTTCAATTTATGGGAAAGATAAAGCATTGACCTTTTTTCGTGATGAAATTTTTTCAACTTTAAATTTTTACAACAGATATTACAAATGTGTGGTAATGGTGAATTTTAATTTAAAAATATTCAAAAAATTCTTTTAGATTGACCAGGAAAGTGTAATTCACGTGAGCGAATATTTTAAAACTCAAAATTTCGGCAGAGCCATTGCTTTTGAACTTTTACCGGATAAAAAAGTTGCTTCATTTATCTGTGACATTCCATACACACACAGAAGTTCAGTTCCATTTTATAAGGTTTTTTTAAGTTTTAAAATTTTTTAAAGTTTTCTTTTAAGATTTCCATTTTCCAACTTGATTTGGGCTCGGCTGTTGTTTCGGATTTAATTAAAAGTGGTGGAAAAGATGAAGTATCCTTTAATAGGATTACAAAAGAAATGTTATTTGTCAATAATTTTCAAAGTTATCGTCCTGGTGATTCTTATTTGTCTTTAATTGGTACACACGTAGGAAAAAATGAGTTATTAGAATGGGCCAAAAATCGTGTGAAAAGTATTGCTGATACTGAAATTAATTGGAATGTTTTTCGCTGTTTGTTCGAGGAAACTTGTGCATTGGTGAGTTTATTCGTAAATCAATTTTAAATTATTTGTTTAATTTATCAAAATTTAAAAAAGTAGCTTTATTATTCAAGAGAATTAATATAATTATTTGGATTTTTCCTGATGATTCTAAATATTTTATTTTTAGGTTTATTTCGGTCCAGGATTTAAAATTCGCTCAATTGAAAGGGATGATTCTTCAGGCAATTTCACATTATGTGTTTACTGTGACAAAAACAAAAATGATTCTTCATTTTTATCTAATATTGAAAATTTTCTAAATGATTACTGTTTAACAATTGTAAATTTTTTTGAAGTTTTTAAAAGAAATTTTATATTCCAGTTCGAGTATGAACCACTCATATTTATTTTTGATGATAATCTTTATATTGTATTGAATTCTCAAAAAGATTTTGAAAATATTCTTGTTCAGCTTACAAGGAGTATTTTGAAGGGGGAAGGATTTAAGGTATTATTTAAATTGTTAAAATGTTTATGACTCAGAAATTTGATGAGCATTGTTACAGTGTTACATAGTCCTTTTCAAAGGAAGCTAGGTAATGGAAAGTGGCGTTTTTCGTTAGATTGTGAAATATAAATTGGCTAATTTTATTTAAAAAAATTTCTCATTCTAAAGGTAATAAAAAATGGATTATTTGAATATTTGTTGTCAAAATCCTTGCATGAATCAAACAAAAATAATATATATCCTGGAACATGCACAATTTGCTTAAATTATTACGAAGGAAATAATTGTATTAAATTATCGCTTTGCGGGCATTTTTACTGTGATACATGTCTTCTTCAATTGGTAAATTAAATTTTAAAAACGTAAAATAGACATATTTATTTAATCATTTTTAATTTATTAAAATTAATAAAACTTTCTAAATTTCTATTGGTTACTGAAACCTTAAAGGTCCAATTTTTTCCATTTTTCAGATCGAAAGTTCTACAACTTTTCCACTTCGATGCGCTCATCAACATTGCCAATTTTTAGCAATTAATGATATTCGAGTAAATTAACATTTTATTTTAATCATTTTTAAATTAATTTTTAGAAAGTATTCGGAAGAAGATTTACAAAAATACAGGATTTGAAAACTTTTATTTTACCACTTCTTCAACGATCTCTCTATTCTTTTGTTAATAATAATGATGAATTTGTTTGGTGCAAAACTACAGGATGTCATTATTTAATAAAAGTTAATATAACTTGCCAAACAATTACTTGCCCAAAATGTGGGTGGTTACGCTGTGGTGGTTGCGGAGAAGATGTCCATGAGGGAAAGAATTGTGAAGAGGTAAAATTTTGAAAATATTTTTAGTTTTGAGGTAAAGAATCTATTACCAAATTGTTACTGAATATTTAAATTTTGGTCACTATGGGTGAATTTGTTTGGTGCTTTCTAAAAATTAATTTAAAAATAATTTAAATAAGTCTTACTTCATCCCTATGAATGATTCTAACAAGAGAACATTATATCTAGTCAAAAATTTTGTAATTATTTTTATACCAGCGTGTAGAGCAGGGTCGATAACCTATTGTCAGTTTTCGGCTTTTTTGGCCCTTACCCCCATTTTGAAAATACTTGTATTTCTTATTAAAAAGAAATATGAGACTTCAGGAAAACTAATTTTAGAATACTGAACGTTTATTTCAAAAAAATTTTATGGAATATATTTTCAAATTGAGCTTTTCTAGATAATATTAACAAAAAAATATTTTTTCTATAATTAAAAACTACTTTTTAGGCTCGACATGCGTTACTGCTTAAAGATGATCATTTGCTGTTAAAATGGAAAGAGTATTAATTTTTCTAATTTTTTTTTAAATTTGAAAATAATTTAAGAGAAATATCAGAAATGTGTCGTTTTTGTCCAAATAAAAATTGTAATATGCTTATTGAAAGAACTATTGAGGGTTGTAATCACATGGAGTGTACAAATTGTAAAACTCATTTTTGTTGGATTTGTGAAAGTTTTAAGGTTTTTTTTTAAATTTTGAGAAAAAAGCTTTTAATTTATTTCAGTCAGATAATTCTCGCGACATTTATCGACATATGTTGGAAATTCATGGAAGTTATGGAGTAGATTATGCAAATTTTAATATGGGTGAGTTGGAGTGGGAGAGGATTATTTAAACAAACCAATGATGTATTTGTGTCTTTACAGTGTAAAAAAGTTGAACAAAACAAAGAATTCTAATTGTTTGAAACTAAAAAATTAAAATCTTAAAATTTTTCTAATTTTAAAATTGAAATTTTAAGGAAATTATTGGGAACCTTTTGATTACTATGAGGATGTTGAACATCCATTACCAATTATGACTCAGTGGATGCGCAGAGAAGCAATATTTAGACAAGTAGGAACGGTAAAAATTTTAATTAAATTTTCTTTAAAAAGAACAAAATTTTCAGGATTATATAGGAATGGAATTGGTTTAAATTAACGAGAAGTTTATCTGGTTTAATAAAAATTCTTTTAGAAAATTTTAAATTTATTTTTAAATTTATTTTTATCTGATTCTCATTTATATTGTTTTTTTTGGAAATTTACTATATTCAATAAAATTTTTTATTTTTTGAATCGATTTACTAGAAGTGTTTTATTCCACAAATATTTATTTATCATTTAACGTTATTTGTGGATTTATGGGTTGTGGGACTCTTTAATTTTTCTCCAAATTAGAGTCTCGAAAAATATTTGTTGTATTCATCATTTTATTTTTTCAATACAGATCAATTTTCAATAGACTAATTTAATGCCACCTTCAAAAGAAAATCAAAATAAAAAATCAAAAGATGAAGAAAAACAACAAAATCTGAAAAATGTTAAACAAAAAGAAGTAATTAATAAAAAGAAAAATTCTGACAAAACTTCAACTTCAGCAGCGATAAATTTTGACAATTTTGAACGTGGAAAGGTTTTATTTGAATAAATTTAATTTTTTAAAACAAACTTTTAGCGTCGAAACTCTCTTACTGATTCACCATTGACTGGATTAAGTCCATCATCTGGAGCAAGTAATGGAGATTCGGCTGATGATATTGGAGGTTGGGAATTGAATTTAAATTTTTTTAACTTTTTTAGGAAGTACTGGAATTTCTTCTAGCCTTTCTGAAAGTTTTTCTGACAATCAGACAGAAGATAAGAAGACATTACATACTTTCTCAACAAATTTTGGTCTTTTTGAGGGCGAGAATATTGACAATATTGAATTGGAATATGTTCATGATGTTCTTGTTGGGATTAAGAAGGTATAAGCTAAATAGATTCAACTTCTTTTAAATTTGTTCTATGGGAACATTGAATATTATTTTTACATTTTTTAAATAGATCTAATGAAAAACAAGGGAATATAGGGGAATACCGACGTAACTTTTAACAGAGTTTGCATATTTTATAAGTTTTAATAAACCCAGTTAATTGGTGATTTTTAAAAATAATTATAGGTTCCCTTTAGATTTGTTAATTTATGTTTTTAAGAATCCTTTCAGGAATTTTAGGACCTTTCCTTTTGGGAAGATAGTATTAATTTTTTTATATTTTTTTCATAATATATTTGGTTAATTACATTTAGCAGTTGATAAAACAACTTAAATATAATAAATGGACTGAAGCTTTGGCTCAAGCAATAATTACTGGGGATTTTGATTGTTTTCTTCGACGTTTTAAAATGATTATGCTTTGTTTGAGAAAAAGAAGAGATGCAAAATATAAATCTTTGACAAATCAACAATTGTCGGCTTTTGTTGCTAATGTAATTATTTTTTTAAATTTTCTGACAGTTTTCGTGATAGGACAGTGGTTTTGTAATTAACTTATTTACAAAAGAGTGGCCTTCGGCGGCAAAAAATCGGAACAGAAAAATTTTCCCCCTTGGCCACCCCTCCCCGGAAAAAAATCCTGGACGTGGGCCTGAAAAAATTTGAATAACTTGAAGCTTCTTTTTCCACTCATTATTACCAAAATTTTAATCTCTTCTTAAGAATATTGTTGAACGCTTTTGTGACCAAAATGAAGAAACTACAATTTTAATGATATTACTTGCCAACCATGATAAAAAATTTAATTGCTCCGTTAGAAATCATGGTTATTGTAGAATTGCTCATTTACTTTTGAAATTACTTGGAGATGAAGATCGTGTAAACTTAATTGAAGTTATTGCTAAAACAAGTGGAAAAACTGCTTTGCATTTGGCCGTGGCAACTGGACATCCTTGCCAATTACGTGTTTTATTGGCTTTGACAGGTTTTTTTAATATTTTAATTTTTTCTCTTCACTTGTTGGTTATATATTTTATTTCTCTTCATAAATTTAAGATATCGATCCAAATATACTTGATGAATCGGGAAGGGCAGCAATTCATTATGCAGTTGAACGAAATAATTTAGACATGGTAACAATAATTTTTGAAAAAAATTTTTGACGAAAAAAGCAATTTTTAGGTAAAAATGCTAATGTGGTATGGCGCAGATATTTCTATTGCTCAATCGAGAAATTCAAAATATAATCCTTCATATATTTCTATTCATGCAAATCCTGGGGCAACTGTGAGAACATTTAAAAAAAATTTAAATTAAAAAATCTTTTTGAAGGTTGACTATTGGCTTCGTGAACGTGTCAAAGCAATTTCTCAAAAAATGTTGATTTTTGCTAGATCTCTATGTGCTAGAACATTTTCTATTGAAAAATCTATTTCAACTCCACACTTTCTTCGATTGAATAAAATCTCTAAATCTGAAGTAATTTTTTTATTAAAAATTTTTTTTAATATTTTTTTTAATTTCTAGATTGAATGCCAATTAAATTTGCACACAAAAATAAATAATTTTGCTTCACAGAATCGGCCGAGACCTAAATCAGTTTTTGAATTTTTTAAAATTATTTTTAAAAATTATTTTTTAGTTTCTTTTTATGATTCCAATAGCTTTTCGAACAACTGACGAACGTTCTGCTGCTTCAGACCCAAAAATTGTTAGAGTGGCTTTTCCTAGAGATTTTTATGTTGCTGGTCATCCTATGTTTGTTTTTATTTAATTTTAATCGAGGATGTTTCTCTATTTGTTGTGTGCCTCTTTTTCATTTTAGACATTGAAATATCTTTACAAAACTCTTGGCCAGATCAAAAAACGGGCAAACGGATCAAAATCCTTGCTAGAAAGGGCACATTCTCTATCGAATGAGCCTGGTCTCGACCGTTTTTAGGTCGGACACCTCGCAACCTCTCCTTGTTAATTTTAAAAATAATTTTTTTTTTAAATTTCAGTTTGGACAGTTGGGACGTTAATTGTACTGCAACAAAGCTTTTACCTGTTTTTGCTAATAATGGTTATACAACTCGACAAAATAATTCATTTTTTGCTTACGAATTACCATCATCTATTGAAGGTATTTTTTAAAAATAATTTTTAAATTGAGAAAAAAATTATTTCTTTATAAAGGACTCCACAGACTTACTTGCCGTTTAGGGAGTGGATTAAATCGAGAAAATTTATTGATAGCTGTTCAGGCATTTAGTTGCACTGAATTAAGAAGGAATAAATCTAAAGCTGATTAAAAAATCTTTTTTTTTTTGCATAATTGGCAGTTAAAATAATTTTTTGACAAATATTGCCAAAATTTCTAGAAAAAATTTGGTTTATATCCAGGGATTAAGAGGAGAAATTAATATAAATATATATTCGAATTAGAGAAAATATTAGAATAAAAATGGAAGAAAAGCTTAAATAAAAAATTGATATTTTATATGAAATATCTTAAAAATCTAGGGGTTGGAAATTTTTTTTTAATTTAAATTTTATTTTGGACAGCTCTTTGTGGTAGCCTTATATTTAAAAAATTTTTTAACTAATTTTTCTTTATTTTATTTACGGGGCAAAACAATTTTTAAGCATTTTCTTTCATTTTCTTTTTATTTTATTTTAAAATTTTAGAAAACCTATCTAAGCTATAGTTTTAATTTCTTGTCTCTTATAAAATCCCTGGATATATTCTCATTAAAAATTAATAGTATTATATATTGTTTAGTGTTTTTGTTCTCTCCAAATGTGCCTTTTTTTTAATTTTCAAGTCGCGGCACAAAAAAAAAGAATATTTTTGAATTATTTTTGTAATTAATTTTCAAAAATATATTACTTCTAAATTTATATTGTATCACGACTTTAACAAAATTTTAAAGATTGTTTGTGTAATATTATGGGGGAGAAAAGAAATTATTAAAATGCCTTATATTTTTTTATTAACTGTCTGTTAAAAATAGTTAGGGTAATTTTTAATTAAAATAATAATTTAGCCCCCTACTCAATCAAAAATATTTTCTTTTTTGTTTTCAACCTCACGCAGAGACAATTAAATAAAAAAAGTTACAGCTGATAATGATGCAATATTTTATAAATATTTCCAAATTAACTTTTTGATGGTTCCGCAACTTTTGTTTTTCAAGAAACCCTTAAATTTAGATTTTAAAATTTATTTTTCCCATATTTTTTTAAATTACAAAATTCATTAAGCTACAAAATACATTATTTAAATTAAAAAGTCAATAATTAATTAAAGTGCTATTGCCCTTTTCAAAATTAAATTCCGGCTGTCTATTACAATGTGGCCTTCGATTAAAAGTCAGACTACAATTAAACGCTCCCTTCTTTCCTCTCGGAGATCGCTACCTAAAGACAATCGAATTTTTTAATTTTTTTAAAGGTTTTGGCGTCTGTCCAAGCGCGCATGCCCTCTCAATTCGCGCGGGAGATTTCAATTTTGAAAATTGATTTGCTTCAAGCATTAAGAGAAAAGAATGAAGGGGGAAGACAAAGAATAATGCATGTGAGTGATGGTCATGAGGAGGGGAGGGAGGGGGATAAGAGGGAAGGGGGGGGGGGAGGGGAGGGGGGAGACAGAAGAAATTTTCTTCAACAAAGGGGTTATAATAAATGCCTTGCCATTCTTCTTCTATTCACTCTTTAAATTTTAATTTCCTCCTTGCCTTTAAAAATTAAAAATTTAAATTCCCATACATGCCGTCAATTTTTATTAAATAATTAAAAACCACACCTCAATGTTTTAATTAAGAAGTTTTTTTAAAATTTTCTTTTCCTTATTAATTAAATTAATTTTAAATTAAAATTATATTTAAATTAATTTTTTTAAAAAGAGGGAAGGGAGAGAAGGGGGAATCTAATTTAACAAGTCTAATTTAATTTGTTTATTTTTTTAATAGGGAGGGGGGTTATAAACAAATCTGTATTACAATCTTTTTGTTTATATGTAGAAAGAATATTTCATATAAACTTTCCATTTATTAGTCTCAATTTCAACATTTTTTTACTAAAAAATTATTTTTATATAAATTCTCCTCTCTCTATTTTTTAATGTTTGATTTACTATAAAATTTTTTAAAAGATGCACTAAAAGGCTTTAAATTCCTTTTAATGGCTTGAAAGAAGAGGAAAGCAAGGGATTTCTTTTTTTGGCTTTAAGCCAAACAGGAAGAACCGTTTCCTCTCTTTCCTTTCCCTTTTCAAGTCCATATAGTAGACAGATTGAATACTACTTACTATTTAGTTTGCGCATATGTTGGGGGAATTTAAAAAAAATTTATTTTATAGTTTATTATATGCCCTCCCTTCCATTCCCCCCAACAATTCTTTTACGGCCATCGATTACCCGCAAATGGCAGCGACTTTTCTCTCTTGCATTGTTTCTAAACTTAATTTTTTTTACTTTTTTTTTCTACTTTTGTGCTTGAAAAAGTTTGTAATAAAATAAAAAAGTTTTTTCCTTTTCACGCTAATTTAATTGTTTTATAGGTAATAAACCTCTTTTAATTTTTTAGTGAAGCGTCTAAAAATTTTTTTTCAAGTTTAAAGAGCTGTTTAAAAAATTTTGTACTTTTTTTTAATTTTTCAATTGTTTCTTTCAAATTTTTTTTATTTATTGTAGTTCAGAGAAAGAAAAAAAATTTTTCATTTCTTCAAATATTTGAAGCAAGAACTGAAAAACCAACCGAAAAGTCTTCTAAATTCTCGATAACTAGGCAATGTATCCGGATTTGATTCTTGTATACTTTCAAATTTTATACGAGTTTTTCAGCCCCAACTGGGCCCGTAAAATAAGCACTCGGTCACCTGACGATGTTTACCTAACCAGCAACCGAGTTTTTATTTTACGGGCCCTGGGGGATAAGTATAACAAATAGATCTGAAATTTAGTTAAAAATCACTCCGTAATATTTTGAAAAAAATTGTTTAATGCATCCCTCCCCTCCCTCTCCAACCCTTAAAACTAATTCCTTCAATTTAAAAATTTTTTTTTCATATTGTTGATTTTTTGGGTATAAAATTTTAATTTATTAAAAGCTAAATTTAAAATAAAAAAATGACTAATAACAAAAAAAAACTTTTTTTATTTTAAAACAAAAATGGAAATATTCATTTTTGGAAATACTTACATTAAATCTCTCTCTATTTTATTAATTTATATTCTAAAAATAGTTTAAATATTAATTTTTATTTTTTATTCTCATTTTAATTTATATTTTCTTAGTATTCTTTAAAATAAATCCGCTTATATTTTTAAATAATATTTTATGATTATTTTTTGTAATTATTCTTTGTAATAATTCCTTTTTTAAATTCTTTAAATAATAAGTGTATGTGTGTGTGTTTGTATCAGGGATGTCACGGGCTGAGGAAAAATCGGTGAGGGTTTGAAAATTATTTTCCTTGGATTGGGTGTTCGTGTCGGGAAAAGTCCGGATATTTTGTTTCTGTTAACTAGGCCCGTCCCTGCTTTTCTCCCCTTTTACCCGTCCCTTAGCCTTCCCTTCCCTTTTCCCCGTCCCTAACTTTACCCGTTCTTCCCGTCCTTCCTGCCCTTCCCGTCCCTTTTCCTTCCCTTCCCCGTCCCTTTCCAAGATTTATTCAAATAATGATAAGGAAAGATAAAAAGGATTAACATCTTCTATAAAAAATACCCCCCCCCCCCCACATTCCTTTGTTGGTCTCTAAACTTTAATTTTTTTAATTTAAAATAACCGGAAACCACCAAAAAATATTTAAAAATATTTTATTAGGTCAGATTTCAAAAAAAATTTTTAAAAGAATGTACTAATCCCTCCTCTCCCATCTTTGATGTTTTATAAACAATTTGTTTCGAAATTGGTGCAAAAAAGAAAAAATTGGAGAGGTAATGGTTAGTGACAGACTTTTTTGTTGTAAACACGCGGGAAAGGGAAGGGGGAATGACGGGGTTAGTGTGTGTAGTCTAAGGCTGTCCCAGTCGCCATTCATTTACACTTTCCTCATAAAAAACTGCAAGGGGCTACCAAGTAGAGATAAAAAGGGGGTCTTTTAGGCGCGAACTTTTTTGTTAGCTGAGCACAGATTTTTGGTTTTTAATTTTTATAATTTTTTTAAAATTAATTTTTCGATTTTCTGTTCAGGTGTCAAGCAGCGAATGATTAAAAATATTTAGGTTATTCAAAATCTTGAAATAAATTTAATAATTATGATCTCTTAAAAAACCTTAAGGGATAAAAAAAGGGGGAGATTATTTTTAAGATTTTCTGTCGGCTTTTTCAGAATTTAGGGACCAACTACAATTTATCAAAAATATATTTTACAAAGTATTTTTGAAATTGGAATTATCTATAAAACATTTTTGACAGTTTTTGACATTTTTATAAGGCAGCGCCTAAACATCCCCCTTCCCCCTCTTCTCCATTAAAAGCATGTTGAATATTTTATTGTATCTCCTCTTTTTTCCTTCCACCCTCAAAAAGCTCTTTATTTTTTTCTCATTTTTTCTCGTGCCATTCCCTTAAAAAACAAATCAATGTCATCCCGTCTAGTTTTTTTTCTATGTCCATTTGTCTTTTTTTTTAAATAATGGCCGGCTTTTTTGTTATTAAAAAATTTTTTTTTTGCAATTTTACATAAAGGGGAATTATTAAATAAAGGAAAGAGAATAGAAGAAGGAGGGGAGTTTCTCAATCAGTCCCAGACAGTGCTTATTTAGGGTTGTTTTTATTAGGCGGTGGTTGTTTTTATTGAAAAAAGATGAGAAAGGAGGATTGTTTTGAGAGAACTGTTCCCTTATTTTTTTATTAAAATTAAAAAAAATTTTTTTAATTTTCTGATTTTTAATATTTTAATTAGAGACTGAACTTGAAAGGATCAATTTTTCAAGGAAACATCGAGATTATACATAAATAATGACCGGCTTTTTTTGCCATTCCTTCTTTATAGTATCCTCCTTTTATTTTTTTTCTTTCTCATTTACCTTCGAGAGAATCGTGCGAGATATTTTGAAAACTCTCAATCTCGGTTGTTGAAATGTTTGTTTGAGTTCTTCTTGTCTTAATCCTGTCTATAATTTTAATAATTTACTTTTAATTTTATTTTTTTCCTTTAAAAAAACTTTTTCAAAATTTTCTTTCAAAATCCTTAAATTGTCTGTCTACTTATTTTAAAAACTAATTAATTATACAAAGACTAATCTCATTTTTTAATCTAATTTTTATTTTAAAATATTTTTTTAATTTTATATTAAATATGTATCTTCCATTAATTAATTTTAACGTTTATTTTAAATTAAAAAAAAACTTTCTTTTTTAATTACGAAATATACCTAATTATTTAAAGTCTTTTCTTGGAGAGTAAATCCCCCCAAAAAATAGCCCTCCCCTTTTCTAAAAACCAAAACACAAAAGTCAAAAAAATATTTAGAAATATTCCTCCATTTTTCTCTCTCATTTTCAGATTTTTTTTGTTAATTTTTCTTTCAAAAATCAAAAAAAAATTTTTTTTTGTGGGAATTCCTTTCTTCTTTTTTTTGTGTTTTGTTTTTTGAAATGAATCCAAAAAATTCTTTTTTCTTTTCTAAATTAGTCTTTCCCTCAAAAAATTTTTTCAAGTTGAGAGAAGGGAAAATAAAATAAAAAAAAGAAAGGGAGGGGAGTTATCTAAAATCAAAAAAAAATTTTTTTTTGGTTTTTGTTCTTTTTAAAATCCCCCTTTCTTCTCTTTTTTCCCATTTACCCATTCTTTTCTTTCAAGAGAATTGAGGGTATTTTGGGCGCGGACATGTTTGGGCGTTTGTTTATAAAATTGCCGAGTTGAACGAAAAAAATACGTGAAATATAATATGTTTTTTTGCTAAATTATTTTATTTTAGTCAAAAATTTTCGAATTTTTCTTTTACTATTAAAAGAATGTTGGGGAAAAGAAATTAGAAATTTAAAAAATGCCTGTTTTTGTTACTTTTTCTTATTTATCTTTCAAAATATAAAACAAAAAAATTTTTTAATTTATAGAGGAGATTAATTTATTTTTTAGAAGATTTATACAAATTTTTACGGATTTAGGATCTCATCTTTGGTCATTTTCTAAATTCTGCGCCCAAACATTTCTGCGCCCAAACTTCCCCCTAATTTATTTAAAATCCCCTTTTTGCGTTTAAATTTAGTCTTTTTTAAATTTAATATGATCGTGTTTTAATCATTTAATCATTTAATATATTTTATAAACGTTTTTGTTTAACGTTCAAAGAGCAAATTAATAAAGATTTTTTTATTTCATTTTTGGAACAAAAAAATTAATTTTTTAGTTGCCAATAAAAAAGACAAGGGAACTAAAAGAATTTTTTTCAAATATAAAATAGTTAATATAGGTAATTTATCTTTTTTATACATATGTATAAAATCTGAATTTAGAATCTCTCCAAAAAATAAAAAAAATTTTTTTGATTTTTGGCTTTTTTTATTTTAAATTTTGCAGGCAAAAATATTTTTGAAAAAATTAATTTTTATGAATTAACTAAATTAAATATTTCTTTAATTTTTAATTTAGATAAAATTTATGTATATATTTAAATTGATAGAGTTACTTACAATTTTTAATTTTTTTTTGTTTGTAAAAAATAAATCTTCGAGCAATTCTATCTAAACTTAGACGGTTGGGCGTGAAATTGTTTTGGGGGCGGGGCTTTGGAAATTTAAATAAAAATAAACTTTAAATTAACTTTTCGAGCTGTTTTCTAATTAATTTTAAACTTTAAAAAGCTTTTAAAAAATTCAGATCCCTCAAATTATTGTTTCTTATGATAAGGTAGAGAAATAACGGGTTCTTTATTTTAAAAATAATTTCCAAAAAATTTCTATGATTTTTCCAAAGATAATTTTACAAAATTTTATTTATTTATTTTTGTTTATCTACTTTCCTAACCTTTTATTTTATTTTTACTTCCTTCTTTTTTCTTCCCTTTTTGTCCTTTTGTTTATTACAAAAAAATATTTTTTAATATAAACATGTTTTGACAACCAAAAAATTAAATAAAGATAAGAGTTTTTTGAAATATTTCAAGAAATTTTTTGGAAAAATTTTTTAATTTCGAATTTGGCTAAAACCCAATCCCTTCTTTAAAATTAGAAATATTGGCAAAAATTAATTAAAATAATAAATGTTAATACATGCTAGAGTATTAACACACTAGGAAAAATTGTTTAACTCTTTGAATTGCTCTAGTTCATCATTTAAATTTAATTTGTAAATGTAAAAGTTAGCTGATGGATTAGTTAGAGGCTGCAAAAAACTTTTAGCACATTTTTAATTCAATTCAATATTTTTTTTGCAAATATATATTTGTCCAACTCAATCCTGAGTTTGTTGGATAAATATTATAAGCAAAAAGCGATTTAGGAACTAATTTACTTAAATAATTAATTTGTTTTTTATTTCTTTTTAAATAAGTATATTTTTTATTTTTCATTTAAATTAAAAATTTTTTGTTAATTTTTGCCAAATTTTTTTTAAATATTTTCTAAATCGCAATTTTATTGTTTACTTGTGTTCTTATTGTCACACACTTTTTATTTTATTTTTTGTTAGTAAATTGAATTTTGTTTATATGTATGTACTTTTTAAAATAAACAATGTTTTCCTCTCCTCTCTTTCTAAAATAAACAACAAAACAATTTTCCATCTTTGAACTTTAATTTCTTAAAAATAATTATTTTTTAGTACATTTTGTTTACAAAAATTTTTTTTAAAAGCTTTGTATTTATTTTTTTCTGTTTAAAATTTTGTAAACAGAAAAATTGTTTATATAAATTGTTGGCCTTTTTTGGATTTTTTCAGATTATTTTTTTTTTGAAAATTTTTTTAAAATTAATTTTTATTTTCTTATATTTATTTATTTATTCTTTTTGGTACTTTTCTGTTATATCCTCACAAATTCTATACATGTTAGCCAATGACCGGTTCTAAAATCTTTTGATTTGTCTCGGCCATCGATGTCGAAAGGTACCTCTCTCTTTGATTGGAAATACTGACAGACGGAGATATAGTTTAGAGGTGTGTCATTTCGCCTTTCATGCCTTCCATCTTTCGCCAAAATTCGGCCTTTTTGGACTTTCGTCTTTTGCTCTTTAAAATCTGTTTGGCACATCCCTGATATAGCTCCTTAAAAATTAGCAAGCCCTATTTCCATAAATTTTTTTTATTCTTCTCTTCTACAATTTTTTTTTTTATTTTTTTTTATTTTTGCATTTTTAACAATTTTTTAACTATTTTTTCTTTTTATTTTAATTAAATAGCCATCATTAAATTACTTAGCAGCTGATATATTTTAATTTTTTTGTCACATTTTTTTTCTTTTCTTTCCCGTGACCTTTTGAATGACAAAATCTTTTATTCTTTTTTTATTTTAAAATTCAAAAAATAATTTTTTCTTCCCTTTCTTTCCTTGTTTTTAAATTTACATATTTAATTATTTAAAGATTTAAATAATTTTTAATTTTATTTTTTACTTCCTTTAACAAAATTATGTATTTATAAAAAAATTATTTTTTTATTCCTCATTTTAACGATTTTTTTAGTTTTCTGATTGTTCTTTTGGGGTTAGTCTTTTTACAATTTTTGTAACTGAGAGGCAAACGGTCAAAAAGTCTACACAATTTTCCCCTTGATTTAAAAGTAGGATACCACCCCGTCCCCCGAAGCCCAGACTCCGATTTTTTGGCATAACCCTGACCCGAACCCCGACGGCAAACCTCGGTCCACCATCCTGCCCCCGAAGGCTCTCCCTGAACAGAACTCCCGGTTATCGAGATTATAACTTTTCGAAATATCTTCTATGATTCTCGTACAACTTACCTAATCTTGTCTTTAATTGGAAGAATGTATGAGGAATTCTAGACTGTTTTTTCTTTATTTTTTATTCAAATTTTTCAAATTAATTTATCTTTTTTATGTTGGGAAACTTTGATTGTTTTTGATAATCAAATAATTATTTAAATATTTATTGATGATTTTGGGAAATAATTCGTCATTTTTAATAATTATTATTTAATTTTTTTTATTAATTTTATTAGACATTGAAAACTTAAAAATTAGTTAGCAATATAAAAATTTATTTATTTTTATTTTCTACTTCCCTTTCTCGTCATTTTATTTACACATTTCCACGTCTTATTTTTATTTAAAAACAATTTAAATATCACCATTTTGTGTCATAAAAAATTTGCAAAATGACGAATTTCTCATCAAAAATTTGGAAAAAAAATTAATTTTCTTTACCCAAAATTGCCAACAAAATTATTTTTATTTTTATTTTTGTTCCTCCTTTTTTATCTTTTAAATTTTATATATAAATAGCTTATATTTTTGATTTATAAATAAAATCATTTAATTTTAAATCAACAAATATCTCTTTCCTTACTTCACATGTTTTTAGGGGATTATTTGGGATAGGAAAGTTTTGGCGCTAACTTTAAAGATTATCTCCAATAATAAGACCTTCAAAATTTTAAATATTTAAAATACTCTTGTTAATTTGAGAGAATTTTTGGTTTAAATATTTCTCAATAGATTGGGGGCCAGAAATTTGACAATTTTTGGCAAATTTAAGGGGTTTAGTTTAAGGAGGATATCCATAGAAAATTTAATTATTTCAGTTTTTCACAAAATTTATTTTTACACCTACACAAAAGCCATAGTTTTATCTTAAACTTAAAGAATTAATTAACCCAAAAAATTGTTAAAACAAATTTTTAATCGTTCGTACTTAAATTTGAAAATAAATTAAATAACTTAATCTTTATTTAATTTTATAAATTCCAAAATACCCCAAAAATTGAGGGATTCTAAGAAATAATTGATTTTTCTCCCAAAAATATTTTAAAATTTTCAACAAAAAATTCCTTTTCATTTTTTGGCGGACATTAAAATATTATTTATTTATTATTAGCCTTTCAACTCTTTTTTTCTTTTTTTTCTTTTATCGATTAATGCTCTCGACTGTCACACCCTTTTTTTCTTTTTAATTTTTTTATTTCTTCTTTTGCCTATGGCCAACCCTTTGTGTGTATATTTATGTGTTTTATAGCCTAGCTATATTTTATTTTGTGTGTTTATTTGACAAATGGTGACGTTGACAATTTTTGTTTTAATTAATTAATAGTTGAAATTGTTGGTGATGTTTATATTTTAATTGTTTTAAAAATTTTGTTTGATTAAAACACAACTTTATTTAAATGAGTTTTATTTATTTTTAGAATACTTTGAAATTTAAAAATATTCTAATAATTATGGGGACAATTCTCCGAATTGACTAGTCACCGATAAAAATTTTATGGAGGACCTATATGATATCAAATGCTTTTCGTTTATCTTTTAGTTTTCCCGTTTATGATATAATTTTATTCTACAATATGGTCACTAGTTTGTTAAAGATAAAAAAGAGTGGATATTTAATTTTCAAAAAATCCTTTCAGCGAATTGTCTTTTTCGGTTATTCGGTGAATTGTCCTATTTCCTGGCGGTTCTTCTCTTTTTTCTATTTATTCGCTTAAAACAATTTAATAACCGTTCTCTCTTTTTTAAAATAATTTTTTCTCTTTATATTCGCCAAGCGTTTTATAACCTTTCTTTCAAATATGGCATTTTCTTTGTCTGTTTTTTAAAATTTTCACAACACAATACACACAACAAACATTTATTCCCTCTCTTTTCTCCAAACCAGTAGGCGTAAATTAGGCATAATTTGATTTTTTTTTGAAAAAAGATTTTTTTCTTTTTCCTTTTTTTAAAGTTTGGTGTTTAAGGAATTTATAAAATAAATAATATTTATTAAAAAATAAAAGAGAACACGTGAAGGAAAAGATTAAAATAAAAGAGTGGGAGTGTAAATATGCGCGGGGATTTAAAAGCTTCTTTAAAAGAATTGAAGAGGGAACACGTGGCAATTATTTAATTTTAATATTTTTTAAAATTTATATATTTGGGTTGGACACTTTGTGGTGATGTTGGTTGGTTACCTTTCTTGTTTAGAAAATGAAAATATTTTTTAACCTCCTTCCTCCCCCCCCCTTCCCCCACCTTAAAATAATTCCAAAAGTAATTAATTGTTTGGAAAGACAATTTTACTTTTTTTTCAATTAAAAAATCATATTTTTGTATTTTGACCTTTTTAACATTTAATTAGGTAACGTGAATATACACAGCACTTTTTTACAATCCCGTGATGTCAATTAATTAGGTTAGAAAGTCCTCCAAGTAAAGGGCAAGTAGTAGGTGACTTTCAAATGACAATGAAAAGGAATATAGACAATATTTATATTATTTTTTTGTTTTATTTGAAAGGAAAAAATTGTCTGTAAAAGCTTTTTTTCATTATTACTTTTCATTGTCAGTACAATTTAATGCCTTTCTAGGACTTTTTCGGTAACGGACAATTCACCGTAATGGACAATTCACCGAAAACTAATTAATTAAGAACACTTTCAGGCAAATATTTTTCCTTTTTAAGTTCTAAACTAGCTTTACATTATTCCCAAAACCTAAACAGTCTTTAACGGTTTTCTGTATTTTTTAAAACCAAAATACTTCCAATTTTATGTTTTTTGGTGAATTACCTTTTGTGTAGTTTGTCCAGGGAGGAAAAATTTTGCCTTTCCAATTCTCCAAATTTTAATAAAATATAAAAATTCATCGTTAAATCTCTTTCAAAGGGTTTGCCTTTTTTGTATTTAAATTTGGAAGGTGTTCAAACAAAAAATAAAATAAAAAAGAGAAAATCATTTAAAGCCTCACACCAAATAAAGGTTTTAAACCCTTTCTTTTTTATATTCTTTTTAAAATTCTCCAAAAAGAGAATTCCCTTCTCTCTTTTATTTTCTCCAAAAATGGAATATCCAGCAATTCAAACAAATTAAATATTAAATTTTATATAAAAATTAAATAATTCCAACACTTAAATTAATTTTTTGGAAGAAAAAAGAAAAGTTTTTTTCTTCAGTTTTTAGCCTTTTTTCTTCCTTTTTAAATTTTATTAAAATTTTCTTCCTCATTAATTTTTAATTTAAAAGAGATCTCTTTTAGTATATGTATATAGTTAGTTTTTTTAAAGCTTTTATTAATTACACATTTTAATTTAATATTTCATTTATTAAATTTTTTTAAAAATTTTTAATTTTACTCTTTATTAACTTTAAATAATTTAATTGAAAAATGTTTTTTAGTATAAAAAATTTTTTCTTTATTTTCTATTTTAAGCAATAAATTCTTTTTAATTAAGAAAAAGCTGATTTTTAATCATACCCTTAATTGACTGATTAATAATCACCTAATAAATACCTAATAAATATTTATAAGTTGGCTGGTGATGCAGAAAATGAAGAAATATTTTTGGACTATCCAAAAATTTGGATTTATCTCTAAAGTCAACAAGTCCCCACCCTGTTCCATAACATGGTTCAAACAAGGTCTTAAACCAAAGTCCTAAAACAATGTTTAACTGTTATAGTTATTGTCAATGTTTGGAACATTTTTCCTCTAGAAAAATTTCCACAATCGTTTTTTCACCTATAAACTCAAAAAATCTCCACTCTGTTCCAAAGCAAGGTTTAACAAGGTACTAATAAGGTCCAAACAAGGTCCCAAAACAATGTTTAGCTGTTATAATTTCTTATACATAAATATTTGGAACCTTCTAAAACTTTCATCATTATTCTTTTTTCATTTTACTCTCGGGTTTCTTTTACTTAATCATTTTAACAAAAAAATATTATTTTTATAACAATAATACATAATTATTATTTATTGCGTCAACTTACTCCCCTTTATTATTCAACATTTTTTATTTTCCTTTCTTTTTTTCGTCATCCAGGTTTCCGTGTCAGATACGCGCGCAATACTCTATATATTTCTTATTTTTTTAATACAATTTGAAAAAACTGCGCAAAAAATATTTAACTGCTCCTTTCAAAAAATATAATTTTTGTTGTCCGTCTTCCCGTACCATTCATTGACCGCCACCGTTCAAAATTTTTTTGGGAGGATACTAAATCTTTAAATAATAAAATTATTTTTGGAGTTTATTTGAAAAGAATTATTTTTTTAAAAATATAAATTTTGTGTTCCTTTCTTAAAGGTTTTGGATTGTTTTGGTGAATTTAGGAATCTCTTTAAGATCTTAAGTCTTCATCCCCTTTTAGGGGAGTACTTATTCCTAAATAGCTTTGAAAATGTCCAAAATCAACTTTTAAATTATTTGAAGGATTTTAAATTACCGTAAATATCCTAATAGAAGCCCATGCCCTATTATAAGCCCACCCGATGGGGGTATTGAAAAATACAAGCCCAGGGTTTCTATTAAGATATTTACGGTATACAAGAGTTAGAGTTCAAATTAACATTGTTAAATTTAAGTTCCCCAAAACTTTGTTTAATTCTATTTTTTGTTAGCTTCCATTATTCTTATGAAATCTCAAAAAATTTTCTCAAACAATTTCGAAAGTCTAATAATTTAAATAATTAACAACTTCCTTCTTCTTATTAACATAAAACAATAGCAAATACATAAAATACATTAAATAAACTAATTATTATTTGTAATTTGTACATTGTCCTTATATATTTTTTCCTTCCATTATTCCGTAAATTTTCCATACAAACAATAAAATAAATTCTTTTTTTCAAGCCCTCCACTAAACAATTCTCCTCTCTTTTCTTTATTTCTCTCCCCTTTTTTCTCCTTTTATGTCGGTATCACGCCCAATCTTTATATTTTTTAATATTTTGAGAGAGTGAATATCGATTAAGACAACCACCGATTTGCCCTTCCTCTGCCCTTTACGAAATAATTATTTAAAAGTGCTTTTATTCAAATCCCTTTTTCCCTTTAAAGTCCATTTAAGTGCATTTCTAAATTATTTTTTAAGAGATTTTAATAAGTCAACAACTTAAATAATAAATAAAAACATTGTTTTTGATCAAACAAAGGGCCGTTATTTGAATTTTTTAATTTAAATATTTTTGGCGTTTTGTATTTTTTTTTGAAAATTGTAATTAAATTAGAGATAATGGGAAAATAAGAGAGTTTTCTCTGATTTTTTTTAAATTTTTAAAATTTAGAATTTTCTACCTTCTTTGTTCTTTTTATTTTTGATTGGATTTCGTCATAATTTTAATTAATTTTTTTAAACTTTTCAGATATTCATAATTCATTTTTTAACTTATTTGAACGCGTTTTGTTGCGCTAATTGACTAAGAAAATTTGAGAAACTAAAAGCTTTTAACAAATTAAAAACAACAAACAACAAAAAATGAGTCGCGGCACAAAGCAATTACCGCAAAATGGAAATTCTTCAAACCAACAATCACCACAAAGCAGTGTTCGGAGAGGAAACAAAACTTTGGGATGGTATATGAGTGGTTTGGATGCTTTGGATGGAGGGAAGAAGGAAGGTAAGGAAGAATGAATTTTTTGGGGGTTTTATGAAGAATGGGGGTTTTAATTTATAAGGTAAACCCCTTTAGGGATTTAATGATTCAGTCAAAGGTTTCAGTTCAGTCTTTCAATATTTCTTTAAATATTTTTTTAAATTTTAGTCTTAAAAATCATTTAAAAAAATATTTCAAGTATTTTTTCCCCCAACCAATTTATTCAACAATTTGTCATAAAATTCCAAAGAGTGTTTATTTCTCTGTTATTTCCCTTCAATGAATCATCCCCCCCCCCAATTCTCTTCCCCCAACAGTATTATTCACTCTCGTTATTTGGCCTTTCCCCCTCTTTATTTCCTCACTTTGATGACTAAAACAAAAAATTTCGAAACGCTTTTGCTTTACTTTTCCGGCTGTAAAGAACAGAGGAATGAACACTTGGGAAGGGTTTTTAATAAATAAAGAGGAATTGTCATCTAAATATCCAAGTGTTTTTTTTTGCTGTAAAAAATATTTTTATATTTAAAATTTATTTTTAAATCAAGAAAATATTTTTTTGAAAAAAATATTATTTTTTTTTATCTTTCCAAACAATAAAAAAATTTTTTTGTTTGTGATTATACAAGAATAACAAACAAAATTGATGATTATTTTTTGTTCGTTTTGATAATAAAAAATCTTTTAGTGGATTGAAGCCAAAATACCTAATAAAAAAATAAAATTTTTAATTTCTAATTTTTAGTCATTTTACTAAAAAATATCACACAAAAATATGTGTTCTTCCCCAAAATTTCATTTCTTATTTTTTTCTTCTCATTGGGAGTTTTTGTTTATTTAATTACATATGATTACAGACATTTAAATTTTATTTTTTAATTTTTTTATCTAACCTTTTTCTTTAATTTCATAATTCTTAGTCTTTATTTCTTAATCTAAAAAATGAGGAAATTAATTTTATATATTTTTAATATTTTGACATTTTCTTACCAAAATAATTAAAATTTTTAAAGTTTTTTTGGATCAATTAAGCTTAAATAAATTTTTATAATTTTTGTAATTTTTTTAAAATTTTTTTTTTTCATTAATTATTTACCTGCCTTAGACTCTTTTATAGTAAATTTTACCTTCCATGTTCCCTTCAAATTTTATTAAAAAATTTTTTTAATTTAGTTAATAAATCACAACAGCAACATATGGTCGCTCAACGCAAAGCATCTCTTCAAGATGCAACAACAAAATCAGCAGTAAATAATGAAATAGAGGATCAACGCAAAGCTCGTTCTAAACAACGTTTTGTTGGAAATCAAATTAATGGAGGTCGACAGAGGGCAAATTCTTCCTCTTTGTGTGCTCCAAAATCGACACCAGCTAGAAGACAACAAACTAGCGGTTTGACAATTTTTTTTATTTTTTAAAAAATATTTTTGTTAATTTAGGTCAGTCTGTTGGGTCGAAAGAACAAATTGATGTGAAAAAGGCAAATGCTAAATTTCTGAGTGGCAAAGAGAATTATTGGTAATTCTTTTTTATTTTTGGGATTGAAGAGGGCTGTTCAAATTTTCTTTATTTTAGGGTCTAGTTGCTTTCTTTAATCCTTTAAATATTTAAAAAAATTCTAATAAATTAAAATTTAAAGGTATTATGATCATGTAAGTAATGGTTATTATTATGAACATAACGGCACTCGTGGTTGGCGTAAAAATAATCCAAAAATGGAGAATTTACTTCGAGGAATGGAAGAAGCACAAAAATTGGAACAATTAAAAATTCTTAAACAAAAGAAAGAACAACAATCTTTACTCGATTGTAGAAATAATTTGCCTTCTTTATTAAATAGCCAACAATTGTCGAAATTAATTCCACAAGCAACAATGTCTTCTACAAATACAGCAACATCTAATGCTTTTAATAATTCTCCAATGGCGATTAAGTAAAATTTAATTTTTATTTTTTTTTTAAAATTTGTTGGGGTTTGAGGGGTATTTTTATTTATTTTTTGACTTGCGGATTTTTTTGAGTCCGCAAATATTTTTTTGAGAAGAATTTCTATTCATTTCTCCCTCTTTTTTTGCAATTTCTCCTTATAGATTATTTATTTAAAGATATTATGACAATGATGGCTATTTTTATGAGATGGGATCTGTTGATGGATGGCGTCGTCGTCCACCAGGTGCAACCCCACCAGGTGCTACTTCTCCATTTCAAAAAAAAAGAGGTGGAGGAAATGTCAATATGTCTGCCACACAAATATATGACCAGCAAACACCGCGTCGAAAACCATTGGTTTTTTTAAAAAAATTTTTTTGAAAATAATTTTCCTTTTTTTGTAGCATTATCAATCATATCAACAACCAGCTCCACATTTGGGGGGTTTAGATTTGCAAGAAGTTGCTGCAGCAGTTGCTATTGCTCAACAACAAAATATTAATCACCAACAGAATAATTGTTGTGGTGGGGGGTCAGTTGCATGTTGCTGTCTTACAGCAGCAATAGCTGCTCAATTGGTTTTGAAACAACAACAACAAATGATGGCTGCTAACAATAAAAGAGAAAATAAGATGAAATGTTCTTCTGGTATTAAATTTTTTTTTGAATTTTTTCAAAAAAAATTTTTTTTTAAGATATTCACTCATTGATTGAGGATTCAATAACCAAAACACATGATTTTTCTGAATTAAACACACAAGCAGCGCTTAAACGTTTGGCTGGAAATATTTCTCAACCCATCTCTTTGGGCACAAATTGGCAAGTTCCATCACAACGTTCAAAATGGAGTTCGCCTATTAATGAAGAAAAGACTACTCCAACAACAATAACTGGAAGTGGTAATGGTTTAGTTGTTGGATCGTTTGAAGAACCATACGAATTTTATTGGAGTGGAGATGAAGGAAATAATAACAACAATACAACAACAGCAATTACAACACATACAGCAGCTTCAATATCTTCTGTAGAGGATGATCCTGCTGATGAATTGGGAATTGAGGCAAATGCTTTACTTCAACAGAAACGTCCTTCTATTGCGCCAATTGGAAGTGAAGCTTTTGCAGCACAAGAAGCGAAGAGAGCTAGTTTGGGATGTGTTGTGACTACAATGGGGACGACTAAATGTAACAATACAAATGTGACGAAGAGACCAGATAGTTTGAGGTAAGAAATGTGGGGAATAAGTCTGGGGACAATATCTTTTCAATCCCTCTTACGGGGCAGAATTAATATTTTTTGGATTCATAAGTGGGAGGTTTCTTATTTAATATACACCTTGAAAAACAGACAATATTTTTATTCTTTTATTTTTAGATTGGCTCCGAAAACAATTCCATCTGCTTACGAATCAATTAGTCCTGGTGAAATTCTTCGTAAGAATAACAACAACAACTTTGGTGGTGAATCCCAGCCTTCTCAACGTGATTTTGATGTTGACAAATTTATTGCTGACAGTATTCCAATGCCACTTGAACCTGAACGTTTATTAAATTCTTTGAGAAATCCTCAACGAACTCCACATGGACCACTTGTAATGCCGCATTCTTTTATGAATAACAACAACAACAATACTAATGAACCGATTACTGCTGATTCTCCTCTTTTTACTCCAATATTGCCTGGAAAGAATCCGTGGTCATCTACATACAGGACTTCCCATGCAAATCCTTGGGCATATCCTTAGTGTGGATGTTTTGTGTTAGATTGAGAAAAAAATATTTTTTGAATTGAAACAACAACAAAAAAGCGTAGATTTTTAGGACGAAAAATCCCTTTGAACAAAAAATTATTCACAGATATTCCAACTCTACTAATTATGTGTACTTTTAGTTTTTAGACATATTCCTCTCTACTAATGTAAAATTCTTTTAAAAATATATGGTCAAATTTTGAGAGTTTTTTGGTTAAATACATCTATAGGTTGCCTACCTTTAGTAGAAAAAATTGGTTGATTTTTTTTCAGATAACATTTTTGAGTGGAAAAATAAACTATTTTTGATTTTAGAGAATTTAGGGGCTCTAAGTAAATTTTGTTAAAATACTTTGGATAGCTGAACTAGGAATAATTGATAAAAACTATTTATTTGACCATATATTTTTAAGGTATTTTCTCTTTTTAGAAAACTAAAAAAAGGAAAGGATAATTTACCACCAACTATCACAAACAAATCGTCCAGTTTTCCATCTTTCATTTTGTTAGCGCCATCTTTAAATTTTTTTTGTTTTATTATTAGCGGTGTTGTGCTATATATTAGTTATAAAATAACCCTTCAGATTTAGGGTTTTTCTCTTCTTTTTTTTTCAAAAATTTTAAGAAAAGCTTATTATAATTCTGTTGTTTTCCTTTACATACATTCATTTCATTCTTCTATATATTTATTTATCATTACTCTCCCTCTCTCCTCTATATCCCCCTTAAATTCTTTATCCATATATTTATTCCGTCCCCATTTTTTGCATTTTTTTAAATGAAAAAAACACCGATTTTGTTGTGTGTGTTGTAGTTTTAGTTAAAAAATATATATTTATTTATCAATGTTGTCAAAACCCGGGGAATTTTCTTTTAAAATTATTATATATTTTGAATGTTTTTTTGATAAAGAAAGAAAAAATATGTAGTTTAGTTTTGTTTTTAATTGAAATTAGGGTTCAAATGTTGATGACAGACACTCATTTCTCCAAAAAAAGTATTTTGAGAAAGTATGCGAAAATTAGAAAATAACGAGAAATCAGAATTTCTTCGTGTCAATCAATTGAACCCTAAATAGAAATTAAAGTAAAAATTTATAAATTTTTGAGAAATATCGAGAGAATTAGAAAAAATTTGACTTTTAATTTTACTAAAAATTTAAAATTAATTCTTATACGGTCAACTCTTGTTTGAATTAATCAGTAAGGTTGTCGGATCCGGATTCGAAAAAGGGCCTGATATCCGGAGATTTTCGGTTCGGATACCGGATCCGGATATCCGAAGATTCCAGCTATCCGACAACCTTATTAATCAGTCCATCAATAAATGTATTCCTTAAAGTTTTTGTAATTGGAGTTGACTGTAAAACATTAAATATTTTTTGTTGTGGTCTATTATTAACATTTCCAAAATTTTTGCACAATATAGAGAATAACAGTTATGTTTTATTATTTATTTGTTTTCTAGGCTATCAGCCATTATTTGCTTTAGTTTTAAATTAACCCTTTTTTCTATCTTAGCCCAGTATTTATGTGCCTTTTCTTCTTGCTTTGAATATTCCTCATATTTTTTTAGCTTTCTTTTGGGCCTAATTTATTTTTCTTTTTCTTCTTTTATCATTCTTCGTATCAGCCATTCTTCCCAAAAAAAGTTTTTTTTGGTTAAAATTAATTTTATAAGTTTTGAGAAATTTTTTTAGAAATTAATTTGAGGTTTTTGATATTTTTTTAAACTTTTAGTCAATAAAAATTTATTTTTTCTAGCAAAATTAAAAAAATACAGAATTAATTTTAACCAAAAAAAACTTTTTAATTGAAAACGGACGAAATTAGAATTAATATAATTTTCCTCCAAAAATATACCAATATTCCTTTCCTCAATATCCAAAAACATAACCAAAACACAAATATATATTTGTCTGTTCATATCTGTAGAAACATTACTTTTTATTATTTACAAATTAGGAAAAATACATACGTATCAGAAAATTATGTATTTACTTTTTTAGTTATGAGAATAAAACAGATATATTGTAGTTTTATTAATTTTTTGAACAGAGGTTTTTGAATGAGTCTGATTTTTTCCCTGTAAACGTTTCAACAGAAACACATATTTTTGAACTATCCAGTTTACAAAAGGAGGATCGTCATCCTATTGCAAATTTTGCGGGTTTTTGTGGTATTAAACTTTGATTTTCCGGGTGGTTTTTCAGGATATTTTACTTATTCTAATTTTACTGTCCTAGTTGAAAAACGCCAAAAATTAAAGGATTTATTATCACAAGAAAAACAAAAATGAGATGGATAGAAAATAAATATTATACATAAATATCAAGCACATATACAATATACAACAGAAATATCTATTTATCACAAATATTTTTTTCGCTTCAGTTGATTCCAAAGAGTCAGATTATTAGCCAAAGATAAGGAACCAGCAAATAGCCAACCAACAACACAAGCACCAGCACAGCTTATTCTGCAAAATGAGAAAATTATTTTCTAAAAATTTGTTTGTCAAGCATTACGTTGTGGATTCGGTTCCGGTTCCATTCCAAGCAGGAAGCGCTCACTTGGAGACAGAACTCGTTCCTCGTGTTGGGAATGTCCTTCAACACTTTCAAGCATCTCGCCAGTAACGAATTTCCCATCCATCCTTTGGACCATCAGCTTTCTTTCCGCGCGGCACAATCGGTGGAAGCAACGATATATCGTCAAATGATCAACAATTTCCATCCCGTGAGAGAGTCCAACGAGCTTTTTACAAATTCTTTGCGGTGTCCAACCAGAGATGTGCCAAAACGGTCGCATTTCCCTCAGAGCGTTCTGGTAGGCGTCTTCATTGTCGAAGAATTGTGGAATATCCGTCCAGTGTACGTTACCGATTGCCCTATAATTAGTAATAGTTAATTAGCTAAATGATAAAACAAAATTAGCAAAATATTTAAACAAACATTATATGGAGTAGCAGCAAGCACGGTGAACAGAAGTGAATTGATCAAGTGGTGATTAAAAATTAGGGAATTAACGTTGTTTTTATAACAGAAAAATGGGCAGTGGAGATAAGGATAATCAAAATTTAAACAAAAATATTTGAGAATAAAAGAGTGGGGGGGGATGTCTATTCTGTGTTTAATCCATTCAACATAAACTCCCATTAGTTCTAAAAACTTATTTAGCAAATCCAAATAGCAGTTTATTTATTTTAACATTCAATCTATTCCAAATAAATTAGGTGTATATAAATAATTTTTAAAAATTTCAATTTTTTTTGTAAATATGTAGGTGTTTATTAACCTTAAACACCTTCAAGTTTAGTTTAAAATTACAGAATTATATATAATATTAAAAACAAATATAATTTACAAATTTATAAATTAATATTTAAATAAAAAATATTCAAATATTTTTTAAATTAACAATTAATTAATTATTCCTTTACTTTTGCCAAAAATTTAATACAAACGTCTCTATTTATTGGAAGTCCTTTGTCATTCTTTTCCGCATCAGGATTTATTAAAAGCCAATTTACCTAATTAATAATTAATTAAATATATATTTTAAAAAACCTGTAAATCAACAATTGGATATTCTTGTAAAAGAAGAACCTAAATAAATAATTTAATTGAAATTAATTGCTTTTTCTGACCAAATATGTATGAGTTAACTAATTAAAAAATTTAAATTCCACTAAGGAAATTATTTAGGCGTGATTTTGGAAATTAAAGCATTTTTAGTATTATTTATCGAATATATAACAAAAATTTACAGAATATTTTAGTCATCTAATTAACGGATGCTCTCAAATAAATTTTTATATGTTTCCTCTAAATAATACCTAGCCTTAATGTAAATTAAGGCTAGGTATTATTTAGAGGATATTTGAAAAACCTACAGTTTGTTTATACCAATATATTTTGTTTGCCATTAAAGGACAAGTTATATTACTTTCAATACAAGCATCTTCTAAATTATATATAACTTTATTTATTTTTTTAATTAAAATAAAAACCGTTATCAACATGAAAACGGGTTAAAGCGCCATGAGCATCTCCAAGGTGGGCCTTAATTTTGTAAATTAAAAATGGACATTTGATTTTTGCTAGGAGAACACAATAATTCTGAGTTAATTTTATTTTACTGTTCAGAGTAATAAGCGGTGTTTGGAAGCTTTTACAGAAACTCGTACTTGTAAATGAGTACGAGGGAATTTTAAATTTCCAAACACTTGTAATGAGAGGATTTCCTCATAAAAAATTAATAATTAATTAATTAACTTACCCAAACCAAAGTTTTTAAATTATCCACTTTTTTGTCAGGTTTGAATCCAATTTGTAAAGAATATTCTTTCCCACGTTTAAATTCACAACGTTCACTTTTATCGCATTCAGTTATTCCAACAGAAATTATTTCAAAATTGGATTCTTTAAGAAATATTTTTTTTAGAAAATCTTCAGTAAATTTTTAGACTTTAATTCCCAATATTCTCATATAAAATTCAAAAAAATTTTTTTGAATTTTTTAAAATTTTAAATAAATTATTTACTTACTACAATTTTTGTAAATAATTGGATTAAAAAAAGAATTATTATGATTTCCTTCAATTAAATTGTATAAAATAAAAAAATAAATTAAATTAATTTTTAAATAATACATTTTTAATTAATTAATTAAAAGCAAATGATTAAAAGTATTTAAAAAATATTTTGTTACAAATAAATTGAAGAGCAACAACTGACATTTTCTCTTTTGTTTATTTATTCTGTCAACATTTTCTGATTAATCTTTTATCTTTTAAAATTCAAAAAGGGAAATTACTATGACTAAAGGGGTATTAAAAGGGAGTGGAAGATATATACTAGAGATCGAGCTGGGTCTGAACCACGGTCTGGGTTTTTCCTGTACCCAGAGTCTAGGCTAAGGCATTTTTTGACCTTACTGGGTATTTTCCTGGACTACAGTCCCAGGATCCGGCTCAGGCCAATAAATCAAACCCAGAGCCCAGGAGCGGGTCCAGGCTTTTCAAAAATCTCATCTCTAATATATACATATTTAATTGGGACTATAATTAACAATAATCAACTCTCGAATTTACATTCAAGCAAGGTTTTGTAATTTTTGTTTCGAGACAGACTGAGGAAAGGATCTAATTTTGGAAAAAATTTTTATTTTAATTTTAAATAAACAAGCAACTTTAAAATGCTAAATTAATACGGAATGAATGAAGAAAATAATTTAGGTTTTTTGATGACTTACTATTTTAAATATTAATTTCATCTAAAAATATTTTTTGCTTAATTATTTTTAAATTTACCATTTTAAGTAAAAAAATATATTCAGCATCTTTATAATAATTTCTCTGACTTCAATCAGTTCTGTGTTATAAAGAAAAAAAAGGAAATTTTTTTGGAATTTATTCTTCATGAAAACGGCTGTTTTTTAATCACAAAAACATTTGTTTCACAAAATCGATTAAAGGGATATTCTTTTTTTCCCAAAAATTATTATTTGAAAAAATAATTAAAAATAACTTCCTACATAATCTCTTAAATAAAAAAGGAAAAATGGTAAAATTTGGTTCAAGTTTTGAATTATCATTTCGTCGTTCAATATTTTCTTTAATTCTTTTATTTATTTATTTAATTATTTCTACTTTAATTATTTCTTTAATTGGACAATTTGAATTATTAAAAAGTGGAAATTTAAATAAATTATGTAAAGGAAAGAAGGAAATACAGAGGGGAAGACGTTTAGATTTTGAAAGAAATGAATTACTTAATACACTTTGGGCTGATTCTTTGGCTGTTAGAACTGGTCAGTAAAGAAATTTTTTTGAAATTAATTTCCATCAAAAGGATTCTCTGTAAATTCGAAGAAGAAAATTAAAGAAAACTTGGGAGAAGAACATCCCAACCCTTCAGTTTTTCCTTTTTTTATCGATAAGATAAAAAATCAGAAAGTATACTACTGATTTTTCGGTAATGGATCTACGAGTACTCTAACCGACTAAAAATTAAATTTATAAAGGAATTTTAAGTATCTACATAATTATATAATTGAGAAAGGTTGTGTCTGGTAGAAACGTGGGGGGATTAAAATGTTTTGAAGCAGGAAGGAAATGGGGGCTTTAAATGGGGCTTTAAGGAGAAGCTTTCCAACTTGGAATGTTATTCCCATCAGGCGGATATTCTGACCTGTGCCAAGCCAGTTGCTTTTGGGGCTTAACGTTCCTGTGCCGAGTCTCACTGTTTGAACTCAAAGTTCCTATGCCAAGTCGTCAATTGCGAAGAGCTTTGTTTAATTAAATTTTATTTTCCATTTTCAAAAGTTAATCTACATTTTTTATTATTAAGAAATATCTCTCAATAAGGCGCTTAGTCACTTAATAAGTGCAGATTAAGAAATTATCGACAAGTGCCTGTCGCATCGCCTTAGAGTTATTTCTTAATAATTTTACATTTTGTTTATTTTACATTTTCCTTTATTAGTTGCCAGTTGTTAAAAAAGTCTGATTAAAAAGTCTGAAAAACTTTGATAATTGAAACAATCATATTTTATTTTACTTCACTCTCTTCCTTTTATATCCTTTTATATAAATCCTTTTATATATCCTTTTATATATTGAATATTGAAAAAACTAAATTTTATATAAATGTTTATTTTATTAATAATTTCATCACTTTTTTCAAATTCTCATGGAACTTTTGAAAGTGAATCAAAGCGAATCATTAATTTTCTAGGCCAGTTTTTCTTTAATTTGGCTGCCAAACTCATCTCTATTAATAATCCCTTCAATTTAATTTTTTCAGACGAAGCATCGTCTTCTAAAACAAAAAGTTTAAATCAAAAGGAAAATATGTTTGACAAGCACAGGGAGAATTTTGTAAATAAAAAATATTTGCCGTTATATAAAAACGAAATATGGTCTCCAACAGAAAATGATTTTAAAGAGTATTTAATTTAAATATAAAATAAGTAAAGCATCTGGGCTATAACTATTTCTCTAAAGCAGCTATTTCACTCCCTTAGCTAGTGCAAGAGGTTAATCGGCGGCTGGGTGCGAATCAGTATACCGGACTGATGTTTTATCCATTACACCACGCCTCCTACTGCATAGCCTTAAGAATTAAATTTAATTTTTGTAATGCTTTACAACAATATAAATTAAAATAGGTATCCAAAACGAGAACAAGAATTCAAAATTGGCGAATTTGTCAAAGTAAGGAATGGCAGTAAATCTACAGGCAAAACAGAATGGTTATCAGCAAAAATTGTAGAATTCGAAAATAAACAGTACACAGTTGAAATTCAAAATAAGTCTCTTTATGGCAAATTATTTACCCGATATTCAAAAGATATACGAAAAATTACTGATGACTTTCAGATTAACGAAATAGTTGAACTAAGGAATTATGATAAATGGGTTTTAGGAAGAATATTAGGGAAAGACGAGGAGGGGATGTATATTGTTGGTATTGAAAGTGGAGAATTTTATGGGGTAATAGTTAGACGTTATCCAAATCATTTAAAAAAGCATGGTGAATTGGAACATTATAAAATTGATGAAATTGTTGAAGTAATGAACATTGACAAAATAACAGGAGAAATTAATTGGATTAAAGCAAAAATATTAGAAATTAAGAGAGGAAATAATTATATTGTAAAGATTGTTGAGAAGTGTAGATTGAATGGAAGTGAATTTGAAAGAAATATTTTTAGTATAAGGAAATTTAAGAGTGAAAATTTTCAAGCTGGGGAAGAAGTTGAATTTTATATTTATGATAGAATTAAAAAGAAGAATGAATGGATAAAAGCTAAAATATTACAAATTGAAGACGGAATTTATGTTTTGAATACTGGAACAAAAATATTACGAGAATATTATTCATTTAATTTGAGAAAGATTCAAGTCTGAATAGAAAAAAAAACATCTTGGAATATGTGAAGAAAATTAAATATAAAAAAAATTTTTTTTTAATTTATATAAATTGTTTTATATAGTAAATGTATTTGATAAAAAATTTGTAAATGTTTATTGTTGTGTCCGCACCTGTAGAAAGCAAATAAACGATTAAAAATAAAAAAACACATGGCAGCACGGTCTGCTTATTATATGAGCACCAGGGATCTAGCCGTCCCGATTCCCGAAAATCGGGAATTGAATTTTTATGTCGGCTAGATCCCTGATGAGCACAAACATACCCAATATTTATTATGTAATTTATAATTTTAATCAGTTATTTTATTTAAAATTTTGTCAATTTATTTATACCTATTTACGGTCTGTCAAGAAATAAAGCTTTATAAAAATCAGAGTTGGGCGGTATTGGGATTCCGACCTAAAATCGGTATCGATATTTTTTTAATTAATTCTCTAATAAAAATTAATAGTGAGAATAAAAAAATAAGGAGAGAGAGTTTTTTTTGATAACTTTAAATTTTGTGATTTTATTTAAATTATTTCAAAAATTTTAATACATACCATCATGTTTTTAATTCAATTTAATATTTCTTTGTAAAAGTTGAAAGCCACAATTGTTTTGTTTTGTGAAGTGGAACGCCTAAGGTGTTCTTTACCGTTAGTTCTTTATCTATTTACAAACTAGATCATTCCTTTTTAATTCATTCTTTGTCTTGAATATAATTTATGAAATTGAGTAATTAAAACAAAATTTAATTTTTTTATTCTCTTTTAAATAATAAATAAATAAATTATTTTTAGAATCTGATTGGAAACAATTAGCCAATGCAAAATTTGATTCCTACGAGAGAATAATTTTATCATCAAAAATATCTAATAATTATTGTAGTAGTAGACATTCAACAATACATTTTTGGGATTTTATTTCTTCTTTACGTTTCACTTTTTTATTGATAAGTACTGTGGGTACGTAATTATTAAATTGAAATTGGAAAATAATTGAAATGATTTTAAAATAAAAACAAATTATTTTTTGTACCATTAATTCCTAATCTCAGACTGGTATTAAGTCTAACAATACCGCCCTAAGACTTTGTAAGCACATTTTTAAAGTGAAAATAATGTACTTGTCAAATTGATAATAAAAATAAATTTCCATTAATCGAAACATAGGGTTATATTCTGGAATAGATATGTATTTAGATCCTATTTTTTAAATTCGATATCTAATTTCTTTTCTAAGGTAAAACTAATTGTTCTGATTTTAGTAGCTCTAAATTAAATTTCTAACAGATTCTCGTTTTTAATTTTTTAATAAAATGAAAAGCAATTTATTAATTAATTTCAAAAATTAATTAAAGGAGAATCTAATTTAAATAATCAAAAACAATTTTCTGGTCCTTTAATTCAATCAACTTCAATTTTAATTTCTTTGTTTGGAATTCCACTATTACTAATTCATTTGGAACATTCAATTAAAGCAATTTATGCATTTTGTGAAGATAATTTTGAAAGGCCAAATTTGGCTATAATTTGGATATTTTTTGGAAATATTTTGATAATTACTTTAATTTTTGATATTATTTTAGAAGAAAATTTGGAATTTAATGAAAATTATGTTGATGGTGATGAAAAGGTAAGAAAATAAAAATATTGACATCCCCCTTTTGCAACGAAATTTTGTACAGAAATTTAAAGGGAATTAAAAAATTATAAGTAAAAATCTACCAAAAATTTTAAAATAAAAATTTATTCTAAATATGGTTATTGTATTTAAATTAGAATGTTGAATAGGAAATAGGAGCAATTTAGAATTAAACAATTTATAATCGTCCTAGTATTGCTCCTTCTTTATTTAATAGCTCCATATTTTTAAAAATTTTCTTCCCATCACATCTTTTTGGGAATTTTTTCAACGTGTTGAAAGCAGAAATTTGAATATTGAGGGAGGTATGAGAGCAGGCCAACGTACCGCAGAGCTATAACTTCGTTCAAAATAGTCGAATCGCAGGACGCCTTGGTATGATTCGATGATCTCGACAAGCTGAATCGTATCATATCAGGGCGTCCCGGGTTCGACCATTTTGAACAAAATTATAGCTCTGCGGTACGTTGGCCTCGCGGTACGTTGCAGTGTACCCGAGAGGCATGTATGATCATGTCTGCATTTTGTTTTAAACGTCAGTGGTCGTTCGGTATCACGTTAGCCACCCTAATAATTAATTAACTTTAGAAAATAATTTTCTTTATTTTTTCAGAATTCCTTCTTTGATTTGTTCTTTTCAATATTTCTGTTATCATTTACAATATTCAAAAATACAAATTTAAATAAAATACCAATTTGGTTATTTCTCCCTATCTGTTTATTTTTATTTTCTATAAATGGATGTCTTTTAAAATATTTAATTGAATTATTACATAATTGGATGGCCCCACACGAATTTGCTTTTGCAAATGGATTTTGTGGAAAAATTGAAAGAGCGGTTAGCGGTGTGGATATACACATTGAGGAAATTAATAATGAGGTAATGGAGGGTTTTAAATAATTTTTTTTAATTTGTGAAAGATTTTTTATTGACTTATTTTTATATTCCCAAGGATTTTCTGTTCCTTTATCTTAAGTTTGATATTTTTTAAATTAAAAATTTTCTAAAAAAAATTCGATTCATTTTAGTTTTTCAATCAAAATTTGTAACTAGGGTTATTCCCTGATGGGGGTGGGGCCAAGGAGAACAATTTTCGGAGAGGCAGCAAATTCCACGACTTTCGGGGACGGGGAAACCCCGTACTTGTAACTTATCAATTTAAAAATTTTTTATATTTTTTTATGTTCTAAGTTTTAAATCACAATAATAAACAATTAATCAACCTATTTTATAAGCTTCCAAACATTACTTGCAACTTGCTATTCCTTAAGCTTCTTTTTTTTAAATTTTTTCTTCAAAAATAAAAAAATATTTTTATTTATCTAGGAAGACACAAATTCTAAAAGAAATCAAAATTCTGAAAATGGAGTACCAGCAACTACTACATCCCCTCCACATTTTTCAATTGGAGGAGAAAATGAAGGGGAAATAGATCCAAACAACCCAACTACCAACCAACTTTTTGCTGCTTTATTGCGAAGAAAAAGTATTTCTACAATAGCTGAAGAAGAAGGAGAATTGCCTAATAGTCCTTAAAAAACTTCGTTTTTTGTAAAATTGTTTTTTAGAAAACTTTAGATGTTTTTAGTTTAAATTTTAAAATAAATATATTAAATTTGCAATGGCAGATAAAATGTAGCTAAAAATTTTCGGTTCGGTTCCGAATATCCGAAGAATTTCCATGAACCAACAACTCTAGTCCTCAACAAATAGAGTTGTTGGGTGGCTTTATTGCGAAGAAAAAGTAAATCCACAACCAAAAAATGTCTTGTAAAGTCATAAACAAAAGGCTATTGGAATTAAAAAATAAATAAATATAAAAAATAAAAAAAATATTATTTTTCTCTAAATTTTTGAAATTTAACATTATTACCAAAATAATTTTATTACTTAAAAAAATTTCTTGTTATGTACATAATTCTTCCTTAATTTTTTTGAATTAATTAAAATTTCCCTATAAAATTTCTTTTTATTTTTGAGAAATATTAAAAAAATATTTTCAAAAATTAAAAATAATTTTATTCAGAAAGAAATTCAGAAAGAAAAAAAACTTAAAAAAATTATGAAACAATTATTTTAACAGTTAGTAGATAAATCAAAACAAGATAAAATTAAGTCAAAAAAAAAACAAATCGCGTATAAATTCCTTCAATAATATTCGGAAACTAAATGTTTTGTAATGTCATAAACAAAATGTTTAGTCTCCAAATCTTCTCCAAAATTTGTTTCCACCGAACAACATTTTAATAAAATATAAGGTTGATAGGAGTCACTACTATACTTTAACAAAACAGCTTTGCCTTTAAAAAAAGAAAATATTTTTCTCTAAATTTATTTTCAATCATTACCAATTTGTTTCCCATTTTGAGTAAAGAAAACATAGGGAACACCTTCAGGTGGATAAATTAATCCACAGCCGAAAACATCCTTATTATTCCAACAAAATATTGGAAGTTTAAACATTTTATCCTCTTCATTACAAATTGAAGCAGTATGTGGACCAAATCTAATATATTTATTATCACCCCCATCCATTTTAAGTCCAATAACCATTTCATTTATTTTTCTTTCAATTTTTATACATTTAATTTCAAAATAAAACAAAGACAAATTTCTGCAATTTTGTGGCTTTTTGAATGAATTTTCAGCAAGAATGAAAAAAGTGTTATTTACACCTAAAATATTTTTTAATTAAATTAAAAATAAATCTTTTGGCAGTCGCTAGAGATTGGGAAAAGTAAAAATTTTTATTTTGAAAATTAATCGGAATTATTAGACTTGGAGAGAAATAATAAGGTCTGTCAGGTTGAATATTACCTTGATTTGCCAAAATATTTCATTAAATAAATAATTTATTTACCTTTCCCTTCCCCACAACTAATATAATTAACATTTCCATCATTAATTAAATTAACATATCCATTCCCTTTAGTACATTTACCAATTGTCTTGTTTGTATTTATACATTTATTTTCACAACATTTAAAATTATTATTATAAGTAAAGTCAATTTCTTTCCATTTATTTTCAATTTTAATAAAATTCTTAAAAAGCACGAATTTTTGTACAAGGTTCAATCATTGTTTACTAATTACATATTAAAAATAATTAAACTTACCAAAGGTTTAATCTCCTTTAATTTTTCCAAAAAAATTGTTAAATCCTCATTATTTGTGTTAAATAACCCATACACCTTTTTTAAAAATAAAATAAAATTAAAAAATATTTTTAATTGATTTTTCATTAAAGTTTCCTGAAAATTCGATCCGGATAAAAATTTTTTAAGCCCAAAACCGGTTCCAGCATTTCCAAATTTAAACTCTAATTTTAATTTTTAAAAATTTAATTTTTTAAATTTTCACCTTTTTAATTTGTTCTTGCAACAAATTAATTTCCTCATCTTTTTGCTTATTCTCAGATTTTATTTTTTTAATTTTCTAAAATTTAATTTAAATTTAAATATTTAAATATCCAAAATAACCTCTTTCTTTTCCTTTAATTTATTTTCAAGAAAAATATTTTTATATTCAATTATTTTCTTTTCTAACACAAAATTATTTTCAATTTCTTTAACTTTTTCATTAAATTCTCTCTAAAATTATTTTTAAAAATATGTCTATTTAATTTAATTATCACAAACAAACTTCTTTTAATTTATTTTCAAGGAAAAAAACTTTCTTTTCCAAATTTAAACTATTTTCTTTTTCTTCAATATATTTTATTTGAAGGTTCATAAAATTATTTTGAAGTTTAATTAAACAATCGCTTTGACTTGGCTTAAACAGAAATTTTATTTTTTTTTTAATTTTTAAATTTACTATTAATTCCAAATCACAATCTGATAATTCTTCTTCAGACATTTTAAAAAGAATTTAATTAAGACAATTAAATTTTATTTAAAATGAAATAATAACTGTAAAAAATCAAAAAAAACTAATTTAAAAAATTGTAGACCTTTTCTTAATTTTATTTTTAATTATAAAAAGTTTGTAATTGAAGGAAAAATATACATAAGAGAAAAGTCTGTTATTGCTAGACTAGACTTTTGGCCTAGAGAGAATTTTTTGTAATGAATTTATTTTTGAGAATATTTTTGTTTGGGAAATAAATGTATTTTTTATTTGTCTTAAATAAAATAATAAAGAAATGTTTTGAGGGAATATTTTGAATTACCATTAAGCACTTTTAAAAGAATCATGGAAGAAAAATTCGATTGTTTTTTTTGTTTCTAATCTTAATCTATGATGATTTTTCCTTATCTTTTTTCAAAAGATTCCTTTTAGGATTAATAAATTTTAAACTTTAAATCAAAAATAATTTAAAAACAATTAAAAATTAAATTTAAATATTTTCTTCAATAACATTTTCTTCAGAAGCTTCAATTCTAGCCAAAACAGCTTTTAACGCCGCCTCTCTCAATTGTTGTTGTTTATTCCCTTCTTCGGCCCTTCTATTACGTTTTATTTTATTTAAATTATTACAAATATCCTCATTTTTATTTAATTTAATAATTAATTTTGTAAATAAAAAACATTGGGAATTTTTATTTTTTCTTCTTTTTCTTTTAGTTATTGGATTTCCTGACAAAGAAAATCCTATTGAGCGGTTATTGAAATATGTAGAGTCGAAAATTGAATGTCCAGAAGGCGATAATCTCTCATGAAAATGACAAAAGGATGATTTAGTTGAAGTAAGGGATGTCTGGAAAAATAAAGAAAAATTTTTGTTTTTTTGAAAGGGAAGTAATAATTAAAAATTTTTTGGAAGTTATTAATTTAAACCACAAAAGTTATATTTCAAAAATTATCAACAAAAAAAACAAAATACTTGACCAAAAATTATAAAATTTTAACAAATGTTAGTTAACACTTGTGAACGAACTTGGAGCGTCGTACGAGAATCTAGATCTCGTAAAAATCTATATCTCGATTTTCGATTGAGATCTCGTCTCGGTCCGATCTCTTGTTAACACATTTAGGGATATCTGCACCAAATTTTAGTGTTTTTAGATAATTTTTTAAAAATATTATAACCCCAAAACATAATTTACCCTAACTTGTAGACCTTCCTTCCTCCCAAAACAAATATATTTTCCACTCTTAAAGTGTTTCAAAATAAATTGCCCTTTGCCTGTCCAATCTTCAGAAACAGTTTCAGGCAAAAAATATGCTTTAAAAATGAAAAAATATTTTTTTCTAAATTTAAAATTACTTGAACATTTATTATCTCCCTCTTCATCTTCATCTTCTCCTTTTCCAAAAATTTTATTTTTTTGTATTTTAACAAAATCATTAGTACATAAATTAAATAAACGCCAAATTGTAACAAAATTTTCTTCTTTTTCTTCTTCTGATTTTTCAGAATTTTTTAATTCTTTAATTATTTCGTTTTCCCATTCTTTTCTTCTTTTTTCTTTTAAATTATTTATTTGTCGACGTTTAATTTTTTTATTATTTAAAATTGTTTTAGTATCTACTAAATTGTTATTGTTGTTATTATCTTCAGCTTCTAATCCAAGTTTTGAAATTCTAAAAAATAATTTATGTATCGGAGTTAGAATATTTTTGATAAGAAGGAGAAGTATGTTTGGCATGGGATTTTTACTTATTCCCAAAAAAGTTTAGTTGACTAATAGTGAAAATTTTCAAGGAAGCGGAGGCCCACTGAGTATGGCCTTAGGAATTTAATAGAATCTTCGGCAAAAACGTGAAAATTTTGGGGAAAAGGGAAAATAGTAAATATAAAAGTAACTTTTAACAAGGGGAATAGGTTCCAGATATTTTCCCTCTGTAAAAAGAAAGGCTTAGAACTCGAAACTTTATAAAAATATATTTTATCGTTAAATCAACATAATTTTCAGAAAAATACTTTAGATTTTTGTTTGTAATTTTCAATTAGATATACAATTCAAAGAAACATCTTTAAATATTTACTTTTCAATTAATTCTTCTTCTTCAATTTCTTGATTACTTTTTTGTTTATTTTGTTGTTTTATTGTTGCAAAAACAACAAAATTAAATAATTTTGTTGTTTCTTCTTTTTTGTTTAATTTTTGATTTAAATTAAATTTTGGGAAGAAAATAAGTAAAATACAAAAAATAATTAATAAATACCTAAAAATTATAAAAAGATTTTTGGAAAATCTAAAAATTAAAAGATTAATAATTCTTGTGGATAGCGTAAATTAAATGAGTGAGTTTATAAATCTCCTCGGGGATTCTGCAAGAGGCTGGGATTCTGTTAGAGTATTTACGGTTAAAATATTTTAATTTAATTTTCTTTAGTAATTTCAACTAAACTTTTTTTAATTTAAATTTAAAAATAACATATTTATAGACTAACCTTTGATGTTTATTTTTGGACAAAAAGCAACAAGAATTTTCCATTATTTTTATTTCCTTTAAAATAATATTATTTATTTAAGCATTTCCAATAATTTTTGAATAAAAATAAAATTAAATTTAAAAAAATTATTTATTTATTTTGTTGCAAAAATAAATTTATATTTTCTATTATTATTTTAATTTTTTGCCTCACCCCTTTTTTAATAACCCCTTTTTTCCTCTACATATTTACAAGAATTTGGTATTTTTAATTTTCTTTAAAGGGAAAGCAAAAAATCCTTTAAAATTATTTTTGGGTGTTTTTTAATTAAAATGAAGGTTCTGTTATTAATTTATTTGTATACGCAGTGTGTCCAGAAAAAATCGCTGTAGCGAGTAAGGATTCGAAATACAATACTAAAACGGATATCATTAGAATTATGAATTTCTGTTTTAATACTGTCAAATTATTGATAAGGTTATCTTTATAATTTTCAAAGAACTTTTATTTTTTGTTGAGTTTTCCATTTATTTATACCTTCAGAAAAGTTAAAAATCCTAAATTTATAGTGGAGTTAGGTAATAAATGGAGTACACATTTAGCTGTTTATGTTTAGCCACAATAGAGAGCTTAAACATAATTAAAAGTTCCGAATAAATTAAAAAAAATTTTTATTTAAAAAAATTATTTTACAATAAAAAATTGAAAGAAATGATGATTTTTCATTGTAAATGTATTTGTACTAATTCCCACCTTGAAATAAATATATTTATATATTTTTATTTTTTTTATTTTTCTTCACAAAATCCCTGCCAAGGACTTTTGTGGGGGAAGAAGAAGAAATAATTATCCTCCTCCCCCCTTTCTTTTATTTTCTTTTAATTTCTTTTTCTTCCTCATATTCTTCTCTCCGTTTTTCTTCCAAATTATTTTCCATTCGATCTGCTTCAGCAAAAGAGCAACGAACCGTTTTGGATTGGATTTATTTTTAAGATTGGATTTATTGTAGGGGAAGGGAAGGGGAAGAAAACTAGAAAAAATAATAAAATTTAAACAATATTTTGTATTTAGTTAAGAGTTTTTAATAGAAATGTTATGGAAATAAACAAAGAATATTTAAAAAATATTTATTTAATATGTAGAAATTTTATTTTTTTTAATTTACATTTTGAGAAATTTTAAAATTTTATTTTTAAAGGTGGGTGAGTGAAAATGAAGTGATTCCATCACTTATAAAAGAAATTTTATTTTGAAAATTTTATGTAGAAATTTTATTTTTTTTAATTTACATTTTGAGAAATTTTAAAATTTTATTTTTAAAGGTGGGTGAGTGAAAATGAAGTGATTCCATCACTTATAAAAATTTATCTAACAAATAAGTGCCTTTGAACTTCTGAAATTTTACAAAAATATTTTTAATAGTGCCAACTAACTTCTCTAAAAATTTCAGAATTTTTGATAAAGTATATTGAAAGTTAAAATAAAAGATTGAAAGTGAATATAAATTTTTTAAGATTCGATCTTTTGACATATTTTCTATAATAATTTGAGAAATATCTTAATCAAAAATTCTGAAATGTTTAAAGTGGTTAGATACTATTGTTGAGGATATTTAAAAAATTTTAAAATTTTAGATCCTTTTTTTTAATATATTAAAGACGAGCAAGAGATTATTAAGCTTCATTAAAAATTAATTTTAAAAATTCGAAAATTGTTTTTATTTTAATTTTAAAAAAAGTTTTAACATAAAATTTAGTTTATGTATTTATATTTTAAAATAAACATATTAATTTTTAATTTTATAAAATTAATAATTTATATATTTATTTTGTAACATATAATTTCTGTTTTAGTTAAAAACAATAAAAATGAATTTTAAAAAATATATTTTATAATAATTGGTTTTTGAATTTTAAATTATTTTTATTGTTTACGTTAAAAAATATTTTTTGGCAAAACAAAAGAAAATTAACATAATTTTGGAGTTAATAATTTTTAAAATTAATATTTTATAACTCAAAAAAAGTTTGAATATTATTAAACATTTTTGTTGTTTGGGAGAAAGGATTGTTTTATACCTACAAACAAAACATAGATTTCTGATCTTTTTAAAAAATATATTTTATAATAATTGGTCCATGACTAAAACCTCCCTAAATTTTCCTTTTAACCGTTTAAAGATTAATTTAAATTATTTAAATTATAATTAACCAAAAATTAATTAAATAAAAATAATTTACAGTAAACTTTCCTTTTAATTCACATCATTATTATCCAACTCATTTGCGCAAAAACACTAATTAAATTTTTGAAAATAATTTTCTTTTAATTGTTTGGGTGTGTTTAAATTAAATTTAAAATAAATTAAATATTTACGTTATTTAAAAAATAATTAAATTTTTTTAATAAAAATGTCATTTGCCACTATTTTACTAAAAATTACGGAAATAAAATGCGGATAACTTTCTGAATTTCTTGCCTAAAAATGGTATTTTACAGGTATTGGTTATTTATTCTGAGAAATTTTCTGGTTGTTCTAGGATTCGAAATCGACAATCTAACATAGTGATGTGAAGGTTCCAGTTCCGGGACCGACTAGTTCCCGTTCCGGAACTGGAACCGTGGAGTTGGTAAAGGTCTGGAACCAGTTTGGAACTGTATCCGTGGAACAACTGTCCTAACAGTTTTTGGATAGGGAAAATCCCGTAATGTCCGTTCCATATGTCCTTCTCTCAAAATCTCAATCCAAACTTTTTCCCTAAAATTGCCCAATTATTTTTTTTCTAATTTAATTTATCCTTTTTCTAAAAATAAAATTTATTTTCATCATTTCCTGATATCCATAAAATTTAAAGAAAAACAAAATAAATACCTAAAATAATCTAAAAGTCCGCAAGTTCCGCTTAATACCATTTCTTTCATTTTTTAACTAAAAAAGTAAATATATTTGAGTATATTTCAATAAAAAGTTTAATCAAATCAACTTCCCTCCTCCTCCCCTTTTTCTCAATTTTATTTTACTTTTTTTCTAATTTAATTTTAAATAATTTTCTAAGAAATTTTATTTATTTATTTAACTCCCAAAGGTAAAAAAGGGACACAAAATCCCTCTCATTTCCTTTTTTCTTCAAGTCATTTTAAATAAAACTCTCGTTTCGTAGGTGATAAACGAAACGAAAAGTGGCTTTTAATTATTTTAAATAATAATTTTTGAAAATTAATTTTAAAAAATAAATCAGTTTTAACTCATCTTATTCAGTATTTATTCCAATTAGATAATAATAAATTGTCCATTGAACAGAAAGTTAATAAAAAAATATAAGGGACAGCTTATAATACAACTAGGAGGAACTTATGAGGACATTTTGTCAATGAACCTTTACCAAAATAATTTTAAATTTCCCTGCCTTTTAGTTAAAAGATTGAAGGGAGAATACCCTTACTCCCTCAATTTATTTCTTAGATTAATCTTTTTGTTTTCAATTTTAGAATTAAAAATTTTTTCAGTTTTTATCCGTTATCCGGCAAAATAAGACACAAAGAACATTTATAATTAAATAATACAAAATAATCCTATAAATTTGGTCATTCAGTTAATTTTAGAATTATTTTATCTTTTTTCCAATTTTTTTTTGTTTTTATGTGCAAATTAAAAATAAAAAAAATTAAATTTTAATTTCCTCATTTAAACAAATAAAACACACAATCTGTGCCCTTTTTTCTAATTTTAAACAATTGGTTTTTGAAATTATTTTTTTCTAAAATGGCAATTTCCGTTAATGGCAACTCCCCCATTTTATTGTTTATTTAAATAGAGCTAGCAACTATCCAAATTAAACATTTTTATAAATTTAGTAGTTTGGAAAACAGAAGTGGACTGAATTGTTGCCAATTCTATTGGCATCACTTTTCATTTTGGTTCCTTTAAGATTAGCAACTGAAAAATATTTAAAACTTTTCCTTTAATGATAAAACTTTTCCTTCAATGATTTTTAGTTTTTCAAATTGGAATGTGGCTAAAAATGAAAACTTTCATAAATTTATATAAATTTATTCAATAACCCTTTTATGATCTCTCTCTCATGGGAGCAGGCCAACTTATCGCAGAGCTATAACTTCGTTCATAATTGCCGAATCCGGGACGCCTTTGTAGGGTTCAATGTGCCTCGATGAGCTGAATCGAACCTACCAGGTTGTCCCGGATTCGACAATTCTGAACGAAGTTATAGCTCTGCTGTAACTTGGGGCGTACCCTTTCTCATTTTGCCGTTCCTTATTTTACTCTTAACAAATTTTTTATATTCTATTTATTTTTTAAATTTTTTAAAAATAAATCTCCATATTTTGCAAACACTTTTTTTGTTTTTGTTTATATTTTTTCCAAAATTTTTTTCAGTAAATATTTACATACATTACAATCTTCTACTAACTATCAAAAAAATGTCATCTCTTAGCAGCAACAAAAAAGTATCATTCGGCATCTCTTTAATTTTTGTTTTGTTGGCAATTTGTTCTGCATTTCCTGGAAGACATTCTAGTGATTTTCAAACGGTATTTTTAATAAAGAATTTTTTGTATTTAAATAATTACCTATTTTAAATATTTTTTCGTCTCCACGCAAACTTTACATTTTTGTATTTAATGAAACCAAAAGATTAAAATAAAAATTTAATTCCATTTAAATGGAAAAATCTTTTCCAATAATTAATAAATTAACTAGCGTTATGTCCTATTTTCACTGAGCAAATCAAAAATTCTCAAAAAATTTTTTTGAAAATGAATCTGAATTTATAATTTATAAATATAAATCAATTTTGATTTGATCAAACCGGAGTTTAAGATACGAAGATCTATGGCTTAAAATTGAGATTTTATGGTTTCGAAAGAGAAGCAATAAATTATTAAAAACTGAAAAGATTTCCAGACTTGATAGACTAAAATGAATAATACATATTAAATTAAAATAATTGCATAAATAAATATTTCTGTCATGAAAAATTAATTTCAATTAAAAAAACAATTTTATTTTCCAGCGTTTTTTCATCCCCGATTCTTCTTTGGCTGCCAATCTTTTAGCTGGACCCCCACAATTTGTGCCAGGTCCATCAATGCATCAACCAGTCCTTGCTCTACGTCCACCTTTCAAACGTTATTTTGATTCTCTAGCTGGGCAATCTCTTGGAAAACGATCAGTCCCGCAATTTGAATATAATATTGAAGAAAAGAGAAAATAAAGAAGAGAAGAAAAAAGAAATTTAAAACGATTTTTTTTGAATTTATATTATTTTTAATTAAATGTTTGAAATTATTTGGAATTAAATAAAAGAGAGAAAAAATATTTTGAAATTTTAGAATAAATTTTTAGTTAATTAATTTGTATTTTTAATTTAGCTCTTAAAATTATTTAGAACCATTCCTCCTCCAAAAATATCATTTACACATGATGATTACCTTTACAGATTGGCAATTCAATTTAGATAAAATTAAAACTTGATTTTTTGTGTTTGCATCCTCTCTGTACAAAATCTGAGTTAGAAGCAGGGCTCTAGCTTCAATCGAAAAGAAATTTTATACATCCACAATTTCAATTGTTTCGGCCCAAATAAGGGGTCGATCGGATGACTTTCGATTTCCAACACTTAGAGTATTTTCGTAAGAACTAATAACGTATAAAAAATATTCACTTTGAATCTTTGAAGAAAAAAGAAAGAACTTTCATTATTTTTACTTAATATGTAAAAATACATTCTTCAGTTTACTAAAGTAAAAGCATTTCTGTATACTTGATTAAATATAATAGGATAATCTAATTTTTGGATCGGGGTTTTTTATGAAACTCCTCTAATGTGTCACCAGTAAGGTTGTCGGATAGATGGAAATCTTCGGATATCCGGATACTCGAACCGAAAATTTCCGGATATCCGGCATTTTTTGGGATCAGGATATCCGAATCCGACAACTTTAGTCGCCAATCTATCTTGCAGTTTATCCATAGATCTTTCGTTACTTCCGATTTCCAACATCTTTAGAATTTCCGACGACATCAGACACAAATAATTTAATATTAACTTCCTGTTAATTTCATTTCCGCATTTCCGAATTTATAAAAGAAATAAGATATTTGGAAATATTTTTTAAAAATTAAGAAATATTCAAATAAAAATATTTTTTCACTTCCCCCTCTTTGAAAAGGGCAAATATATTGTGTAATTGTTAATATAAAATATAAATTTTATTTATCATTATTGTATTTTTTTAAAATTAATTTTGTTAAAATTTAACATAAAAATCTGTTCAGAAAATAATTAGATTTTTCTATTAAAGAAATTTCTTCAAAATTTTTTTTCGTCGAGTTTTTCTCCTTAAATTATCCCCAACAAATCTTAAGTATTATGTTAAATAATATATTTATTATTCTAATAATTTTCCATTCTTTATTTATTTTCCCTTTAAATTCTTCAGGTATTTAAATTAATTAAATTAAAAAAAGTTTTGAATTTTAAAAGGTTTTGATTTGGAGAATGAAATTACAGACTTTCTTCAAAAAAATACTTCTGAAGAAGAAAATTCTTTGACACCTTTTGAACATTGTTTTCGTGAAAGTTTTCCCTTTCTTAAAGAAAAAATAAATAAAATAATTAATTATTTTCGAGGAGTTTTAAATAAAAATAATTTAAATGAATTAATTAAAAATCCAAAAGAAAAATTTAAACAAATTGAAAAAGTTGATAATACTATAGATTCTGTACAAAAGGAAGTTTTGGACAATTTTTTGGGAATTTTATTTTGGGAACGTTCAATGGGGAAACCACGAGAAAAGTTTTTAATTTTAAATATTAATAAATTTGATAAAAACTAAAAAAATTAAGGAATACATACATATTACAGTCGATATACATACATACCTATCTCTATTGGGAATTGTACATTAAGAGCTGATTTTTAATCTTTTTTTCATTCTCTCTTTTAATCTATTTAGAAAATAGAATTATTTAGATGACATTTTTTGAATATTAATTTTTACATATATATGGAGAGCTGCTTAAACAATACCCTCAATAGTACTCGATTTAAGATAAAAGAAATTCAACCCTAAAGGGTGTATCTATAATTGTAGTTAAGGAATTCCTATTAAATTTCTATTAACAAAGCTGTCAATTTAATTTCATTAATATTTTGGATATTAATTTTTTATTTAAATACAAATTTATCTTATATGTAAGTATTTAAAAAGATAAATTTAATTTAAATTTTAGTAATTGGAAAATTAAAACAAAAGAATCAAGCAAAAAAATAAATAAATGTGTAAAAAAGCGTTTAAAAGCAATAAATAATGGAAGTTGTTCTTTATTTATTTTAAATAAAGGTTATGAGATTGAAAAGAAACTTCGAAATTTTTATGTGGAATATACAGAATTTTATTGGGGAGTTTATAAAAATGAAGAAAATAATAAAAATAATTTTTTGAAAAAAATTTTGAGGTTGGAAATATGTATTTTTAATTTTTCCGAATTTCGTCCAATAAGTGTTTAAAGTAGAGATGGACTAGGAATTGTGAAAGGATAGAACTTTTACCAAATAATTTTAAAATTAATTAAAAAATAAAATTATTTAGATTGGAAGCGAGAATGACAAAAAGAGAATTGAATTACCATTCGTTATTGAAAAAATGTTTATGTGAGAAGATTGTCAAAGATGAATTAGATGAATTATAACGACAATAAAGGGACATATAAAAATGATTTTTGTATAGTATTGCTTCTGAAAAAATTTTCCACTTAAAATTTTTAAGTATTTTGTTCGTTTCCATTTAACAAAATTCTTGGAATTTTGAAACAAAAACTTTTGTAATGATTTTAAAAGCAGATGTAAAACATTTTAACCAATTTATCTAAAGCTAAAGTAAACAATAACAGAAATTTTATTGAGATTTTACCACACAAATTTATTCAAACAATATAGTATTACAGTAAATCATAAGAAATATCTACAACCACACACATATGTATACCAAATTACAAACAATATACAAACAATACATACAAACAATATACATATATTTACATACAACAATAATAATCATATTTCAAACATCCTTTATTCTAACCATTCACATCTTCCTTTCAAATGCCAGGGATGACTCTTGGTTGCTCAATTTCGATAGCACGGTGCACAATTGTGGGATCTTTCTAAAAGAAAAAAGTCATTAAACAAATTAATTTAATCTAAGGCTAATTTCCCACCTTCCAACTGAACGGCTCTGCCAACTGTTCCTGACTCAGATTTGCAAGGGCAGCCTTCAGAAGAGTCGAAATTTGGAAGTAGTCGACCTTTGTCTTGGAGGAGTCGATGGACTTTAAGATCTCGTCAAACGTGTCAGGCATATTAAACAGCAGCAGATCACGTCCCAATTTGCGGCAGTGGATCTTGCAGTCGAGAGTAGAGCTGTGAGGAAGTTTGTCCCAAGGCAAAGCACCTGTAAAAATGAAAAATAGATTGGTTTACAAAATTGGTAAATCTCAAAAAATTTACCATTAAAGAATTCGTGGCACATATAGAACCAGGATTCGATATCGTCCTTCGGCTGGTACTCCACACGGCTGTAATTCGAAATCGGCCTGTAGGCGTCAGTGCCCAATATTGGACACGCTCCGGTTGGACGTGACTTTTCCCGACGCTGCCGAGCCAATCCAAAGTCGATAATGAAGACTTGGTCATCCATCTCAGATTGAGGCAGTCCAACGACGAAATTACTCGGTTTAATGTCCCGGTGCATCCAATTTCGATCATGGAGTGACCATATGCGCGCAAAAGTTTCCAGGCAAAGTTTGAGTGCATCAGCTTGAGTTAAGCTCTGATTGGGTAGCGAGAGTCTAATTCGGTTTAAGTCGGTGCCTAGACGCTGGATCACAAGAACACGGCTGCCGTCGGACGTCTGGAAACGGTCGTAGAGTTCCGCGAAGCCACAAACGCCTTTGCAGTCAAGATAAACGCGAGCCTCAATGCCCAAAGTTCTCCTGTTAATAATTGAAAGGAAGTTAGATTTTATGAGATTATAGCCCTAAAACTCACTTCTTTTCATTGGGAGCTTCAACTTTCACCATACACTCATGTGCCGGATTCTTCTTGTGACGCACAAAGTAGACTCTGGAGAAAGGTCCAAAGTGAACGAGACGAAGCGGACCATATCCAACACGCATGATGGCAAACAAGTCACTGTCACGCACGGAGGGATCTGCTCCTTCTGGCACTGCAAGCTTGTCGTTGCTCACGCTTCCCTTGTCTTCTTTACAACATGCTTGCTCCTGAGGCTGCTGCTTCTCGAAGCTTGCATCCGGCGCGCTTGGAACCTGTAATTAACTTTGTCTGTATTATATGAAATGGACTCGTTTAAGAAAAACTAGCCTTTTTGGCCTGGGGCCTATTTCAATTGTCCACAGATTCTGCATTCTGTGCACAGAACACAGATTCTGTGGAAATTCTGTTTCAATTAAATTCTGTGTGCACAGAATCTGTGGTGCCCGCAGATTCTGCGGAAACATCCAATGATTCTGTGGAAACATTCCGCAGATTCTGTGGATGAAAATTTCTGTGGAAAATATAAAAATCTGTGGATTTTTTCCACTGATCCACAGAATTTGTATTTCAATTATTTTTCTGTGGTTCTGTGTATTTTTTCTTCTAAATTCAAATTTTTTATTTCCGCGTTTTTGAAAATAACAGTTTTATTGAAACGAAAAATGGTTTGGACAGTTCGGTACTACCGCAGTATTAATGGTACCTGATTTTTTGAAGTAAAACTTTAAAAATTCTTAAATTAAACTGAAAAATATTGTAAAGATTTAAAAATTTTCCCTCCAAATCACATAACATCCCTTTAAATCTCTTTGATATCACTTTAAAACCGCTGATATACCGCTTAATTTTCTTGTTCATCCAATATCCTTAAATCTCCAATTAAATTAATGTCCTAAAGCAGGGTTCGGATCGGAAAAATCAGGAGATGTCGATCCGACATGTGGCTTTTTCAAACTACGATAGAAGTTGTTGCAAGGGAGGGAAATGTTACAAAACTGGGGATTGTTTAGTCAGAAATTGAGGTTCCTGGAAATCGAAAATGCCTGGAATCCAAAATTATAGTCAAATCGGAACTTTAAAATCGTAGAGGAGTGATTAAGTGGGATATCCATTGATTTTGAGGTTTAATATATTGGAGTGATTAAGGAGGAAATCTATCATTAAATAGGAGGAGAGATTATGACGGATATCAATGAGAGATCATGGGAGATATCCCAGTATACGCTATACAGATATCTTCTATAGATCCTGGTAAACATCCCCTCATTAGAGATATCCATGATGATTAGAACATCATAGCTCTAAATTTCAGAATCTCTCACGTTTTTTATTTTTTTATTGCTTGAATATAACAAAAACTGCGTAAAAAAGATGTACCTTTTTCAAAATTAATTTTAAGCAATAATTTTAGGTAATAAAATTATAATTTTTATATCAAAAAATAGAGAATGATTCAAACTTTAATAATCTTTAAAAATTTTGAAATTTGGTTAAGCCTAGGCCTAGAAAAAAATTGTTAAAGTTTTTCCACAGAAAGTTCGCAGAAAAAATTTTAGGGTGGATTTTTTAAAGAATTCTGTGTATTTTCCGCAGACCACAGAAATAATTGAAACAGAAATGCACAGAATCGACTAAAAAAGCCACAGATCTGTGGATTTTTTTCTGTGCACAGAAAAATAATTGAAATAGAATTCTGTGGTTTTTGCATGTTTTTGGATGTTTTGCAGAATCTGTGGATGTTTCCACAGATTCTGTGCATGTTTCCACAGAATCTGCGGACTTCTTTTTCCGCAGAATCTGTGGAATAATTGAAACAGAATTTCTGTGGTTCTGTGGTCTGTGCACAGAACGCAGACCGCAGAATCTGTGGACAATTGAAATAGGGCCCTGATAGAGCGTCTCGTTCTCTGCCAACGGCTGCGCCCTTGTAGACAAGTCAACGTAGGCGGACTGATCGAAATTCGGCTGCTGTATCACGTCGGCTGAGTTGGTAGATTCGGCTTGACCGCCGTCGACGCAGCAATGGCCAGCAGGTTCGGGCGCTGTAGTCTGCTGTTGATTCTGTGATGCTGGGTTCCACGCGGCCGCAGGTGCGCCTAAGTTGATGTAGTCGGAGTCCATTGAACAGAAAAAGCTGGAAGATTGGGTGTATTGTCGGTGATGGTTGTCCGATGATAACCCGGTTGCTTTTATATTGAAGCGTAACTGATAAAACAGGGAATTCCTAGTATAAAAATTGAACAAATGGACGAACTAAGCGGCACAACTCTCACAACTCATGATGGCGCCGAATCGGAAGGAAGATTCTCGTGGACGTCGACGCAGCAAGAGCAGGGACAACAGGCGCGTATCCGTCGACAATAGGCGTTGTTCTGTCGGCAACAGAAGGATGGTAACAGCCGGCAACCATCGTCGAACAGCTCAAGGACGCAGTGCATCCAGGGGGAGGACGGCAGGTGGTCAGCAATCCATTGTAAGGGGAGTCAGGACGCAGCATCGAGTCGCAGCATCGAGAGCCGCAGTTGAGCCTTTACCAGACGAAGAACGACAACGGTCATCAACAAATTCGCTCATACAAGAACAGAATGCTGCTCAGCGCTGGTTTAAAGGTAATTTTCTTGAATTTTGCAAAATTTTTTAAAAAGCTGATTTGTATTTTTATATTTTAGTCATCAATCAGGACGAAGTCAGGATTGTTCGTCAACAGTACGCCCTAGATCTCCAGCAGTACAGGCGACCCGGCGGAACGTACCAGGCTTTCAATCGGATCGAGAGCGAGTCTCTGGGCCTAAACCGCTATGAGGACGTCCAACTTCTGGACCATTCGCGGGTCATCTTGAAAAGTTCCGGCGGGATAGACTACATTCATGCATCACATGTAAAAGGTGGACCTTTTCCAATGATTTGCGCCCAAGGACCCGTGGACAGGACGATCGGCCACTTCTGGACAATGGTTGCAGAAAACAATTGCGCGGTAGGACTTAAATTTTTAGCTGAATATCAACGTTTAAAATAAATTGTTCGTTCAATTTCAGGTCATCGTTCAACTCTGCCAGTACGTCGAGGATGGGCGGAGGAAATGTGCAGACTACTTTCCGCAGGGGAAATCGACCAACTATGGCAACGTCACTGTGGAACAAAGGGGCCAGACAAAGGAATCGCCGTCTAACCCGCATGTGAAAAGGACATTGTTCAACGTCGCACTGAGAGGAGAAAAGCCCATGGATGTAAGCAAAGAGTGAGTGTGAGTTAACCCGAATTCTTAAAATTATAGGTAGCGCATTTCCGGTTCGATGGATGGCCCGATCATGACGTCCCTGACAATCCAGCTTCGTTTCGCCAATTCCGACTTGCGATTCTGCGACAGGCGATCGAAAAGAAGTGCACCGTACTTATACACTGCAGCGCTGGAGTCGGCCGCACTGGCACTTATGCGGCCATCGAGATTGCCATCAGAAACCTGATCCAGAACGACCACCTGATCCAGATGTCGACCGTCTACCGAGCTGTGCGCAATCAACGGGAGCGGGCAATTCAAACTGACCTTCAAGTACTCTACATGTACCTGTTTCTAAAAAAAAATTTTTTTTTAATTTTCAGTACCTGTTTCTCCACAGAGCAGTCATCGATGCAGCCGTCGTGGCAGGCAAGCTTGAACAAGCGACAGTGGAAACGTTCCTTGCCGAATATGAAAAGGTCGTCAAGCGAAAGCGGAGGGAGGCTGCGGAGCAGTATGAAAAACACAGGGCTGAACAACAACAAAGAAGAACTGATGGATAATTGTGTTGATTTCACTCACTTATTGTTCTTTTGCCTTATATAATTGTGTTGATTTCACTCACTTATTGTTCTTTTGCCTTGTATAATTGTGTTTATTTCACTCACTTGTTGTTCTTTTGCTTTGTATAATTGTGTTGATTTTACTCATTTTTTTTGTTTGTGAATAAATAAATATATGATAGATTTGTTTAAATTGTACTATGACTAAATTTATAATTAGGGGTATCTTAAAAATTTACATCCAAAAAAATTAAGTTGTGGACTAAATCCACTATTGTTGTGGGAAAATTTTTGTTAAGTTTGTTATTTCATCATGAGTTCAATAAACTCTATCAACATTTCCATCCTTTTGGCCCTTTGTAAGCCCTAAAATTTGCTACAAGTCTATCCTAAAAAATATTTACGTGTATACATTTTCTCTTAAAAATGATCAATACTTCCAAAATACACCAAAAATGTTAACTTACTGAATTCCTCATCTTAATCTTCATAAATCAATTTTTGGAAATTTTATCTTGTGTTGGCTCTTAGAAATTAAAAAGGGAATGTGTCAAAATTTTCATAAAATCTTTGATAAGAACGAAATTTAAAAAAATTGTTAAACTTCAAATCTAAATCTCAAAGAGTCAATGAATGAAAACCAAGTTTAGGGAATAAGTGAGCTATGCCGAATGACGCCTCATATGTCCATATCCGTCCATGCATTAAAAACCCCCTACAAGTGAAGAATACCTAACAATGTCCGATGTATTAAATCCGTAATAAAATCAAGGGATGGCCGAACAAATAATTAACGTTTTTAATTTTAAATAAAGGATTTTTCCAACCAGAATTTATTATTATGTATGTATTTAAAATTTTTAGCAAGAAGTTTATAATAAATGATATTTATATACTCAAAATAAAGAACACTTAAAATAACTCATTTTACAGCCTCTATCCATTTTTTCATGACTTTATTCCCAAATTTATTACAAAAACAAAATACTCTTTTCTTAAGTTTTCATAGTGCAAACTGCGCATTTATCAAAGAGAGATGAGAAAGATCCAATTTTTTTAATTTTTCAAGCAAGAATGTGATTGCCGAGTGAGCAGGCTGCGTTAGTTACTCCGACTGATACTGTTCTTTAACTATACAACCTACTACCTCAACATACACATTATGCCATTTAAATTTATATTAAGTTTGTAATTTGATGGCTCAAAACTCTTCCAAGATTATTTTTTCAAATTTTAAACCTCTCATTTAAACAAAAAAAGGGTTAATGACTTTACATAATTGAAAATTTATTTTTCAAATAAAATCAAAAATTCCAAAAAAAAACAGTTTAAAAAGGAACAGCGATTAAATATTTTTCGTCTAATGATTCTCATTCTGTTATTATCAATAATTTGTGTTGTTAATGTTGTAGGAAAAAGAATTTAATATTTTAGATTTTAATATTTAGTTTTAACAATTTTAATGTAGAATTGCTTAAAAAGGCCTTTCCACCTAACCAATCCACCCGAAACGCCGAGCCAGTCTACCCAAATGCGGCCCGTTCTGGACTTGCCAAGGACGGACACGAGAGACTAGTTCGGATCTACGGGTTGACCAGATAGAGATTTTAGCCATAATCAGAATGAATCAAAGAAAAAAATAAACATTTATGGTCAACAATTAGATTTAAGAACGATCGACCCAGTTAATCTGAAGTAAGTGAAAAGAAAACGATGAACGGGAGATGTACCCCAAAAAAATTTTAAAATCCAAGCCAAGCGCAAAAAAATGAAAATTTCTCATAAAATAAGAGCTGGGAAACTGGTCAAAAATATAAATTTTAAAAAAATTTTCTTCTAGAACAACAGAAAACATAGCACTTGTATGAGTGAATCGTTGGTGAACAATGTAAGTGGTAAAGACCGTCTAAAGTCCACTAGACGGCGCCAGAAGGGACTAAACACGAGGGAAAGAAACGATGAAAACCCAAGCGCCATTGACCAGATGAGTGGACAAAAGAAGAGGAAAAAAGAAAAAGACAGCATAAAAAGATATGTAGAATAATGAGGGAGAGCTGTGTCTAAAAGGAACCATTTTGGCAAACTGCCAAAATTCGCCCAATTGAAGGATTTAAAATTTTGAACAGGTAACAAAAGAGAATTTTCTAGAATTATGTATTTATTGTTAAAGATCAAATTAGCAGAGAAAAGAAAAATTATTAAAAACACATGAAAAAGCAGAGAAAATATGTATCAGTACAAAATATAGCTATAAAAGATGTCACGGCCAAAATGGGTATAGAAAAATTACCGATGAACTTCAAAATTTTACTGCACCCGTATTCTGTACCGTAAGGAATACCGATAAATAACGTCAGTAGTACGTCACCGGAGTTAAAACATCGATTTTTAAAAATTCGGAAAGGGTTAGGTGAGTTAGAGGGATTGATTTTATTAGTAATTTTCAAGGAAAAATGGGAACCACGGAAAAATTTTTATCGATACGAAGGAACCTAGGCATATTGAACGGAACGATGACCGCAGCGAAGGCTTACCCTCCGCAGCAGCATAAAGTTTTTCCAGCGAATATTCAGGTTGGCATAATTTTGTGACTCAACTGGCCTTTTCCTCAGTTTTTTAAAAATCGACATTTAAAACCATTTTGGCCGCGTTGATCTCATGAGTGACTAGTGTGATTATGAAAAGAAATATCAAGAAAAGGGATAGAAAAATCTTCAAGGTTAAAAAATAGTTTTAGAACATTTATCGTTAGAAAATTAAGAGATCTCTGTTTGGTAACGAAAATGACCGGAAAGAAAATAAAACGAAATTTATTCTTTTGGAACATATTTTTAGTGTGAATGACCAATGGCGGAGAAACGAGGTTAAACTAAAGATTAGTGACTGTGAAAGGAAAGGAGAAAAATAGAGAAGAAGATGGGGGAGTTTAAGTCACGAGAAATGGTTATTTGGCGAAAAGCCAACAAACGACCACCAAAGAATAGAGAGAATGCGCATATAAAAAGAGAAAATAGAAGAAAATATACAAGTAGAGGTATGCAAAGAATAAATAGAGAGTGAAAGAGAAGAGAGATTGTTGTTCTTTCAAAACACAAAATATTAAGAGAATGGACAAAATGTCCATGGAATTTTTCTCAAAAATGTGTTAGCTTTTTTGAATGACAAAATGTCCATAGTGTCCTTTTGCAAAAAATTGTGTACCAGAGGTGGGCGCATTGCGTTATTTGCGTTAAATTTTGGCCTTGCGTTGAGTTTTGCGTTTTTTAAGATGTCTCTTGCGCCCACCCCTGTTGTGTACTATAAGGCCCTCCACCAAAAATTTTATTTTAAAATTTGTTTACTTTAGGCGAAATGTACGGTATTTTTTAGCCGATGTGTGAACGGTATTTTGTCCTGCCACGCCCAGTTTTTTGAAGGGAGGGAAAAAATTTTTTGAAAAAATTTTTCTCATGTCATTTTACTCCCCCCTCTACTACATATAAATTACTGACCATTATGTCTCTAATATTTTTTAAAATTTTTCTTTCTCCAATTTTTCCTAAGCTTGCTGACCGCCGATTAGTAGTGTCCTAAATGTAAGCGCGACAGGAACGGACAGGCACGGACAGACAAAAGAAAAGGTAAGAGACGCAGAGTTAGGAAAAACAAAATAGAGAAAATTCAACGCTCGAGGCGAATGATGAAGAGAAAATGAAAAATAAAAACATTGAAAGAGGGAGGGAGAGGGAGGGGATGTTTTTGAGGCTATTCGGGTTGAAAAATATATTTTTTGGCCCCCAAATTGTGTTTGTTGTCGTCGATATGTGTAGGAAGGAGATGACATTAGGAAAAAGAGATGTGAGTAGAAAACTAAGGGAAGACATGTAAATGGGTGGTCTCGAAATCAGAAAGGGGGTCGGGAATGGAAAAAGAGGAATGAGGTTAAAATTTAATATTTTAGAGGGACTAACAAAAATTCATATTTTTAAAAATAAAAATGAATTATGTATAATTCACAGGAGAACATCTTACTTAAAAAAAGAATTGAGACAAATAAGGAAAATTGAAAATCTGAGGGAAAAAAAGAAAATTCTTGAAAAGTTCATTTTTCTGAGAAATAAACAAATTATCCTAATGAAGACCAAGAAAATTTCCATCGAACTTATAAAAATAGAATTTGGTAAAATGTGCGTAATGGCTTGGATTTTAAAAATATATTTAATCCGTTAGTAGTTGTTTACTATTTTTATTTTGTTTTTATTTATTTTTAATATTATCGACCATAAATTATTAAATAAACAAAAAATATTTCATGTAAACAATCGAGAATAGAAAATTAGAGAAAATTAAAAAAATTGATGAGAAAAAGAAACATGCGCAGTTTGCACTTTTTCCTTAATTTTTTGGGAATTTTTCTTAAAGCCTAAATGCCTTTTTAAAATTTTATTTTAAAATAATGCACACTATAAAAAATTATTATTTTAAAAAATAAATACATATTAAAAATAATTTTCCAAAATTGAGAGAACAATTGACTCTGGTTTTGTATTTTATTGTCTCAACAAGTCTCGCCAAAAAATATTTGCTACAAATTCAAGTACCACAAATCGGTAATTGGGTATCTAGTAGAGATCAAGTTGGGTCTGGACAGCTCGATCTTTTCCTGTACCCAGAGTCCAGGCCCAGGCATTTTTTGACCTTACTGGGGTTTTCCTAGGCCTGGGTTTTTCCTGGACTACAGGCCCAGGTCACTAAATTAAAAACCCAGGGGCAGGCCCAGGCTTTTCAAAAATCTTAATAACTAGTATCTACTCGATGGTCTATTCCCAAAACCAGAGTTTTTCTTTGTTTCTCAAAATTTTTATTAAAAAAATAATAAAATACATACCAAAAAATGAGAAAACATCCCCCCAAAATAGCAATAAAATATCCAAAAAATTGCGTGACGAATTTAATTTCTTTTAAAATATTTTGACTTAAAGTATTTTTTAAAAGGTTTTTATTGGAGAAAATAAATAAAAACACTGGAAGCAAATAAAATATACTAAATGAATCATCTTTGTTGAGTTTTTTTGGACATTAGTCATCATTTTTAAATACAGGGGGGAAGGATATTTAATTTAGAATTTATATTGAGGAGGTAATAAAAAATTGTTGGAATTTTTTAATTTATGTAGAGGAAAATAAATATTAATTTTGAAGAAAATTTAATTAATTTATTGTTGTTAAAAGGGTTGCTGAAATATTTTAAGTATTTTAGAGAAAAATAAATCTGAAAACTTTCCAAAAATGTTTAAGTAATTAGCAAAACAAGCATTTTTTAATAAAATTGATGTAAAATCAAGTCTAGATATATCTGAAAGGATCGAGAAGGTCGAAAGACATTTTAGCAGAAATCCTAGTCAGCAACCTATAAAAAGGTTTTGTTATTTAGAGAATTTCATGATAAGACGAAATAAAAGGAAAATAATTTTGGCAATATATTTAATCCGAAATATTAAAAGAGGGGAAAATGATTTATATTATTTATTTATTCTCTCAAAAGAATCAGGAAATAAATCAAAAAAAATTCTGAAAATATTTTTCTTTGATAAAAAATTTATTTTTAATTAAATTTTGAGTAATGAAATAAAAAAAATACTGAAGAAAACAGAACATTGAGGTTTGGTTTAATTATTCAAAAAATATATGTGTGTTACATTAAAATAAATTAAAATGAACGCAACATGGCCTTATTGTTAGCTTATATTAATTCAAAAAAAATATTTGGTTATTCAATAAATAAAAGAGAATTGTGTATAAAAATGGTTAAAATGGAAAAGAAAAAAACCAGCCGGCCAAATATATTACAGAAAAAAAGTCATTCGGTCGCAACAATAAACTGGAAAAAAACTAAACAGACGAACGCAAACAAACGGCTGGTTGGCGATTTTGAAGGGAAAAAATGTTTAGCAATAATGACAATTGTATGTAAAACAAGGAGAAAGAGAGGGGGAAAATTCTGTTTTTTAAAGATTAAAAAGTGGTCAATGAATTATTTATTCTTTTTATAATGTTTGAAACCAAAAAGAAGTCTCCAGATGTCTGGCTGAAAGATTTAAAGTGGGGGAAGGTAGAGGGGGAGAGACTGGAGGTGGGGACTGGTTGTTGTCTTTAAAAGAGGAACTAGCCTTAGTTTTTGGGGACTAGTTCTGCTACCTTATATCTCCTCATTATAATCTTCAGAAGTTCCTAACCCTTCACAAACGTCCACAAACATAAATATTAATATTTGACCAAAAATGCGCATTTTTAAAGAAAAAATGTTTTTCAAAAAATATATGTACGATTACGTCCAGCTTTGGGTAAAATGTAATGAGGAAAGAGAAAAAATGGGGGGAAGTATAATAAGGAGGAGAGTAATGTTGTTGTTCTTCGTTTTCATTCTTGTGTTTTCATCGAGAGGAGGGAGAAAAAATGGCTGCCTCACAATTCTTTCATCTATCATTTATATATTGGTGAGTAAACGACTGGTTGGAGAAAAATATGAAAGAAAGGCGTAAAACCACTTTTTTCGGACTGTAAAAAAGAGGAATTGAGAGTAGAGTGAAAGAATTAGACTTGAATGAATGAAGAAATTTTTAAGAGAGAAAAAATAAAATCGATTGGTCAAAGGGGAATAATAATATTTTTTCACAATATTTTGAAAAGTTGCGACAGATTCTCTCTAAACTGATTTTTGTTATTTTGCATGATTATGAATGATTATTAACTAGAATTTTAGATAGGAGGGAGACTTATGCATAAAGACAAATAGTATACATAGTAAAATGTTAATCCTTCAGTTAGTTTTTTCTTCTAATATGTAAATATTAGAAGAAAATTTCTTCTAATATTTTTCTTCTAATAGTTTTTTCTTCTAATATGTTTACATATGTTATAGTGATAATAATGGTGACATAAGTCTGATTTCTATTGTCTGGCCAAAAAAGGAATAAATAGCCTATAAACTATTCTAGTTAGAATTGTTTGATAACTAGTTCTTTTTGTATGTGACATACTTTTTCTTTGGAATTCTCGACGAGTAATTAAGGGTGTGAATTGCTGAAGTAAAATGAATTAAATGAGGATTGCCTTTGAGGTAGTAATAGTGAGACTAGTTTTTCTTATACAAGAATACAATTATTAATTTTAAAAACCAGATAGGTATGTAACTGTTATTTAATTTTTGCATTGTTTTGGTTTAAAAAGTAGAACACTTTATTTTATAGAAATTGCAGAAAGAATGTTTATTAGACTTAAAGAATCATTGTTTGCTTGTAAAAGAGGAAGAAACATTTGCATAAAACCCCTCCCATTAATTACAGCTGACAATGAGAAGGGAATGTGAAAGTATGTAGTTTTTAATTCCTTCCTAAAAATGACCAAAGATCGTAACGCGTGGCCACACTTTAATTTTTAATTTATATTTTTAGGGAAAAGAAGATTAGTCAAAAAACTGGTTTAGCAAATCTGTGCGCATTCTTTCTCTCATTTATGTTAAAAATTCCGGAATGTAAAAAAGAGAAAATTGTTGCATGGATCATTGCATACATTTTTATACAAATTAAATTTTCTAGTGGAAGATATGAAAGAACAAAAAAAAACTAGACTGGTTTAAGTTGTGGAATGATCAAGTAAAAAAGCTCTTCGTCCTTGGAATGTTTTTAAAAAATTAATTTTTGTTTTTAAAAATAAATTTGAAAGAAAAAACATTTTTAATAGAAATGAGATTAAACGGGTGAAGACTAGGTAGAATGGTACCTAGAGATTTTTCATTTTGATTAGTCTTCATGAATCCTCCATAATAACCCAGGAATTAAATAAAAGGAAAGTTTGGTCAAATAATAATAAGCGACCTTCTCGACATGTTTTCAATTTCTCAAAAATATTAAAGGTTTTCAATATACTTTTGTAATAATTTTTCTATCACCTGAACTGACAGGAGATTAAATATATTAAAATGTCACGCGTATATGAAACATGTAGAATAAGTAAAATATGCAAATAAATTTATAATAATATATGTAAATTAATATATATTTTTGCAATATCACAAAAATTATATAGAATATATATCTCGTAATAATAATCGAATTGCTTATTTTGAGTAAAGCAAAGTCAGAAGGCAATAATGAGCATTTAATTTAAAATAAAATTAAAAATCGGAATCAGAATCATCAAAAAGGCCTTTTCTTTGTTTTGGTACATCTAAATGATAAGAAATTTTTAAAAAAAATTAGAGAAATTGTTTAATTGCTTTTAAAATTGAATATTTTCCTTTGTTTCCTTCGGAACAGGGAAAAGAGATTTCCCCTGTTTACTTTCAAAGCTGTGTAGAGCTATCCCAATAAATATCATTTAGAAGTGTAAGAAAATATCAAAAAGTAAAGGGAAATTTTAGACAAAAAGTTTTCTCATTATTATTTTTTTCTGTTTTCCCGGGTTTTCCATAAATTTCATTACAAAATTATTTAAAAAAATTTACCCTGTTTTGATTTTAACTTTTCTACATTTTGTTGTTTTATTTCTCCAATATTTTCAATTTTTTGTTTAAATTGTTTTGGCTGTTCTACAACTTTTTCTTTTACAATTTTTTTATTAATATTTAAATCAAAATCATCGTCACTACTCGAAGAGAAAATTGAAAGACCTTTCTTTATTGGTTTGGGATTATTAAATATTGCAGTTGATTTTTGGTGGGTATTTTCTAATAATTGTTTTGGTTGTTCTTTTAATTGTTTTGGAACTTCTTTTGAATTTTCTTTTATAATTTTTATGTCTTCTTTTAAAACTTTAGTTACTTCTATAGGTTTTACAACTTCTTTTTCCAAACCTTCTGTCTCTTTTATAGTTTTATGTCCTTCTTTCTTATTTTCCAATTCTTTTATTTCATTTTCTTTAGATTTATTAAATGCCTCATTTAATTTAGCATTTTCATCCGAATTATTTTTTTGTAATTTTATATTTAAATGTGAAGGGGCTCTTCTTGACGCTGGACCTTTAACTCTTCCCTAAAAAACAAATAAAATTATAAAATAATTTTTAAAAAACCTTTAATATATTTAAATGTTCATTTGAAATCTCTGCATTTTCCTCTTGTTCCGTTTTTTCTTCTTTTTCTTTCTGATTTGTTTCCTTTGTATTTTTCTCATCAGGACGGCCAATTGGAATTTTATTACCAATTTGAGCTATTAAACCTTTAACAGAAACAGAACTAAATTCATCAGTTTTGGACTCTTTTTTATCATTTTGAATTGAGGAAGTAAATGATTGTTCCTTAAATTAATTTTAATTTTAGATTTATTTAAATTTAATATACCGTCAATTGTTGATTTTGTTTGAAAGAATTTAATCGATTATTTGAAGGTTTTGAAGTCTTTTCCATCTCTTTTGTCTAAAAAATAAAAATATTTGCGGATAATAAAAGTATGACAAAGCCTGGGACAGAATGGTGAATTAAATTTTAGAAAACAGAAAAATTTAAAAAAATTCTACGAAAAATCTAACTTTGTTTTATATTTAATCCAATATTTTCTGTAATAATTGGAGGGGGGGGGATTCCCAGATGAAGTCAAGAAATAGAGTATTTCTGATAAAAATGTAAAAATTAATGTTCGTCTTTCTAGTCTAGCACCTATAAAAATTTTTAAATTTAACCTTCAAGGAATGTTGAATCACTACATTGTTTTGATCATCTTTTGGAATAGTAACAATATTAGAAGGAACTTTTTGTTGTTCATTAGATATTCCACTTGTTACAGATTTTTTTGTATTTGATGAGAAAATGCTTGTATTATCTCCATAATCATCACTTTCTGTACTTGAAAATAATTCTTCGTCTCTTTCCTTTGCAGAAATTGGATTTTTAATAAAATTAGTTGATTGTTTAGAAGAATGAATTGAAGATTTTTCTGAAGTTTTTTCTTTTATGAAATGAGCATTTTCTGGCTTTTGTATTTTCTAAATTAAAAAATAATTTTATAAAAATGTGGAAAAAAATAATTTTATAAAAAATGGGCCAATTTAGTTAAAATTAAAGACATCAATTGTAAACAATTTTTATTATAAAACAAACAAACTTATTGTCTTAAAAATTGAGGAAAGGGAAGAATGGTTTTTAAAAAAGATTGTTTTTTAACAGGTTGACTAATAATAAGTTTGAGCTTAGAAAAATAATGAAAATAAATTACTTCAGCAGGCCGCGAACTTGTTGAAGTTTCATAACTTGTTGAAGAAAAAGATGGACTTGTAGTTTTACCCGAATTTTCCAAAGATAACCCTTGAGAAAGGGAAGAATGTTCAGAATTTCCCTTAAAAGTAAATTTTAAAAAATTTTTAAATAAATTTATAAACCTGTTCAATTCCCATTGCTCTATTTTTCTCAGCCATTTTTGCAACCATTTGATCAAGAAGTGTTTTTGTTTGATTAAATCCAGCAGTCGGATCTTGAGGAGGAATAGAACGTCCAGAAGATGTTGACTGAATATCCTCATCTTTTAAAGTGACTTTTTGAATTGAACTGAAATTTAGAAAAAACAAAAATGTTAGAGAAAAATTAAGTCAGCTTCATTGCTAAAAGAATTTTAAAAAATTCAGTCCTAACAATAAGCCATGAAAAGTTTAGTACTAACAATAAAAATGAGAGGAAAGCTCTAAGAAAATAAATAAAAAAACATAAGTTCTGCAAAGTTTTAAGGCATTCGTATTGCATTTTAAAATAGAGCAGAAAACAATAAAAAAATTTTAAATATAAACTCTCTCCCTTACAACTCCAATCCCTGATAACTACTTCCAAGTTTGGGATAAACCAAAAATATTGCTAAAAGCAATTAAATGATGGGAAGCTTTTATTTTGTAAGTTTGTCAAAACTCGATTTAAACAAACCTTTTTTCAACACTTGTTGTAATACTTTGAGTATTTTCTTTCAAAACAACTCCCCTTCTTGAATAATTAAAAGACTCCTTTGATCCAATAATTGGAGGAAATTTGCACATTTTAACAAAAGGATTTTCAATTTCTTTATTAAAATCAGAATTTATTTGAGAACTGCTACAAGGATCTAAAGGATCGGAAGTAGAAAAACCCTCAGTAATTGGAATATTTGTTTCAGAAATTTTTTGAAAAGCTTTGATAATTGAAGAAGAAATTGTCTGAATTGTTTGTTGTTCAAATTCTTCTTTTGTTAAATTCTTAAAAATTTAAAAAAATTTTCTAAATAAAATTATTCAAATAAACCTTCTTTTCATTAACATTTTGTTTATTTTTCTGAACAAGAGTATCTAGAGAAATATCATCAACCTTCTAATTAAAAAAAGAATTTCAATAAAATAATTAAACATTGAGGTAATAAACCCTAATTATAACAGAAATATGAGTAAGGTGGGAGTTTACTTGCTAACAACCTAATAAATCTCTAATCAAGGTAAACAACTTTATACAACGGCGCAAAGCTAAACTTACTGGAAAATTTGTGGCCTTAATCAATTTTGATACCAATCTCCTTAGCTCAATTAGAGGAATCGTTAAATACTAAATTTTGTAAGATTAACAAATCTTAATGCAAGTTACGGCTTCGCGCCGTTTTGGGCGCGTCCACTTTAAATAAAACCAAATTAGGCTTTAAAAATTTTTACAAGAATCCAAACCCAATATTTCCAAAAATAAAAACTAACCTCCTCAACAAGTCTTGTCATCTTTAAATAATTCAAATTATTAAAAACATTTCCCAATCTAACATCAATTTTCTCCATATTTTCATTTAATTTTTTTATTCCTTCATTTAATCCTTCACTCGATTTAATTAAATTATTTGAATATTCTTCAAGTATATTTTTTAACTTTAAAAAAAGAAATTTAAACAAATCAAGATTTAATTAAAAATTACATCAATATCATTTTGAAGTGTCCAGTCTTTGGAATTTTCTGCAAGACTATCCAATTTATCAAAATTTGAATGAGACATTTACATAGTATTTTACCTGAAAAATTTTAAAAAATAATGCAAATTAATTAAAACAAAAGCATGACATTTTATTTTGTCACTGACCATTTTACCACAATTTTCCATAGAACATTTTATAATTGTTCTAGTTTTAGTTGTTTCGTTATTTTCTAATGTGAACATTTAAAATTTATAGGAACAGTTCAGTGCCAGAAACAGAGCGAATAAATCTTCTGTATCATCAAAAAAAGAAATCGGAAAAAATAGTTCAAAACGGGTCAATCGGTTTTTCGATTTTGATTTCTAACCAAATGCCAGTTTTATTATAGAAGACTATTGCCGCCACCCTTAACTAATTGTCTAAGTAAGAGCTAAAAGTACTTTCTAAAGACTTGTCGGGAAGAGGATTATTTTAGAGTGGTACTAATTTTTAGAGAGAGATATGTATTTCAGAGGGAACACTGTAATTTTTTATTTAGCTAATTAATTTACCATATTTATTACAAAACACAAATTACAACCAATACAAACAACAAATGAAAATAAATATATTTAACATTTGTAAATATCGAATAAGGTTTTTCTTTTTTATATTTCTTTACAATATTCTAGACAAAACTGGCAACATCTAGGCAAAGCAAATAGCATCCTATCATTATCCAATCCGAAGACCATCAGCATTTGAACGTTCCCACACTTGCCAATAAGTTCTCCTCACTAAAATTTTAAAGAGAATTTTATATTATAATTTCTCTCTCTAGGCTACCTCTGGCAGACTCTGGCGGTTTTAACGTCGTCATACTCATTGTCCCAGGCCCGTCGACGAGAAGGTGACAAACCAAGAGCCGTATTAGTCTCCGAATTGCTGATGGCAGTAGTGACTCCAGACTCTCCTCGAGGAGGCGAACGAGAACGGGCAGAACGTGTAGAGAGCAAATCTGTTTTCAAAAAAAGATTATTTAAAATTTTGATGGTTGAGTGTCAACACAAACCATTCGGCAACTCATCCACGAACGATGTTTGCTCGCTGGCATTATCTGTCTGAAAAAATAAACATTTTTCTAGGACAATTATTCAAATTCAACACACCTCTCCCCCTGTGTTGGTCTCCCCACTTTGCTCACGTCCTCCGCTGGTACTTCCCGAACGACTGCTGCTCCTTCTAGTTGACCCCGAAGTTCTGCCGGTACCCGATTCATTAGATTGATGCACACTCGTGTCACTTCTCTCACTCGATGCTACGTCACTGCGGATGCTTTCTTCGTTGGCGTCCTCCTCTTCCTCCCCTCCTTGTCCCACCTCCTCCTCTTCTCGGTCACCGCGCATCTGCTCAATTTGGTCGTCGGAATCGTTTAGGACTAACTAAAAATTAAAAATTAATTTTACAAAGTCAATAAAGAAAAACAAAAAGATTTACATTTCTGGCCATTTGAACAGCAGGACGAAGCAGAGAATTGTAGAGAGAATCCATCGCATAACAGCACACTGGAAACTTGATGTTGTTTAGAAGTAGAGTTTAAATTATGTTTTCAAGTTTCCCTTTTATACCATTCTTAAGTTTCCCAATTTTTCTGTATTAAATTGCAATAACCTGATAATCAAAAGTTTAGGGTCAAATTTCAGCTAAATATATCACAAGATTTGACTTAATCAGTAAAATAATTTATAATCAGTTTATTTTATCATAACATATATTTTGAAATATATCTTTTTAATACTAAATATCTTTTAAAGGATATTGAAAGAAATAAATTCTTTGTGAGAAAACTCAAAAAACAAGATTTCTAACTTCAACATCGTAAAAATCAACATGTCCCGGTCAACCAAAAATCGAATAGAAGCTTTCTTTGCTTGTTCGAACCTCCCGTTTTGATTGATCAGGATGGGGCCGCCGGAGTCACCGCTAGATAGACCGCGAAACTTGGACCCAGCACAAATACAATCCTTCTTATTACGTGGATGTAATCTAAATAATTCTTTATTCTATTTCGAAATTGAAAATAATTTCTTGTTATAAACTTTTTTGAATATTTGAAACAAAAAATCTAGTATATTTACAAATAAATAATTTAAAAGTTCAAATCCTAGTAACTCAGGATAAAATTGAGATTCACTTACTGTTCACAAAATTTAGAAGAAGCAAATGACAATGTAACTTCATTCAATTGGTCAGATTCAAGCATATGATCAGAAGACGGTGGTGCTTAAAAACGTATCACTGTTCTTCATAAAAATAAAATAATAGAATTACGTGTTTATCTAAATAAAACAAAAATTAAAAAATGAGCAATTTTAAGGTCATCAATAAGGTGGAAAAATTCCTCACATTTTGGTCCTTATAAAATTTTAAAAGGATACAGAATTTACAATTTAATGTAAGGATGATTCATCTTGAGCATTTAAAATGCTTGCATTAGACATACTTAACAAATACGGCCATATAGGAAAAAAGCCTGAAAGTTTTCCTGACAAATGACTATCTATAGAGAACTAACTAGATATTAAACTTCAATCAGTCCAAAAACCTAATTATCAAAACCTTAACAAAAATACGAATCAAATGTTTTTGTAATTTTTATCCAATAAAAAGGTAAAAATGGCTCATAAATGCATAAAAATTAAATGGCATGAATAAAGTGATATTTAAAAGTAGGAATGAAATTAAACGGTATGGCTTGAATTGAAATAGCACGCAGCTGAAACGCAATTTAAGGGGGCAAAAAAATTGTGTATAAAACGACAAGAATTGAGGGAGATAAAAGGCTAAAATAAGTTAAGTTAATAAGCAATTGTTTGTGGCAATAATAATTGGATATCTGTATATTTTAGAGAAATTATTTTAAAAGAAAGCAAAGAGAAAAATAAAGAATTACACACAAAATCAAGCACTCAAATTTGAAAAAAGGAAATAAAAGTGGAGATAAATAAATTAAAAAACGTTCCAAAATGTATTCATTTATTCACTATCATCATAATATTCTACAAGTTCTTCTTCCTCTTGACTATTCTCCGAAATCTCTTCAACTTCTTCAATTTGATTGATACCATTAAATTGATACTCCATCGCCCAATTAACTTTTTCACGGTCTAATAATTCATTGAATAATTCTAATGTCACTTCAGGAATTATTCTAACAGCTAGACGATGATCTACAGATAAATCCATTTGAGGTTTAATTGCAAGTAATTGACGTAATTGTCCAATGGCTTGTTTCTTGCCCCAAGATGTTACAAGGATTCTCATCTTAAAAAATAATAAATTTTAATATTATTTTGAAAGAAAGGAATATATCTAACTTTTGACTTATTTTTATGGGGAAAGCAATTAAAGTCGAGGGATCTTCCAAAACAGAAAATGAGAAAAAACAGAAAATATATCAACTCGAAGTCTCACTTACCGCTCTAGGAAATTCTCTGTCATTGGGCACCAACCTACGCCTCCAAATTCTATAACGTGGATGGCACCGCATCATTATACGCTCACACCCACTCTCTTTGCAAAGAACTTCCAACAATTTGTAATATTCTACAAAATTATCATTGACTGTTGTACTTGGAAGTTCTAATTGAAAACAAGATCCTTCCAATATTTCTTCTTTTACAGATAAATTCTCTTTTTCTACAGTTGAAGGTAAAACAATGTCGAATTGATCAGAAAATACCAAATGTAAATATGTATTTAGCGCTACTTGTTGTAACACTCTCCATTCACCATTATTAAAAAAATGTTGATATTCTAGGCCAAAATGTCGAAAATCAAATATTTCTTTACGATTAGACTGTAAAGAAGCCATCGCCTCCAAAAACATGAAGAAACGCCTACCCAAACTTGAAGAGATATCCGCAGATGGAGATGATGGAGAATCACTCCAATCTTTCGGCGTCTAAAATAAAAATATATTCCTTAAACAAAAGGGTTTTTTTACTTCATAGAAAGATCCTCTAGACAATTCAATGCCTACTACGAATAAACATAAATGTTCTTCTCTGATAGGACTCAATTCAAATAATTTTTGCTTTTGACCCCACTCACTGCAGAAGAACAAGAGAATATCCAACCCTTAAAATAAAAATATTTTAACATAGATTCAATCCTGGTTAAACATATCGCCCAACAACACATATCAGTTTTTAGCTCTGTTCTACTCTTTCGCCAAAAGAAGACTAGAGAAAGATTTCCTAGCAATTTTGGATAATCCTTTCCCCATGCAGGCCCGTAACCAGGGGGGGGGGTGAGGGGGGGAATTCCCCCCCCCCCCCGAAATGGGAAAAAGGAAAAAATTTGGGGAAGGGCTGGGGCAAAATAAGTGAATTTTTTGGCCTACGGCCTCTGAAATTTAAAAAAAATTTTTTTTTCGCCTGCGGCGCTGAAAATCAAATTTTTGGCGCCTGCGGCGCCGAAAAAGTGAATTTTTTTGGCCTACGGCCTTCTAAAATTCTCAAAATTTTCGCCTGCGGCGCTGAAAATAAAAATTTTTGGCGCCTTCGGCGCCAAAAATTTGGCGCAATAAAATTTCCCCCCCCCCCCCCCCGAAAAAAAATCCTAGTTACGGGCCTGTCCCCATGTCACCTTCCCATATCCGCAACAAAAGATAAATTTACTCACCTAGGTATCTCTCTGCATATCGACGCAAAAAACACTTTCTTTCATACTCTTCCTCAGGCCCTTCAAAATCAATTTGGAAAACTCTCTCACGGAATTCTTTAAGTTTTGCTTCATATTTTCTCACAAACAATTTAATATGACTTAATAGTCTATCAGCAAAAGGATCAATTGCCAAATTTGTCACTCCTCTTTTTAATATTGTTGTGCGTTTAACCTTGTCAAGTACATCCCAACAAGCAACCCAAGGAAACGAAAGATATTGTCTTTTGCTTGCATCTGAAATTGTTTAAATAAAATTTATTTTTATAATATCTAAAACTAACAATAAGCAATAGTGTAATAAGCTCTTGACAATAATCGCAATTTTTCTGTCGGATCAACACAAATACCTCTAGCGTCTGTTAACTTCTCAATTTTACCACCAGCAGAAGCAAAAAATTGTTTACGAGTTAAACGGCCAATTTCCCACAGACGCTGACCGATAACATAGGTTGTGTTGAAGAAAGACATATCATCAGTCTCTCGGTCAGAAATGCGATTTCTTAGAACAGAATAACTTGATGAAAACAGTTCTCCTTCACATTGAATTCCATATTCGTCCATTAATCTCTTAAAAAATTTGAACAATTTAACAAGTAAAAGAAAATAAAATGAACAGCAAAAGGATAGAACGTCAAAATGTCTTTTTTTTGTTTTCGTATACTTTAGAGGAGATAATTTCTTTCTACCCCAAATTTTTAAAAAAATAACCTTAATTCTATAAGAATACAAATTATAATCAGTTTGAGCTTTAACCAAATAAGCATCATGTCCATCATTAGAAAGTAACATTTCATCAGGATCAGGTAAATTTGTTGATTCTTGAACAATTATAGAAGAAAGAAAATCACTCAATTCACTAACTCGTCTGTGTAATTGTCCATTAAGGCGACTACTATGATATTGAGGCTAAAAATGCAAATATTTTTAACACATTATCAAAAATTTAAACCTCGGAAGATTCCTTTTCCATAAAATCTGGCGCTCTTTCAAATCTCTCTGGGGGATCAGAACCTTTCCAATTGTATTCTAAAGGGGCAGAATGTTTTCCTGTTTTCGGAAAATCAACTGCTCGTTGATGTTTAAGTGCAATATTGCCACACACCTGAGAAATTCAAAAGTTTACTGATGTAAGTTGTTTATTATAGATTATTAATTAATAGAAAACCTTTAGGGATTAGTTGCAAATCTGTGATTCAACTTAAATAAAATTCACCTTTGCTTTTATTCCATATAAATCAGAACAGGCCAAATGAGCATTAGCGATGCGTCCAATTGAATCGTGCTTTAAGTAATTCACAAAGAATCCTGCCATCTTGTCCTGAAAATCATCATGCTCAAAACTATCGCCAGCTTCCTCATCATAAATAACTGGTGTATAGTCAGCCTGAAAATTTTCTTTAAAAAATAGAAAATTAATAAACCGGTGGTTCATTTTTATTGAAAGCCAATTCTGGATCCCAAATAACTCCATATTCATCTCCATCCAAGTCAGAACCAGCCATTTCATCCTAACAAATGAATTTATTTAAAATTTACTTGTGAAAATAACCGGATGTGGACGAGGTCCAAACCGTGGAAAAACAAGTACATCGACTAAATGATGTAATGCAGGGACATCAATTGCTTCAAACATTCTAACGTCTCCTCCAACAATTGCTGGATTTTTAGAAATTAAAACGGGACCTAAAAATAACTTTTAAACAAAAAAAGTATTGCCAAAAACCTGTCACAATTATCTTCTTTCCAAAATGTCTTTTATTGGCCTTCCCATGATTGAATGCTGCCATTTCATTTGAGTATTGCACAAAAACTTGGCCGTATTGTAATGAATCAGTCTCATCAACAATTCCAAACATTACACGACCAAGTTGATAAGGAATTGCTATAGCTAGTTTCTGACGAAGTTTGAAAAGGGAGACTCTCCCCGCTGCACGAAGAACAAGTCGAAAAAAAGGTTCTTGAGTGAAGTTAATCGCATCTAACATGTCGTATTCAACATATCTTGGTAATTCTGATAATCGTTTACGGGCCCTCAATTCATCGGTCAATGTTGAACATAAAGAGAAGATGTGTTTATCAAGCAACATATGCAATCTTTTACAAATTCTCTCATAAGATTCGACAGAATGAAGTTTTGAAACCTAAAAAATAAAATTATAAAATTTAAACAAAAAATGTTTAACCTGATCAAGTATATTAATTAAAGGTTTGTTAAGAAATAATGGCACTGGCGCAGAATACTTTACGACTTCAAAGCGGCATAAACGTTCTTCTTCTTCTTGAATTTCAAACTTCTTTTGTGAAGGACGGAAATAAAAGTCCACCGCCATGTAGGACTCTCGAGTCTCCTTTTCTGATTTTTCTTTATGAAGCTTGTCAAAACATTTTTTAGCTGCATCCAAATTTGGGTTAATTGAAAGAACACCTTTATAGCCAGCGTAGCGAAACTAGAATTGACAGTTGAACTAAAATCAAATTAGAAAAATACCTGAATGCACGACGGAGGATTCATTGGATCAAGCTCCATTTCTTCTGCTACTTTTCTCGCAGCTGCCATACTCATACAACCACATCCATCAGAAATTGTATAATGCTCTCCTAAATTTAACATAAAACTTTAAAATATTAAATCCAATGTAAACCATTAGAATTCGGCCCTCCAATAAAATCAAAACCAAGCATTTGTAAACTCATATCAACATTAGTATCTCTTCCTTGGGTAAAACAAAGGCCAAGACGAGACATCATTTTAGGTATACCTTTTTTTTGATCGAAAAGGCCTAATCGCTTGCGAAACTCTCCAACCTCTTCTAGTTCAGCCTGAATATAATTTAAAATATAATTTTTAAAGTAACGGCGCAGATTACAGACTACACCTTTAAAGTTTGCATGGGGTTTAATAAACTGTGCAAATCACAAAGTTGAAGGCGGGCTTTAAATAATTTGCTTCGTTTTCGAAATCCAGTCACCTAAAAATCGAAAAATCAAGAATTTTTAATATGCAAATGAAAAAAGTATTAAGACGAAGCAAAGTATTTAAACAAAGCATTTAAAATCCGCCAACAGATTCGCGATTAGCGCATACTAATAACGATAAAGCTGATTTTTATAAAAAAAAAAATTTAACGGTGTATTCTGTATTTAAGCAAAAATATTTTTCAAAGGAAAAATATTTTAATAATAAATTCTGAAAATATTATAAAAATGAATAACATACCTGAAGAAAGTAACATCCTCCCTCGCGCATTTGTGAATTTGAAGTTCCAAGAAAATGAAACGGTTTTTCACAAATCGACATTCCACCTCTCAATCTTTCTCTAATGAAACCATCAATCAGAGAACCACCAATACATGTTTGATGCACTCTACTTCCATCCTCATCACGAAAGACAATTCGAAGAAATTTGTGAGTAGGATAATTCACAGGATCAATTCGAACAACTCTATTCCCCATAAGAACCTCGTTACCACAAAGAATCATGCGTGACGGCGTGATGATAACCTAAATTTCCTTCAAAAAATTCTATAAAATATTGACAAACTTTTTTAAGACGCACAAAACCATTTTTCAATTCCTCTTGTTCTATTTTATTCTTTGCAAGATCCCTCTCGATATCTTGAAATAATCCTGTCAGTCCTCTTCTATGGCGAACTTCACTTCTATCAAGAAATCGATCTGATAGCATTTCTAGTGCAGTTAATGTTCTCTGACGATCTTGTTTGTAACAGTCAATGAGTGTTTTGAAAAACTTCTTCTGTTCAGTTTCGTTAACCCAATGATCGATTACAACAGATCCACGCGATCCCAAAGCTTCTATCCAATAATAAAGTTCAAAATCATTGTCAAATTCAGAAGGTAAAGATCTATAAATTATTCAGGAATTAGACTTTTAAAGATTCTATAAAAATACTTACACTTGTGGCATGGAATAAATAAAACTGAAAAAAAAACAAATAATAATTTAATCTTTTTTTGAAATCCAAACCTTTGTTCAATATTCCTCAATTCGAGATCCAACTTTAATAGCCCCATTAATCTTCCTAAAAGTGCAGATAAACGTTCAGGACTTTCTTCCATAAAATCAAGTACAATGACAGATGAATTTGCCAAATCTTCTGTTATTTTATTATCTCCTCCCCACTTATTAACTCGAATTCCTTTGTGTCGTCGTCTATCAATGCCTTTACCAGTTTTGAGTGCAAAAACATCACCAATACGCCAAATTTGAACGGGATGCTTTAATCGGAGCATAAAACGTGCCCAAAATGTGTTCGGTGTTCTTTTCTCTAATTCAAGGTGAACTTGTTTGATTGACTCGTATTTGATAACTAGACGGATTTGATCAATAACTCGCCAATTATCTTTTCGAGAATCATAAGGAACAAAGAAGCGAAGATTTAAAACACGTAAATCATGCTCGAATTCTCCAATTATATGACTTTCTTCTGGCAAGGTTAGTGATTCTGGTGGAGGAGTCGATGCACAAACTTTATAATCATCATGATCCGAATCTTCGGCCATAATACGATAACTGCAGCTTTGCTTCTAGAAATTTAATTTAATATTTAAAAATAAAAATTAAAGTCTTATTGTTAGGATACTCTTGAGGAAATTTGTGGATCGTTTTTAGCCCCCCAATCAGATATTATAAAAATTTATTTTCATATTAAGTGAAGGAAATAAAATGAACTCGTTTAGGATTGTTCAACAAGATTTTGATCTTTAAATATAGCCTAGTTGAAAGGTCACCAAATTCAAATGAATATCCCAATAAAAATATCAATTAATTAGATGCCCGCAAGTCAAAACTAACAAAAAATACAAAACCTGTTCATTCGACTCCCCATTAACCAAAGATGATCCCGTCCCACTATCGAATGATGTCGACTTTGTTTGTTTAATCATTTGGGTTTGTGTTAGTCTTGAAATTGCTATACTAGGTAAAAATTTCTTATTTATTTTCAACGTTGTAGAGACATCATCCAAAATATTAATTGCTCGCTGCAAATAAAGTTGGTTATGGTGAAGGATATTTCCAAAAGATATTTGTTCAAAATAATATTCATCTACAGCACTAAAGTGTCTTTTGAAAGGAAGCATATGGACGTTGGAAAATGAAGCAGAAGGTATCACAACTGTGTAACGAAGTTTTGTAAAAGGTTTTCCCATTTTAACAGTCGTTTCTTTTAACAAGTGCAACAAGTGTTCCTAAATTGGAGGATTAAGAAAAAAATTAGTTTATTAGAATTGGTTTTGTTAAGGAAAGGATCCGCTGATTCCCGACCCGTTTCCCGCCTGTATTTCACTGCCCTGTACAAGAGATAGACATATTTTCTAACTGAATTTTTCATGAGTTATGATTTTCTGTAACGGAAAAAAATAAAACAATCACAAGATTTTCTGTCCAAAACCAAAAAATTCCTTTAAATTAAAAATCAACGTCTTACCAATATGAAAATTATGGAAATATGTTTCCATCGTCCCCCAACTCCCAACAGGTATTCAATGCGAGGTTCTTCGCCTGAGTCATCATAACACTAACAATAAATTTAATTAAATTTAAAAAAATCTAAAAAAACCAAGGGAGAACCAACAAATCCCAGTATAGTTCCTTTGCGTGAATTAAAACGAGGATCACCCAAGACGCTCTTTACAAATTAAAAATTATTTAAAATTAAAATTTATAAAAATAACCTCAACCAACACATGAGAAGCTTTTTCAAGTTTCTTTGAATTATTGTGAAAGAAGACAAGTTTAAGATCTGTCATCAAAACCAAGTTTGATTTACTAAAAAAGCATCTAAAAATTAAAAAAATAATTTAAAAAATATTTTTTAGTAAAAGTTTGGGGAAAAATCAATAGGTACCTAAAATAGCTGCAAAAAATCGTAAAATAATTTGAAAAAATACTAAAATGATTAAATATTTTTTTGAAAAATAAACACAAAAAATATATAATTTTACATTTTTTAATCATCGAAAAAATTAATGATTCACAAAAATTATTTTATTTCTATAGGAGTAAAATGGAAGAGGAGCACATAATGTCACGAACCGTCATCGGCTAAAGATCAAAAATGAAAAATAGCTTCTCACGAATTTTCTCCTTTTACCAAAAGAAATTAATCATTGAATTAAAGAAAAAAAATAAAATTTTGAGAATGGACCAGGGGTATTCAAAAAAATAAAAAAAGATTAGATAGGCAGATGCAAAAAAATGCAAATGAAAATAAATAATGTAAGAATTATTTATTTTAGATTAATTCTCTTTTAATATTAAATAAACAATTCTCGCATTAGTAAGAAATGTGAAAAAAATGAAAAAAACAATAACGGGAGAATATGAATTCTTCTACCCGATGTAATAAAAAAATATAAAAAATAAAGATAACGTTTAATTTAAAAAAAAGATAAAAATTATTACAACAATAAATATTCAACAATAAAAAAATAAATTTCTTTAGACAGAATAAATAAATTAGAATTTAAATAAAATTAGAATTTAAATAAAATCCTTTAGATATTAAAATAATTCATTTAACTATTGCAAACATAAGTAAGCTCTGATTCTTCTATAGAATCGTCAGCAACTGGAAATTCAATACAAGTTTCATCTTCCTTACAAGGATTAGGTTCACAAGGATCTACCAATTCACAACGAGGACCTTTGTAGCCATAATCACATCTAACAATAAATGTGAAATTACTTGAAAGAAACGCTTGGAAAACTCCAAAAACTTGTGAAGTAATGCTTAAGATCCTAAGCTTTGATCCTAGAATTTTCCCAAGAATAAACGGTTATACTTATTGCTAGTTAATTAGATTTAGAGGGTCAGGAGGGACACTTAACCCTTTCAAAAAGACATATTCTTTTCAAAATTTAATTCAAAAATTGGAAATTTTCTCATTCCCAGAACATCCCCTGCATAAAATTTTTCTTCTTACTTGCAACTCATTCCATCCTCTTCAATATAAGGACGACAAAAACCATGTAGGCCGCAATATGTCTTCATTCCTAATTTTATAAAAATTAAATTTTTTAAATATTATTTTACCTCTATTGCGCAAAGCTTTCTCCAAACCTTGAAGTTGAGCATCTCTTCTAGTCTCAAAATATTTTGGCTTCCAACCAAGTCTATTTTTCAATGTTTGAATAAACCCTTCTTGAGAAAAATTTAAAAGTATTTTATTTGGATTTTCAATTTCTGCCAAATAATTTTTATGTTCTTCGATATCCCTACGGTCACATTCATCTAACATTCGATTTTCACAAAAATCGCCGTCATAACCAGAAGGGCATTCACATTTTGGTACAAGAAAGAAAGGCTTATCGTTAGGTTTATCTTCTCCGGTGAATAAAGTGACTAGAAAATGAAAGAATTAATTTTTTGATAAATTTGAAATTGTGTCTAATAGACTTGGGAGAGAGTGTTGGAATAGAAAATAAACTGCTTATACATAAAATAGAAATAATGAAAAAGAAATAACGTAAATGTCCTATTAGCCTTGGACTATTATTTTTCAATGGATCTCATTGAGTGGGATTTAAATATAAATGGGGGTACTTATTCCGCCCCACCTCTATTTGATCTAATTGTCAGATTAATTTTCCTTTTATTTTCTCCTGCCTACAAATGGGCTTATATTAGATTCTTTAATGAGCTTTTTTACTTTTGTTAAACCTAACTGTTATAAACGATAGCTTCACATTTGCCTCCATTTAAACAAAATCTTCCTTTCAATGCCTCAGTGCAAACTTTTCGTTTTCCATTATCAAAACATTCCTTAGGAAAATATTTTGAAATATCCAATGGCTCCACTTGTTTATTAGAAGAATATTTTGTATCCTTCTTCCAATGCGTATTTATACAATTAACATATGAACCAAATCCATTTCCTTCTTCGCAAGGAATACATGCCTTTTCATCTTCCTTAAGATCATCATCTGTAACATTAATGAATTCGCATCGTTCACCTGTTTTTGTATAAAAAATTAAATTTTTTATTCCTCATTAAATTAAAATTACCCCAAATTTCAATTCCTTGTTTCGGTGCAATAAATTCATAATCTAATGGGCAATCACAAACACCTATCTTTTCAGTACCATTCATTTTAGTTTTACATATCCCTCTATTAACACATTCAAGATCGCGACAGGGATCGGGCGTCGAACACTTAAAAATTACAAAAAGAAATTTCTAATAAAAATTTCCCTTACATTATCTTCTGCACTGTAAAATTCTTCACAAACGCATTTACAAACAACTTCTTCACATACAGGTTTAAATTTATATTTAAGTGTTTTTAAATCAAATTTTCCTTTTTTCTTTACAAATACATCTGTATAACTTTAAAAAATTTTTTTAAAGAATTAAAAAAAAATATTTACAAACTCAATTAATCCATGATAATTACAATGATCTTCAGCACAGCAACGCATTCCTTCAGTAAATTCACAAAAAGCTCCCTCATTTCCATATTTACACCAACACATATATTTTACATTTAAACTGAAAAGACACGTTTCGTTGTTTGTGTTGTCCTTCATCTTCCTATCAGCACAAGCTTTGACTTGAGAAACGTTGGGATTTGAGACTTGTCGGTAATGTTCTGTGCTTAAATTAAAGAAAAAAGGAGATTAATATTACCAACCAGGGGCGGGCGCATTGCGTTTTTGGAGATTGTCTCTTGCGCCCGCCCCTGTTACCAACTATAAAATTCCTGAAAGATTTTTCGTTTTGTTATTAAAGGACGTTAAGGTTGGTTTGGGTTCCGTGTGGGTTTGGGTCTTCTCTACGATGGGCCCCCTATCAAAAATATTTCGGAATAAATACAATAAGGTCTCCTAAAAGATATTTTATAAATCATTTACTACCTATAACAAGTAGAATTGTTTTGACATAAATTTCGTTCACATTCAGTTTGATCAGCAACAAATTCACAAAAACGTCCATAATGAGTTTTTGGGCATTCACAATACCATCTTTTAATAAAAAATATTTTTAAAATTTATTTTTATCAAAAACAACTCATGTCCAACACTCATACAAAGTCCTCCATTCAAACAATTAGTCTTTGCCACAACACAAGGATTGTGTTTAGAATCAGGCTTTAAAAGACGACTTGGAAATATTTTTGGAATTTTTGGAAGGCCTTTAAATTTTGAAACATTTTTCATTTGATTCAATCGTTTTTTCACTTTTCCTTTGAGAACTGAAAAAAGGAAAAAAATTAGGCATTTTTAAAGAAGTCAAGACTTTTTAGCTGAGTTTTTCTTGAGTCTTTTTTCTTATGGCAAAAGAATTAACGAAATCGTCGCATTCTTATTCCTTGATTTTTAATTAAAAATGGAACAACTCTAAATTATTATTATCGAAGTTACACCTTAAACTTCATTCGGAAATACCTAAGTCAGCTCCCCCCAACAGTTTTTAGGAGTGACTGTTGTTATAATTTTATTTGACAAATTATAAACAATAAAAAATATTTTTTAGAAGACGCTTAAGGAAAAATATTGAGAAGGAAAAATGTCCACATAAAAAGTCAGCTAAAAAGTTCCTGCTTTTTTGCAAGTGTCATAAAATTTTTATAAAAAAACAAACAATTAGTCCATTTAGTTTTATTCGTTAAACTTTTAACAGAAAATTCATAAGTTTTTGATCTTGCTAAATCCGCTAAATAAGCTAAAATTAAAAATATTTAAATAAACAAAATTTAAATAAAAATTACCGGCAAGTATTATGACAAATAAAATTAAAATAATATCAGCAAATATTCCAGTATATTTTTTACGCGAAAATAGAAGAAAAAGCATTATTTAATCTTAAAAAAATGATAAACAAAATTAAAAGAAAGCATGAACTTAAAAATTAAATTTTTGTTATCTAAAATACCGTAACAAATTTTAAAAAATATTTAAAATGTCATTTTGTAAACATTCGAAACGTCACTGTTGAAATACCATTTGTTCGTAACGCCTACCTTTTCAAACTTTGTGTACTGTAGGATAGGGTTTCACCGTAAATTCCGGTTCCGGTGTTTTTTGGTTCTGGAAACCGGAACTCAAAATGATCCGTCTCAGGCTTACAAATCGGTTCCGGGCAAACCGAAACCATTTTTCTTGTGTTACCACTTCTCCTTAAAAACTACTTTTCTTGTGGTTATTCTCTCACAATAAGACGTTGTAAATTTGAAGGCTGGTCACCCTGAATTTTAAATATGGAGGATTTGTCTTATTTATGGTAACCAACTCAATTATGTCACTTGACCATGATCTCTTAGCCATCGTTAGTGACCACAAAGTAACGGTAAACCGTTATCATAAGTAAACCACGTCTAAAATATTAAACTTAGAAATATAAGTAAATAAATTTATCAACATATAATTAAACAAATAAATACAAAAATAATAAATTCCCAATTTAATATTGAAATATAATTATTTTGTCTATTAAAATTAAAATATTTCTCTCCCAATTTTTTATCCCTCAACATATCTCTTTTTCTAAGGGCCCATTTAAGCCAAAAGTTTTGTTGATCCGAATGGGGTTTTCGATAAGATCTGATCATTTCTGATATTTTTATTGCTCTCTTCAGATATTTTGGATATTCTGATTCTAATTTAGACATTTTGTCATTTAACTGTCCTCCCCAAACGTTCCGTATAGTAACCAATTCAGCCATTCCGAGATCTACAAGACGTTGTAAATTTGAAGGCTGATCACCCTAAATTTAAAATATAGGTGATTTGGCTTATTTAGAATGGTTTGGATGGTTAGTATTAGGGTTGGCTGATTAAGACTTACGGGGATTTCTTAGAGACCGTCAATAGATTTTAATTTCAAATTTTTAAATTGAAATTTAAATAAATAATTCAAATTTCAATTTCAAATCAAAAATTTCAATTTAAAACCTAGATAGGTCCAGTATATGGAGGGAAAGCAAAATTGTCCCCGAGCAGTAAGGTTGTCGGATAGTTGGAAATCTTCGGATATCCGGATCCGACAACCTTACTGAGCAGCATTTGGCTTATTTAGAATGCTATCACAGAAATAATTAGTTCAAACAAAAATGACAAACAAAGATTATGACTTTTGATGTGCCGAAACAGGGCCGAATCTTTGTTTTAGTTTTGTTCTAAAATCTATCAGTTGACAATTTTCTTAAATGAAATTTACTATAAAAATACTTGTAAAGGAATGCCTAAAATGGGTTTGCCAAACATTAATGCCTCATTCAAAGTATTAACACCTCCATGAAGAATTGCATATTTTAAATTTGGGTGTGCTACATAATTAAAAATAAAGCTTATTTTTCTCAAAATTCTTTTAAACTTTACCTAAAAGTAATTTAATCGGTGCCCATTTAACAATCTGAATATTTAAAGGTAAATTATTATTTGTAATATTTCCATTAATTATTTCTTTAATTGGACTGTTTGTTTGCCAAATAATTAAATGAGAGGAAGTTGAAAATGTATTCAAGAAAATGTTTAATAATATTTTTGGCATATATTCTACCTTAAATTTAAAATTGTCTATATTAAATCTTCAAAAAATAAAAGATTTAATGCAGTTTACAGCGCCAAATCAATCCAGAAATCACTAGGAAATTGTCAGCCGATATCACAAATCAGGCTTTCAATTCAATATTTTTTTAAACTTTATATACGTGTTGACATATCCGGGATCTCTTATTTACACTATTATATTTCATTTTTAAATTTGTGATGTTCTTTTATGTAGATAACAATGTTCTAGCCGACATAAAAAAATTCCGATTTGGGAACCGGCACGAGAAAAGTTGGGATTTTGCAACTTTTCGGTAAGTTTCGAGAATAGAGTCGACTAGACCCTGCTATAACTTACAAATCTAAATTAAATTATAAATATAAACCTTAGCAATACTTCCAAAACTGACTAGAACAAAACTTCTTTTCTCGATAAGCTCCCAATCAATGTTTGAAAATTCTAATTTAATCTTTTTATATTTTTCTATTTGAGTTGAATTTATTTGAAATTTAATATTTGTAAAATTATTTTTGTTAATTTTTTTATTTTTACAATTATTAGGTTGTTTTAAATAATTATTTAAATTTAAATTTGTAGTTGAATTAAATGATTGACAATTAAATGTTGATTTATTTTTGATGAAATAATTTTCAAAAATATTTTTGTACTCATCAGCATCTCTGAAAAACAAGATTTAACAGTTAAAACCTTGTTTATTGAGTAGGCAGCTTCCTTTTGAAATTTCTCCTTAATCGTCTTCAAAATTCATTTCCGAAATTTAAGGAAGCTGCCTATTGGAACTTAATTGATGTTATCAACTTAGGTCAATTTAAAACGAGGTTTAACATATATTTAATGTTAAAATTGATTTAGAAGTCTTACCCACAATTTGAGCAACCAAAATGCTTTATTCTGTTATTAATAGGTTTTATAGGCTCCGTAATAAACTCTGAACGTCCAGCATAGAATAAATATCTTCTCTCAACATTTTGTAATTTTAACTGTTTTAAATATTTTTTGAACTACTGTAGGTATAACAGGTTTTTTCGGGGGGTTTTACGAACTTTTTGATATTACAGCCGGGCCTCAAATTTACATACACTCTTAGGGCTTAAAATCTACCTAAAATGAAATTTAAATCACCCTTCGTGCTCAAATGATGTAACGCCTAAATCCTCCGATATCCCTCATAATTCAGCCACAAAAATGCACATACATTTTTATATCCAATCGAAGAATAAAATTTATTTGCAAAATATCCCTGTATTCCCCTTCCAATAAAAATAACCAAAAGCCATAAAGTATTTCTCAAACGTATCCAAAAGTTTTGTAAATCCTTTGGGGAAAAATAAGTCCCTGTAACTGGATAGGCGGAGGGTAGTAATTCTAAATTAAATGCTGAACTGTAGACATCACAGATAGGCCAGTTTGAATATTGGATAGTAACTGGAGCTTTTAATAGAGCTGCGGACATTGTAAAACATTCCTTTAAAAATTTTAAATATAGTCTGAACTTACTAAAGGGTAGGTGGTTCCTGGGAAATACAACGCTGTTCGGAGCCGGAACCGATAATTTCAGGATACCCGGAGGTTTTCGATTCCCGGTACCTCACTATATAACTATATAAATATTACTTGAATTATATGATCCACAACAACTAAATCAATTTTAGCAGTTTTTATAAATTTTTTATAATCGTTATTTTTAACAAATTGTTTGCAAAGGCGATTATTCCAGCTTAGAACGTGGAAGAAAAACAAAGCACCTCTTATATCCCAAGGTGCTCCCTAAAATATTTTTAAATTTAATGGATATTTAATTAAATATAAATAGTTCTAGTCGGACGACTATATAAGATAAGATACACCTTGTGTGAAATAATTCACAAACTGAGATGTATCTTAAATAAAAGATTGCCCAAAAAATATTCAGACGGTTCTTGCTATAGGAGGCACCTAATTAAATTCATTTTAAGACACGTTTTTCTTAAATTTGATTGCCCACTGGGTAGAGGAGCTATCCAACTGAAGTTTCCAATTTAAGATACATCTCATTATAAGACACGATTTTTTTCGTTCTAGGGTGTATCTTATATCTATGTATTCACAACTGTATATTTACATGGTCAATAGGTATATTCAATTCCCATAAAAGTCTTTGACCATATAATTTTAGCTCGTTTAATTCTCTTCTATTTTTAGCTTCTTCCAAGGTGATTTTTGTTTCAATTTTAACAGACTTGTCCATAACTAAACAATTCCAATCTTTAGGTTTTGCAACCTTTCCAAATCCAAAATCATAAATAAAAATTTGTAGCCAGTTAATTTTTATTTTTGAAGAATTTTTTGAAAATTTATTTGGGAGAATTTTTGATCTTTCAGGCAAATTCATATTTTCATATGCGAGTCCGACTTCGCGCATCTATTAAATTTTTATTGTTATTTTTGTTACGATTTGTATATTGGGGGTATCTAATATGAGGTCCTTTACATTATGGTTGGCCACTGGATTTAGTACTGACTAATTATAATTTAATTAATTTAACTCTATTTAACTCTACATTTCATTATAAGATACAAATTTACTCCAAAGGGGTAATTATAAAGAGGACCGATTTTATTTCAAAATTTTAAGAATAATTTTCCTCAAAGATTTTACCATAATATCATGCGAATAACACCCATTACTCGCAAATAGAGCTATTTCTTGTCCACAAATATTTAAAATAGATTTTAAAAATATTAAATTCAATATAATAATTAAAAACTTTTTAATAAAAATCATTTTTTATTTTTAATTTTATTTTGCTCGCGTTTTTATAATAAAATTAATAGCGGCCTGAGCTTAAAAGTTGACCAAAAACAGATCAAACAAAAATAGACTAGACAAAATATTAGGTCATTTATAATTCAATTATATTGTTGACAAAGTATTAGTTTTATTATTAAAATGAGGAAAAATAAAAGGAGAGATTATCTGTTTGATAGTTAAGTGAATATGCATTACAAAAATATTTTTAGACTACGAGTTAACCTTGAAGTAAATAATATTTCCGGAAAAAATAGCGGCCTGAGCTGACTGTATTATAGTAAAAAATATCTCTGAAAAAATATTCGGTTCTGTTCCCTGCAGCGCTGAAAAAGGAAGAAATCTGGCTTGATAGCCTTCAAAATTTTCAAAATTTTGCTTAGAAAATAAAATACATAATTATTTTTTAACAATTTTAATAAACAATTTATTTTCAAAAAAACAAATTTAAAGTGCAACAAATGTCAAAAATTTAATTTAAATATTAACAAAAAGTGTTAAAAACGTTCGCACTTTTAAGTTTCCAATTTTGTTAATTTTCAACTAAAAATATTATTTTATGCATTATAAATGCCCCCTCCCCTCCCCCCTCCCCCCTCCCTTCTCCTCTACACTTTTAAAATGTCTACCAACCTACCTATACTTCCAAAAACATTTTTTTTCATTTTTTGAGTAATAATCTATTATTGTCAAAACCTACCTAGATATATTGCTTTACTTTTTTTTATCAAAAAAATCTCAAAAAAGCATTGCACACACTTTTCCCTCAATTTTTTACTAGAAAATATTTAAATATTTATTCCAATTTTTATTTTTTTTTTCGTGTCCTTTTCATTGCTTTTTAAATAAAAATTTTTCCAAATAAAAGTAAAAAGTAATAAAACTTTTTTGTAATTTTTTTTATTTCTTTAAAAACAAAAAAATACAAATTAAATAAATAAATTTTTAATTTAAAGTCAAATGCCAATTTTTTTTATTATTTAAAGAATTTAATTTCCAAAGTGCCTTTAACCCTAATGTTGTTGTCCTTCCCCCCACAAATTTTTTTATTTATCCATACAAAACAAATAGACCATTAAAAATATGTAACCTCTTACTAAATATTTGTTTTTCAATTTATTTTGAGGAATAAAAATATTTGGGATTTAGGTATATTGAAAAAAAGAAAAGACTTTTTAATCTTTTTAAATCGTTTTTTGATTAAATTTTGTTTTTCCTTTTTGTGATCCTGAGGGAGTAATTATATAGGGGTTATAAAATGATATAAGATGAGAAATGAGGAATAATACACTTCCATGACACCCTTCGAATGAAAAGTTTTCAGAGAAAATTATTTTAATTGGAAAAAAAATCTACCCTATAAATTTCCT